ACCCTAATAAAGTAAATATTAAATAGCTATAAAAATAGCTTAAAGATAGAAAAATAGCAGTTAATACTATAAATAGAAATTAGAAAGTATAATAATAGCTAAGGCAGTAAAATAGAGAATATAAAGGGCTATAATAATACTAGTATCTTAAATAAATTCCCTTTAAAATAAACTATAAAATATTATATAGAAGCTAACTAAGATATATTAATAGCCTAATTATTTAATTATAAATAGAATATATAGGCCTTTAAGCTTTTCTTTTTAATAGAAAAATCCTAAGATAATATTACTATAGTACCCTATAGTAATAATAGGCAAATTATAAGTATATTTTACTACTATATATTTATAATAAGATCTTCTTTAAGCTTAAATTATAAAATTATAGAAATATAAAATACTATCTTAGTAATAAATATACTATACTTATAATAGTAATTTAATATAGTAAGATAATTTATTTATATAATTTAAACTAGTAATAGCTCTATAGAAAAAATAAAAGATATAAAAGTAGATAAAAAAGAAATAAGATTTAGTAATAATATATAGATAACTACCCAGATTAATTAATTAAGATATAAATAAAAGTTACTCTATAAAGAAATTAAGCTATAAAAAAGAGTATCTATAAAGAGTATAAGACTAAAGCTAAAGTAATATTATTAAGATATCTACTAGCTAATAATACTATTATTATTCTCTATATCTAAAGAAATCTTAATAGAGTAGTATTAATAAAACTTATTAAGAATAATAAGATAGTAAAAAAATAATTAATTTTAGTAGCTATAAAGCTACTATTAAAGCCCTAAAGCTAACTTAATAACTATTTATTTTTAACTTACTTATAGTAAAGGCTATAATAATAGCCTACTAATTATAATAGCTAAAAATCTCCTTAATCTTATTTATATTATTAGATTATATTAAATTAGTAAGATTTCTAAAAATTATAAAGATATCTATATAGCTAAGAGTTATACTACCTTTTAGTAAGTATAATACAACTAAATAGGCTATAAATATAATATAAATAGAAGTAATAAAATTAGTAAAATAAAAAAAATCTAAAAAAATTAATAGAAACTTAAAAGTATTATAAAGCTACTTATTAAATTATAAATATACTTTCTTTATATAGTAAGTATAGTAGCTACTAAATTCTAATTAAGAGTTAATATTAAAAAAAAAAATTATAAAGCTAATATAAAAATAATATACTATAATAAAGTAAAAATAACTAAAATACTAGCTAAAATTATTAACTAAATATAATAAATATAGAAAATAAATTAGTAACTACTAACTTTTTATAAATAAATTAATAAGAATATTATAAAATACTATAAAATACTTATCTTAATAAAAAAAACTTTTTTATATTAACTAGAAGAATAGTAGCTTATTAAATACTTTTAAATAAAATAAGATAAAAAGATATTAAGCTTAATCTTTTTAAATCTTAGCTATATCTATAGTAATATACTAAAAGAATATTTAAGAAGTAATAATAACCTCCTCCTCCTCCTCCTCCTTCTTCTTTTTCTTATTATTAGTAGGGAAGCTAGGTAGCTATAGCAGCCTTATTAAGGCTTTCTTCTTAGCCTTCTTCTAATAGCTTTTTATAGTAATAAGCTATAGTCTTTATCTTTTACTCCTTAGGGTTAATAGAGATATTATAGTAAAATTAAAATATAATTAAAATAGTAACTAATAAAAATAAAAAAAAAAAAATAACTTTCTATAAATTAATAAGAATCTAGTAATAGTATAGAGACTATAAAAGAAAAGAAGAAGACTTATAAGAGATAGTTATAGCAGAAGTCAGCAGGAATAATAAAAAAAAAGAAAAAAAAAAAAAAAAAAATAAAAAGAAAGGGCTTTTTATAAAACTTAAAAAGCCTTAGAAGGCCCTAAATCTTAAGTCTAAAGGCATAAGAATAGAGGCATATTTAAAGCTATTAAAAGCCTAAACTAAAAGTAAGAAAAGATAAGAATAAAGACTGCCAAGGCAACACAGAGCCCGCCCTGCAATACAGCAGGCGAACCAGCCCGGAAATTATAGGGCCGGGATCCCAAGCAAACAGCTACGCAGGCCCGGCACCCACACACGCCCGGCATACAAGGGTCACGTAACTGGAAGAAGGAAAGGCCGAACTCTTGATGCGACAGCAGCCCGGGGGGCTACTATAAGGTTATCTGGAGGTCCACACTAGGAAGGGCAGATGCAGCACTGCCGAAGCGATTATGAAGAAGGCAAACTAGGCAGGTTGTAATACCGGTTGCTGCGATCTTGTATATAACCCCCCGACGGCTCCTTTATAACCTAGAGGAAGCTAAAACTGGAAAATGGGTAAATATATATTATATAACCTAAATAAGACTAGTAATAAGTTTATTAGTATAAACTTAATAATAATAATAAGTTCTTTAAGGTAGTAAAGTAAAATTATAGTAAGATTTTTATTTTATAGCTAGATAGCTAGAAGATTTTTCCTCTTTAAATTAATTAAAGAAGTTTTATAGGCTTAGATATAGGTAAAATAGTATATATTAAATAAATAAATAAATAAATATTAATTAATAAAATAATATTAGCTTATAATTATAATAAATAGCTAAATTACTTAGTTTTTTATATTAATTATTTAAATAATTATAACTTATTTTTAATTTCTAAATTATATTAATTTTAAATTTTTATATCTTTTTATATTTATAATAACTATTTTATTTATAATAATATTTATTATAAAACTAATCTTATTAAAATTATAAATATTAATAAAATTAATATTATACTTTATAATTATATTTTCTATAAACTTAAATTAAATATAAATAATAATTAAATTTTTATATTTAGCTTTTTAATAATTATATTTATAAAAAAAATATATTTTAAACTCTTAATATTACCTAATAAAATTAGAAATTTAATACTTACTAACTAATAATATATTATAGTTAATAAGTAGTTAATTAGCTATTTCTTTAATATTATATAGTTACAGAAGAAATCTTTATAAATTTAAGTTAAGAATAAACTAAATAATAATCTACTCCTCTAGATCAAATAATCTCCACAAGTTAGAGATAGTATTATATCGAGATTGAATGCCATACTGCCGGCGATATAGCCTCAGCTCAGAGACCTCATAGATCTTTGCAGCACGTCGGAGACTTAATTTTGAGTTGTTTTGAAGGGCTTAAAGAGCAAGAAGGGTTCTTGCCTCTATTTGGGATTGTAACATGGTTGGTAGTGGAGGATTAATTAATTAAATAAGAAGTTGGGTATAAGAGGGAAAAGTACGTCGCTCGCTTATCTGCGTCGCTCACTTATTAAGTACGTTAGTTATATTTAAATTTACTATTTATTTAACTATAACTTACATCTATTTAATATATATATATATTATAGTTATGTAGATCTTTTATTGATATTTAACAAGATGGCATTTTGGTGTGATATTGGCATATTGCCTGTTCTTTTGCACGCCCACTGTACTTGCGTCTCGTTTTTCGTTACGTATAACCTCTTGTAGATGTGCTGACCAACGCAAAAAACCAAGCCTTTCGTGAAATCAGAGGCCGCATCCAATGCCGAAGCCGCCAAACCCCTGCATGTTATGATTGATAGCAGTGTTTTATTATGGGGCTGACTTACTGGTGACACCGATTGTAGGCGCTGCCAGTCAGCTAAATTACCGCGAAAGTTGATGTTGCACAAGTAACACTCAGGCATATTCTCGAATCAGCCACACAAACTGCATATAGCCTTCTCAGCCTATCAAAAAGTGAGGCGGACGCTATCAGACTTGGCATTGCTGCCTAATAATGTTGCCCAACAATGATATCTCGATGCTCCAGGTTCGCCCGTGTCTCTGCCGATTCACGTTGTTGCAGAGCAATGGATCCAATCACTGCAATCAGCCCAGCATCGGGCATCTTGTCATTCGTCACTTTTAGCGCAAGTATCGCCAAGGCTGGGATCGAAATTTACCGGTTTGGCGATTTGGACGATACCTCGAGTCTCGAAGATGCTGTCAACCAGACAAATACGTTCTGCTCTCGCCTAGAGCGCGACTATGTCGACCCGCCTACGGAGAATGGACGGTTACTCATTGTTCTCCTCAAAGAGAGCAAGAGTGTGTCGGATGAACTTCTAGACTTACTTAAAAAAACGAAGATATCCGACGGAAAGCCACGCAGAAAGGCTCTAAGGAGTCTCAAAGCGGCTTGGAATCATGCGAGCAGCAAGGAGGGCCGAAAGGCACTGGAGGGCAAGCTTGCCAGCATTCAAGAACGTGTCACTGGCGTGCTGACCCAATTGACGATGTTTGATGCACTCAATATACCGATGTACGACATAGTGCTGACTTGTTTGTGATCAGGATCGAGGTCAAACACGTCGCCGACATAGTGCGGAACCAAGATGAAAGACTCTGCAGCATCTAGGACAGCATTGACACAGTCTTCGATACCCTCAGTGTCCTTCTGAAAATCGAATTACTGACCCAGTCAGCTGCGAAAGACATCAAGGCCCAGATCGAGAAGCTCGCTGATGTGGACGAAAAGACGATCAAAGCGGTCCGCCAGCAGCGCGTTTTGGAAGGGCTCAAGTACGATAAGATGATAAAACGATCAAACGATCTTGGAGATACCCTGTGCCAGATTTCAAACTACAATCATAGAGATCCATTTTGTTGGCTCTTTGATGTTGACGAGGATCTTCTTCAATCGGCGGAAACTGAATTGGGAAGGGCTAAAGAGGAAATCTCAACCTGGCTATCGTCGCCAGCGGATGAGATTCTCCTCATAGCCGGGAAACCTGGGTCGGGCAAGTCCACGCTAATGAAATACCTGTTCGAGCAACCGAAGACCAAGTTATTGCTAGAGGAATGGGCTGGTAAGTACACAACCCACGTGCAATCCTAGTCGGGAGTCAGTAATGTAACTTAAGTCCTGCAGCGGAAGGGGAGCTCTTGGTGGTCAACTTTTTCTTCTCTGTCCTTGTGGGTGAGAGCCAGCAAACCATCAACGCAGTTAGCCGGTCCATACTTCACGACATTATCGAGAAGCGCCCCGACTTGACTCCGATATTCCTGAAGGACGCTTGGAAGCGAGCCATCGAGTTCCACTGGCAAGACAACACAAAAACTACCATCGGACACCAGGAGGCGTGGCCCGCACTTACAAACATCATCGCCGAGCTCGGCAACCAAGGGATCCGGTTGTGTCTTTTCATCGATGGACTCGACGAGTTCAAGAGGAAAGGGCATGATTGGGGGGATCTAGTTGACCATCTGCACGACTTAAGCCCCCAGTCAAACCCCCACGTCAAAATGTGCGCTGCAAGCCGAGCAGAGCCTCCATTCACAACGCGTCTGACAACGAAGCGAATCTTTCTGCACGATGTTACCCGCCAAGATATAATTAGATTCGCAGATTGGAGGCTGAAATCAATTGAGGACAAGGACGATAGGCTATCGTTTGCAAGGAAAATCGCGGACAAGGCCGATGGGATTTTCTTGTGGGCGCAACTCGTCATTGAAAACATCCGCCTTGAGTTGGGACGCCGAGGACGGAATTCCAAGGTTGGAGTCGATATCCTTGATCAATATACTGGAGATTTGGAAAATCTCTTCAAGGATCTAGTTGACTCAATCCGAAAGACAGATCGCTCCAAAGTATATCGGACGGTCCGCAGCTTTGAAGTGCTCCAAGAGTACAATCTACGCCTGTCGCCACTGGCGTTATCGTTCCAAGAGAGAGCTTCCACGGAGTCCGATTTCGTATCCCAAGTCACGCCCTTGATGTCGAAAATGACATCAAAAGAAAAAGAAGAGAGGGCCGACCAAGCCCTGATCGAATTGGCCAGCATCAGCAGAGGGCTTCTTGAAGCAAACTCGGACCGGAATGAAGTCAAGTTCATCCACCGCTCAGCTCAGGAGTTTCTGAAGGGGGGCCGCATACTTCAAAACGCCTCAGAAGGTGATGGCAAAACGTTCGCAGCTGAAGACGTCGCATCAACTCTCGCGCTGGTGGATATTTGGGACGAATCCCCGTCTCTGCCAACAAATGCCTGCATCAACGTCATGAGGCTACGCCAGGAATACGACCTTGATCGCGAACCGTACGCTTTTTCAGAGAGCTTGCAGATTTGTGCTGAGAAAACTGTACTAGGCGGCATGAAGGACTGGTGGCGCGGACACGTGGATCTCGCCGTTTACACCCCTAAGTATCGCCGTCATGTCATTGTCGCGACACTGCAGAATGATGACAACCCCAACTATGATTCCCGGGTCTTTCGCTTAGACACGCCGCTTCACGTTTTGATCATGCAGGGGCGATATGACTATCCCACATGGAGAGTTGGACGCGGACACCCGGAGACTTTCCGAGCGTTCGCCATGATTGCTTATATGATTTTCGGCCGCAGTCTTCTAGAAGTATTTACTGACGACGATTGTTCATTTCTAGAAATGCTTCTTTGCAAGGACCAAGTCTACCGTCAAACGATGAGCCAGTTTATACCGGCCTTGCAAAGTACCGTTAGGTATAATAACACAAAAGATTGCGAGTTCAATATATGGGACCAGTATATCCTCATTCAATTTTACACTAGACTGAGCGGCTTCATGTTCCGGCCAACAAGTTCTGTGGCTGATGTCCCTATCCTCCCCCCCAATCAACTGGATGAAAATTTCTACTACTCGGCTAAAATCTTCCAAAAGTTTGAGGAGTATCGGCAGAGGCGGCCACTTTGAGGCTTGGGGATGATCAAGAGGACCACTCCTGGGGGGTGTTGAATATGTCGCTTGGGTGGTCGCAGCCAATAGAGCTCAAACTCTTCCAAAAAAGATGGATAATGGATCAGTTTAAAGTGCACTTAAAATCTGTCACGGACAAGAGTGGGCGCAGGAACTTGATCACATTGAGGGAGTTGCTCAAGGACATGAAAAGTGGGTACGGGACCACGCGGGGGGAAGGATGGATCGGATGGTCGTTGGGAGAGTTTCTCAGTGAGACGTCCATGGCTGAGCAGGACACCAAGAAGCATCTCGATACGGCAACGGAGGTTTCTCCGTCGTTGCAATCCAGTCACCATTTTACAACTCTGACAATTTTTTGTCTAGGTATGGTTACAGTCTACCCACTGAGCGTTAGCTAACATACTTGAATAGGTGCGTGCTCTGCAGTACTAGTATGGTCTATTCTCTGTATCTATAAGGAGTTTGCGGTATATGCTTAACATTTATATAGTTTTTTTTACCCAAGTTACTGCTGCTTCTTTATATGGACTGGGTATTTGGTCTGCGCTGTTAGCCTATTGTTGGTATATTTCTTTTAACTGTCGAGCCTCGAGTCCCTCCTCTGAGCGCGCATACTTCTAGGGCCGCATCCTGGTCAGCCAGGATCTCTTCTCTTAAAGGAGGCAGCTAAGTCGACAGAACGCTCATCACTTGACATGGCATTCGAGTAATTTTCTATCAGCTAATTAGCATGGCGGTAACGCGTATTATATAAGGATCGTGACACTGTGAACCATGTAACTGGTTAGTCAACCTTGGCCACCAGCTGCAAGGCATACTGCCTTAACCAAGTCTGCCTGAGGCCAGACTTACAAGGGTTCTTAATTGGAGGACACGGCAGAGATACAGAAAGCAGATGTTACTTGTCGATGGGCCAAAGCGGGGTAATTAATAAATACTTGAGTCAATTTTATGTCTCGTTTCCATCACCATTTCCATTTCCAGCGCGAATAATCAACAAGTTTCTCGTTGACTATGTTCAAAAAGCTGAAAGAGGGTTTCAAACGGAAAACCAGAAGGGACGGACTGAAGGAGTTTCACGATGCCCCGCCTCACGCCTCCAGCTCGGGGACTAGAGATGCTGATCCCCTAACCCTAGCTCCTACGATACCCCCCGAAACGCCCAAGACGAAGACCATAACGGAGGGACAGAAGGAGCTTCGTGATCCCTCGCCTGAAGCCTCTAGCTCGGGGACTAGAGAGCCAGATGCTGAATTCCAAACCCTGGCTCCTACGATACCCTCCGAGAAACGAAATGCCTGGGAAGAAGCATACCAAAAGCTCAGAGCTGATTCTGACTTTTCGGATCGTTTTGCCCATTATGAGGAGTACCTTGTCCAGCAAGCATCTTCGGGCCAAGATGGTAGGCGATTTCGCTTTCGAGATACCAATTTTCCGCTGTAGACATGCTAACGAGGCCTGTTGCAGTGAACCCCGGGACTGATTCCCCGAGGCAGCGCTTCGAGCGTCTCCAAATATGGACCAAGCGAGAACTCGATGCCTTGCCGAAGCGTCGAATGGCAATTTCTATAGGTGGCAGGGAAATTGTGGTCCGGGACAAGTTTCACAAGGCCGTAATGCTCATCGATCGGAACAAAGCCATCGTTAGCGCTGTAGTAACAGTAGAGCCCATTGCTGGGTTGGTTTGGGGAGGCACCATGGCTGTCATACCGGTATGGAGCCTGCCTATTCTTGGGTTTCTCTAACCTCTTTTCCGCAGTATTTGAACAACATCTTCCAGCAGGACGTGGATGCTACAGAGGGATACGAAAGCATTTGCTTGCGTCTCATAGAGAGCACCATGATGGAAGAAAATCTGAGGGGATCGTATTCTCGTCCTTCCACGTTGGTTTTCTATTCCTTTCAAGTATCCCCTATCTGCGTAGCTAAAGCTCGTACTAATTTTCTTTGAAGCTCAGAGAACCGCAAGAAACTGATTTCCACTATTCAAGACAACCTCGCACTCCTATATTTCGAGGTACTCCGCTATCATGTCCGGCTTTTCTTCCAGTACTCCACTCAATATTCTCGTCATGCGATTAACCGTTTTCTGCGCAACCTGGTTGCAGCGGACGAGTGGAAATCTATGGCGCAAGGAGTGGATGGGGCAATGCATAATATCCTCGCACAAATGCACCTGTTGGCCGACAATGAGGCAGGGTTAGCGTATGACACAGTGAGGCGGATCGAACTCTCCAATTCCGAAAACACACAAACCCTTCAGAAGATGCAGTCGAAACTCGATAACAGCAAGGCAGGCAAACCTTCTAATCTGCCATACGATCCAATCTCGATTATACTAACACAAAATAGGATAGTGATGACATGAGAGATCTGAATCAACTCGATTACATCTTCGAGGCCTTCCACGACTCGAAAGATGTATCAAATGCAGGGTCGTGCCTCTCGGGGACTCGGATGGACACCTTGAAGGCCATCAAGGACTGGATCGAAGACCCCGACGGCGAACCAATGTTCCGGCTCACTGGACTAGCCGGCACTGGAAAGTCGACTGTTTCTATCACTGCTGCTAACGCTCTAAGCAGAGGCAGTTGGCCTGATGGCTACTCGCTCGCCAATACCGCCGTTCTCGGGGCCACCTTCTTCTTCTCTGCTAAAAAGGCATCTAGAAACAGTGGCCGCCACTTCTTCGTCTCAGTAGCATGGTGGTTAGGACACACAGTCCCAGGGCTTAGGGATGAAATAGCGCGTGCTGCCCGAGACAATCCGCAGCTTATAGAAGCGTCGTATGCCGATCAACTCGACAGGCTGATACTCAAACCTCTCGAATAATTTGAGAGAGAGCTCTTGTTTCCCCTAGATTTCATCCTCGTCATTGACGCACTGGATGAGTGCGGAGTGGAAGACGCCAAAGGAATCCTTCAAGAATTGAAGAAACTCACCCGCCTGGGCCAAGTCAGACTGCGAGTTCTATTGACCAGCAGATCTGGGACATCTGTGGATGGCGCCCTCGGAGATACACAACAAGCACCTCGATATCTTTCCTTGGAGAAGATTCGCCTCTGTGCAAGCAATGACGGTCCCCAGGTTGGCGTTGATGATACTGATGACGATATAGTCAGGTTCCTGTGGCATATGCTTTCCGATATCGCCATGAGACGGGGATTCCCACACGATTGGCTCGATAGAAAGAAAGTTGTGGAACTTTCGAAGATGACTGGAGGACTGTTCATCTATGCATCTGTTGTTTGTCGCTTTTTTGACCATGATTATTTCGACAACGAGGTTCTCGACAGCCGGCTGAGGCAAATCCTTAGCCGCGATAAGGAATCGGAAACTCCTGAGCGTACGCTCATCGACGACATTTACACCAAGGTGTTGCGATTCCATTACGATACCCAACCTAGAAAAGAGAGGGCTGCGGCGTCGCTGAGGATCAAAACGCTTCTAGGAACCATCGCAGTGCTATGCGAACCAGTGACTATTGTCACACTTGCAACGCTTCTTCGGAAGCCACATGAGCTCCTACGGACCCAGCTAGCCCCATTTGGCCCAGTACTTAATATTCCAGAAATGAACGACGCTGGTCATCCTCTCGACTTCGTTCACCTTTCGTTCGGCGACTTTCTCCTCAGCCACGAATGCCCGAAAGAATTCTCCGTCGACATAACCGCCAGGCACTTTGCAATCCTTGATTGGTGTCTCAATACCATGAGCAACCAGCTCCACCAGGATCAATTTCAGCTTCGGATGCCCGGCAGCCTACTCTCAGGTGTTGCAACCTCATTGCCAGAATCTTCACTGCCAGAATCGTTGCGATATGCTTGCTGCTACTGGATCGATCATCTCGAAAAGATCGACAGTGAAACGCGCCAAGGATTCCTGACGGATCAAGGACGGATTCATAGCTTCCTAAAGAAGAACCTGTTATTTTGGCTCGAGGCCCTGAGCTTGATATCTCGAATATCAATTTCGATTCCGGTTCTCAACAAGCTTCTCTATCACGTCAATGTAGGTAACCAATTGCTTCCTCCTAAAGCCCCTAGCAGGACTAACTATAATTTGGCAATAGCCTTCGAAAAGTCCTAATTTGTATGGACTGCTCGAAGACGCGCTGCCATTCATACGAAGAAACCAGTCAATTGCTGAAAAGGCACCCCTTCAGCTGTACTGCTCCGGACTTGTCTTCTGGCCAAGGGAAAATGCCGTATACAAAGAGTTTTCGCACCTCATTCCAATTTGGATCAAACAACCCAAAGCAACTGTCCAGCAAGGCGTGCAACGCTCCTCAGATGCCAATCTGTTTGTTTTTGAGGGCCAAGAAGGCGACATCTATGGTGTTGCATACTCACTAGACAATACAGCAATTGCAGCCCGGTCTTCCGATGGAGTGACTGTATGGGATGCCATCTCAGGGATGAAGAAGAGTACAATCTCGACCAGAAACGCAATGAGTTTCGCGCTCTCAAATGATGCCAAAAAGCTCTTGATCGGATCAATTGACGAGATCGCAGTGTGGGACCTTGAAACAAACCAGAAAATACGTGTCGAAACCGAGGACTACATCGTGGCGCTCGAATTTTCTCCTCAAGGCGACATTGTTGCTTCGGGTTCAGCAGATGGAACCATTCGTTTGTGGGACATCTGGAAAGGCGATGAAATACGAACTTTCAAGAGCTCATCACAACTTGTTCGATATCTTCGGTTCTCGCTAGACGGCAAAGTCCTGGCATCTGCAGCCGGCTCTAGCCCGACTGGCGGGCCATGGTCACTTGAACTCTGGGACCTTCGGGACGATTCCCTAACAATGACGCTACAAGAGTCCTGCAGGCATATCATGGATATGAGGTTGTCCGCAGACGGAAATCAAATGACCTTCGTGCCAGAGTCAGGTGATATCAAGGTGAAGGCTCGTGGTAGATCCGATTCCTGTTTACCTCTGCATCGAGACGAACGCATCACCACGATCGCGCTCTCCCCGACGGACTTTGGGATGGTCGCGATCGGCTATATCGATGGCACAATCAAGTTACATCAAGCAGGTACGCCCAAAGACATTGGCTATCTCAGGGGCCACCAAAAGTCCATTACCAGCCTGTCATTCACCTCGGACGGAAGGGCGCTGGCGTCAGCCTCGAAGGATCGCACAGTTCGTTTATGGGAAGTGGGCATCACTAGCAGCGATGAACATAAGCAACCAACTGCGCGGATCGCTCGGGCTACTTTCTTCCCAGCAAGCGAGAATATGGTGGAAGTCACGATGAGGGACATGACACGGCGTCCGGGTCACGAGCGGCTTTTCACCACCATTTGGGATTGGGATCTAGGCGGCCAGAACATTGGGCAAACGCGCGAAGACGCCCTCGACATCTCCGAACACCAGATTCTTCGAGAGTCAGGACCTTCCTGGGACGTCGAAAAATTGGAGGTCTCTCCGAAGGGGGATCTGATATTGGTTTGCTTTCGCAACGGCAAAGCTCAGTTTTGGAATGCTAGCACGAAGCGAGCTATTTCAGAGCTGTTTGATGATGTCACGGAAGCCAGATTCTCCGCAGATGGGAAAGTCGTTGCTTTGATCAGTAAGAGTTACGACATCACGGTTCTGAAGGTGCAGTCCTGGGAGCCTCTGGCTGCATTTAAGAACCCCCTCATCCTAGACTGCACACTATCGCCTGATGGTCAGACTATTGCCTGGGTGACCTTCAAAAAGGCCGAGCCCATGGACTTTGAACTAAAAGTATATGACCTTGTCAGGAGCAGCCAACGTTTCTGTAGTTCCTGTGGAATGGACAGCTTGATTCAGCGCCTCATTTTCTCCCCAGACGGGGAGTCGCTTCTACATATGAGAGACGCCGAACCCATGAGAATCCTCGATGTCCCAACAGGCGAGGAAAGGGGTCAATTTGGACACCCACCCTCGCCTCAGACTCGGCCACGGCAATTTTTCACAGATGACCGACGTTCGCACATTCGCGAATTGGACGAGGATGTACATGAGGATTTTGAGACGCCGTCATTTTCTCCGGACGGAATGTATGTTGCATACTCGGAAGATAATCGACTGAAAATATGGGACACCAGGACGATGTCACAGGTCGAGCCACCCGATCGAGGTATCACCCACAGGCTATCGGGACTAGCTTTCTCACAAGGCGGTTTGATAGCCATCTCCTGCCCGAAGTATGATTCCAGCGAGACTGTCGTCAAAGTCTGGGACCTTGTGAAAAAAGTTGAGAAGGCTGTTTTCAGATTTAGTGCTCCACTTTCACTCCTCCGGATCTCAGACGATGCAAAGTTTATCGAGTCCAGCTGTGGACGCCGGCCTTGCGATGCTGTCTACCAAGATCGCCACTGGTCATCTTTGGAAATGATGCCGTCAGATCTGCAAGACCACCTCTACGTTGAATCAGAGTGGATAGTTCAGGGTTTTGGGAATCTTGTTTGGCTTCCGCCGCCATTTAGAAATTCGGCCTCAGCAGTAAAGGGTGGGAAAGTCGCCTTGTTTAACCAGTTCGGGGCTGTAGAGAAGCTGGAATTTCTTCTCACTGATACTCCTCTAGTCAAGGGAAAGAATTTGTAAGTAGTCAAGTTTACTTCCCTCGATAAGAGAACCTAATATTTGAATTTACTGTATTTTTTTGTTATGCGTATTATAGTTGCCATTATTGAAATTACTATTCTGACTACTGTTTCAATTCTGTACAATCACATGCTTGCACGAGTGTGGTGAGGGACCTAGTCTATTAATCTTGAACCCAAGTACACTTTGCTCTTATCTTACTTCCAGCTTCTAGTCTAGGTCTCAGCCCTCCATATATTTATTCCATGCAGTAACTGCTGTATGCAGAAGGATTACTTCTTATTGTAGAGGATAAGCTGTGCCTCAGACGCACTGTTCTTGTGAGCATTTTTCCTGAATATACTTCAAGGTTGTATCTTACGCATGAGACATACTACAGAATAGGTTAGATGATTCACCAAACTGGAGATGCTTTTGTACTCACTCCTCCATCGCCACAATTGCGCTCGTTACCACCCGGTCGGCTACAGGTACCGCGGAAAATTTTGAAGTCGTTGATAGGGCTCCCAGGGCCGTCACACTTTCATTTGGTTAGTTGCACCTTCTGCTGAGTGAATTGAGAGTCAAGTTTACTTACGCAGTATTGGAACCTTCCACTGGCCTGTTAGAAGTTAATGTTAGAAGCAAATCGCACTGAATTCGGATTCGAATAAAGACCCACGCAACTAAGTCCTGTCGAGATGCCGTATGAGGTGCACCACGCTGCCATCGCGCCAGAGCTTAGCAAGAGAAGCTCCGAAAGGAGAATTGATAGTCTCATGTTGGCTTTTGTATATAATATAAACGAAACTGAAAGTGTGAGTGCGATTGGTTCTTAGAGATAAATTGATGTGATAGCGTCTTGAAAGTAGTGGTGTCGTTGTACTTTAAATAGTCGAGAAGGACTGTACTTAGTGTTTTGGTCCCGATCCCAGATTGGTGGAACTATAGGTCGTGCCTGAAACAATTCATCCTTGCCAAGACAGTCAAGACACATGAGATATCCTGACGGAAAATTTTGTTGCTTGTGGACTAATTCAAAGTTAAAGTTCGTACTTTAAGCTAAGTTTGCCAAGAACAGGGTGCTTATTCGAAGGTTGGCCCACTCTTAATCTTCTGCGTATTCTCCAGAAATCACCAACGTTGTTTAGAGTTACTTGTAGAGGCTTGCATATTAATACGAGATGTCTGTTAATGAATTAGGATTGGCTAAAGCAAGGTTAGAATAAACTTATAGAATAGGGGCACCTGTAATAGTCTTTCGGGCTTTTATGTAAGATGCCGGTTCGACGCCTGGAAAGATTTGAACTCCGCAGTTTTAGCCGAAACGTATGCCACGTCAGACTCGGCCACGCCGTGTGCTCCGAATGAACAACTTTGCAGTAGTGACATTAGACATGGTGAGAGCCAAGCCAACTTCCCTGTAGACAAAGTTTTAATTCATCAACGTCGACCTAGGGGTAGCTGGCTTCTAGAATTCGGAATGAAGAATCTAGCTTTTGCCTTCTTCAACAAGATCTGTGTTTTACAATGCAATGAGGTTCCGTACCCAGGGCTCGTAGCTGGAAGCCTTGGGGACATACAATAATTTACTGATATTCTTTACTACTGTTAGGATTAAAGCAATTAGACTATGAGCCATCCGGCACGGCCGAAATGGTACGATTTACTCGCCATGGTGGAGTTGTCTACTACCGGTACGAGCTTATTCCTTTTTGAGTGGGCTGGGCCGCCAGGTTTTAATCTCTCCGCCCCCCTCAAGAAGCCCCACACTCTCGCCTAACTCCGTTCTATTCAGCTCTTACTTGACTCTGGATAAGTTCAGCATTTTATTCCCAACATCTAAGGATAGCTTGTTAATGTAAGGCTGCCTTATAGCTTTTATGGGAGTGGGTTCTAAATATGTAATCTTTGTCTAATAGCTAAGGCTTGGCCGACTTTCGTCAGGAGTGACTGTAGGGTACCTTACGAGAGACGAGGGAAGGATTCGGGACGAATTGGCCGGCCAATGCTTGAATGAAGAGATATACATTGCGAGCGCCAAGAAAATGCAATGTTTAGGACTGTGTGTAACCATGCCGCCGGTCTGAGCGTAGACAGAGGCACGGGAGGCAGAGATCTCTGCCGGCAAATACCAGGATATGCTGCCCAACGCCAAGTCAACTGGCCACGACTCGATGCCCATCACCACCTCGGCGAGTTTCCAGTGTCGCGGAAAAGCGAGTATTCTCTAGCTTGTTCACTGTCCCCATACTCTGCTGTGATCGGTCAAATAACCTATTGCGTTTGATTAGAAAGCATTCTGGGGTGTCCCGTGAAGGATAGCCATGGCCGCAGCTGTAAGAGCAGCCTCGATCAACATACCAACGACGTCCTCGCTCATTCCCTGGACTCTCAGGGAGCGTATTTTCCAATCGATAATATATAATGCCTAATCAACTCTTCTTAATACCCATTCTACGGTCAGTAGTGGCTGTTGAACTTGGGGCCTTGGCGATTCCGTAATGTCACGAGCTACTCGCTCGCAGCCGTCTCCCACTGTCGCTAGGTAGGCTTCAAAGGCTCGCGTTGCACTAGACTCTGCTGCTAATGATATAAACACGCTTGATATCTAGGGACTACATGGACGTGTTATTCTCAGTACAGCGCGTCCTAGTTCTTCTCGAGAGGCTCAGTACCTCTTTCCTGAGTTAAAGCTTGTCTGCTCAGCAGTATAGCAGCCCAGATCATGGAGGCGAGTGAGGGTTGAAGCTCAGATAGATATAGACCATAAAATTCACTACGTGCGTTCTGCACGTTTGCGTCAAGGCCTCTTCAGTTTATGGCCGTTCGAGACTGTTCGAACCAGGCTGCACAGGTCCTACGGGACGTCTCCATTCGATGAGTCGCATCGCGTGTGCATGCACGAGACCCTGAGAGTGTATATCCGGGGGATACCGTACCGAAGGCGCGCTCACACCTGCTAGGACCAGACCTAGACAGACTTGGACCAGACTTGGAACAGACTCGGGCCCTCATTGAGACCTGGCCAGGGACCTGTGAGCATGGTTAGACCAGATTCGCCTTTGAGTACTAATTTCTGTCTAGCAGCTCAATCAACCGAGCGAGGAGGACGGCACGGAGGATGATGGTAATTGAGCAGTGTCGGTGGCCAATCCAATTAATTGCCACACGATGTCTCACGTCGTTATCATGGAACTGAAATGCACTCTGTATTTTCGCTGTCGATCCGATACTCTATTTCTAGTTGTCTGATACAGCATCTACATTCTAGAATCCGCCACCAATAACTCTAGGATAGGACCAATGATTTTTTGACCTGCGCCGAGACTAACAAGCTCGCCAACCCGCGACGCAAGGCTGGCCTCCTTCTCGACGGCGATTCTCCAGATGGCGTCCTTGGTACCGAAGTCGGTCTGATAATCCAAGAGTAGCTGGTTGATGCGCGGCTCAATATCAAACACAGCCAGCTGAGGATCTTGGCGTAAGAACTGCACCGTGATGTCAAGACCCGTCTTCCCTCGCGATATTGTGAGCGCAGGGACCGAGATGTCCAACCCAAACATGTCCGGCTCTGCGTGTCTGGTGATAGTCACAGACGCCCCACTGATCGCCTTGCCGTCGATCGAGACAGAAACCTCGCTTGGTGTCACGTTCTCAGCCAGGCGGAAGAAGCGGAAGGTCCACGCCTTGTCGCTGCTCGACGTGGACGTGGCCGTCAGCCTCGCCTCCTCCTGATCCCACTGGATGGTGAAGCGACGCTCGCCAACACCTCTAGACGCTGACTCAGAAGCATCTACATCGTCTCCCGGGTTCTCGACAACCTCGAACCGTCCGCTCTTACCGACGACAACGGTGACTTCAAGCGCGCTTGGGTTGTGCCCGCCATTCTCCGGGACCGCCGCAGCATCAAGAGGAATGATGGAGCCCTCGGCAGCGAAGACGGGCATCTCGCCCAGCGGCCGGAATATCTCCAGCTCGCGGCCGCCATCGTACACCAGTCCAGTGAAGATATCGACGTATCGGGCTGCTCCCGGAGGAAACCATACGCGGACGCTGGCGAGGTTGGTTGAAGAATCCCGCGGCTTCGTCACAGGACAGACCATCAGCTCCGACCCAAAGGTATACTGGTTGGGCAGTTTGTACGCCTCCTTGAGAGCGGGATACTTCCAGTACATCGGCTGGACCAGCGGCTCGTCTTCACTGGCAGCCCTGACATTCATGGTGTGCAGGTACGGGATCATACGGTGCCGCAGCTGGAGAAACTTGGTCATGACGAGCCGCGCCTCGACGCGGTAGTACCACGGCTCCTTGGACTGCCACCGACTGTTGGACGAGTGCAGCCGCATCACGGGCGAGAAGACACCCAGCTGCACCCAGCGAGTGACGAGCTCGTCGTCCCGCGAGCCGAACATGTGGCCACCGATGTCGTGGCTCCACCAGCCGTAGCCGATATTCGACGCCGTGGCCGTGAATTCGGGCTGGAAGTCGAGAGACGCCCAAGATACGACGGTATCGCCTGAAAATCCAATGGGGTACCGATGGCTGCCGGGGCCGGCGTACCGCGAGAAGATCAGCGGCTGGCGGCCGTCGTGTGCACTATCGAGGAAGTGGTAGTGGTTTAGTAGCCAGAGCGGGTCAATCCCAGTGCGAGAGTGCTCGCCTTGCTGCCAGTCGATCCACCAGAAGTCGCAGCCGTCGTCTTCGAGGCCCCGGTGGAGAATCCCAAGGTACGCCTTCATGTACTCCGGGCTCCCAGGGTTGAACGGGATCGGCCGCTGGCGCTGAGTGTCGTGTCCTAGCGCCGCGGCCATGGCATTGTACTGATCCTCGAACGCATGTATCCCGTCGGCCGGGTGGTCGTTCAGCGTAAGCTTGAGACGTCTCTGCTGCAGTTCTTTCTTAAAAGCCCTTGGGTCCGGGAAAAGCTTCCGATTCCAAGAGTAGCCCGTCCACTCGCTGGTAGTGACGCGCTCGTCGTCGACGAGATGCCAGTCCATGTCAAGCACGGCAACAGACAGTGGTATCCCCTCCTCGGTGAACTTATCCATCAGGGCGATATATTCGTCGGCCGAGTAGCGATGGAATCGGCTCCACCAGTTCCCAAGTGTCCAGCGCGGCAGCAGTGGCTGGCGCCCTGAGATAGCATAGAGGGCTTTGATGGCGGCCTTGTAGTCCCTTGCGTACGCAAAGAGATAGCCGTCGATGCGATCCCCAGGTCGGCGGCTGGCTCCCCAGCCTTCGGCGTCAAAGACCATGGATCCGCTGTCGTCGATGGCGGCGAAGCCGAGCTTGGAGATGACACCAGGACCAAGTGATATGCGTCCGTCGATGTTGTCCAGCGTTCGAGCCGTCCCACCTAGAGACGAGTTGAAGTCTCCATAGCGCCACACCGTCTCCCCCTCGGAGAACTTGCCCTTGAGGTCCACGATGAGTCCGCCAGGGCTCGGCCGTTGTTTGTCGTAGGTGAGCCGGAACCGCGCTGTCTCGATCTCGAGCATGTCCGAGTCGTCAACGGTGAACTCTGGGACAGGGAGGTCTCTGTTGATGGCAAAGGTTGACGCTCTGTCTTCGAAGTGTCCATCGGCACTCCATTCGTACCGTAAGAGGCCGTCGGCGAGGATGGTCAGCCTGTATGTTTCCCCAGACACAACCGCGGCCGGGTTGGCGATGGGACGGCTTGCGAATCCATAGTCTTCCATGGTGTTTAGACGAGTTACGATACAAAAAAGTCCGAGTTTGAGGATCATACGTGTTGCGTGTCCCCAAATCCGGTTTTACTGAGACCGTTCGTTCCATCTGCTCGCGTGCTCAAGCCAGGGGGCTCGGATACTGCTGTATGTCTGATTGGTCTAAAGTCCCGCAGAATCCCTCACTGAGTGACGGATTGTCCGGGGTGTGCTTGTGGAGAATCTTATCTGATCACACGAGGATGTCCCCAGATTCCCCACCGTTGACCATGTTTCCTAGGGCCACTAACACAGCCTCAACTGTCTCGTGTCGGCTCTAGCGCCAACAAGCAGACCACTGTCCATACTTAAAACGGACGAATGTCCCCAGTTTATAGCCTTTTGGATAAGCATAAGCGAGAACCCCTCCCGGTCTTGTCCAATCCTGAGTCACAAGGCATGTTTGGCTTCGGGTCAAGTTGTTAGGACCCTGACCGCTCAGCAGTCTTGAGAAGAGAACTGACCGACCCATGGGTGGAAGGAAACATTTGTCGGACCGACAGAAATACATTCAGCGCGTCATGTTCAGTTTTAGGCCAGTGTTGGAAAGTGACTCTATATCATTGAACTCCTGATAAATTGTTATCCCAACCTTACCTACTTAGAAGGGGGGGTTAATAACTTCTATTTTAGTTAGTTCCAATGATAAAGTATCTCTATTTTACAAAACCTCTAATAGATTAATACCTCAGTCATAGGGGGGGTTCAATAACTCCTCTTCCAGCCAGTCCGAACAACGATCACAAGAAAGGCTCAACACCATCATATCATCAATTTGAACACTATTGCATCAATCATATGACCGTAATGGATCCATCACGACTTGTCGGTCCGACACAAACCCTTTTGGCGCGCCATTTTCAATTTTCGACCAGGGAAACGTAACTCAACCGGGGTAGGACCAGGTCGAGCACCTCGTCTGTCGGTCCGACAAACCCCATGCAATGCCGCTGGCAGTACCGAGTGCATGGCTCTACCCCGGTTCCGGTGATTCGAACTCACCTTCCCCAGCGCTACAATTCCGCTGGTCTCCTCCCGTCTGGGGTTGACATGCGTTGATGGCGTCTGGGGAAACTAGCCCCACTCCACATATCATGAGACAACATGTTATAAACTGGTTATAAAGTAGGTATTTGCCTCTCGAGGGCGAGACGAGTTGTAGTTGAAGCCATCACTCATAGTGTTGTTGAGTGAAAACACATCCTGCTTCTCCCCGGCTGCCGCCTCATCCCATACTTGATATCTTCATTCCCGGCATGGATAAACCCAAAGAAAACACCACGCACCATGAGGGTGACACCGCGGCCCAGAGCAAGGCTGAGCAGCAGCCGGCCGGTGTGTCAGCCATCGACGACGTGCTCAGGGCGGCCGAGGCCGCCGCTTTGCGCGAGAAGGACATGTCTGTCCTAGAGGCCATCAGAGCCTACCCCAAGGCAATCGCCTATTCCATGATCCTCTCCCTCTGTCTCGTGATGGAGGGCTACGACACGGCTCTGACCGATGCCTTCTTCTCCCTGCCCCAGTTCCGGGAGAGGTTCGGCGAGCAACTCGAGGATGGCGATTACCAGATCACCGCCCCCTGGATGTCCGGCCTGAAGAACGGCGTCCAGGTCGGTCAGATCTTGGGGCTGGCGGCCACCGGCATCATTGCTGAGCGGTACGGCTACAAGAAGACCATCGTCGGGTCTCTCCTGATGCTCATTGGCTTCATCTTCATCTTCTTCTTTGCCTCGCACATCGCCATGCTTTTCGCTGCCGGCGTGCTCTGCGGTCTTCCCTGGGTACGCCTTTCTTCTTCCTTAGATATTCCTCAACTAGCGAAACAAAGCTGACACACGATGTCTAGGGTGCCTTTCAAACCCTCACAACCACCTACGCCGCCGATGTGACCCCCATCCCACTACGCTCCATCCTGACAACCTACGTCAACATGTGCTGGGTGATGGGTCAGCTTATCAGCTCGGGCGTCCTGCGCGGCCTCATCAGCCGCCAGGATGACTGGGCATGGCGTATTCCCTACGCCATCCAATGGGTGTTTCCTCCTCCCATCATCCTCGGCGTGCTGCTCGCCCCGGAGAGCCCGACTTGGCTCGTTCGCAAGGGGCGGATCGAGGATGCCAGGAAGGCTCTCCGGTGACTGGCCAGCGGGCCGACTGACGAGGAGATCAACAACACCGTGGCCATGATTGCATACACAGACCATATGGAGAAGGAGGTCGTGGAGGGCGTCTCGTACCTGGACTGCTTCAGGGGCACCAACCTGCGGCGCACAGAGATTGCGTGTATGGTCTGGGCAGCCCAGGTGCTTTGCGGCGTCTGGTTTGGCGGCAACGTCATCTACTTCTTGCAGCAAGCTGGCTTCGATCCCGCGAGGTCGTTCGACTTTGGCATCGGCACTGGCGCCCTCGCTCTGGCCGGCACTATCGCGGCGTGGTTCGTTCTGCCTCACGTAGGACGGTGCAGACTTTACCTCGTCGGCTTGAGCGTCATGCTCCTTATCCTGCTGACTGTGGGCTTCATGGGTATCCCAGCCCGCGTCGAGGCCATTGGCTGGGCGTCCGGTGCGTTGATGATGGTCTTTGTCGTCACATACGACATCACCGTCGGCCCCGTCTGCTACTGTCTCGTCGCCGAGATTCCTACGACGCGACTGCGTATCAAGACGGCCGTCCTGGCCCGCAACACCTACAATGTCGTGAGCATCCTGGCCAACCTCCTGAACCCTCCCATCCTGAACCCCGGGGCGTGGAACCTCCGTGGCAAGGGCGGCTTCGTCTGGGCGGCGCCCTGCGCGATTGCCCTGGTCTGGACCTATTTCCGCCTACCGGAGACGAAGGGGCGCGCCATCTCCGAGCTGGACACTCTATTCGAGAGGCGCGTCAGCGCCAGGAACTTCGCCAAGGAGGAGATTGCAGTCTTTGAGCGGGGTCTTGAACACAAGCTGGACGATGAGGAGCCCACAGTCTGATCGAGGGCTCTCGTCCAGCCGTCTTGGTAGTGATCGTCGTGCTGTACAGCGACCCCAAGCGTGTCAAGGGCCTCTTTTCAGGGTCAGCCTTCTGTCGAACCAGTGGTTGATTCGCCAGCCCAGCGTCAAACCCATCGACTCGTGATGAGGGCCGGATTTGGAATTATCTAGCAGTAATAATATGTATCACGATATCATATGTTAACTCCCAACCTTCCCCCAGACTTGGTGCCGGTGCCAGGACAACGCGTAGTCGATTCGACATCTGTTGCATCTTCTCATCTCTCCAAGCTGCTGGCGTATTGTGTGCATGGCTGAATTACAATTGAATGGCTCTCGAACAGGCAAGCATCAATTGGTGTCACGGCATCAACGTGCCGCCATAGGACAAAGTCATGAGGTGCACTGCGACCTGCCGCCGCTCGATGTCTCCAGCTACAATGGAATTACTGCAATTAGCAATAGGATTGTGTTAAATAATAACATGACGAATGAAATGGTAGGTTTCGTAGCCCGTCAACACTAGAGTTAGAGTCACAACACTTGAACCTCTCTATAACCAGCTCATATATAGTCATACGAGAAATAATACGGCGTCAAACTGTTCATATTGTTACAGGTCATCTTGAACACCACCGTGCTGCCTACACGCAACACTCCATCGACCGACGATAGCTATTCTATATATAACAGTTAAGGCCCAGCAGCAGTTAAAAAGCCAAAGTCGGCTCCCTTCTCTGCCTGCAACACCGAGCGCATGAATAATCCACGATATCCTCTTGTTTTCTCCCGAGAAACCCACACCGGTTGTTTTCCAGTCGTCCTTGGTTGTCTGCTGCTTTCAAACTCCGCTTGTCTCTCCTCAAGCCGCCGTTGGATCTCCGCGTCTGAGATTTCCACTTGCAGTATGCGCTGTTCTGCATCGCAGGTAATGATGTCCCCATTCTGTACGATGCCAAGAACTGAGCTCGGGTCGGCCGCCTCTGGTGATACGTGTAGAACGATGGAACCACCTGCCGTGCCGCTCATTCTCCCGTCTGAAATTCGGAGCATGTCCATAACGCCATTTTCCGCGAGCTTGCGAGGGATGGGAATCATTCCAGCCTCGGGCATTCCGGGGTTTCCTATAGGCCCTATGTTCTGGAGAACCAAAATGCTATTCTTAGTCACCTCCAGATTCGGGTCATCGACGCGCTTCGCCATATCAGCGGCACCCTTGAACACCACAGCCGGGCCAGAGTGCTTGAGGAGATGTCGCCATTTCGACGCGCTCGCCTTCATGATGGCGCCGCCGGGGGATAAGTTACCACGGAGAACAACGAGGGAAGCCGCTGGATATAGAGGATCGTCAAACGGTTGAATGCAGCTTAGGTGCCGAGGTACTTCGATCAGAGTTGCCCTGTCCAGCTCTTCCCCAAGGCTTCTACCGGTGACTGTTGTGGCATTGAGATGGAGCAAGGGTCTAAGTGAGTGCAACAATGCAAGCATCCCCCCAGAGTTGTGAAAGTCGGTCATGTAATTGTCACCGCTGGGCTTCAAGTCCACAAGCAGCGGCGTTGTCCGGCCAATCTCGTTGATATTGTCCAAGTTGATACTCTCGACCAGCTCGGTATCCATGTGTCGGCCGATGATTGCCATAAAGTGAACCACGGCGTTCGTGGAGCCTCCGATGGCTTGTAGTACGGTGATGGCGTTCAGGAAGGATTCTCGCGTGAGTAGTGACTGGGGCCGAAGGTTCTTCTTGAATGCAGCTACGGCATTCGCACCAGTCTCTTCTGCAATCCGTAGTCGAGAGGAGGAAACGGCGGGGGCAGTGGCACCGCCGAAAGGCATTAGACCGAGGCCGACGAGGATGCAAGCCATTGTACTAGCTGTTCCCATCACGCCACAAGTGCCGGCCTGTGAATATGACATCTGTCAGCAGGTATGTTGGTCAACGAAAGAAGAACGGGACGTACAGTTGGAGCTAGCTCGTTGTTGATGGCCGAAATATCTTCAATATCGATGGTTCCGGCTCGATAGCTCGCCCAATTATTCCGACAGTCAGTGCAAGCCCCGATCCTCACGCCCTTGTGACTTCCCGGCATCATTGGCCCGGTGACGAGATGAAGAATGGGTTTGTTTGCTGAAAGACCGCCCATGAGTTGGGCCGGAGTGGTTTTATCACAACCTTTAAGAAGGTCAGCGTAATACTCCTTCTGATGACCAAGAAAAATAGTCGCAAGGTATGCAGGAAGGGGTGGGCAAACCTCCAATAAGCACAACGGCATCACAAGGTTGCGCCCGGATCATTTCTTCTGTGTCCATACTCATCAAGTTCCTCAGGTACATACTCGTGGGTGACGAGAACGACTCATGGATGCTAATTGTTGGGAAGTCAATGGCGAGCCCGCCGTTCAGCTGAACACCACGCTTGACGGCATCGATCAGTTGGGGAATATTGGCGTGACATGGGTTGAAGCTAGAGTACGTATTGACGATGCCAATGATGGGGCGTGAGAGGGCATCCTCGCTATAGCCGAGAGCCTTGATGAAGACTTTTCGAAGGAATAGAGAGAAGTGAGCGTCGCCATATGATGTCAAGCTTTGACGCAAGCCATTAGCATCTGGGGGAATAGGAGTCTCGAGGTCGTAATCTGGATTGACATGCGTGCCCTCAGCCGCATCCTTTGAAGTGGTGTGAGACATTGTTCAGGGTGTTCTTGGCTGGTCTCTATTGGCAACGAGGATTTGCACGTCTGGTTTATCCTTGCTAGGATTGGTCGACACACCTATTTAAACGCGTTGAGACGGGCAGTACAAGGGCACCGAGCCCATTGTCCGAGACACGCGAAGTTCCGCTTCGGAAAAGACCTCCACATGCTTGAGCCTTACTTTCGTATGACGCCTCCAATTGGAGTAACCGAATTGGAGTAACCGACATGTTGGTGGCGGCTTCCGAGCAACTCCGAATCTTTTCCGCTAACGCGTGGATGGACCGCCACTTACACAACTTCTCCGAGCCCTCGGAGCGCGTCTTGATGTGTACCGAGCTCCGAGGAGATTTCTAGCTCGCCTAGGGTATAACACCTGGTATCTTGCGCGTAATTTTCATACCAGTCTAATCCTAGTCCCGCGTCCCTCTGCTCATGCAAATCAAGAATCAGAGCCTGAAAGCCAGCATCAAGATTGCCGTCATGCCACCAAGCACCAACAACGAAGAGGACCGCCTAGTAGAAAGCTATCCAGATTTGAAAGATAAAGTTATCTTCTGTAAACATCCTACCCTCCCACACAGACTTGCCACCACATGACCCAAGACTCACCACATTCCCACAACAGTAACGGGCGTCGGCCAAACTGGAAACCCCAATGAGCCCGCTTGGGGGAATGGTGCTGCTACAGCCCGTCTTTTAGCCTCCCAAGGCGCCCACGTCTTCGGATGCGACTTAAACCTCGACGCGGCCGTGCGGACGCAGACGCGTATCGCTGCAGACGGAGCACAGATAACTGTGACCAAGGCCGATGTCACGAAAGGCGAGGACGTCAAGAGGGCTATCGCGATTCCTAGCAAGGCCGAATTCGTTAGTCGTGATACGAACTCATGCTCCGCTAGGGGGGTAGGAATCTGTACATCAAGCAGTTTTTGCGCGCTGATATTGACACTGTTGTCCAGCTTCCGTTGAAATGCCATGGCGTCTTCGACGGCTTTCTCAACTACGAACCTATCCTCATGGTCTTGATACAGGGTTAAATAGACGAGTAGGATGGAGATGGCACAGAAGACGAAATGGGATGTAATCTGCGGGAGGCCCCATGTCAGCGGATTGCGAGGTTCTTTGAAGCGTGAGACTTACCCAGAATATTCCGTTGTACTTTCCATCGTCAACTCCAAACTCCGATGCCAACGCGACCATAGCCAGGGCACTCTCCGCGCACTTCTTTGCATTGTCAGATAAAGGGTCGGTAGGAGGCTTGTTGGGCTCCTGGCGACGAAAATCGCGCAGCAAAGGCCCCCGATAGATGAGCATTTTCGCAAAGAAGAATGCCGCCTGGACCGTTGGCTGCTGGCGTTTCAGAATCCAGGGTGTATCGTAATACTGTTCTTCCTGGCGCGGGAGGGACCCTGTCTTGGGATGGAAGAAATCGGGCGTGGTTTGGAGCCACCGCTGAAGCTCGCTTTCTAGCTCGGAAATGATGGCGTCGGTGGTTTCTGGAGCACGGTCTGCTACGGGGTACAGTTGAGAAGCAGCCCTTCCGATGATCTTGACCAACCTATTCGCACGTTTTCGGTTAGTATTGTATAAGTAACGCGGAAGGCAGGTATGGCTGTGCTTGCCGGTAATGAACAGTCGTCCCCATTAGTAGCTTTTTCTCCCTGGCGTCGACTTGAGATGAGACAGTGTCATCGAGGTTCGGAGTCAGTTCGACCGTTACATCGCTGTCTTGAATGGCCATGGGCCGTCCAAGTATGACGGCGAGATAGCTAAAGGCACGGGTGTTAACAATTGGCAAATCAAGGCAAAGAGAAGAATTCACCGGTCAATCATAAACATGGACCAGAAGAGGCGTCGTCTGTAGTATGCCTGCAACGGGTCAACGCTTGCCAGTTGCTGTTCCCTCTGGATATCTATCATTTGTCCGAGTCTAATGGCCCAGCCAAGCGACATCCAGGCACTGTTGAACCGGCCAAGTACAAGCTCACATTGGCACTAAAAGAGCTTAGTGGAAAAGAACTTCAACCCGTGCGAATTTGGAAGCCTACCTTTAGTAATTGGGCTTGTAGTACCCCGATGGTTGGAGGGTATATTCGATCAACCTTTTCAAGCCTATTTCCCGCGGCCTGTAGAAACGGTAGCCTTTCAGCTATTAGTACTTGAGCATGTTCTCTTCGAATGACGCCATCTCGTACGCTTTTGCTCTCCATGGCGCAACCGATTCGTTTTTCCATGACGCGGTCCACACGCAACTACAGGCGCGGTCAGTATGTCAGCTAATGGAAGGAGGAAAGTGCAACAAGTACCCAGTGCCAATAACCAGAAGAATGATGGCCGTATTTGCATGGTTCTGTGCCAGCTTATCGTCATTGGTATAAAGGTCGTCCAAGAGTTTGAAAGTCTGATCTCGAGGCAAGAAGCGACAGGTGGCGTTGCCGTGGTCAAAATAGGCGTCCAGACAGCTCGTCGCCGTGCTCTTGTCGGGAAGGGCCAATGTCTGGATATAGTTCGTAGCGTGGATATGGTCATCTTCTTCGTGTCTCTTGAACAAATTCCTGGGAAGCCCTTGGCCAATCTGTGCCAAGTGTCCCGAGACTCTTCGTAAAAAGGCGTCGACGCTCGCATCACCTACTCAGATCAGCTTGATGGGTGGACTAGTGGGCGTGGGACGCTACCATTGTATTCTTCAGAAACCTCAGGGGCATCTGCGATATCTGCATCTACTGCACTGGTCACCGATTGCGGTGGGCTGAAGGTCGGGGCATGCTCGTGGACTGGATCAGGGATGGTCTGGGGAGAATGTGACACGCCTCTACAATGCGAACGGCGGCGGTATGGCTGCTGCGGACATTAGACAGAATGGACGGGGGGAGGACATGTTGCGAAGTGTCCCGCGTGTTGACTTGCAGCTAATCCGCCCTGAACACGGTTATACGAAGCGCGATACGCGCACGCTGGAGCCCTCGTCAGAACCGCCATCTTTCAGCGCAGGCGTTCGTACGTACCGATGTTGCCTTGTGTACAGCGGGAACACGGGTTTTGTCCGTCGCATTTGACCTTGCGTCTTTTGCAAACGTCCCAAGCTCTTGATGCAGCATCAGCCATTAGTTGTTGTGTTGTTACGCATTCACTCTGAAAGGCCGTTGCCTTGGAGCACCCACAGGTCGCGACATCTGTCCAGGCATGGGGAGTACGTACCTTGTAACGTTTTTCCTCTGCGTAGTATCCGCAATAGATGCCATGACGATAGCAGTGTCTACGACGTGACAGTCAGCGTTGAAGTTCTACCCACATGACGCGTGGAAGAAGGGCGGGGCGACAATGCGGGGGCGTCGGCATTGAGGGCTTCGGAATATCGGTACTCCACCGAGCAAGTCCGGTTCAGTCCACCATCAAGTCAAAACATTCTTATTACAAAGTGGCCGTCGATTTATCTTTGCCATTTGTGTTTAGAGGTTTCAGGAGCTCGAATCCAAGCATTCTACGTCTATGAAGCTAGGTATCAATTTGATCTGGTGACACAGCAACTGCCCTTCTGTGGGAAACACGTTCATCCTGTACTGAGGTGTAGGGTAGCTTGGGCCAGGTGTTGAACCCGCCTTGGGGCCTCGATGGGGCCTATACTTAAGGGCAGCCAGCCCTGGAGTGGACCTAGAATTGGGGGAGATCAGCGGAGCCGGGAACGCGGCCACTGTATTTAATAGGGACTGTACTGCTAGCTACTGCTAAAGACCATCGTTGTCTCCCACTGGACGACGTTCCAAAATCGGTCCGATGATGATGCACTGGACAGCCTCTTGGATCAAATCGGGCCTCGACCTGGTGGGCCCATCTCTTGCTAGTCTCTGTGAATCAGTCGCAACTTAATATTATCGTGTGAATGACTCGCTGAACCGAATTTACGTATCATACATCCCTAGGTCTCTACGAGTCTAGGCCTTCGGAAAAGTTGCCCCACACGCGCCGAGTTCCTTGCTCGGAAACGTTCGGAGCCCTCGAGCATCTCCGAGTCTAGGGGCGACCATGCTCTAGCTTCCGCTTCTACACAAAGATAGTCTACGTAATCCAATACAGTGATCCCTGTAGCATTTACTCTGTAGTCCAAGGGGCTCGACGCGGAGATGCTCACACTCTCTGACCCCACACTGCAACGAAATTTTCCCCATGGGGAACATCATGCCAACTCTCGGCCCAGGTCATGATTATCATAAATGACACCCTCTCCCCGCTCGCTCCATCAAACATATCATCCAGTGCAACTCCATCTTCGTCCCGCAGTCTCCTCGGAACTCTTCCAACCTGACCATCTCCAACGAAATCATGTCGACCAAGGCCGAGACGCCGCTGCCTCTCCCACCCTCCGAATCCTCGTTTCGAGGAAAGGAAGGTGACGATGTCATCCACCATGAGATGGTTGCCGAACTATCTGAGGCAGATCGAGCCTTTCTCGACGGCTTCACGGAGGAGCAGAGGAAAAAGGTCATGTGGAAGGTGAGCAGTCGATACTCTAGCCCGGGAGCTTGGGCGTGTGTGCTTGAAACTAATCATCATCATGACCCCAGCTCGATATCAGGCTTGTACCCATGCTTGCCTTCCTCTACCTCATTGCATATCTCGATCGAGCGAACATCGGTGCGTCAACGATTTACAGGCCATGACAACATGAAGGTGCTGACGACTCGTGCATTAGGAAACGCCAAGATCGAAGGTCTGATGGAAGACCTCAATCTTAGCGGAACGCAATACAACATTGCTCTTTCCATCTTCTTCGTGCCGTACATCATTCTGGGTAAATTTCCACCTGCATGCACATGGCACCCTTGAGTCATCCTATGCTAACGTAAAATCACACTAAAGAGATGCCTAGCAACACCCTCCTGCTCAAGTTCAAGCGCCCGTCCCACTATCTCGGTACTCTTGTGACACTCTGGGGAGTTGTCATGACCTTGACGGGAATTGTCAAGAACTTTGGAGGTCTTCTGGCCTGTCGCCTCCTTCTTGGAGTGTTTGAGTAAGCCCCTGAGTAGCCTCGGACACTGTTTCGGCCTGTAGTCTCTAACCATTTTTCTTTCTACAGGTCCGGATTCTTTCCCGGAGCCGTCTTCACCATTTCCCGCTGGTATCTCCCGAACGAGGTCCAAGTCCGAATCGCCCTGTTCTACTCCGCGAGCGCCCTAGCCGGTGCCTTTTCAGGCCTCCTCGCATTCGCAATTGCAAAACTCGACGGCGTCGCCGGCGTCGAGAGCTGGAGATGGATTTTCATCCTCGAGGGCATCGCTTCCGTGGTCGCTGGTGGTCTCACCTTCTTCCTCCTAATCGACACGCCGGAGCTTTCCATGTGGCTCACGCCCGATGAACAGAAATATCTTACGCTTCGACAGCTTGCCGTGCAGGGAAACAGCATGCGAGTGAGAGAGGCGGAGAAGGCTCGAAAGTGGGAAATTGTCAAGTCCGTCCTCCTGGACTGGCAGCTTTACCTCCAAGCCCTCGTCTACTGGTCCAACACGGTCCCCAACTACGGCATGAAGTTCACCATGCCCCAGATCATCAAGAACATGGGATATACCAGCAGCAAAGCCCAACTACTCACCATCCCTCCCTATGTCATCGGCGCGATTTCTGCTTTTGTTTCGGGCGTCTTTTCAGATCGATTCAAGTGGCGCATGCCCTTCATCGTTGGAGCTCAGACGCTGGTTTTGATATCATTCGCTGTCCTGTTCGCCAAGGCTGACGACATTGCCAACAACATTCCCGTCTGTTACTTCTCCATCATCCTTGCGAGCATTGGGTTCTACCCGATCAACCCTGGTGGCAACGCCTGGACGATGAACAACCTAGCCGGACCAACAAAGCGAGCGCAGGGCATCGCGTACATGATCTGCCTCGGCAACATCGGTGGCATCATCGGAAGCTACATCTATATCGAAGACGAGAAACCCAAGTACCCGACTGGCTTTGGCTCTTCTCTTGGCTTCGCAGGGCTCGGTGTTGGAGCCTGCTTGCTTTTGGAGTTTTTGTACTGGAAGATCAACCAGAACCGCTCGGCCCTTACAGAGGAGGAAATCAGGGCGCAGTATTCTGATGAGGAGTTGGAGAAGATGGGCGATCGCTCTCCTCTCTATCGATATACTCTCTAGTTACTACGGTTTCATATCTTCAGTAAACTGAAGATTGATTGATAACTGAGTTGAGTGTGCATGCATGACCTCTTGTCAATGGCTCATATGACACAGCTTCGACGAGGATATACGTTTGTAGCTAGGGTCCCTTGTCGGCGTGTGGGTTGTTGACTGCAAATCGGACATGATGGAATCTTCAAGTATGACTATGACCCCAGTGTTCATGAGTAACATGTTTCCAAAGCCTCGTTAAATACTATGTCAGATCCACTGAAGGCTGGAAACACGCAACCAACGTCTACCGTACTCCTATATGAATAACAAGCAACGATCCCTTGCTCAATCGGCACTTAGCCAGGCACGAACATTCGCCCGAGGGTCTAGCGTGTCTAAATCTACGCGTGGTCACTCTAGGGATCATGGGAATGTAGCCGAAAAGGTGTTACATCCAATAATGAGATGATCCTTCCAGTAGCTACTTTCCGGCACTGTAGCTCTTATCCTTCCATCTCAAACCCGACTCAGGCGTTCTTCTTGCCAGAGCCCCCTTTCCCGGACCACCATGCGACGTAGACATCAGCCGGGGTATATCGACGCTGAACAGGCTGTACTCCAAGGGTCCATCCCACCCAAGACGCCGCAAAGAGAATGGCATGAGACACCACCCAGTCCATGTTTTCAAGCAGGCCTTGGGCCACCCCACTAGAGCTCCTCAGCACATCGGGCGCGTTTAGGAAAACGGGCACGTTGTCGAGGTATCGAAAAATGACAAATAGGTTGAGAGTAACCCAAAAATCAAGCAACAGCCCTTGTATGCGCGTTGGAAATCGAGCGACGAGCGAGGAGGAATCACCCAGCAACTTTGGCGCATTCAAGATGACCCCGTTGAGGTTCCAGAAAAAGACGGCCTTGTCGTTGTCACTCGGCTCTGTCCGCTCAATGACGACAACCTCGGGGCCATCTGGAGCAGCGCGCTGCCACTCGTGCCATTCGTAGCGGGCGACCCTAATCTCGGGCTGCTCATCATCGGTCGCAGTAATACATCGCGTGGTATTTCCCAAACGGACTCGGATGGTCCCTCTGATGAGCTTCAAGTATTCGGTGTGAGTCTCATGCCAGTGCAGGCCGCTGGACCATGTTGAGGACTCTGGCAGCGTGATCTTTACGGATCCCGCCGTGGAGAGGTCGTATGTGACGGCGTTGGGGAGTGGGCGCCTGATGACAACGGATATTGACTCGTTGTCCATGGTTTCGAAGACGGGCATTACACAAGTGATGGCAAGTTCAGGTTATGGAGATTTTATTCCCCGCATGTCTGAATAATAAGCTGAGGGGCCATTAGGATGACAAAGCGCAGGCAACCCTACCTCACCCTAAAACTAGGTGAAGATGCCACATTTCCCTATAATCGGCAGTGTTCATCCCTGCCGCCATAGTCAACGTCCCCGGCAGGAGCAGAGGTTGCGCGACATGTCGAAAACGCAAGGTCAAGACAAGGTACGAGAGAGAATACGAGCCCGGCTGTTATACCAATCGCCAAGGTAACCGCCGTCTCGTGCAAGCACCTTTGACCAGCTGTTTGTCTCCAACTTCATCGAGTCCTTCTTCAGGCCCGTGAGGCTACCACCGGTGCCAGGGACGCCATCTAAGATATGGCTGCACGAGCTCCCCGTGTTTCTCGCCTCCCCAGAGCCATCTCTAGCTCAGCATGCCATCCGTGCAGCGTCGATGCTCAGCCACGGCAGCTTGGCCAACGACATCTCCGTCAAGACAGCAGCGCGCATGTGGTATGCCTAAGCGCTGCAAGATCTCCGACATCTGTTGTTATCCGGAAGCGTCTCTTTTTCCGAGGGTGCTGTCTGCGCGGCTGTCATACTTATCCACTTTGAGACCTTGGCCGGGATATTACTTGGGAAAAAGGTCCAGCAGGGAGGTCTGTCGGAAATTTCAGCTGTCTCTCACGATTACTTTGCCCATGTGGCGACTTACATCCTCCAGCAGCAGCCTGGCGGATGACCACCCGAAATTCCCCCCTCTCTTCACGGCCAAATAGTCGCTCATCACCTTGTTCAGGGTCGCAAACCACTCCACTCAAAATGCTCGTGGAGTGGATGACGTGAGTTTGAAGTGGAGTAGTTAAGGGCTCCCTGCAAATTTGGTATGTCAGCTTAACTCTGCTGATTCCTACCCTACCCTGCACTCCTCAGCATAAGGAATCTCGCGTTTCTGCTCCATGGCGAAGAGATACTCGAGAAGGCAGAGCACATATCGACAGACAGTTAACTTGACAGAGAAGGTACACAGTGAAGAGCGTCCTCGCATGCCTGGCACCATGAATATCCCTGCAATATCGATGTCGGGGCGGTTCCCAAGAAGCAAAACAAGTGTAACAGCATACACTCGAGCTGTAACAGAAGGTTCTGGGTTACGAAATCCATGATGCACTTGCTAGCATGAATCAAGTAACCGCCATCCGCTCTCTTTCAATGCCAGCAAGTTGCTAGCGCAAAGGTAAAACCACACAATTACTAGCATGAAATAACATCACACTGTTGCTCGGTAGCGGGGGAGTAACGATGATGCAAAGCAGCTACACTGGCAAACGCTTGAGCTGATGCAGAAAATGTTGAGAATAGATCATCCCGACACACTTGCTAGCATAGAGAACCCGGCTTCTACCCTCCGCCTACCTTACACATGCTCAACACAGAGCATGCTGGAGGAGCCCAACATTTCCAAGCAAGCTAGTCTAGGCTTAGTCGGCATCGTATACATGAGTCCCACAATATACTCATGAAGTTGAGGCTCGCCCAACAAACGACAGATTTTTGAAGGATCTGACTTGGCACGGAAGACAGTGAGGGCTTCCAGACCGGATGGAGGTGATGCTCTCGTTCTTTCGATGGATTTCAAGGCGTCAATGCCGGACTCGTAGTTCTCACGGCCAGGGAAAGGGCGCTTCTGCGTATTTCGAGAAGAATGAGACATTTGTGTATCGGACGAACTGCAATGATGAATGATTTGTTCTCGGTCTGTTGGCTGAACTTGGCTTGTCGCGAAGACATGTTCATCCTAGCATTTCAGCCCCCATTCATTGAACGCTCCCCTGACCTGTGGGAGAAGTTGACGCGATTGTTTCGAATACTGAAAGCTGAAGAGGAAGAGGTTACCATCTTTGTAAATGCGGCCATGGTTGGCGGACCAAAGAACGAGCTCAAGAATGACTCAATCATAGTCAAATTAGAACAAACCTCACAACATGGGCGTCGTCTAGAAGATCTGGTCATTGGTCAGAAACAGGATGCAAAAACCATGCATCGGGTGTTGGAGTAGGAATCACGGCTTTTTGTCCTTCCAAAACATTGGGACAATGCTCGAGCAGCTTCCGACGGACTCGGCGCCAAAACTAGAAGCCGTAATCCCGAGGTATCTCGTCCACGGCCAGAGGTGAGAGCCTCGATCTCGACAGCGTCTGATTCCAGCTCAAGCATGGACAGTTCCTTTTATGTCGAGGAGCAGGCACTGATGGGTTTCGGTTTGTAACGATGTCAAAGCAGGCACCGAGCCATTCTCGCTTCAGTCGTCATTCGTCATCTTCCCTGTTTACTTGCTTCTCGGAGTCTCGGCCGCCATCTGGGAATCGCGGCAGTTTTATCGGTCGACTGCAACGTGGAAAGAAAGTCGTAAGAAAATTCAGTTGCTTGCCGGCTATCGCCTTGTTTTCTCGTGGAAGAGGGTGATTGATTCTGGGGGAGTATTGTTTAGCCAAGTGGTGGCACAGTCGTCCAATCTCAGGTAGGTTGTAAAAAAAAAAAAAAAAAAAAAAAAAAAAAAATCCCTCCCCCAAAAAATCAGGCAAGGGTTAGTCTATATGATAACGAGCTCGAACCACTACATCGGCGCCAGATTTAATAAGCGCGATTAGTTCGACGGCCGGCGGGCCGACCTTTGCTGAGCCGCTCGCCGCCGGGCCCAATGGGGCAAGTGCCTTAGTTCCCTTTCTCCTCGGAGTTCGGAGTCGCCGAGAAAGAAAAGAGAATAATCATCCGTGGTTGATTTTTATTATTATCACTTCTTTCATGAGGAGCAACGAGGACAAGAGCTGTGTCACGAACTGCTAATGCCCCGAGGCCCAAGACTCGCCCTTTTGATATTGTAGCTGACGGGAAAGAAGAAGAAGCAGGAGAAGCCAGGGGATCTCGTATAGAAAACACTTGGATCACACAGGCTCCCCCCCCCCGGCTCGATCTTTTCTTCCCTCATTGGCCAAATCAGCATGAACTGCCGCAAGGGTTGTGCCGGACTACGTAATAACCGACGGTGGGGCGATAAGCAATCCTGGAAACTAGGACCCCAAGTTTCTGTTTTTGTTGGTTAAGACCATGACGATCTCTCGCTCTCCCCGCATTGTCGAGAGAAGACCTTATCGCAGAATGCTACTCTGGTATCTGATGGTGACACGAGTCATTCAGCATCGCCTTGCTTATCGTGCCGGAGGCGGCATTAGACTTTGGCAGGGATCAAGACAAGCGTAGAGGTCTTGACTTAAATATCCAGAGATCGGGAGCTCGTTGTAACCTCACCTAGCCAGCGATTTGTGCGCCAGGAACCTTTTGTTAGCCTGCCCTCTGAATTTCTCAGCCCTTCGAATCTCACCCCGCCCTTGAGATATCCTGCGCCATGGTCAGCTGGAAAGGCCTCCTCTCCCAGAAGCCGTCTCTGGACGTGCCTGGTCTGGAGACGGTTGATCTCGCCGATACCGAGATGGAGAAGAGGATCGTTCGGAAACAGGACATGCGGATCCTGCCATGGATCTGCATAACATACCTGTTGAGTACGTCACTGAATACCCACCCATCTCTGCCCATTAGAATACGCACTTCCTAACACCCTAGTTTCTAGATTACCTTGACCGTGTCAATCTGGGCAACGCGCGAACCTTAAACAACGATACGCCAGAGCACAACATCGTGGAGCAGTTGAACCTGACAGGCCAGCGATACAATGTCGCCGTGGCCTTGTTCTTTGTGCCCTACGTCATAATGGAATTCCCTAGCAACATTCTCCTCAAGTATTTTTCTCCCAGCAAGTGGATTTCCAGAATCATGGTGTCATGGGGCATCATCACCATTTGCACGGCAGCCGTGACCACCTACGAAGGGCTGCTGATTGTGAGGATATTCTTGGGCTTGGCTGAGGCTGGTTTCTTCCCCGGGTTCGTATCTCCCGTTTCGAAAGCCCACAAAACCGAACTAACTCATCGTCCGCAGTGTCATGATGTATCTCTGTTTCTGGTACAAGCCAGAAGAACGAGCGACGAGAATGGCCATCTTTGCATCCAGTGTTGCTGTCGCGGGTGCCTTCGGTGGCTTGCTCGCTACGGGTATCTCGTTTTTGAACCAAAAGGGTGGCTTGTATGGATGGCAATGGTACACATGGATCTCTCACGTTGCGATACAACTCGGTATTCTAACTTTTGTACCAGGCTCTTCATTCTCGAGGGAATCCCTGCTGTCATTGTCGGAGTTATGGTGTGGTTCTGGCTTCCGGATTGTACGATTTCCATGCTGATGGGTGTGTATAAATTATAAAGATGCTTACACTCGACTAGATCCCCAGACCGCGTCCTGGCTCACCCCGGAGGAGCGTGCCTTTTGCGTCAAGCGTCTCGGCCCTTACGCTCCCTCGATGAACGACAAGCACTGGGACAGCAAGGTTGCCAAGAAGACGCTCATGGATCCGTTCTTTTGGGTCTTCGCCATCCAGTACTTCCTCATGACCAACTCGCTCAACGCCTTCGGATACTTTGCCCCGACAATTGTTGCGTCGCTTGGCTTCAAGGGTTACGATGCGCAGCTGCTGACTGTGCCACCCAACGTCTTCGCTCTCTTCGTCATTGTTGGAAACTGTCTGCACAGTGACAGAACAAGGGAGCGATCGAGACACGTCATCGGAGCCCTGGTTTTTGTCGCTACTGGATATCTCTTGCTGGCCGTCGTCAGACACTGGGGCGTTCGCTACTTTGCCGTCTTCATCATCGCCTGCACCAACTCTGCCGTGCTTCCGTTTGTGGCTGTGAGACGCCTCTTCCCATATCTCTTGAACAAAACTGACATTACTTTTAGCACCGAACTGCTTTGGTTCAAGGCTCCACCGCTACAGCCTTGGCTACGGGTGGTATGATCTCCATCGCCAACTGCGGTGGTATCACCGCCCCGTTTTTGTTCCCCAGCACGACTTCCCCTCTGTATGCGATGGGCAACTGGACAATTTTTGCCTTCTTGATTGTCGCCGCCTGTATGACGGTGTACATTTGGCACACATTCGGAAGCCATGGAGGGTACAGAACCGGAGATGGCACTCTCCACATTGTTGAGATCCTTGATGGGGACATGAAGGATGGCAAGTTGGAAGCAGAAGACGGCACAAAGCAGAAGAAGGAGGAGGATGTTTAGATGATATTCCGAGGGGAATGATAAATAGATGGGAGCCAGCGAGAGAGAATTAGTGTCGTCTTGAAAAAAGTCATTTTGCAGTGTCTATCCGCCAGACTGAGACTTCATCCTACTTAGCTGCCTGCAATACTTACCACATATAACCGGCAAACCTTCTCCCCATTCTATCATTGCCCGGCTACTTTCTACTCAATCGTCCACGATTTACTGGATGGCAAACTCTTCCTTTTCGATTGCCTCGCTCTCTAATACCGAACGGCGGACTGATCTGGCGATGCCTAGTGTCGCAATCCCGCTACGGCAAAAGGGAATGATAAGGGATTACATCTGTCTCATGAACGACGATTAAGTCTTATCGTGCCAAGGCCGGGAGGTCTGCTCAAGGACTGAGCTTGTCCGATGAAGCCGAAACGGATAAAGTGAAAGGAGTCATCGATGTGCAGAAAGTGTCATGCGGAGCTGAGTACTAACCCTTGATAGCTATTAAAGATATCCAAGAGAGCGTCCATGCGGGGCCGATTGTGAACGGCAATATCAACATCGCCGGTGGTGCGGCCAGATCCACGCAGGTAGAAGTTCATCCCCCCCATGACTCCGTAAGTGATGGTATTCTCTTCGAAAATTCTCACAACACGAGACGAAGCGATCGATTGTTGGTCCGGACTCGCGCCCTCGGCAGCAAACTCGAGATCATCGAGGTCATCGGCTTGGTATGAAGGCATGTTGGCGACAGGTTATAAGAAAAGGGCAGGGACGAAAATGAAATGATATATATCAAGATTTATTGAGGTATTGGGAAAGGTAACCAGTTGGACTAGAAACCTTAGTCTGTCTGAGTATATTGTTGACCTTTGAATGGACTGGGTATATGGTCTGTATTGCTGATACTATTATTGGTGTTTTTTTTTAATGTTGAGCTTCTGTCCCCCCTCCGGGTATGTGTGTACTGGGGCACCCTAACCTCTTGATAATTGAGAAAACATACTCACTTTCGACATACCTTTTTTCACTCACATTAGCAGCGGCACTTTCCATCAAGCGACTAAACCCCCTGCCGAATGATCATTAGAAGCGCCAGGTCGAGTATTGATTCAGGGTAGGCCTACACTACGACCTATAACTGACATCTTTATCCCTTTTCGCAACTCTGAAGAGAAACCTCACTCTGACCCCAACTGTAAAGACTTCCCTGGCAAAAGGTCATATACTACTGTATGTAGACTAGATACCGACTCCCGCCGGGCCAGGAAAACAGTCCAGGACGCCTCGTTCTTTTTAGAATGTCCTTAGACTAAGGGCCACTTGTAACTCAGCCACTTGTCAAGGGTTGTGTTCCAGGCACCGCTCCCCAGCTGAATATGCACCCAGGTGTCTACAAAGTGTTTCCATATGGGATCCCTCGGGATGGCGTAGCCCAGTTCCTCAAAGTTAAATGGCGCGTTGGGGTTCACAATGCACAACTCTCCCTCGTGCAACCGCACCTGAAGTTCCACCTCAATCAGGTCAGAGATCATGACATCTGCCTTACTGCTGCGGACTGCCTCAAAAACGGCATTGTTATCTTGGAATGTTACAATAGTGGCCACCTCCAGGTTGGCGCGGTCAAAAGCTTCGTTGGTTCCTCCGGGGTTGACGGCGACGCGGACGCCCTCTTGATCAATAGAACCCAGGTCGGTGAACTTAGCGGCGTCGGAGCACCGGATGCATGCCGTCTTGCCGACGCGCTGAATGGCAGTGCTGAAGAAGGCGGTACGAGCGCGTAGAAGAGTAAGGCTGACGCCGCCCATGGCGATGTCGAACTTGCCAGCCGTGAGGTCGGATGTGATGTTGGCCCAGACGGTGTGGACGAGACGCGGGGGCTTTGGCAGGCCAAGGGCGTTGGAGAGAGACTGAGCCGCATCAATATCGGCGCCGATGTAGGTCGTGTTAATTGCGGTGGAGTTTGGGAGTGCAGTGACGTTGGTCACCAAGTAGGTGAATGGTTTATAGTCTCCGGTTGTGCCGACGGTCAAGTAGCCACGAGAGAGCACCTCATCGAGCTTGGAAGTCAGGTTGGCGTACGCCAAAGGAGCCGACGGCCCATGGAAACTCCCAAGACCTTTAGCGGCCACGAGGCCCAAGGCGTTCACGAGGAGAGCAGCGCTGAATCCGAAGTTGACCATCTTGACCGCCTAAACTCTGCGTTCCTTCACAGAACTCGGGCTGGGAAAAGCAAGCACTGGCCTATTTTATACACCGCACGACTCTTATCTAATTGCGGGGACTAGTCTAAAGCTAAATAGAAAATGGAACCTTCACCCGATAGCGCATTGACCCGTACTTACGAAATGGCGCATTATTCCTTGGAAGCCGGGCGTAGGAAGGATGCCGCTGGTGCTGACGGAACAGTCCGCATCCTTGACCTGACGAAAGCCATAGTCCGGGTGTGAAGAGTCACGCTTCGTTGGGATTGGTGTGCTTCACAAAGATTGAACCCTAGTCGTTCTGTCTGTGATGGTTGACGTTTTGAACACTCATTGAATAGATATGCTAACTCAGGTTGTCGAAAAGCAAAATTATTTATAAGGTGTCGTTGGGTAACGTACAGCATACTCGATCAAGAAATAAAATGTTCAATCGGGTGTATCGACCAGGGATGATGATTGTGTTGATCTGGGATGCTTTGGCCCTCTTTTCTCGATACGCGGCTTATTTCATTCTCACGGCCCGTCTGACTAAGGTGTTTAATACGTGGTGTGTCTTTAGTAGAGATTAGGGATACCCGAATAAATGTCGATCAATTATTGATGATATGCATTCACGACCGGGTAGTCTTTGAAAACCTGAACGGCGGCCGAGTCTGAGGCGGGGCAGCGGTGGAGTAGAACAAAATGAGTTGATTGCAGGGATACCGCTACAGATTACACCCTAGCTGGTAATTCCTTTATCCGCAGATTCGACATGGGCTCCTTTTTAAAGCAGGGCTTTACTCCGTAACACTAGCTTTGTCCCATTCCCAGGCAGCCCACCAGAGTGATGTTCGGCCTCGCTCATCTCGTGACTCGATATTGGTTTCCATATTGATCAGCATTCCCTAGTCTATACAACTTTCTTTAGAAACGGAGCTTTAAAGGCTAATCTTGCTGTTGCTGTGGTTCATGGTGACGGGTCACGTCACACATCACATTACTGTCTAGTAATAATAGCTAGTACTCTGAAATTGCTCAAAAACAGATAACGCCTTTTTTAAAGTTTCAAGGCTTGTCTCACACTGAACCCGCTTCCCAGCATCAGCCTCCTTCTCACCAGCAACTGCACTTAGAGTTTCCGCATCCATCTCCCTCACGATGTCATCCGTAAAAACCTCAGAAATTAAGGACTTTAGCAAGCAATTCTGTATGACCATTGCATTCATGTACAGCATGAAGCCTACAAGGGATATCTGGGACTGTATTTAGCACGGCTTTTAGATTATCACCGGATATAGCCCAAGACTTACATCATAAAACTCATTCACAACTTTAATCGCGTGTTGTGCCGCTGTCTTCTCGAAATCTTCCCGATAGCTATTCTCCACCTGATCTCTAACCTCGCTCTGTAGATCATCAACCTGAAGGAATTCCTGTAGCTTTGTAAGAATATGATGCACAATTGCGCCTTTTGCTTCGAAAGTCTCCTTTTTTCTTGTCAAAGGCCCGTGCTGTCCCCAAAAGCCGTTGACGACCTTTTCGACCTTCTGTACCGTGAGGTTGTTGTTGACCTGATCGCGGACTATCTGGCCTATGATATCTCCCATTTTGACAACAGATGGGGCTGCCTTTCGCCATGAACTGGGCGATAGAGTAAGTCCCTCCATGGCGTCGTAAAAAGCAGTATTGACATCGTCGTGGCACCCAAGAAGCTCCTCGTGTTTCTTAGACGCGTTTCGAAGCAAGGTCTTGAGCTGGTCCTGGATGACGAGACGTCTGAGGTCGTCAAGAACAGACGAGTCGACGCAATATTCGAGTGCTGAATCCACAAACCGTTTCACAGCTTCCCACACCATGATCAAGTGGCTGCGTGATATCTGTCTCCATCGTGAGGACTCCTCTCGAAACAGCGTTCGCACCACGTCTGGGTTGATCTCAACTAGGCTTTCCTTTCCCCTATGCCTTGCTATCAATTGCATCACTCTCTCCTCGACCTGGTCGTATGTTTGTTCGATTGATGGCTCATATGACTGGTAAGCGAGAAGCACGTCGATAGCGAGGATTCCTTCGTAGGACTTTATTTTGGCTTCCAAAATAGCATCCTCTCTCTGGTGCTCATCGCCGTCTTCTGTGGAAATGGTGGTGCTTCGATGTAGTACTGGACGTTTCACACTGGATTCGTGTTCTTCGAAATCGCTACGAGTTCGGCGTGTTGGATGACTCTCGGCATCAGAAGATTCAGACGCTGAATCATCTTCTAAGGGCTCTTGTAGGATCCTCGTAGTTCTTCCCTTCGCATTCATGACCGCACAGAACAATTGGCTCATAGCCCTCACGACAGCTTGTAACTTTTTGTCCTGCCTTTTCTGCTGTGTTTCGTCACCACGATCGAAGAAGTCCTGTAGATGAGGAGGCATGGTGGCTGTTCCATAGTGTCCATCAACGGCACTAGAAGCAAGAAGGCGGAAGTCTTTGGCCATTTGGATGAGGTAATTGCGCTGTGACTGCTCAGTCGACCGACTCTTTCCCAGTTCTTTGAACTGGTGTTCCAACCTGTGGATTTCGTCTCTCACTCTGTAATGAGCTCAGGAAGGTGTCTCCGAATCTGGGTGGCGAGAAATCTTGTGAGTTTGGGTTGCAAGGGCAAGATCCCTTTATGCTCGCTGCCAATATGCTGCCAATTGTCCTGGAAATAGACCTTTTCGATGTCATCCCTATCGCGGTTGTTCCTTCTTTCAACTGGAGTCCTATTCCTGAGGCAGTGCCATCCAAAATGAGGGTTCCAAGGTCTTGTACCATGAAACAAGGAAGTAACCTCGTCTTCGTCATCATTGAAGGGACCATCAAGACCGGTGACGATACCAAGACTTCTATAACCTCTGGGGTCAACAGTGATCTTGGAGACCTCAGAAGGAGCTCGGAGATTGGGATACGCCACCCTTGCACTGATGACAAGCAATAATGCGTTTCTCGGCTCTCTCATGTAGCCTTCCACCATCTGGTCCACTAGCTCTTTGTCCGCAAGGCTTTGATTCTCCGTGGCCGATGAAAAGAAGCCAGGGAGATCTACCAAAGTGAGAGGATACCGTTCTGGTCCGGAGACTTCAATCCTCAGTATGTTGTTGCTGAAGCGAGAAATCTCATTTTGGCCTGTCGAAGCTCCGAGGATCATCGTTGACGCCTCCTGGATTGTTGCGATCAACTTGGTCGTGTCGTGGATAGACAGAGACCTAGAAAAGTCTCGCGACGGGACATGCTTCGGTGTTGGTTCGACCACATGGATCGAAACTGTGACGAGCTCCTCAGGCGACTTTCTTTGCACGACCTCCGTCGGAAATCTCGTGCAAAGATCTTTGTCCACGGGGAAGGGAATCTGGGAGATGGCTTCCAGAACTGAGCTCTTACCGCTGCTCTGATCACCAACAACAACAAGCTTAGGGATCAATTCCCGCTCCAACCCCGCAGACCTAAGGCTATCAATCGCATCAAAGATTTCTGCGAAAGAGGAGGACAGCTCATCCAGGCCAGCAAGGCTAGCCTGAGGGCTGTTTGACATGCCGGATTGTTGACAAGTGCTCAGTAAACAAATTTCAGAAGTTGTGGCTTTGCTAAACAGATGATTACGTTGAGTTCCGATTTGGCAAGCTTGCCTAGACAAAGGTTTGAGTGAGAAGATGTGAGAATTTCGATTTGAGATATTCTACTCGGGGGCTTGGCTGCGACCTTTGTTCGTCAGATTTCCCCCGCATTCGTGTCATTATTTGATTCGTGGCCTGATTTCCTATGCTGCAGGTTTAATTCGTCCTTCAACGTCATTTGATTAACAATCAATCCTTGAGTGGCTTACTTGGGCTCGGTTAAGCCATGAGCCAATCGTTCAAGGGCGTCAGAATGCTTTGTGGCACCTCCTGCGCGTATCGCCTCAAGAGCAAGCGAGTTGGTTGCCTACCCCTAGATACGCACCAGGAGAACGATTGGAGGTAGGAAAACGTGAAAAGTTTTCACGCTCTTGTGAAGAATCACAGGTGGTTTGTTATATCTCGTCGAGGGCATGTTTAGATCTCCATATCGGAACCAATCCAACCTAGGTATCAAGAGCTTAGGGTGCCCTAGTACACATACCTAGAGTGGGGACTGGAAGCTCAACAGCAAAAAAATAACACCAACCATAGTATCAACAATGGGACTTTATTGATAAAGTATTTACAGCCCAAGGCGCAATTTATTAATGGGACAAGGAAAAGTGAAATAGAATCACTAGCTGTAGGAGGTGTAAGTCATCAAGACTTCGGGCTAGACATGACGCTCCCGTTTGCGACTACCTGCAATGAACTCGATCGCTGACAACAGTTGACCAAGTGCCATCCACGCTTAATCGCTGGTACGCTAATTCCTTTACGATGCTTCCGCCGAATTTAAGAATAAATGAACCACTTTTATCTTCGTCCGCAGCAATATACGTTGCTACCTTAGCTCCAGGGAGCGCAACAACTCTATTGGAATCTTCCAGTAGATCAAACGAGCCGTTCTTCTTCGAAGTGACACTAACGGTGAAGCGCCGTCCTGTATATCGGCTCCTTAAGCAGCTGCTTTCCATCTGGATCGGGTACGTGCCCTTTGGTAGCGGCTGGTCCAGTGGAGTTAAGTGCATGCTCATAGCATCATCAGAGCCAACATAAATCCCCGCTGTATCGAGTGTCATGCGTGTACTGTAGATGGATCGAGCACTAGCCGTGGAGTTGCGAGCGTGGTGGACATAGAAGAGCTCTGATCCTTCTGGGGTCTGGCGTGTGACATCCTGTGTGCCAACATTACCTTTACGAGGAGGGGAGGCGACGATGCTTCCATGCCCGGTAGAATAAATCGGTATCTCTGCATTGGGGGCTTGGGCGAGTATCGGGTTCCGCGATGACTTGTTGAAAGGACCGAATGGAGACGCTGCAGTGGCAAAGCCAACTCCGTAGTTGGATGCTTCGTAGTTGTTGGCACTGTAGGTGAGCAGGTACACTGGTTTGCCGCTTTTACTGTCCGGCCGAGTGATAACTGTGCTTCCTTCAGACCATCGACGGTCTTTCTTTGTGCCATTGTAGGCCTGATAGTCGTTGACGTGAAAATTTTCCCACTCTTGAGGATCGTCGCCGTACGAGATGACAGTCTTCCAGCCATCCTTGCGCGGCGGGTGCCCGATTTCACCGGTCCCATTGTATGAGGTAATATTCGAAGGTAGATTTGGGGCATCGTCGACGTGGATATTGATCTCAGAGGCCATAATCTCTGGCATGGTGGAAGCAGTTGGATCGTCCCACCAGTGCCGCTCAAGTTCGACGACGATGATGTTGGATTCCTCAATGTACTTATCCAACGTGTCATCCCAGTTCCAGTTTCGGTACGCATTCCGGGACGTGTAAAGATAGATGCGGCCGTCGGTGTCGAAAAAGATGTTTGGGTCAATAGTGGGAATGTATGTGCCCTTAGGAGCCGTCTTGCCTTTGCTGAGGCTTTGTGGCGGTAACATTTGATCTTCATCCATGATGAGATTGACGTCGTGATAGTCGGGGTCGAAAGGGTAGTAATCCATCGGCTTGGACTCAATCTCTCTGAACGGCCCCGTTGGCGAGCGAGACACTGCTACACCAAGCTTGGATGGCTCTTCAAACTTGGAGTATCGGAAGTAATCCTTGGTCATATCTTCGCGTAGACGCCCAGCAAAGAAGAAAAAGTACCATCCCGTCTTGTCGTTGTAATACGTCTCCGGCGCCCAGAGCCAATCGCGGGCCCAACACGCCTGGCCGCCCTCTATGGTCTGCATGAGATCATCGTAGCAGGCTTTGAGCACGCCACCTGGGTGCTTGTGCCACGTGGAAAGATCAGGGCTGCTGTATATAGCGAATACACTCCCCTCATCAGCGCCTTCGGTGGAATACGCACAATACAAACCACTGCTGGAGTCGTAAATGACGTGAGGGTCAGCGGCCGCGTGACGAGCTGAGTTGTGGAACTGAGGAGCTTGGCCAGAGGTTGAGTCTCCGTGTCTAGTAGCCAGCGCAAATGGGCACAGTGATAGTGCTACGGTAAAGAAATGAGAAGTCTTCATCTTGAACAGTAGTGATGGGAGAGGAGAAAAATCGGGTTTATCCAGCTTGCTATAACCCCGCAAAGTAGGCCCAGCCAGCTCAGTATCGCATTATTTGTATATGCCAGTTGGTTCCAGAAATTGTATTCCCCCTCACTTTCACACGCGCGCGAATCATGTTATCGGCCCGAGTCGATCCAAGTGGCCCGATGACGGGTTTCCATCTGATGTAACCCCCGACAACCCTGGCGAGACTCCTTGTTTAGATCACGAATGGGGCAAGATCATCATGAGTCCGGGGCCCCGAGAATAGGAAAGTGTGCCAACCATCATGGATTCTTCATGCTAGTCTTTGCCTAATTGAACCCTGGTCAAACCGCGCCTCCGTCACGATTTTGTTCATTAATGCGCTGGTTTGGACAGAAAGTCATTGTTGAAATGAGTGCATGGGAAATCAGGCAGGTTCAGTCTTAAATGGGTCAAAGGACGTCGAAACCAAGAATCGATTCCATAACTCGCTGTGCTAAGACTGGTACGAATAATGTCCACATCATTGTATATCCCAAGTGCAAAAACAAGATGAATGATGGTGCGCTGTAAGAGACGCAAGTAAGTTCAATTACTTCAATTACTTCTTATATATAAGTTTCACTATTGTTGATACGATTGTTGGTGTTTTTTTTTTTTACTGTTGAGCTTCTAGTCCCCCCTCTGGGTATGTGTGTACTAGGGCACCGTACCTCTTGATATAAGTTTCACCTCGTCAGATTACTTGATACACCCCTGCCACTCTGGGGCACTCCAGTCTTCCAGATTATCAAGGCCTCGACGAAGTATCCCATAGCCAGTACAACAACAATATTGGGGATTTCGTGAGCCCGAACAAAGCCGTGACTTCGGAACGCCACGAGACGAGCTGGATATTTCGTGGTTCGCTCGGCTCCCATTCCTCATCCCTGTTGTCGCAGCATAACAGCGCTCCCACCATCAGCACGAAATGTTTCTTTTGGTATTGAAAGTCGATTCTATTTGCCACGCCCATTCAACCTGGCTTATATATAGATTCAAGAGGCACCTTGGCTGCAATGGCAACGGCAGTTTTCTACCTTATGGCCAACTCAGAATAGTGGCCTTTGCAACCCCGGCAGCTATCTGGTAGGGGAATTCCTGATGGACTTTGTCAATCTCGTCGTTGATACTATCGCCGTAGCTCAACAGCATTGCCAGCCTTGAGTTCTCTACGGCAACATTGCGGGTCGCCAGTTACATCTCACATAGGAAATAGCCTTGACAATATCCTTAAAAGTGAGAAGGTTCGTAAGTGATCCTTCTGATAACGAGTAAGCACGTGCACGCAAGCGAGTGCCACGTGTCACGGCACACCTCTAACTGTTACGCCACTGAGCAAGATCTTGGGCATTGATCGCATCGCAGCAATTAATTGAGGCGCACCAGCTGCTTGTCAATTTATCGCCCTATCACGGTTCATAGCCTCTGAATTGCTTCAGAAATATTTGAACCTACCTAACTTTTCTATTCTCAAGAAAGATCTTGATGAATGAGCTGATACAAGGTTTATCAGGTCATAATTAATGTTTCGGGGTTTATCGTTAGCCTGGAATGTGATTGGCATCAAGAGCCCGATTCCGCACTGGCAAATGGATGTGAGAGAAGCAAGCCATCAGTTGGAATGGCGTGGAAAATATATGGAACTCTCCATTCAGTGGATGGAACTAAACGCAGCCACATCGACACCATTGGCGATTGTGAAGCGCCAGTGGCTTACAAACTGACTGACTTGTGATTTGGGGAATCGGAATGAACCTCCGCAACGCCTTTGACTCATAGTGACGTGGATGAAAGTCAAACTGACATGTTGTCTCCATCCCAAATTATGGGCTCATGGAGGCAGCCGATCGTCTACTTATACAGGGCATCGATGTTGTAGAGAATGCTGTTCTTGGCCACTCGAGCTGTAGGATCCTTGACAATAATTAACCAAATAACAACTCAATTCACTACTCGTCACCAATTTCGACAACACCTAACTTGATCAACATGAAGGAGCACGGCGGTACTGCACACAAGGTCGCGTCTGTCTTACTCCGATTCTTGGAGCTGTCCAGCGCGGTGATTGTCCTCGGCCTCCTTTCCCGGTTCGCCTACAACCTCAGCATTGCCGGGGTCCATATGGATGGAAGGCTTGTCTACACCATGGTTGTCGCGTCGATCGGTATTGTGTATTCCATTTTCCTCTGTCCACCATTCGACATTCTTTTCTTGAGCTTCCCCTTCGACTTTATCCTCTTCATCATGTGGCTCGTTGCATATTGCTTGCTCCAAACGGTGAGATACCTTTCCTCTAGTTTTCTCTTGGACATGCACTAAGACAAGAACCGATAGAAAACCAGAAGCCACTCCTGCTCAGCATCCTGGTATTATAATTACTGGGGTTATTACTGGGGTCACTTCTGGACCGTTGGTCCCGTCGGCAGAGTCAACATCCACAGTGTCGGATGTGGTCAATGGCGAACCGTTCTGGCCTTCTCGTTCATCGCCTGGGTCCTTCACTTAATCAGTGCTGTTCTGGTAGGACATCGAACCTTGTTGAAATTGTATCATCACAACTAATTACCGAACAGGGTGTGTACGTATTCCAGAACTATGTCCGAGTCAAGGACGCGATGCACTCTGCGAAGCAGCAGATGCGAAAAATGTCCCAGTGAGTGATACCAATTTCGAAAACGTCCGATTTATACTAAATCTCCATTTCCCCAAACACAGCAGCAGTCACCCTTCGGATTGGGCTGGCAGGGACTCTGCAAACATGGAACCCGTTCGAACCGATCCCGAAGTCACGCAGCCAACCTCGACTGTATAATCGAAGGATGATCGTTGTATCGATATTCCTACCGCGATCGAGTTTGTCAACACTCGCCGTCGCGCCCTGGTCGGGTTGGTTCGGTATATTGTGGTAGTATTGGTTTTCTTGAGGCCTTTGCGGCATTCGTTTCCGTCACTTCGTCCACTCCAAAGGATCTTGTTTTGACTTCCAGGTCCAGCTTCGGCCGAGAGAGAATTACACAAAGATGGGATCTAATACACACTGGCCATGCTGGGGCGGTCTAAATGTTCAACGTCAGCCATAACATAGCTAAATATTTATAATAAAGAAACCTTATCGTATTGTCATACAAACGCTGGTCGACGACTTCATGACCATTATGAACCCTGCAGTTGAGATCTAGCCTTTGTGAAGAATCCCCCACGTACCAGATTTTGAGCTCGATTCGTTGAACGGGGCATGGAACACCCTCGCTTAGTCGATTTCGTGTCCATCAAACCGAAGAGCATCGATCTACGCCAGCGCTAGAACATGCACGTCTCATTCTCCCATTCCGGTCATTAATTCGTCAAGTCAGCGGATTATGAATGAATTGACGGCGTCAAACCTTACAAATGACATCGGCTGACTCGACCAGCTTGTGTAGAGTTTGCGGCATGGCGTTCTCCACACCACCATTCCCGCTATCACAAGACAGAGATGCTCAAGATCCGTTGCGATCTGACAGCTGACACTGATCTTAATTGCGCTCATGACATTTGCAACAGCTCTTTGGAGCGCCTCCCGCCAATTCCGAAATTCACATGTTTTTGCACCGACAACATGCATCGCCGATCTTGCTCTCCAATTACCTTTCCTCATATTGCCAGCAGCGCGACGACGCAAGTCACAAAGGCGTAGCCTCGGATGCCACCCATCCACACAGTCGGCCTCTCCGCGCCGCTCTCCGTGCTGCTCTTGATGATTTGCTGTGGCTCGTACGTAGTTGGCAGGGTCGAGTTCGTCGTGCCATTCCAGCAGTACTTGGAAAAGCAGTCTGAACATGCCCCAGGCACGTCGGTCTTTGTGCGAGAGAAACTGCGCGCCAGGATAGCACAGCTTACGCACGTAGGCCAATTGGAGTCCACACTGCCATTCCCCATCGTCGCAACATTGTATCCGTTCTCGATTACCTGGTTCCGCTCGTCAATGCTATACTCGAGGTCGAAGGTTGAGAAGTTGGAATGGGAGGAGTAGGGCGCGTTCGGCAGGTAGACAATCAGCGGCCCAGAGGAAGAGTCATTGCACCCAAAAAATGTCGGTCGCATGTTTAGGCCCAAGTTGACGAAGGTGTTCTGGTCTGGGATCGTTGGAAAGTCGGAGCTGTCAGTCGAAGTTTTAATCTTGGACCGTTTGTAGGTCGCGACGAGAGCGGTGCCGTTTGGCCAGTAGGTTTTGGTATCGGCAGAGCCATCAACAGCAAAGACGACGTCGACTCGTCGCTCGGGCAGGATGAGAGGATGCAGAGGGATATTCTGCAAGTCCTCGCCACCATCGACGAGGGTAAGAATGGCATTGTTGGCGTTCGTATTGTGGCTGGGATTGTATTTGTAGAAGGGATTTGGCCAAGTCGCGATGTCTCTGTTCTCGTTCCCGAGCTGCGCCAGTGTGTCGTTTATCGCCCGCACCAGGAAGTCTGGGACACCAGACACCTGGCCAATTTGCAAGAATGCCTGGTTGAACAGTGACGATGAGGTGCCCATGACGAAACCGGCATTGTCATAGCCAGCGAAGCAGTGTTTGTTGCGGGGCACAGTCCCATTTGTGAAATCTGAGCCGATGTACTTCAGCGGTGCGAAGGCCTCAGTCCCTGTGTCGTAGGACCCCATTTCCCAAGGATTAAACTCGAAGACCGTTGAGTTGGAGGGGATTAGGAGCTGTCCGAACGCCCTCTCCACCGCAACGATGAGAGGCATCGGCGCATTGGCATTTGCGAATTCGGAGTCATCTGCAATGGATGAAAAGGTGTAGCCTGTTGTAACAGTTAGTGCATTCTGCGCCCGTTGTGTTTTGTTTGCATATCATACTAGGTCCTCCGTCACTAGCATTGACGAGCTGATACGACAAAGCCCGGCCCCAATAATCCGTGATGGTCGTGTTAAAACCGGCATCGGATTTGTTAGTGACAGCCTCATGTAGTTCACGGTAGTATTTTGTTGCAGACAGCTCCTCTGGTCCTGTATTTCAGCAGAGTAAGCATCCGTCATTATTAGCAAAGGGGAGCTCAACAGACCTTCCAAAATCGAGTTCTGGAACTGCCAAAGCTCGCTCAGAAAGCCCTTGGACGAGAAGATGATGGACTCGACCGATGTGAAGTTCTGCACATAAAGGCTTCCGACGAGCCAGCTCCCTCCAGACAGTCCGCTGAGATACGTCGCGGCCTGCAGCAGGCCACCCAATTGACCATCGCCCACCGAGTTGGAAGATCGATTATCGAATGCTGCAATTGCGCCCGCGCCGTTCATTAGTGCTCGGTACCCTCCACCAGAGATGGCGATGCCAACCCGCGGCACTTGGCTGCCGTTGCTGATGATGCCGTCGATGTATGAGTTCGTGTCCAATCCGGAGATTTTTGCCCGGCTGAGCACAGTCTTCAACGCCGGAATGGTGTTGTTTCCACGTACTGGGAGCCATTCTGTTTCCTGCGGTGAAAGACCTGTGGCTGTACGGACCGCTGGCCGGGTCGCTGGGCAAGAGACTGAAGCTGGGGCATAGCCATTAGGGGCGTTAGGGGCAGCCCTATTCTCGAGCAGTGGTGCATTCGGCTCGTCGGCTGAGACGCGTAATACTACTGGGTGGTTAATTAAGACTAGGAGGGTCACTGGAGTTCTTGGCTATTGACTTACTGCTGATGGTGACGAGGATAAAAAAACGACGGTAAGAAAACACCATGGTGATGCGGTTGAGGAGCCGGTGTAAGACTCGCTGGATGGGGAATTTTGGTGAATGGCTCTGCTGTCGTGATAGCGACACAGGTTTTACATCGCCAACTCATTCAGTGACTAGATACCGTCGGGTTCCCTTTATGAAATGATTTCAGCCTCGATCGCATCAGGGTTCGGTACTAATCAGATTTCCAGCCTGTACGGGTTCAATCTCCCAAGCATGTAGTACTCACTTTGATAGGCGGACGGGCCCAGCCGACGGTACTTTCCAGCCCTTCATTATGCGCGGTGAGTACGAGATGACGTATAGTTAAGCAAGGGGATTGAGGGGTTCGTATTGGGATGCAGGAATAACTAAGAAGATTGACAGCCACAACGCCTTCGGCTTAAACTTTGACAGATTCTCAATCACGAGGAAATTAGGGTCTCTCCGTCTCTCCGACTGGACGACTTAGCATGGTCAAGGCACAAAAGTCCTTCGCCCTCATTACTTAAGGTCACACTGGGCGTGCTAAGAATTGAAGGTCGGATAAACGGTAATGAGCAGCAGAGTGTGGATTGATTGTTCATGGAGGGGTAATTTACACTTCAGATCTACTTGAAGCACTCCCCCTTCGCGCTTCCAACCCTACATCCATCCGCCTCTCGCAATCTCTTAATGGCTTTAGCGTATGGGACAGTATTTATGTACTTTTAAGCTACTGTGCTAGCTCTTGTACTTGTGGCCCAGTATCTGAATCCTCCGAGTTGGAATCCCTGGAATATACCGCTCCTGCTGCACTAATGTCTTCTAATAATACAACACATCTATCTAGAAGTCCGGTAGTGGCACTTTATCACACTAACTAATCAGACCAAAAGCGGAATGTACACTCCAAAGGGAAGTGCTGATAGTTGTGTATATAGGAGATGCATATTATGTAGCACCAGCAAGAAAGCCCTTCAGAATTTGGTCGTTTGATTCGGGAATACTTACTACATGGATATGCTTAAGTTCAATAAGTCACTACGACTACCTACATCTATGCTCTCTTCCAGTCAGAGCTCTTATTCTCAAGCACCGACTTGGAAGATCCCAGAATCGGTCTGACCTTCGGAGGTTACGGCCGAGCGCTACTATGTTGGCGCTCCGAGCGGGTTCTTTTGCTGTTCGTGCAAGACACCTCTTTATCCTTCTGTAATGTAGAAATGCAATGTTTTGCTGGTCACACTTATCCATTAAGCTTCCCCAAAACCCGTCTTGGCGTCAAACTGGCCACTCGTAGCAGTTTCAGCTGATCGAATTGATGCATGGCCATTACTCAGAGTTATAGAACAAGGCACTTTATAGACGATCAAGTTTTTTAACAAACGGTCGCTCAAGGCCGAGACCGCTTAATGAAGTTGCAAGTCACGTTGGCATGAGACTCAACTTGACACCAAGCAGACATGCCATTGGTTGACAAAGTTAGAGACGGACCACAAAGATCAAGCAAAGTGCCCCAAGTAAGTGGTCGGTGGAACAGTCAGTCACGTTAAGAGATATCACAGTAGCCATTGTAAAGAATCACAGGCCAAACGTAGCATTGAAATATTCGATTCAGAACAATGTATCAGTTCTTCAACGTCACCCCCCAACCCCGACTAAATCCCACAGTGGTTCCTTGACATTTAACTGTTGCTTTGAGTTCCTGGATCGCTGATTCCTCATCTGAGTACCATCCATTCATAAGCATTCCCGTCAAGAGACTCACTGAAACCTCGAGTTTCCGTCAAAAGACCCGTAGAACCTTATACCTTATCCCCAGCATCGGTATCCTGCTTGGTAATTCCGGAGAGAACGTTCTGATCGAAGGGATCAACAACAGTGCTCGCAAACTTCCTGGCCGAAACCTTGTTGGCAAACAGCACGTCAAGCTCATGGTACGACCTGTTCCAGGTTTCTGGCAGACGGAAGTAGCTCCAGACAAAGACTCCGAAGCAAGTTGCTCCCCAGAAGAATCCTGTGTAACCCTTGAGATTCCAAGCCTGGGGGTTCATGAAGTACTGCTGGAGAGTGCCGCCGATGGTGCCCATGATGTTGGACGAGTCACGAGCCAGGCAGATTGTCTTTTGTCGGAGTCGCGTGGAGCCCATCTCAGCGGGTAGAGCCCAGCCAAGCTGGCCTGCAGAGAGCTGGAAGATAAAGGTCCAGAGCATAGTGAGACAAGCCTGAGACATGGCAACGCCACGGACTGAGGTCCAGACATTCAGGACACCGATCAGCATGAGCACAAAGCACATGCCGCCCATACCCCAGATGTAGATGGTTCTGCGTCCAAAGTTGGGCATCAGGACGAACCAGTTGACGAGGCAGCCAACAAAGGCCAGACCAGTACCGCCGAGAGCGAGCGAGTAGGTGGTGCTCGTGCCTAGGCCCATCTGAGAGAAGAAGTAGGAGCTGTTGTATGCAAAGCAAATACCGCAGAGAATCTGGCCCGCAAATACAACACATGCGATTTCTGTGCGGCGAAGTTCGGTGCCCTTGAAGCAATCCCAGTAGCTGGTGCCGACAGACAGCCGCTGCTCCAGGTTGTTGGTATAGACAATCATGGACAGCGTCTTTCGAGGATCAACATTGGTGGCCTTGGAGGACTGAAGCCTCCTGAGCGACGCCTCCGCCTCGTCGAGCTTTCCCATGCGGACGAGATACCACGGCGACTCGGGGGAGATGTAAATCAGCGGGATGAGAATCACCGGCCACACCCACTGCAGCGCAAAGGGGATCTTGTAGCCCCATGAGTCCTCGCGCGTCGACAGGCCCTTGAGGACTCCAGCCGAGATGAGTTGGCCCAGAATGAAACACATGTTGGTGTAGGAGGTCATGTACGTCCTGAGTGCTGTCGGAAGCACCTCAGAAGCATAGGCGGGCGACGTCGTGGCGAGGATGCCCCATGGCAGGCCGCAGAGGATCTCGCCGACAACCAAGACGGGCAGGTTGGGGGAGAAGAAGACGATAAAGATGAAGGCCATCAGGGCGACGAGAGCACCGAGTTGGACGCGACGAGAGCCGTACTTGGACACAAGGTAACCGCTTAGGAGACATCCTAGGATGGAGCCCACACTGCCACCCTGGGACAGGCCAGCTTGCCATGCAGGCGTCAACTGATATCCCGTTGGTGTCTCTGGCGTAACTCCGACAAAATTGCCATATCTGATGAGGAACGAGGCTAAAAAGACGGTTAGAGTCGTTGCAGTCTCATGAGTAGCTGTTTGGACTTACGGTAGGCAAAGAAGTTGGACAAGAGGTTGGTGTCGTAGCCCTCCATGATGACACAAGTCGCCGATACAAGAGCCCAGCCAATAGCCTGAGGGTAGGCCCTGATGGCATCGCGAACGGTGAGTTCGTGGTCATCGGCAGAGCCCTCGATGGCAGCCTGGTTCAGAGCGCTGTCATTTAGAGTCGCATTTTTGGCCGCCTGTGATATCGTCGCCTTCTCGACTTGCTGCACCATGAAGTCACTCTTCTCCATTGTGAAGTGTAGTTGTGGGGAAGTTGAGTTTCTTGAACTTGATGATGATCAAGAAGATGCTGCTGGGCTTGAGATGAATGTTTGCATGTTGCTGCTGGCCGTGGTTATATATTCGACTTTGCGTGCTGAACATTGTAGTCGGATGATCTCTGGTGTTGGTCACGATATGCTTGAGCCTCGGACATGCCCACAAAAACCTGATCCGAAGGGGATATATTCGGAGGAGAATTATTTCGGCGTTCGCCCCTCAAATGCACGTTGTTGGTCTAGACCCTGCCAATGTCGGCCCGACAAGGCAAAACCCACACCATCAGGGACCCTCAGCTCCAAGCTAATCTAGATGGAGGCAAGGAGCAGTTCGCTAAGGCCTCACTCGCGCCGTGTTATTGGCCATTGCCCTTCGAACGGGGCTGGCCTCTAGTTTCTGGGGGTGGGATTGATTCCCCGGAATTCCCCAACTCTTTGGCCTCGCTACGAGCACCATTGCCTGTTTAACCCCGGGGACTCTGGAGATGCGGAGGAGGCGTTTTTAGTCTACCCCGAATATTTGTCCGAGAAACGATCGGCATGATTGACAATCTTCAGCTTAGCCGGCGATTCCCGCTTCACCTGACGACGAGCATCCTTCATGTACGGCCCCAACACAATGTGTGTATGCCGACCACGGAACCGTTGAGTATGTCTACAAGAAAGTGAGTGAGAAATTTATTGACTCTTGGGCTATAACGCCGAAGCGAAATACCAGTGGTGGCGATTCAAGATACTACCTCGATTATCTTGCTCCTCGGCCGAAAGTGAGACGGACTTGTTGACAGCATCTAGTGAGCGGGCGGCCAGGGTTGACCTCGAACACCTCTCTGAGGGAGAATATCTGCAGAACAATATCGCCGCGAGAAAGTCAAAGTCGCGCCACATCGTCTCCAATAGTCACGGGTTGGTTGGAATGGCTAGAGAATCAAGGTGATAACCCGTCTCATCCACGTGCTCGTTGGAGTGTCGTCCATATGCCGCCCCGGGGCACTGCGGCTGAAAAGACAACTACTAATCAGTCCCCAGTTATCCACGCACACTTCTGGGCCTCGCTCTCTTTCCCGGACCGATACGTTGAGGCTTTAATGGCCCCTGTAAACAACTCACCGAACGGCACGCCACCCAAGACATCGGACCACTATCGAGAACTCGATAGCGAATAAGAGCAACTGCTGCGTCTGTGGGCTGTTGATCGGGGACCCAAGCTGGAGGCACGCCTATCGGGACGGCTGTGCGTGGCGACAAAGAAATATGCCCGCAAATCCCAATGACGTGAACGTCGGTCGAGATCTCGTGTACACAACAAATATCCTGACAGCCAACGGAGTTCCACTCCGAGTGCTCTTGCTAGAGGAAAGATTCTGGTGGAGGCGAAGACAGAGGGGTTTCCATCGCCGACGCCCTTGATCTCCTTCTCCCCAAGGGTCCTTCTGTCTTCGCGTCCATGGCGCTGCGAAATAACCTAACGACTCCCTCAAGTCCGGGTAGGGCCGGCCTGGCGTCTACTTCCCGAGTCTCTTCCAAACCCGAAGCATCGACAGAACTTGACCATCATCGTTTCATTCCGGATGCAAAGCACTTGGCTGTTACCCACATGGACTTGACAGGAGAGCGGTGTCACCATCTGCGATTCCATGGCTTACGAGGAGAAAGCTTAGAAATCGTTTGCTAACGAGCTAGCAGCCTTGTTCCTCAAACGGTTGGGGTTGGTGACTGCGGAGTATTTTCGGTCCTCTTTGCAGCTTCACTCTGAACCTGAAACTGGTAAGTTTGCAGGCCTTAGTCTTGATATCTTGTCTCAGTAACATGTACAAGTCACGACAGGTGACTGAGACAGATCTTGATGCCTACACCACCGCCACTCAACATCTCGATCGACCCCAGCAAACACAGCCCCAACTCCCGCGAAGACTCAGAAACGCCGCTCCGCAATACACCCCAGTGGCCATCATACGTCGAGAAATTATCCGATATCACTGTCTCAGTAAAGGACACGACGGTCTAATAAAAACACTACCTGGCGCGCCAAGGACACGGCATTTATGAAAGTCCTGGTGACATAACTAAGACCCTTGAGGAAGATCACAAGCTTTCACTGTTCTGTTATTCCACTGTTACAATTTTTTATTGCACAGTTGCTCTATTTTTTCTTCTGCTGTTCCAGCTCGCCATTCGCGCGAAGTAGCAAATCGTAGGTCCGAATGATAACAAGATCAATCTCTGACCTTTTCAAGGACGTATGCGTAGAGTTGACCAATCCAGCCGAGACCGGACTTCCAACTTGAGACTAGCGGCTCTGCAGCTGTCGCCTTTTGCTCGTGATACTACTACTCATCGGAACTGCCCCTTTTAAGTTATTAGATAGGTATACTATTTCCCATCTTAAATTTTTAACTTTCAAGATTCAGTTAGTCTTGTGTTGTGTCGCTAGATAAACTGTTGCCATAGCTTTTATTATATCTGTAACGGCCGTGTTTGGTCTAGACAGGTGGTCTAGGGTAGGCGCCGATCGCGGGGTTCAGGTTCACGGATCAGGACGCGTTTGCGTCAGCTGTTGGTCGTTACTGTCTTGTAACGATTACTGGTATGGGGGATCGTGGTATGGGGTCACATCTGGTAATGGTTAGCAGGTACAGTGAGCTACATAACCAAGTTGTGTTGATAGCTGAGGAGCTGTATGACTCTCCCGGGTTCTTCAGATTGATCAACTTACCCTAGACTCTGGCAAACTCGACCGTCATACAACGGGCTTATAGAAATAGTGAGGAAACTGGTAATTAAATGGCAAAAAACAGCCCGCAAACAAGCCCCAGCATACCCGACCCTTATCACACCGCTGTATTCATCCACTCACATTTACAAGTATGTTTAAGTCTCGCACAAGGCGCAGTGGCATTTCCCGTTCGCTCACGTCAACCTCATCAGTTTGTGCTGCTTGAGCAATGATTATCTAGTCGCGTCACGCGACATTGACACCTAGCGCAATTTGACGGGCCAATCTTTTCAACCTGTCTTTCGTCCAGAAATCCTTCTCAGCTTGTGGTGGCTGGGCTGGGCTGGGCAAATGCTGGCGCGTCGGGAAATGATTGTGGGGGTGGGTCGTGATACGAGGAACCCGCGTCTTTTGCCGAAATTGGAAATCCCCACGGGGCCGCTTCTTAACCATCCGGAGACAATTCCGGAGTGTGGGGAAGGTTTGGGAAGAGACGGCAGAGGATGCAGCTTGGGTACGCAAAGCCTTGTTTCTTTCGTCAGAACTTCCCTGCAAGCTTTGCATTTCCCACGTGTCAGTCGAGGGGGCTACCTATTCCCGGCATGACGCAAACGCAGGCCCATGCAGCCTTTGGCGAATGTCCGCGGGCCAGGTGCTCAAGGAGAAATGAATTTACGACGGCCTCAATCTGGGATCTTATACTCATCGATTCTCTTCGAACAAGGCCAGTGATGCCCGTTTTCCAATGTGCAATTATCATCATCGTAGAGTGGTATAAGCTCGGGAAATTGGTACAAAATTTCCTCCCACTTACGCAGGCAGGCCCCGCAAATCCCGCAGCTCAAGTCCCTAGTGGTTGGCTGTGGTTATCCCGATAACTGTTAGTGGACTGATAAGCCACCATTCACGGGACTTCACTTTTGTACCAATTTACCGAGTTCATACGGTACTTACATCCTTGCTCGTGGAGAGAAAGTGTTTTCGGAGAGATGATTCGGATGACAGGGGTCAAATGCATCTATATGTCTCGACCTTGGGCTAAGGGGGGGTTGCACTGTAGTCCAAGACTTGCCTACTACGTAGTAGGTGAAAGGTGGGTGTAACATGTCGCGATGAGCATAGACTTGATAACACTCATTTTCCATCTTGGATTCCCCGATTGACGACAAGCTCTAAACTATTCTAACAACATGTTTTACAGCCATTTAAGATTGGCAGGTAATTAAGTACAAGGCGACGCCCAATTTTGTCAAAGTCGCGGCTAAATGTTAGCGTAGGTCACGCCTGAGTTTCCTATGCCACAGTCGATATTTAAAGGTGTGCCCCTCCCACATCGGACGAGTTGGTCGCTTTTCCCCGCACCATTTTTGTTAATCCAAGTGATGATAGCGTCATCTGAGAGTCGCTGACTACAGAAGAAGAGGATTCGTTTGCCATGTAAGTCGACTTTTCCATACAAAGTCGCAAGTCTCATTGCGTGTAGCAGGGGACTGTTGTTCATTCTCCAATGGCGGACGCCGCCAGCGCCGCCAATTCCGCCGGCCACAAGGACACGCTTCTGAACTGCAGCACTTGCGGCAAACAGTTTTCGAGATCCGAACACCTGGCGCGACATAGCCATATCCATCTTCAAGAAAAGCCGGTTGAGTGCGGATATTGCGGAAAAGCGTTTGGTCGAAAGTAAGTGCCGGTTCGAGTTTGTCAGAGACCGCTCCGTCTGGGTTTCAATCTAATACTGGTTACTGCAGAGACTCGGCAAAACGCCATGAGCAATTGCACACCAGGGAGGCTAGTGCAGAGGCCCCGAAATCTCGCGCAGTGTCACTTTGTCGAACATGCTCGACATGTGCCAAGTCGCGGATAAAATGCTTAGGCGGAACGCCATGCAACCACTGCGCCGCTAGAAGCCTTGATTGCGTGTATCTACCTCGCAAACGGAAACGAACCCAATACAAGCAAGATCAAGATCCTTCTGTTGACGACCAGAGGTCACCTGAGAATCTTGCCAGCGACACAGGTCAATCACCCGTGCCTAATGACTTAGGCGACATGGCTACGACTTGGGCTAGCCCGTCAAACCAGCCAGACGGATCCTCACACAACTTAAGCAACGCAGGCGCCTTTGACGAAAGTGGACCCCAGATGGCACTGGAATCTGAGACTTTACAAGACCAAACGAGCCAGAGTTTCGCTAGTGAACTGCCAGTGATGTCTCCTCAGTGGCTCGAGCGATCCATGGCGACAAATTGGTTGCCATTCGACGTTTCCCTCAATGGCGACTTCATCTTGCCAAGTCCCGAAAACATGTTGCCAACCTATCCCAGCGACGCTCCGCGTCTTTCCGGCAACGTTCTTGACGATCCCGCCACAGAGACTCTCAATGAGCCCCAAGGCTCTCAAGTTGGTGTCGACTTCGTGCTGCAGCAAGACTGCGTGTCGGCTCTCATCAATTCCATGGGTGGTAGTCTTCAGGGCTACGCCGACGGACCGAACAGCCCTCATCCCAGCTCTACTCATTCTTCGACCCAGCAAAACATTTTGTACGCAGATGGGGCGGGTTTCAGATCAAGTCAAGCAGACCGTTGTATCCGCGAACGACAGGAAACATACACCACCCCGAGTTCATCCGGCGACCATTCCGAGGGAAACTCTTGGCTGACAGTATTTTCCAATAAGGTCCATGGTATCGAACAGCACCCCGATCCGCAGTTTGACATTCCGGAGGATATATTTCAAGAAATACTCTCGAGGCTGCGTCCCTCATCAGGAGAACAACTCCTATCGAAGGAGTTCCTGGCCAACGAGGCATTCTTGCTACACAAATCGGCATTTAGCCTCTTTCTGAAGCTTTACTTTAACAACTTCCATATGCTCTATCCTTTTGTTGACCGCTCCTTTCTCTGCATCCCCATATGGGGATGGAGTCTGACGTTGGCGGTCGCGGCAATTGGTACTCGCTACCTAGGCCTGACGAAACTCACATCTCACGGCGAAGAGCTTTGCGCTGTCTTGCACGAGCTGCTCCTAAAACAAGTGGGTATTCAACCTCATCGGCTTTACCAGTTACTAACGCGGCGATATGTAGCTCCAATTCGGTCGGGTTCAGGATTCACTCCCCTACATCCAGGCACGTATGCTGGCGGCAATAGGTCTATGCCAAAGCCGCCAGCCTCATTGGTTGAAGTGCGGGCACAGCGCGTGGGCTTTGGTTACCAACTCCTGTCTGCAGCTGCGACTTCTGGACGAGGATGACCGAATTGGCGCGTATCAAGAAGGTCAGAGCCTGGAACAAACGTGGATAGCCTGGCGTTTCCGAGAAACGCGGCGGAGGACAGGGCTCTTTATCTGGGTGAGTAGCATGGGACGCACCTTTGGCAGCAAATACTCATACTCTGCTGCAGCTCACGGACTGCTTCCTTGCATTTGCCACCGAGAATCCTCCAACACTGCCGCCCCAGAGGCTGAAACTGAGACTGCCCTGCAAAGAAGAATTATGGGAAGCTGAATCTGCCCAAGGATGGCTCGCTCTCACACCAAAGGAGAACGTCTCTGATCGCAATTCCCCTTTTTACGTCGAGGAGTCAATGCGGGAGCTGGTCCAGGACATCATGCAAAAGCTGTGGCGAGGCCTCCGCACGCCAGAGATGACGACGCAGTTTGCGACCTTCATCATCCTCCACATGCTACTGCGTCGCCGATGGGACACAAGCCACTACCTCACGGATTCCACCTCCGCCGTCGAATCGCCCGGCTCGCGGGATTCGGCGCCGCCCAAACGCCTATACGTGGGGGAAATCCCTGCTTACATCAAATGGCGGAACTACACCTGTGACTGTCTAGATTTGCTACACTGGGAAGCGCTGAGTGCTTCTACCAAAGCTGGAGGCTTCGAGGGCCCGGTATTTCTGCAGCTGCACTTGGCGCGGCTGGTGATCCTTGCCCCGGTACGGGAGCTGCTTGATCATGTTTCTGCTTCCATTCAGCCAGGCTCGTCGCAGCTGCTCCCGCACAACTTGTACCACTTTCCAGATCCAAACCGGAAATGGAGCCGTACGCTGTTCACTTGGGCGTATCAAGATCGTTTCAAGGCTCGGCTGGCCATTATTCACGCCGGCGCAGTACTGTGGCACACCCGGCGATACTCGGCAGCATCATTCATTGAGCCTTATACCATCTTTCTTGCTACCCTGATTCTGTGGGCGTTTGGCATGGCTCCTAGAGTCGTCAAAGGGCACCAGCTTAAAAAACCTGGTGATGCGCCAGATCATCTGCTGCATGGTTCTGGAGACATTGCAGTAAACCAACTTGCTCCATCAAACTCGACCTCGGGCTCGGAAACAGGCGAAAGGCTGTTTCCCGGCAGTCCGTTTTGTCCCCGAGACCCTTCATTGAATGGGAGACGAATGCCTAGGTTGATGCAGCTCGACCGGCCGATGGATGACGAACTCGTCCAGCACTTTATTCGTTCAGGCGATGGGATGCGGTTGTACCTCGAAGGCGTCGATGATCTGTGTTCGGAAGACGGACCGCGGCAAGTGCTTCAAGAAGGCGTTGCGATTTTACAGGAAGAGCCGAGGACTTGGACTATTGCCGAGAGCTATGCTTCCACGCTGACGGCGCTGGCCTCGGCTGGCAATTCATAGCATAGTAGCATTAACAAAGGCAACGATGATGCTATAAAATCCAATTTCTTCGAGTCAGTGCGGTTCTAGAATATTTCTTCAAGCCAGTGCGATTCCTGAAGGACCCCCCAGTCTGTACTGGTACGGTTTTGAGGCGGCGATGTACTGAACGAACCCGTTTATGAGCTGCCTTCACGATATAATTTACATCACGACATAAATATCTATCAGGTGGAGGTTGGAAAATTGCAATTTAATTCGTATAAAGATCGAGTAGAATAGTAGACAATCAGGTTCCCCGCACCCACTCCCCTACTGTGGCTATCAAGCAACAGGCATAGAATATCTAAGACTCTTGCAGGCGGTTGCTCTTATCATCGACGTATGCATCGACATGATACCTCTTGAACTTCCTTGTAGGTAGCTTGGCCTCGAACATGAGATCGAGCTCCTCGTAGCTTCGTCCCTTTGTCTCGGGCTGGCGGAAGAAGGCCCAAACAACTGTGAGGAATGCGAAGCCGAACCAAAAGAAACCAGTCAATCCTATGGAAACAGTCAGCAGGATGCAAATGAATAACGGAAGAAAATTCACCCTTCCAATTCCAGGCGCTCGGGTTCATCATGTAGGGCTGGATGACGTTGGCGACAATTTGTGCGACATAGTATGAGGTTCGGGCCAGCACCACAGTCTTGGAACGAAGACGGGTGGAAGACACTTCAGCCGGAATAGCCCAGCCGACGGGCCCAACCGTAAGAGAAAAGGTCAGAAGCCAGACAACACACAGAACCGACTGAACCCATTTCACGGCCGGGTTGTGGGTGTTAGTAGCCAAGGCACCGATGATGAACAACCACACGCTCATGCCAGACATGCCTGTGAGATACAGAACGCGCCGACCGAAGTATCTCATCAGAAACCAAGAAGCAATCGTTCCACAGAACGCAATACCAGTACCGCCCAGGTTCAGATTGTAAGCGGTTTCGGAGTCCAAACCAGCCTGCTGGTAGAAGTAGGTAGCAGAGTAGGCAAATTGGGCTCCACAAGTGATTTGGCCAAGGAAAGAGACGCATGCAATCTCAGTTCGACGCAGGTCCACGCCCTTGAAGCAGTTCCAGTAAGAAGTACCCTCGGCCATTTCTCGTTCGATATCGTTGGTGTGGATCATCAGGGCTACAAGCGCTCGAGCATGTGGCTTCTCATGTTCTGCCGTCAATCGCAGTACGCTCTTCTCCGCTTCGGCATATTTGCCCTTGCGCACCAGGTACCAGGGCGACTCAGGCATAAAGAAGGAAGCCACAATGAGGAAAGGAATCCATAGCCACTGAAGGGCAAACGGAACGCGCCAGGCCCAGTCGTCCTCTCGGTCAATGAAGCTTTTCAGGACTCCAGCGCCAATGAGCTGACCCGTCGCAAAGCACATATTCGTGTAAGCGGTGAGGTAGGCTCGCAGAGGAAGAGGGCACAACTCGGAAGCGTAGGCAGGGCCGATAGTTGCAAAGATGCCCCATGGAATACTGCAGACATTGAATCAGTGCTGAACAAATTTGCGACGACATGGGAACCTTTGTTCCCAACTTACCCGCAGAGGATTTGACCCACGGCCTGAAGCTCAACGGACATGCCAAACACGGAGACAAAGACAAAGGCTGCCATCAAGATGACGCCAAACATGAAGGCTGGCCGGTAGCCATAACGCTGGATGAGGAAGCCATTGAAGAGTGCACCAACAATGGCACCGGCCTGAGGTCCGCTGCCCATGGCGCTCTGCCACTTGGCCTCGATCTGGTAGGTGCCCGTGGCCGCATCTTGTGCACCAAAGCGGCGGGCGTAGCTCGGATAGGCGTAGAGCGAGCCGATGAGGATGGTGTCGTAGCCTTCCATGATGATGGACATGGAGACAATCAGAGACCAGAAGACAGCCCACGGATAGGCCTTGAGAGCTTGGCGGACAGTGAGAGAGTGTTCGTGGGCGTTGGCAGCTTTGGCGTCTTCTATTGTGGCCTCCCAGGAGCCTCTGCGACCCAGGATGTTCTTGGAGTCAGGGTCTGCTTTGGACACGGGCTGGGGCCGCGGCTTCTCGTCGTGGTCCGTAGACCCAATCGAAGTCTTGCCTTCCATGGCTGGATGGTGGAGCTTGTGTTGCGAAGGATGGTTGGGTTTGCGCTTGTTAAAGCGGTGTGAGATGGTGGATAGAGAAGAGTGATGAGTGTCAGAGGTAGGACACCATGGTCAAGATATAGATCTTCTTTGGACGAGTGCTGGTTGCGAAGATCGAACGACACGACTCCATGGCATCCTCGAATGGACCGTGGAGCTATTCTACGGCCCACCTCCAGAACCCGCAAGTCAAGCCTGGTCCCCACGGGGAGACACTCTCTAGCCCTTAGCCTAAGTCGCCTGACTTGGCTAGTTGCAATCGACATAACTTAGAATGAGAAGCATTGTCTGTTCGAACTAAGCGGGCCAGTCAACTCCATGTGGCGTCGTTGGCGTCGCAAGCGGCAAGGCGCGTCGGGATTTCGGTGTGGTGGTGTGGACAGACCATCGAAATATATCCACCATTTCCACATCAAAGTCCGAAGTGATCATGGATGTAAAAGAAGGATGGAGGGCCACCTCGAGCGAGGTCTGAATGAGCCCTCGGACAGCATCCCGAGGTAACCCTTGGCAATCCGGTGGCTTCGACGCCGTGGATCGGCCTTAGACAGACCCGCCCATCTTGTAACTAGCAACAGTTATATCTAGTCTGGCTGGCACGAGACCAATGCCTGCCCATGTCCATCCCTCACGCACCTTTTGAGATTTGTTTTAGGCCCGCCAAATTCATAAAATACACCGTTCCCTCAAAGGCTCAGCGGAAAGATGAGCGAACCCACAAGCTTTCTGTGGCAGACCGACGCCTTCGACGTCGGCTTCACTCAGAATGCCAACGGCGCCATTTGCTTGTCTCAACTCCTTCCCAGGGGTTCCCAGAAGCCGGAGCCCAGGAAATCGCTCTTCAAGTCGCCCGAGGTGCCGCTGGTCAGCGTCAAACTCGTCGGCGAGGGCAACACTTCCGACAAGACGTCAAAGGCTCTAATAGGAGGCTACCTTTCGGCACGCCTAAAGTACGAGAGCCACGAAGCTGCCCGCAACGGCTCTATTCAAACGCTCAGAATCCATAGCGGAGATGAGGCCACCAGGATTCACGTCACGGCTCGCCTGACCGTTTACGGAAGCATTCCTGTTCTCAAGTCTGAGGTGACCATCAAGAACCAGTCTCCCGACGCCAATATCGCCGTCACTCAGTTGTCTTCGCTAGCTATCGGCGGCTTGACAAGCTCGCCGAACTGGTTCCACGAGTACACTGTCATGACCGCCACCAACAGCTGGTTTCGAGAGTCACAGTGGCGCGAGCATACCTTGCCTGAACTTGGCCTCGACAACAATGGCATCTGCGAACTCCCCGAGGGGCACGCTGCCTCCCAGGCTACTTTTGGGCTGGAAAGTCGAGGATCATTCTCGACAGGCTCATATCTACCCATGGGACTGTTGAGATCCAACGACAATAGAGATACTTGGCTCTGGCAAATTGAAAACAATGGGTCATGGCGGTGGGAGATTGGCGACTACAAAGACAGCGTGTACCTGGCGGCTGGCGGACCAACCGGCGTGAGCCACGACTGGAAGCAGATTCTAGGTCCAGGAGAAGAATTCACGACCGTGCCAGCTTGTATTGCGCGAGTCAATGGCGATTTCGAAAAGGCATTCGCAGCCTTGACGGATTACAGGCGAGTGATTCGACGGCCACATCCTGACCACGAAAGGCTCCCAATTGTGTTCAACGACTACATGAACTGCCTCATGGGAGACCCAGATGAAGACAAGATCGAAGCTCTACTGGACCCCGTTGTAAGGTGCGGAGCCGAGCATTTCGTCATTGACGCAGGCTGGTACGCCGATGATGGCAACTGGTGGGACGATGTCGGCCTGTGGGAGCCGTCTAAGAAGCGATTTCCCTCTGGCTTCAAAACACTCTTGGACAAGATCAAGTCGAAGGGCCTCACTCCAGGTCTGTGGCTGGAGCCAGAAGTTGTCGGCGTACGTAGTGTCGTCGGGGATCTCCTGCCCAAGGATGCCTTCTTCCAAGAGTATGGCCATCGCGTCGTTGAAAGAGGGAGATTCCAGCTCGATTATCGCCACGAGCAGGTAATTTCATGGATGAACAAGACGATTAAGCGCCTTGTCGTCGATTACGGGGTGGGATTCTTCAAGTTTGACTACAACATCGAGGTCGTTCAAGGCACCGACGCTCGTGGGCGATCATCTGCTGGAGCAGAGCATCTGGAACACCAGCGAGCATACCTTGCATGGGTGAGGTCTCTGCTCGACAGATATCCTGGCCTTGTTATCGAGAACTGCTCTAGTGGCGCGCAGCGCATGGAGTATGCCATGCTAGCTGTTCATCCTCTCCAATCAACCAGCGACCAACAGGACCCAGCGTTGTACAGCGCTATTTCGGCCGCGGTTCCAACCGCCGTCACTCCCGAGCAAAGTGCGTCGTGGGCATACCCGCAAGCTGAATGGGACGATGAGTTGAACGCATTTACCGTGGTCAACAGCCTGCTCGGACGCGTCTACCTCAGCGGTCGCCTAGACAACCTCAGTGTCGAACAACTGAACTTAGTTGTAGAGGGCATGGATGTTTACAAGCTGATACGTCATGATATCAAAGACGCCCACGCTACCTGGCCCCTTGGACTGCCACGATGGCATGACAACTGGCTCTCTTTGGGCCTTGTGTCAAAGTGCAATGGAACGTATCTTGCTGTGTGGCGAAGAGGCGGGCCTACAGAGATCGATATACCGCTCAAGGCTCTACCTCGTTCCGACAAGACACACGTAAAGGTGTTGTATCCAACAAGTATGAGCACTGAGGTAGTGATGAAGGACGATGCGTTGACTGTGAAGCTACCAGAAGCCGTCTGCGCTCGGTTGCTTCACATATATGAAGCATGAGTTATGCATCTGTCGTATAGTCTTGATTTTAGAGAGATTGCTTCTAGAGTTGTTCAGTTGCGCTACCTTACCAATAGAGTCTGTTTCAATTCGTTGGAAGTTGTGGATAAAGCTAAGGTGCCAGGCACTGTATTTATCTGCTCAAAGCATCCATCCTTTGGGTCTTAGTAACTGAACATATGGCTGGTAACTTGTGTCAATTGAATTTCAATGCTATAGAGGCAATTGAGCAGTATCCTGCGATGACGGAGAAAAGATACAAAGAATCAAAAGATAATCCTTGAATTTCCCCACATGATGACTAGCAAGATGCTGGCCTTTTACCGCCCTGCCTCTCCGGTAAAAGTGCCAGTTCTCCTTCTCGTACCACCGCAGGCCATGTCAACATTCCACATTCGCCTCGTACCATCTGCCATGCTGCCCAGCCAGACCTGTAAAAATTTGCTTTCACATCGGGAAGACCAACAGTACTAGTGGCAACATGCAGCAGCTAAAGTGTCGGGTTTTCACGGTGGGGGCGGAGGTGATAGTGGCAGGTCGGGTGTTGAATGTGGGGGATGTTCCAGACTCCCCCACAACCAAGAAACAAACTGCCTTGCCACGTCTGATTTTGCGGTTAGAGCGGCCGGGGCGATCCGTAGATTGCGGGGTAATGTCTGGAGAATAATTGAGTTTAGACTAAGCTGATGTGTCTTGTGGCTACGCAAGAACTTACGAGGTCAAGGACGGCTCGTGTTGATCTCACTGTTCGGACTATGAATGGAACTGGGATATAAAGTGCGCCTCGTACCAGACAATGCCAAGAATTTTCAACATTGTGGATGAGTTCCTACCTGCTTTACTTGATCTCAAATTACGCTGCATTCTTTCCTCGAAATGCATATGCACACTGCTTTGGAAGTCTTCGTGTTGGCTCTCGCCGCAGGAAGATGCCACGGAGCACCGGGCTCACACATCGCTAAACGTGATGTCCTTGGTACAGCTACGGTGAATCTTGCCGTCCCTCAAGGAACCCCATCCCACTATGCCTCGGGCTTTATTTACGGGATTCCAGACACTCCCAATCAGATCCCGGACCACTTCTACAAAGACATGGGCTTCAGGTACACTCGGGCTGGAGGGAGTCAGCTCCCGGCTCCATCGAGGGGATGGGTCTATGGCAAGAATGAGTTTCAGGTATGTCCGGGACTTGGTGTGCGTGAAACTTGTTTAACACCATCTTTAGAACCGCTTCAACTCTGCCCTGTCCAACTACAAGACTGCTCGTAAATACGGCGCGCGTTTCCAGCTCCTTGTAGCTGATCTCTGGGGAGCCGATGGCACCGCCCAAATCGCCATGCCAGGCGATAACGGCGATTGGACCTACTTCGACCAGTTCCTCACCACCCTGTTCGCTAGCATGACCAAGCACAATATGATCAACGGTCTTGACTTTGAACCCTGGAACGAGCCAGATCTCGGTGGCGTCTTTTGGCAGCGCGATCAGGCTCAATACCTACAAATGTGGGCTCACGCCTACCCCCGAATTCGTGCTGCCCTGCCCAACACACCCATCATCGGACCATGCAGCTCCTCGCAGCCTTCGACATCGAACAGCTGGTATGCGCAGTATTACCCGTTTGTGCTCTCTAACAACTCGGTCCCCGATATTTACTGCTGGCACGAAGAGACCGGTGGTGATAACGTAGCCAGCGACATTCAGAACAACGCGGCGGCTTTGAGCCAATATGGGTTGCCAGCTCGCCCCGTTATTATCAACGAGTATGGCGTACCCAACGAGCAAAACCCCGGATCGTCTGCATGGTATATCTCACGCTTGGAGAGGTACAACACCACCGGGCTCCGGGGAAACTGGGCCTCAGGGTATTCTCTTCACGACTACTTTGGCAATCTGCTCGGAAAGCCAGGTGCTACAGAAGACTGCACTAGTTCCGCTTGCAACACCACAGCAGGGTACTGGGGCAATGGCGAATACAATGTTTACAAATATTACAACCTCAACATGACCGGTCAGCGAGTTCAGACGATCGGCTCGCCAGACAATCTCTTCGACATCTACGCCACGCGCAAGGGCAAAAAGTCCGTCAAGCTGCTTTGCGGGTCTCGGTTGACGAGCGGAACATGGGATATCCTTGTTACTGGGTTGGATGCCATTGGCCTGCCGAGTTCGGGCACCATCACGATTCAAGCCTATCAGTTCAACTATGTGGATGGTCAATTTGGCAATGTGGCAGCCCCGGTCAACCAGGGCACGTATCCTCATACGTACAGTGGGAACCAGTTAGTCTTTTACGTCAGCCCTGACACAACCACCGGGTATGCTTTTGAATTCGTGCTGTGAGTCAAGGCATTCTAGCCGGTAAGGCGGTTTGCCTGTCTGCGCAGCCCGTTCCGACGGCGGACCCGATGTATGCCATCGTCATCAACTTCTATTCAAGACCGAACATTGTATCCTCATTTAGTTAGATAGCAATATCTTCTACGAATCATTCGCATCATAGATTATGACGGAAAGTATATTCCGGAGTGAGGACGATGAATCTCCACTTCAATAGAGTCCATCCCAATGCGTATCCATCACATCAACGCGTATCCGCCTCACGGAAAAATGCCAAGAGATTTGTTTATAGAACTCAAAGTCCACCTAGAGCTTGTCTACCTGATTGAACCCAATCTCGACCATCACATACAGCTTTCCGAGGCTCAGGGCGACGTGCAACCTGCCGCCGCCCATGCAGATCTTGGGCGTGATGGCAAAGTAAGCCACGCCGGTGATTCTCAGGCTTGCATCCAGGGACCAGTTAATCCCCAGCCGCGGCGGCCGTGGGTAATTGGCCGGCGCTTTGAAGGCTTGGTGATATCCTCCTAGAGATAGGACCCAGTCTCCTGCCACAATGTTCTTTGACGTGTCCGCCTTGAACCACGAGTAGAACGCGATTACACCTGCCACAGGGCATACCTCGGCCAGCACGAAAGACCGCGGCGACAGCTGGGATTCGAGCTTGAAGACGCCGGCCTCGATATCCAGCGCCACTACGATGCCCAACTCTACGTGGGCAAACTCGTCCTTCGACAGCGACGACGAAGCGTCCAGCGTCGCGATCCCGTAAATCCCGAGCTTAAGGTCTTCACCGCCAAACTGCACAAGATAGAAAGGATATTTTGAAAGGAACATTTCCGTTTCGTTCCTCTGGCGCGGATCCTGAGGCTGTAAATGAAGACCAGAACTTCCCAGCCTGTTTTGCTGGCCCTCAGGTATCTCGTTAGCACATGCGTCTTCCACGGATAGGGGTGATGTATTCTCTTACTAAAACGTCTATTATTCTTAATAAAATATCTTAATAAATAAAAACCTTTAATAGTTTAATTTTTGGAAAGAATATTTTTATTTGCAGATTAATAGAATTAATATAATACAGAATTAAAAATTATATTTAAAATAAATATCAGTTTAAATAATTGAAAATATAATAATTATTTTTTAAAATAAATATATAAATATTTAAAATTTAAAAGCTTAAAAATTTATCTATATTAAAATATATATATATCTAATAGTTATATCTATTTCTTCTTTAAATAGACTTACTATTAATTAACTATTATTATAACTTATTTTAACTGTATAGTATAGAATTATATTTAACATTTAGATTATTAGTTTTCTATACAAGCTCAGTAGCTGCATATGTCGTTTATTTTTAAATATCTCGTAATGGCGCGCTGAGCCGCAGTGTGGACGCGGCAGTGCAAGGGCGTACACGCGCGCGGTTAGTTCAAAGAAGAACCGGTGTGTTTCAGTTATCTAACTTAGCGCAATTAGATTAGCGCCAGTAGCCCAGCCAACTCATCCTTTCCTTTCCAGGCCAGTCGAAACACGAAACCAGCTGTACGCGCGGCTTTGGCATGCAGATACGAGGACTCCTTCAGCCTCGGGATTGCCCCAGAGTCCCACCAGGTGCCAAAGGACTCTGAATCCACAGCCCAGACAACATCATCCTTCTGTGAGAGAATTCCCAAACACCTCGCGAAGGCCCTCCAGACCTTCAGTCAAGCGAAAGGGACATTACGTTATTTATAATACTAAAAGGTCAGGGTAGGCGCCAGAGGTCGTGGCGCCGGTCCAGATGTCTCGCTTCCATCGTGGCTGCGTCACGACCTGCGAGATTTGTTGACACAGGGCCATGAAGGGGTCGTCGCGCCAGTTCAAGCCCTTATCGACCCCAACGCCAAATCACTTTGAACACATGGGCAACAAGGCGGGTGTTGTGGCAGGTACAGTCAATTGTGGGATTACGAGAGTGCTGAAGTGCGGTTTCAGATCAGGAGCATGCTGGTCGCCATGCCCCTGAGTAGCATCCTTTGCTGATGGGGCGTTCGAGACGTCTGCTGCCATTCCCTTCGCTCTGGCCATGTACATTGTACTACCCGTTATACACCCATCTGCCTCCTCTTAAGATCAAACTACGATACTAAGACTCGACTATTGTAGCTTTGCTTGTAAGCGAGGGGATGGCCGATGGCGCGCCAGGTCACTACCCAACGAGTCTCGTGTCCTGCTGATAGCTGGACCCGTCGATATTATAAGTGTGTCTATTGGTCGTTGATTACGCGTCTCCTTACTTCGTACTCGGTAGTGTATCTTCAACATGCAGGCGTCTCTTGGCGGGCTAATTGTTTGGTCACGAAGCTAAGCCGGGGGGTAAGGTTGATCAGGCCGAGAGGGTGTGACGGATGAATGAACCCTGCTTTGTATTTACGAGCATCATTCTCAGACTGTGCCAGAATCGGAAGTCTCGGCCCATCCTTCTCAAGGACTGTGATGCGCCAGTAGAGTCCTATGACTCCGCTAGGACTAAAACTTGACCAAGGAGCCCAGTCTCTCCGTATCTCTACCCCTGGAGCATGGGGACATTGGAATGTAGCTGCCGAGGATGAACTTGTCTCATGGCCCATCTCTACGTAGGATTATCCGCCGGTGCTGCTTCGGAAAGAGCCAACTGTTATCCGAGAGCCTTGGGAAATCACGGAATGCTGATCAAATCATCAGTTTGTAGACCAGTCCAGAACTTCTGATAGCAAATAAACCCCTCACAGAGAGGGGGCCCGAGACACTCGAGACACCAATAGCATAAGAACGCTGGTCGAATTGACCGTATCCGACCCCACATAATCTAACATCAAGCCGAAGCGGCATCCGCCGTAATACCGAAACGCCGTGGGCGTGACAAGGATAGGGGCAAATGGTCAGCATCTAGCGGCACCCATGCGACCTGGGGCTTCATCAGTACGTAATTGGAAAGGAGAGACAGCTCGGATGTTCTGGAATTTAGACGGCTGATGGTGCGCCCAAGCAAGAGGGCAATTTCAAAGCAGCTGTATGACTAGACTAGAATAACCAAGACGCCAAAGAAAATAAGGACCTGTCTGGTCTGACAGGTTGGGAGGTCTCGTTTCTTCCAACAATCTACAGATGAAGGGGCTGATGATGTTGAATCTAGCCGTGAGACCCTCCCTAGATATACCGGTAGCTTGCTTGGTGTTTAGCCCACGGATCAATCCAATGGACCCTGCTTCGGGATTCATCATCAGGAGAAGTGGAAGCCCAGGGAATCCCAATGAGGTCCAAACCGACAGCATCAGTTTACATGTTAACTTGTGATATAATGCCGCGACGAGGCTTTCCAACGGCCTACAACCTCAAAGACAATCTGTCAGGCGGAGATATGGACCATAATAGCACTACCGGCAAGAGGAGTGATCGTTCCCTTTTGCCGTAGCGGTTATTGCGACACAATCTAGCTAGCACTTTCCGGAGCCTTCCAATCCTCCCAGAAAACTCGTATTTCGCTATCCAGATCTCTTTCATTCGGCTCCAGCGCCCACGCAGACATGGCTGTTTCGGCAACATCAAGCCACGGAGCCATGGCCTCACCTCGATTTCCCAAACCAGCAAAGTGAACCAGGAAGTCCCCTCTCCTTGCATGGTACTCCTTGGCGGAGCCGTTCCTTGGACTGAAATCTTCCTTCGCCCGAGGGTATGCGTTGAACCACCACTGCGGCACCCACACTGTATTATCGCGGAACTGGGGCTCCTCCAACAACAGTGCCATGGCACTCTGCTCGGTGAACTTCAGTTCAACGTCTGGACGGTAATGTCTGAAAGCCAGGATTGCCGTGAAGAGGTCGACACTCCAGCGGCTAACTCGTAACAGAAAGACGCCGTTGTTCAACCCATTCCAGTCCTTGGTGACTAGAAGTTGTATCTGTTGTGTATCCTGGTCTGAGCCGTCTTTATCGTTCGGTTTTGTTCGCTCGTTCGCGTGACGTAGGGAGGAGGGCAGAAAGTCGAGCGGGGAGCGGCAGGAGTCGAGAATGATTGTATCGCGGTCGAACCAGAATAGCCATTGTAGCCGTTCGTTTTCGGGTTTCGTCATCTCGTCCAGCAAAATCTCAAGGATAAAAGCCGGTTTGTTCCACAGGTCGTCAACGATTTTGGTGGCAAGTAAGTGGATATCGTTTTGCTGCACCTTGGCGTTCATCATGTGCGTTCCGAGGGCTCGTTGGTAATGAAGCTGCGGGTTTCCAAACTGTGCGGTGATGGTAGCCATGAGAGGGCGAGACTCTGCGAGGTCTGGGTGAGTATCGCGGCAAAACTGGGAGGTCTCCTCCCAGTTGAATCGAGGGAAGTTGAGACTCGAAGGGAAACAGTCGAGAGCTCCGTGACAATGTAGTGCTGGATCATTTTGCTGGTGTGGATGAAGAGAGAACGAGGGGAACTGATAGTCGTTTGAGTACAACCAAAGTATCTGCAAAACAAAACCGGTGGCTATGATGGCACCTAGTACTTTCAAGCTCAGCGATTTGAGGATACCCATGGCTAGGAAAGGATCTGAGGACCAAGGCGAGATGCCAAACAACGCTCTGTCCTCGGGGGCATGGTAGAGATTTTATCCTTCTTTTCGGGTCCGTAGATTGACGCGATCTTTGGGAAAGGTAACAACTCCAATCGAGATGGTGCCTCCCATTGTGGGCCAGTCAATACGAGAGTCAAGGCTGGACGACATACCGAGCGTGTCTAGCCTCTCAACACGAGGTGGTTCAGACAGACAGGATCTCGCCTCTGAGGGGCCTTGTGTGAAATCACCAATTGTCCTGATACCCATGCTGAGTCCGGGAGAAGGTTATACGAGTGGGTGGTACTTACTGCGCCATGTACCGATACGAAGGTCAGGGGTAGTCGATTTTAAGGCCCCCAAAGTACTCCACTCGTTGGGGTGCGAAACAGTTGATAGCCGAATAACGCTAACCGTTGAAGTTGTTGTCAATTACTGGCAAAGTTTAGCGTCCCATTTAGTACGTTCTTGACCGCTTGATCAGGCTCAACCGTGTGTTCGATCGAACTTCCATTCAGTGGGCTCAGGTAGCATGAAGCCTGACGGCGCGCTAGACTTGGCCAATTTATCAAGTTGATACCATAGAGGCAGCGGGATGGATGGAGGTACCAGCACAAAAATGGTGGATGATGCACCTTGGCTTATAATTAGAAGACCCCAGGCTCGACTTATGGGTCTCCATCTCCAGCTGGCATACACCTTAGAGTGGCAAGAACGATGTCTTATCTTTGCCTCGCAGCTTCAAATGCAATTTTGCACTGCGAGAAGCCAAATAAAAATATCATGGGATGGATTCATTCTACGGAGGCTTTTCAGTAGTGGATGACACAACTGTGGGCTATTCACGGAATGAGCTGGCACGTAGGTAATGATGTACGTCCTGGTACCTCGGGGAATGGAAAGACTCTGCTCTAAGAAATAATAAACGAGGAACGAGGCGATAAATACATCTTATTAGAGCCTTTTTTCTTTTCTCAAGCTGACTATTTTACTATTTAGTATCCTCTTGCTATTTATACTACTATATAGCTATAAAGTATCTTTTTAATTTAGAATATAACTTTAATAATTTTATAAGTTATATATTTTTCTTTATAAATATTAAGAAGTTAAAATACTCTAGTATATATATATATCTATATAAAGACTAAAAGCTCAATAGTAAAAAGAAAATACTAATAATACTATTAATAATATAGACTATATACCCAGTCTATTTAAAGATTAATAGTATACTTAAACAGACTAAGATTTCTAGTCTAACTAGTTATTTTCCCCAATACCTTAATAAGCTGTAGGTAACAGCTATATCTTCAAAAGGCTAGATCTGCTGGAAAAGCTAGATCTTGGAAAAGGCAAAACCCTGATGAATATAAAGGCTCTGCAGGCCTCACCTCTTCTATTCCAGTTATCCTTACATCCTTACATACACCTCAACCAACGACCATTTGGCGCAGTTAATAGTCTTCGGATGTTATACCATCCGGAGGCTGGCGGGTCTAGATATCCCTTTATGACTCTGGGTAACTGCAGAGCTAGGCTATCTAAAGGCCCTAGTTCAGAAATACCGAGGGCGTATACTTTCTCCGGCAGAAAGAGTATATATTAACAGCTTGTGTAGTACTGCATGGGCTATGCAGCTGATAAATAATATGGTGTTAGTTAACTTGCAGCTAAAGGATTGATAACTACAAGAACTTAAGGGAACTGATAGATATTGTGGAGGAGGTTATATACTTAGTAGTTAGAAGAGGCAAAAGACTATACTTAAAATTAGGATTAATAGACTAAGTCTTTTATTGATACTTATATAAGTATATAATATAGAATTTAAAATAGTAATTAGAATAGTAATTTTCATAATAATTTAATATATATATATATATTATTATATTAAATAAAATCTCTGTTTTAATAGCGGAATCTATATTATATAATAAGAAAGATATATCTGTATCTTAATAGTATCTATTTTAATCTATATCTATTTTAATATATATCTATTTTATCTAAAAATATAAATTTTCTTTTTTCTAGAACTTAAAATCCACCTGAAGCTTATCTGCCTCATTAACCCCAATCTTAACTATTACCTATATATACACAAGATATAAGTTATATTTACACTATTTATATAGCTATTTCTGTATAATTTCTTATATGCGCAATTCGGTACTGCCGATATGAACTTCTGAAAGCTCAATCTTAGCAGAGACTTGCGACCCGGTAGAACAGAGTAAGAACTTGGGCCGAGCAGAGGGAGTGTTTTCACTCGTTAGGAATCTTGGAAGGGCGTTAGAAGCTACTCTAATACTAGCACCTGTTTTTTTTTTCAGCCCAGGTCCGATACCCCGAGACTACGGTTGCGCAGCCTCACAACCAGGGAACCACTCAATACACCACCAAGACTGTGTATACATCGCACACCAGCAACATGACCTCCTGCTCCGCAAACCACCCTCGATGCACCGGCGGAACTGCAATCACTACCATTGCTGTCCCAGTATCGACTACTGTTTGCCCAGTCACCTTTGACACTGCTACTGAGGTTGTTGCGGAGACAACCAAGCCCCCGACCAAGCCACCTGGTAGCACCAAGCCGCCTGTCGTTCCCCACATTACCAAGACGATCCACTATCATTACTCCAACACCACTAAGTGCATCACACCACGAAATTGACCACGTCCACCATCTACACCACTCAGACTCGCACCGTCTCTACTTGTGGATATGGTGCTGCCTGCTCGAACGGTCCTTATGTGACGACCGGGACGATTGGTGTCTCGACCACTGTTTGCCCCATCACCGAGACGACTTCGCCCTCGACGCTTTACACCACCCAGTCTTACACCGTGACAAGCTGCCATCCTGAGAAGCATCAGTGCACTGTCGGCCATGTTACCACCACTGTGTATCCCACTGGCACGACTTGCATTTCTCAGTGGACTACCTCGGAGGCCATCCCCACTTACACTGATCCCGCTGGAAATAATACTACGTCAGTTGTGGTTGAGACTAGCTCGACTGCCGTGTATGAGCTGCCCACTTCTACCGAGTCAGCCTCGACATCTGTCTCTACACCTTATTACCTTAACAGCTACGGTTACAACGTCTACCAGGCTGCTGCCGTTGACGGAAGCTCCGCCACCTCCACCACCAACCTTGTTCTACTCACTAGTGCCGCTGGTCGTGTTGCTAGTGGTATTGAACTCATCACTGAGGCTTTTGCCGTCATGGCTCTTTTCCTTTAGTTAGAGCATCACGAATCACGAATCTTGCACGAGTAGACGCCCTACATATATAGTTTGGACAAATAGTTTGGATATTAATAGTTAGCATGTGAATACAGAGCTTTACAGCCAAGATTCACTTCCCTCATTCTTGAAATTGACAAAGCGTGTTCTACGGTAATTGAAGGAACTATACCTCTAAGTATAGGTCATGCATACATGAAACTTCAAACCCACCTGTTCATAGCTTCGCCTCCTGAGCCTTTCTCTTTGCCTTTTCCAAGTCTCGCAACTTTCTTCTCAAGATCTTTCCCGTTGGGCTTTTGGGTATCGCATCGATAAACTCGATTCCTCCTTTCAGCCATTTGTACCTTGCCTTGTGATCTTCCACGTGCCTCTGTATATCACTAATCACCGTATCCTCTGATTTGCCTAAAGCGATACTCGACTTGACAACATAAGCCTTGGGGACCTCTCCTGCGCGTACGTCTGGAACCTGGATGACTGCGCAGTCGCCAATATCAGAGTGTGTGAGTAGATGTGCCTCTAGTTCAGCAGGGGCGACCTGATGACCCTGTGTCGTATCAGAATGGGTATATGTAATCTCAAAAAATGGCATCACCTACTTTGACTTTAATAAGCTCCTTCACTCGATCAACGACGACAAAGTGTTCGTTTCCAGACGGAGCCATGCGCACCAACACTTCATCTCCCGTACGGATCCAACGGCCGTCTTTGTCTGAAAAGAACGTCTCTGAGGTTGCTGCTGGGTTGTTGAAATACCCCAGGCTAACGGTAGGGCTCTGAATTAATAATTCCCCAGGGGTTTCGTAATCGGTTATTTCTTTTCCGTCCACATTAATGATCTTGGCTCGGGCCGCTGGAATTAAGGAGCCCGTGGAACCAACGAGGGTATCAAGCTCGCTGCTTTGAATGAAGACGGTCGCAGTTTCTGTCATACCTAACTTGGAGGTTAGAATCAAGACATGCACAAAGATATGTGGCTCTCACCGTATCCCTGACCAAGGTGCCATTTTGGATAGATTCTCAGCAGGTCGTCAACCGTTTCTCGTCCCAACGGAGCTGCGCCGGTGTACACGAACCGAACACTACCCAGATTGTACTTTTGACACACGTCCTGTCTCTCCAATATGTGGATCACAATAGGAGGGACGATACTGAGTTGTTGGATTTTGAACCGGCTAACGGCGCCGAGGAACGACACGAAGTCGTAATGTGGTAGCACGATGATTTCATCTCCGCGAAACGCGCCCAGGTGAGTGATCAGCATGAGCCCGAATACGTGGCTGAATGGCAAAAGCCCAAGCATGACCTGGGTTTCAACATGTTGGGCTTTGCGAGCGACTGAGTCAAAAGTGGCCGTTTGGAGGATGCCTGCGATGATGTTGTAGTGGGAGATCATGACTGGTTTCTAGGCATTGTAAGCGAGTTCATGTTGGCACGAGGAATCGTCGACTTACAGGTAAACCGGAAGTGCCACTTGAATAGAGCAGATAAGCGGCCTGGCGAGCACCTTGACCTTGGGTCCAGTTCAGGGGTGGCAACTCTGGAAGTTTGGTGCCATCATCAATCAAATCTTCGATTGTCTGAAATGGTGCTTCAGCATCTGTGTCTGCCATTGGGAGGATGAAGATATGATCCTGAGGAATACCGGCGGCGCTAGCAGCCTTGAGGCCGGTATCCAACAAGGATATGCAAGTGAAAAGTGCCTTTGCGCGGGAGGATCGAAGTTGTTGCTCAAGCTCCGAGGCCGACAATGCAGCGCTAGACAGACTGACTACCCCATTGAGACGATGGATGGAGTGAGTGAGAGGGATGTAATCTATCTGGTGCGCGAAATTCAGTTACTTCGTCAACCATTGCCTACAGAGGCGACATACCGAATTGAGAGAGAAGACGGCGACGACTTGATCCCATTCTGAGGTCTGCTGCGGGTGGAATTGGAGGGCTTTACCGATGCCGCGGGCAAGGTAGTCCTCGCGCAAGATGACATCGGCGGCATTGCGTGATTTACCGGTGAGGCCGCAAGTGTATGGGTTTCGTGATTTGGCGATGGGAAAACGGCCATACGTTTCCGTACTCATGAATTCAGCGACAGAAATAGAATCCGGCGGATCTATCATCACCGTCAGCAGATGCATCCTTCAGAGAGGCGTTGCAGTGTACCGATTGGCAGTGCCGGAACCCATGATGGTGGCGTGAAAACCATGATGGAGTTGTTGCAGAAAGGAAATGAAGGTATAAAGCCTCACGGAGCCAGAAGTTGGGCCTCGGGTTTTTGTAGTCGTCTTCCCCGCGTCTTTTTCATCGAGATACCCCACTTCATCCGCATCTGATAATTTGGCTTGGCACTCATGTCGGTGAGCATCAGTTCGACGCTAACAGGAGTCACTTCCAGGGCTCGTTTCAGTCGGAGAGGAAGCTCATGGCTCCCTAGGCTTTAACTGAACTGAAGGGTGTATAAGGTCGAAAGAGTATATGCGCTTTAAATGTCGACCCTGGGCAATTAGCTTGATAGTGTCGTCTCGCACTTAGGAGATATCAGCCAGCTCGGTCTATCCGTCAATCTCAAGGCGAGTGGGGCGCCCAACCCTTGCAGAACCTCCGATTCAACCCCGACTGGCTGACGGAGCATCCGTTTACGTGGTGGCTGTGGAATGCATTTCTCCATGCTCCTGATCATCCTGGACCTCGGAAATCAGGGTGATAAGAACATCACATTGTCCCTTCTTCTACACAACGAGACTGAAACAAGCAGAAAGATAGGAATCGAAAAAGCAGCAACTCATCGGTATTGCAGTTGAAGTTCAAGTGGGCCCTCAGCACATCCACCCATTTAATTTTCACGCGAGACAGGCGGTGGAGAGAGTAGAAGCTCAGTCTAGAAGTGTACAAAGTCTCTCATCTGAGCTCCTGGTCGCATAAGAGAGGGAACAGCTCCCCAAACCCTCTGAGCATGCCGTGGAATGGCCGCGGTACTGCATCGGACGACTGAATCGCGAGTGCTGGCACCTCCTTCATCGGCGGAACATGAATTACCAAAAGGGAGCCGGAAACCACGGCCCCGGGAGGAAGAGAAGGGTGAGGCATCCGATACATACACAGACCAGCCTCTGCAATGCCAGTTGCGTAGCATCGTCAACTGGAGACTGGAGAGTCAGAGGCCCTGCAACTCCGTATGATGTGGGTGGGCTTGAAGCCGACGGTGCAACTCTTCTCAGCCGGGCTGGCGATGCTAGACACTGTCTGTTGACTTGTGATTAGGCGCTCCTCTCATGGGGGAAAGCGACGAGGAGGAACCAAATGACGCACCTCAGTCCCGAGGCTGGCAAATTTGAGGCCTAGTCCGACACGGATGGCCGAGCCTGTGCTGCTGCTGGAGGCTTTTATATAGGGCTAGAAGATGCCTGTGGCTTGCCCGCCTCTGGCACTCCATCCTGGGTTGGCATTCGTGTGTCGAAATCCGGCGAATTCGGAGAGATTGGCCGTGCCGAGGATCAGTGCGCCGGCCTCGCGGAGTCTCTTGACGATGCCGGCTTCAGCTGAGGGTCTGGCGCCCGGCAAAACAGTCGAACTGGAGGTGGCCTCGATCCTATTGAGCGCAGAGATGTTGTTCTAGAGAGGGAATGGGAGGCCATGAAGCAGGCTGCAGCAAGCGCCGTCAGTTTGTCCGCCGGTCATGGATGGCCTGGCGATCGGGTCTTGCCACCTACCTTCTCGGTCCTTTCTCCTGCCGCTCGCGATCCAGCTCCCGAGCCGTGGTTTCGGCATCGGGATTAATGTCAACAACGTCATTGAAGATGCTGTTGACCTCGGCTATCCTGGCCTTGTAAGCCTGCGCAAGTTGTGCGGATGTGAACTGTTTCCGAGAGAGCCCTCGTTGCAGATCGTCGAGGGCGGCATCGATTAGCGAGGGTACCTTGTCTTGGAGGCTGTCGGAACCAGAATCCATTTTTCTCCTTTCTTCGCCTCGTTTGCGCGTATGGGACAAAAATTGCACACACGCGTGATTCAGAAGCGGGAAACTGCGCAAGCAAAAGAACATCACATGGATTGAGAGGGTTCGCCAGGCTGACATACCCTCGTCCCTGATCGTCTCATCTTGACCCAGGCTGCGATGAAAAGCATGCAAAAGAAAATTTCCAAACGAATCTTGACCAGGTGTCGCATGGCGCAGTACGTGACTCGTTTAACAAATCGAACTGTATCGCGCAGGATGTGTCTCATCAAATGCTTCGTTGTATCTCTGCCAGAGGGTGGGCAGTGAGCAGTGAAAGGAAGAGCCTAGGCCGACCCCGGTATGCAGGTATCCGGAGCGAAACTGCTTCTCTACACGCATCTCTTGAATTGGAGGTAGGGAACACCACGGATCCGGGTTGTCTTTTGAGAAACACGGGGGTCTCGGGACTGAATCGCCCCGAACTCTCAGATGCGTCAGCTTCTACGTTGTAAGCCCGGTAATTGAAGTATGAAGCTCAGTCAAGACTATTTCATGCGGTGCTTCAGATTATTAGAGCGTTCACAGGAGAATGTAATGGTATTTTATGATGACTGTTTGTCTGGTTTCTATTTTATCGCTCATCGAATCCTACACTTTTCATCCTAGCCAAGATGAGCTATGACAGTTTACAGTATTGTTCTCATTCTTATTTATCCCCAACTCCCGTCATCTTGTTAAAATGGTTGCCTATGAAGTAGAATATGATACTGTTGTCGTGCGTGTCTGCATGATCGATTTGTCAGACCTCATGCTCTGACCATCAAACGAGCCTTGCAGTACATCATTCCAATCGTTACCCTCTCCATTATTTTGAGCTTTTACATCGACTATCGTCTGCAGCGGATACATTGATCCATCGTCAAAGCGTTTGTATCTATCATGCCTCGACTTATTCGAGGTTCCTGTAGTAGTGCTGGCGTTGGGGAGGGATCGGGTAGTGTCAGATTGAAGACCGCTGGAACCAAGAAGCCGAGGGAATAGATGCTTGACGAAAGGTTTAACCGTGGTGAGGCTAGCGCAGATGCACGAGAGATTGGCTTCCGCGAAGCTGATTTGTAAGTAAAAAATTAAAAGCGATGTAATAAGATGGTGAGCAACGTACACCCAAAGTAAGACGGGAACACCAGCCCATGACTGGTCTGGATTGGTCATCGTCTGATTAAGCATTACTAGCCTCATGATGGAAGTAAAAACAGTTCTGTTGATCCGTGAGCTAGCAATTCGTAGTAAATAATAGTGAACCAGTCTTACACTCCACCAAGGCCAAAGAAGCATATCACTCCGACTTTTTGTTTTAGTTGCATTTGAAGCGGTATTACCACCGGGATCGAAACAGCGAGCACCATAACATCTGTTATGGCACTCGAGGCAGCATTGGCCTTGTACACGGCATTTCTGTCGATGCATTTTCCATCCGTGATAGAGAGGTCCCATGCCGCCCTTACTGGTTTACAAGGGAAGATAGTAGCGAATATCGTTGCGACTGAGGATCCGATGACCGCAAAACCAGTGATCCAAACTGTGACTTGGAACCAATAGCTTGGCGTCAGTCTCCGGTAGACAAGTAAAAGCGCCATTTTAGTGCCGAATTGGACGGGGTTGTAGAGAATCGCAAGGAGATATGCGGCTTGCAGGAAGAGAACGAAGTTGGAGAAAGGGATTTCCCAGCCGTGAACGCCGGCTGTGCCCCGAATAAAGTGACCTGAGTTGCGCCATCTGTTAAATCTATCTTGAAAAGAAGAGACTGGAATGGAAAGAGACATATTTACTGATGGTGAAGGATTGCCAAACGAGTGAGAAAATCTATCGCGGTCAGTTCAGGGTTCTGCCGAGATTCAGTCGCTCAGGGAAGCCATATGATTATGCGACAACTTCACTTACATAGGCGACAAGTAGAAAGCCTGTTAAACAGTTAGTGGTGAGCTTGAGAGCTGTGCAATCAGGAGGACGGTGATTGATCAATAGTCTCTTACGTACCATCTTCCAGGTAGACCATTCTGTGGATGACCGCTCTAACATAGAGCCTTTGCAACATGAACAAAAGGCAAATGAAGTCGCCAATAACGAACAAACAGTATGCTGCAGTCTCGCCGTTTCGTTGAGGATTCTCGAAATCAATGTGATAGCCTTCGGGTGGCGGAAGAGCCACATGGACCCCGTCCACGACAGTAGCCATGAGAATGCTAGTCGTTGGCAGAAATTAAAGGATACGATCACGGATAACCGTAAAATAAAAGGAATCTTGTGATAGTAGCAAACCTGGGAAGTTTGTGCGTCAATTTGCGAACACAGAATCGACTGGGAATGTGGGGATGTTGTACGAGGTTGCATCTTAAAGGGCTTTGATTGACCAAGAAACCGCCACTAATTACCACCCTCCCCGCATCAAGCCTTACCGAAACAGATAATTTCGGGTCGCTAGCGGCCGATCCCAGCTATATCGGAAGTGATCCCGACGCTGGTCATGATTCAAGACGAGATCAGAGAATGAGAATGTTACACAAAGACGCCACGCCCAATTTTCGACGCAAGCCATTATTAGCCTCAGATGGCTAAGTCACTTCCTCCAATCGGGTCCTCCGCATCCACCGCACCCGATTTGTTAGCGGTGCCGAGTTGCGTGCAGTTCGCAAGCTCTGCTTCGAGCAGGATGCCTCACTGATACTTATAGTCTATCGCTGCGACACCCACATCTATCCTTCATTATTGTTCATAAGTCATAGCCATTGATGAGCCTGATGAAGCATGTGCCTGAAGTACCTGATATCCAAGACCCATGCTCAATACAAAGGATGGGCAGTAAGGAATGAGCCCGAGTAAATAGTGCACGTCGGCCGCTCCAACCTAGACAAACGATTCCCCTATTGATGATCTCCACCAGATCACTGGGAGCCAGCGACGCTTTGTGACAGCAAGTTCTTTGAATAGGAAGAAGAGTAGGGACAGACGAAGCCGGATTGGAATCAATGGTCTCCGTTCTGTGCTGCTTCACAAGCAAGACGATCAACAATTTCGGTTGGCGGCTTATACGTAGACTGGGCCGTGTATAGTATAGTACAAATTCTGACTCGGAATTGGATGTTCTTATACACGAGTAATTGAACTTTCGGTCCGAATGCTTGCATGCCGCGTTGCAATGGCAACAAATATTGTTGGGCGGAAAGAAGGACACCGGCCGGGGTGGAGTGGATACTGTAAGCGGAGTAGATCTCTCGGATCCGGACCCGTGGATGCCGCGGATCGCGTGGAGCCATTGTCCGAGATGACGGCCCTTCACACGCAGATGAATGCCCCTCGTTTCACCGTACGAAAGTATGGGTCATATAATAGGGTCTGATACACCTGCATTATACACGCCAGAAGTGACGGATTATGCGTCAAGAAAACTTGCCTTCTCATCAGTCCCTCCCTTGGGTTTGCTTCTTATGGGGTGAAGTAGCATGCTGGTTCAAAGATTTGCTCCGTTATCGCCCAAGATGCTCTACGTCTCAGCGTCATTTTTCCAATACAACCAACAGTTCTATCGGCATTTGATCTACTGGATAGATGCAATGCTACATCACAGACAACATGGAAAACAGGCCGCATGAATACGAACTGCCGACTCCGAGTCAGCACAGACGAGGATATTGTCAACTTTGTCTCAAAAAAGGGCCCACAACGGGTCAACGATCAATCACATAAGGAAATGATTCACACCGGTAGATTCACATGAGAAAGCATAATAAACCACATGCAGAATGATCAACCATCTATTTGCTAAAACTTCGAATCTATCCACTTATGCTTGGGGCTTTGGCGCATCCGGAATCCGTCGTGATTCTCATATAAAGCGGAAGTTGAAAGCGATGTCGATTTCTATTTCCTTCATCAAGCCTTTTTCCAAACACAACGACTACGACCAATCGCTGCAACCACTCGACAAACATGAGCTCTGCACAATGGACAGAGACCTGGTCCAGATACGATGCCATAGAGAAGTCGCTTCCCTTCGTCATCGCAGTCGCGCTTGTTCTTATCATTCATCGTGCTTCCCAAGCCCCTCGCTCTGATGTTCCATTAGCCAATCCCAAGAAGAGGCCGGAATTTTCGAGACAGAGAGCAAAGAAAGACTTTGTGTCGCATGCGAATAGACTTGTTGGAGACTGGTTCAAAACGAATCCGAACAAGCCGATGCGCCTCATTGCAGATGTAGAGGAGATTACGGTACTGCCCCCAAGCTTGGCACAAGAGATCAGAAACGATAAGCGCCTGAGCTTTAACCAGTGGACTTACAAGGTACTGTCAAGTTGCTTTTGGCCATTGCTGGCTCTATAGTTGACACCGAACAGGCGTTTCATGGCGATTTATCTGGATTCGAAGGCTTTGCCGCAGGCACAGGAGGTTCAAATCTGGTCCAGACAGTTGTCACTAAGGATCTCACCAAATTTCTCAGTAAAACTCCTTATTCTTAATCCCACCATATAATGGCTTGACTTACTAATTTGAACCGTGGTAGACAAGATCACTGAGCCTCTTGCGGAAGAGACAACCATGTCGTTGAAAGAATTGTTTACCGACGACGCTGGTAAGGTTTCACATGAGTTTGGGATGATACACGCTAAGGTGACATAGAATGGCATACGATACCAATGAGAGATGTGATTCTGCAACTGGTTGCACGCATCTCTTCGCGCGTATTTCTCGGCCCAGAACTTTGTCGCAATGAGGCTTGGCTTCGAATAACTCGCGAGTATACTGTTACAGGGTTTCTGGCAGGCGAGGGGCTCCGTCCGTGGCCGGAATTCATGCGCCCTTTCGTCCACTGGGTTTTGCCAGATTGTCGTAAGTTGAGGAAAGAAGTCAGTGAGGCTCGCTCCATCATCGAATCCACTGTTGATCGTCGCCGACAATTGAAAGACGAACTCGTTGCTGGGGGCAAAGATGTGCCCGAATACAACGATGCAATTGAATGGTTCGAGAAAGCGGCCAAAGGCGCGCCTTATGACCCTACACCCCTACAGCTCAGCCTGTCTCTTGCGGCGATCCATACGACAACCGATCTGCTTACTCAAGTCCTGACACGAATCTCGCAAAACCTGGATATCTTGAAGCCCCTCCGTGAGGAGATTACTTCCGTTCCTCAAGATGAGGGTTGGAGCAAAACGTCCTTATATAAGATGCAGTTGCTGGATAGTATTATCAAGGAAAGCCAGCGGATGAAACCCACTGATATTGGTCAGTTGGCAGGACCTTTTACGTATTGTATCGCGCTAATCTTGGAACCAGTCACGATGATGCGCCTCGCCGTTGAAGACGTCAAGCTCTCTGACGGCACCTTGATTCCGAAAAACACCGGTCTGGGTGTATCCTCGCACAGAATGTGGGATCCCGCCGTTTACCCTAACCCGGATCAATGGAAGGGTACTCGATTCTACGAAATGCGCGACGAGCCTGGAAAGCAGAATTCCTCCCAGCTTGTATCTACAAGTCCAGACTACCTCGCATTCGGTCATGGCCAGCATGCTTGTCCGGGCCGCTTCTTTGCGTCAAATGAGGTCAAGATTGCCCTGGTTCAGATTATCATGAAATATGACTTTGAATTAAAGGAAGAGGTGTCGCCACAGGTATACAAGCATGGGTTCGTCCTGAGTGGTGACCCGTCCTTGGAGTTGCGGATTAAACGGCGTGCGGAGGAGACAATAATATAGGTGGACTGATACGACTTGCAGTTCATTGCTTCAAATACAGCCTGCTTTCCGAGAGGCCGTCGTTCTCAGTAGCAAATATTACATGTACCACAGAAAACTTTTGGTAGTACGTCACAATAGGTATTGACCCAAAGAGATCCAAAGATGGGTATTCAGCAGTAGCTAGCAGTATCCGTACAGCCAAATACAGTGGTGGTATTCCCTGTGTGCCTGACCCGCTCCAACATCATCTCAGACTAGTCATCTTTCCCCCCAAAGTTACCGCGTTGAGCGTGGTAATCCTCTCTTGTCTCTCAATCCACTTTGCAACAGCCATACCTACCGTCAGTTCCGCCGACACTGTGCATTTCGGTTCTAGGGAAACTTCTGATCCCCCTCACACTGACACGTTGCTGACTTCGAAGGTCTGTACGGTGCCTGACTCAAACCATGACCAGAACTTGCTCCCATTCAGGAATGTGTCTTGGTGGTTAACATACTGCTCACCACCACCTGTCGCTGTGCTCCAGCGCGGTACTAGACTGCCGTCTTTGCCTGGTGAGCTGAACTTGGATAGATCAAAGTTGATATACTGGGCACTTCCCCAATTCGCAGCGACGATTACCAGCTTGTGGTTTTGAGCATCATACGCAGCAATAGAGTCGGCGTCGCTGGCTGTCAAGATCTGCATGCCTGGCCGGATGTGACGCGAGAACTGCGCGAGAACGAAGTATTTCTGGGTTGCCGAGCTGAGTGTTTTCTTGTCGTTATCACCCACGATGAGGCCCCAGCCTGTGATGTCGACAGCTTGCCAGTACACCCACGCGGTAGGGTGCAGCCACTTGAAGTCCAAGAGGAGATTTTGGTAGAGACCTTTGCCGCTGCCATCGCTGTCGCCATACTCGCTGTTCCAAAGTTGCTTCCCGGCTGCCTTTGCAAGGCTGTACAGCAGGTCGCGTCTTCCACCGCCTCCTTGGTAACCGTGAACATTGATGCGCTTCACTTTAGATTTAGCATCGCTGTCAAGGCTGTTCCAAGTCGCGACAGCATCGTCGTAACTTGTTTCATCGGAGGCTGAAATCGCAATGGCTGAGAGACCGCGCGTATCAAGCTCACTTCGCATGTTCTTGATAACAGTCGCTTGAGTGGCGACATCAAAATGACAGCCTTCCTGGGTACCATCGCTTTTCCAATAACTCGTGACCGGCTCGTTGAAGGCGTCGACAGAGTTGAAGTTAATACCCCAGTTATCATGGGCGTACTTTGCAATGGTCGCGAGATATACGGCATGCTGGCCGTAGTTCCACGATTGTAAGTTATCAGTCGCGCCACCATCAGACCCAGAAGGGTTGTGGTTCTTGCACATCCACCACATGGGAGAGTTAGAAAAAAGCTCAAAAATGGTTGCCCCTTTATCGCGTGCCTTCGACAGCATGCCGCGTTGGTTTTTATCGACAGTCCAGTCCCAACTAGAGGAGGAAGGGCTGCTGCTGGTCCAGTCCTTCCAGAAGCCATCCATTTGCCGAGATGGCAAGATGTTTGGCGACACTACCATTGTGGAGCCATCAATACTGTTGGTGCTGCCAGCTCCAGCATTGTAGCGCACGATGTTAAACCATAAACCGGGAAGATTTTGGCCATTCAAAGTTTTCGAGTCGGCAGAGAAGAAAAGGGTAGCTAAATCATCCCGGTCACCGAAAGCCTTGGCCCACCAAGCGAGGGAAACACCCCATCCCTCCCACGTTCCCCAGGTAGATGTAGGATCAATGGTAGATGTTTTATCAGCGGCCGTGATGGGAATGCTGACCGCAGCCAAAGCCAACAAGAAGAGATGGTGGCAGTACATAATGAGAAGGATAGTGTTGTTCAAGGGGCGCGATAGAAATGTGGCGGAGGCATCGGTTGGATGTCTGGCATGATTTATACCTCAAGCCCAGGGCCGAATAAATACGACAATACGTCATGCACCGTGTTGAAATAAATATCTCCACGCCATCAATGTGCGGGGAAGGCGAAGTCCCGTAAGTTATGCTCGTGATCCCCATCCTGCAGCTCCTTGGTTCCGTCTAGCCGGAAAGCCCCACGTGGTCTCCTGGCTATTCATGGGTCGTCGTCTGAGGAGCGTGTAGCAACACGCTATGCTAACGATGGAGAGAAGTGGCTCCAAGGGGACAAGGGTGGGAAGGGCGGGGGAAACGGAGCCGAAGATAGCCTCAAAGAGGTATTATTCCGTCATCGCACTGTCGGAGCAACAGCATCCCAGCTTCAGAAAAGAGAGAGCAAGGCTAACAAGGGACGATTGATGGAGGTTGCTCAACTACTAAATTCGCATGTTCTCGCCTATTCTTTTCGAGGGCGATAAGACAACAGATTCCGAAGATTGAAGTAAAACAAGAGGAGTTTAGTGCAGCGGGCATAGTGGTGAAGAAGAGAGCCAGGTTTGTACGGGGCTCATCATTGCTTAATGTTAAAAGTACAGGGCTAACGAATGCGAATACTTGACAAGTCGTATCCGTAGACTCTGCAATCGTATTCGATCAGATTGCCCAGCCGTCCCTTAGCATCCTCGTCTGGAAAACTGGGAATGTGTGAGGGAAAACTTCTAGCATACAATTTCAGGTGCTTTCCGAGATTTCCAGTAAAACAGACGCGCCATGATTGATTGGTGGGCATGGGACTGTCTCGGGGATGTCGGAGCCGAGTGGCGACAATCAGAGCCAATTGTTTGTGTTCCACTTCGGACCGGATCGAAGTTCTGAACCCACTATCCTAAACCATCACGGAGCCGGGGCTCCGGTCACGCTAATAAAGAAGCCATGGTCCGGTCAAGGCCGGCGAGGAATCTCGAAACAGACAAGACGCGGGGAAGACGGAGCGGCGAAGACTGGCACAGGCGTCATGGATGAAACTGGCACGGTATAGGCGAATTTTGGTGGAGAAAAAACTTTGAGCGGCATAATAGAATCCTAATGAGTCAATTTCTCAACAACTCCCAGCCTTTAAATCCGTCCAAAGTCTCGAACCTTTTTTGGGGAGAAAAAGAATATGATAAGGAGTGAAAATGGCGCCGAGGCGGCTCATTTATCACTGCGTTAGTGTCAAAAAGCTACAGCAAAAAGAAATTGCACTCTATTGGTATACAGTCCGAATTTGTTTATAAGTATATATTAAATGAATTAAAATAATATTAATCTTAATAGGCTTTATTTCCCACTTATAAACTTATTAACTGATATTATTTTTTTTTTAAATAAGAAAGGAAAATTGTTATTAAGTTCAACCGAGGTATTTGACATTGAAACATTAATCAATATGTTATTTATTTATTTAGTATGTACCAATGCTAAAAACACATTAGACGTTAGCTTACACTCTTCTCTAACTAGGTAAGATCAAAATACGGAAATGTCAGAGGTTCCATAATACCGAGTCGCAGTCTAATAAAAGTCAGGTTTAACGGAATGTACAGAAACTCAGAGCGGGGACTTGACGCAATCAAGAACAGATATCCACCCAATCGGATACTACATACAATCCAGGCTCTTGACATATCCAGCCCACCGGCCATGTCAAAGGCTGGGCTCTGGAAACTAGGCTAGGGAGAAGGGACCGTATCTTTTACGTCGAGAGGGTCGGCGGGACCGGCTAACCTGCCAAGGATTGCTCCAGTCAAAAAGTTGTGCAGATCCTTCCGATTTTCACAGTGTAGTGGAAGTGACAGGGGTGTTAAGTCGGATGTTGATTGTGGGGTTAGAGGATATAATCATACAAACCTTGTGAGAAGCGCACCAATCCTGTAGATGGTGGCGTGATGGTGGTAGACTGCGAAGCCGGGCAGCCGAAACTTTGGCAGCTACACAGGCCAAGTCTCATGATCATCCCTTCCAACACACATTGGCCTTGCTGCCTCGCCAATTTTGACTTGGTTGTTCTCGAAGATTGGGGATCCTCTGAGGTTTGCTATCAGGGCTCTCTCCGAGATTGCGGAGTATCGTCGAAAGAACAAGTTCAGTCCAGGCAAAGTTAACTATATTGTGTCGCTACGGAAGTATTTCTATGGTTAAGGGAAGCCCTATATTGATCTTACTCTTTTGGCTATCGGAAAACTATGGGATATAAAACTCTGGGACTGTTCAGGCAATAGCAAGTAGACATCGGATAAGTTCCTACCTCCATGAAGAGAGAAAATCCATTGCAGCTTACAATACACTCAATTTAACAGATCGGAGCATATTGCGTTTAACTCGCTTATCAATTATGCAAGGTCACAGCCAATGACTGGGCGTTGTCCCATTCTGTTTGCTGTGCAATAAAAAGCAAATCGGCCAGCTTAGTCACTCCACGAGTTGACATACAAGTGGGCCCATGCAAATTTTTATCCTAACGTATTGTTTTTGATGGGCTTCGTGTTGGGTTGCGCACAGCTATCTCGAATAATACACCTTAATATGCATCAGATACCAGGCGATACTCAACATGGGAAATCGGAGTGCCTGTACGCGATCAAAAAAACGCCAAACGGCCACGGGCTCTTTGCACTTGAAGGGATTCAGGCGGGCACCCTGATCATCCAAGAAGAACCTCTTTTGACAATCTCACGAGAAGAAACTCGATCAAGACAAGAGTATATGTGTGTCATGTCAAAAGTGGGACGATTACAAGGCGAGGCCCAAAGTCGACTCATAAGACTGTACCACAACCCGAAGAAGCTGCAAGAGTTCGCTTTTCTTGAAGGACGGATGTGCCCGGGCACAAATCTTGATTGTGCACTTGTCCTGGCCAAATTCTACACAAATGCTGCGACTATATCTTCAGGCAAATTGCAAGTCGGCTTATATCCCACCTTTTGTCGCATGAATCACGCATGCACGCCGAATACGAGCTGGATGGCCGACGACGTGACTGGGACGATGGAGGTCTATGCTGTGAGAGATATTATGGAGGGAGAAGAAATCACCGACTCGTACACGGATGTTGCACGATCTCGAGAGAGTAGGGGCAAGGAGCTACGAAATTGGGGTTTCGAATGCGAATGCAGCGTTTGCGACGGACCCGAGGCCGCTGAGCACGACATACGGAGACGCCGGGTTGCACAAATCAGGGGGATCTTGGAGCTTTACGAAGAAACTGGTGGAGACGAAAAACCCATATTTGCTGAGGTCCCAAAGAGCGACCTGGAAGCCCTGAAATTGGCGGAGGAGAGTCTCGCATTGCTGTCAACGGAGGAGCTTGTCGAGGACCTTGGCATTGCACATGGGTTGTGCGCGAAATTTGCCCGAGCGGCTGGGTTGAATGATGTTGCGGATGATCACGAAGAAAGGGAGTTTGAAATCCTTGTTCGAACGACTGGAGAGTGTATAGAATGAGACTCGCTTTGTAGAAGGAGCGTACGTTAGAACAAAAACCGATGAAATAAAATAACTAGAGATTTAAATATGGATTTCAGTGTTTCTCCAAAAGCGGCTATAGTCTCCAGTGCAGGTGAACGGGTCCCTTTAAGAGGTAGGTAAAGAGAGACAGGCGGTGCCATCATGCTGAACAAGGGCCCGATAGTGGTATGGATGGGAACTGAAAGTCATAAGAGCGCTTGTTTTATGCTTCCTGCCGCCTGTCTAGCGCATAATATGAAAATGGAAGGATATCAATTCATATTCACGATTGATAGCAAGGATGGTATACAGAGGACGTAGCTCCACGAGGGAATTGGCTTCAAACCTGGTACAATCTACTTAGTCTCTTCCCATACCAACCCTCCACCTGGGCAGTCTACTGTTTGATAGCTGTGACAGCAAATGCGTTGGCGGTAAAGGTTCCATTCGGATCAGCCGTGCCCCTCGCCTTGCCCAGCGTCTGGTACTTCTCCTCAGTCTCATAATACGCCTGCCAAACCTCCGGCTTCGACATGTCCCAGTCACCCCACGAGCCCCAGAGCAAACGCCTGTCCTGCTGGCTGAAAGTGCTCTTCGGTCCAATCATGGCAGCATCGTTGTCCTTTTGCCAATTGAGAGCGTACTGATGGTACTGGTCGGCCGCATCATGGAAGCAGTCCATGGTCTGCACCATGGTCGAGTCTCTCCAGCTGTACGAGGTGCCATTGTCCCGGTTGACGTAGAACTGGGAGTTGTCGCCTCCAAACCCTTGGATTTGTACTGAAAGCTTGCAATGATCGTAGATGTCTTGCTCCTCGGGGGTCTTGGTCTTGTCCAGCTTCTGGTTCGGGTCGAGAATCAAGTTCAGACGGTTCACCACGACGTCAACCCAACCATCCGTGGAAAGGGTTCTAGAGTTTGTAGCGTAGGTGCGTTTCACGTAAGGGAGGTCAAACTCTCGTCGCTTGGGGAAAATCCATTTCTTGGTGATCTCAGCCATGTTTCCGTCGTCTTCTTCGAGAATGAGGAAGAAATCGTGCTCGCGCAGATTACGAAATTGCTGGAACCAATTGTCGACCGTCGTATCGTACGTGTCTTCCTTGTTGATTGGGCACCACTGTGCATAAACCACCATGATGGCTGGCAGTTTTCCGTTCAACAAGTTGAGGACTTCACCCCCAACGGCTTGCGCAACCCTCTGCAACATCGATTGGTAGTTTTTATCATCCTGCAAAGAGGGGAATAGCAGTGAGACCGGAAAGTCGGTACTGAGAACGCTGATGCAGAGGTCGTAGCCTCGAGGCATGGCAGCGTTATCGGACATTTTAGCAAGGAAAGTAAGCAGCTGTTTGAGGATGTTGGCGTTGTAGACGAAGAGCCCCTTCATCCAATGCGGGCCCTTGTAGTTGCCTGGACCGACAACGGTTCCCATGTAGCTCTTGGCCTGGAACACTTCAATCACGTAGTGTGTGATGATGCCGAAGTTGCCGGGACTACCTCCAAGAATGGAGTTGAAAAGATCCGTGTTGGTTTCCTTGGTGACCTCCGGGATAATCGTGCCGGTATGATCCACCATGCGAATAGCCCTGATGTGATCTCCGAGCAGGCCGAAGCTACGACCAAGCTGGCCGTAACCACCAGTCTGCCCATGACCACCAGTGCAAACATAGGCGCATTGCCCGTGAGGAACAAAGAGTCCGTTGTGTCCGAGCCAGGCGTTGAAGTCCTGGAGCGCGTTGCTGACGCCGACATACACCATCACTCTATCAGGCGAGAGTTTGTCAGACGGCAGCACCATCATGTCTTTGTAGGTGTTGCTGAGGTCGAGCTGGATGTTGTTCCCGCCGGTAGACGAGGCACCGCTGTACTGGTGCCCGCCGCTCTTGACGGCGACCGAGACCTTGTTGCTCACAGCCCATTGGACAGTCTTGACGACGTCCTCGTCGCCCTTGGGCTGCACAATGAGAGAGGGGTACATGTCATGCTCCTGTTGGTAGGACGAGGTTGCGTACTGCCTGTTAAAGAAGGAGTAGTCCGATTCCTCAAACTGAGAACCGGTGCGGGAGTATTGCATCCCCTGGATTCCTTCGATATGAACAGCCATGATTTTGGTTTGAAAGAGGGCAGAAAGTCGATTGAGTAAAGTGTCTGACGTTCAGATCTGCCGCTTGCATTGCGGTGCGATCGACTCTTCTTTATAACCATTATTCTCGACCATCCGGCTCGGTAACTCCACCCTAGCACGCTCAATAGCTTCGGCATTTGTCCCATGCCGATGTTCAAATCAATATAAGAAATGCCGATTGGCACATCCTCAAACCGGATAGTTGCAGCCAATGTGCTTGTTTATCACACATTCAGCAATGCAATGCTTGCACCGGTCTCGCTCCTGTGCCGTTCGATCCAGCAACTAGCCTGATCTGTATCAACATCGAATGCTCCAGAACTACGAAGACGCTCAGTTTCTAGCATCGCCGGCCACCTCAGCCAGCCACAATGCCCAAGATCATTGGTTTCGCAGCCCGATTTGGCTCGATGACCTCACAACTGATAGCCCATGACCCCGCGAAGAGAACAACTACCGGTCTACCTGTGTCTCGCATCTCTGACCGCTTCTTATTCATATGTTTGTTGAGAAGGATTGCCGTTCCGTCAGCCCCCTTGCAGCATTCATATGGACTTCTATTCGTTCTACTCGGCACACGGCCCGCTCCGGTCAAAAAGGGCTTGCAATAGCCCCAAGCCACTGCGGGGAAAAACATGCAACTCCAGACTCAGTTGTATCTTTTTTTTTTCTGCTGCACATGTGCGTGACGTGGCGAAAGACCTGATATGCATCGGTGACCTGAAAAGAATACTTGGTCGTAGATGCCCAAAGAGACATCCTGTCCTCAAAGTGTATGACGAACAAATGAAGACTCCTGTCTCTGGCGCACGGTACTGACCGGGGTCGAGAATGTACAACAAGAAAAAAAGACCAAGCAAAGGGAACGAGCAAAAAGGAACAAGTGATGCTCTATCTATATCAAGCATCAACATGTAACCATTCCGATGCCAGCGGATTGACCGGCGTTAGGGTACGGAACGGGCCGGACCATGAACTAGTGCAATGAATCGAATGTCATGCGTTGAACCTCGTGGTGTCCCATAATGTCAGATTTACACCGTGAGGCCAAAAATGTAGTGCAATAATAATCATTGGTATATGCTTGTGTATCTGGGTCTATACCGCACTCTGATAAATAGTTTGTTGGTGGGAGAGGTCTATATTGTAGACCACATCCGTCTGTAGGGTAGGGGCCAGGGATAAGAGATAAGATAAGACAACAGAAAAGCTACCGTAAAATCTCACTTCCATGGCAAAAAGTAGCGCCGCACTAGCACGTAATCAGGCCTATCAAACCACCAGAAAGAATCTCGAGAGTGGAGTATGACTCTAATAGCGGTGCGCTAGACTTTGCCAAAGAATTGAGATTTTACGGTATCTCCAGAGGGTTTTAGACACAGCGAGCAATTTTAATCTACTGCTTTTAGATACCTAAAGAAGAAGAAGAGGGAAAATATCGAGAAAAGCTGCTGCAACAGCTGTAATAGGCATGTTGAGAATGAAGGTGTTATATTAATGAAAAAAGGAAAAAAGCGTGCTGCCTTGTTTTCAACCAGACTGGACGCGTTTCGTTTAGGAGAGCTACCTTGGGGTAGCAGCTGGCCTCTGCTGTAATTGAACTCCAAATGGACCGTTGGCCGCATCACCATAGTCGAGGCAACTCCTCAAGCCGCTCCTCAAAGTCCCCTGAGGTCCTCGGCATTCACGTAACCCGCTCAAAATTGATTACCCCGACTCTAAGATACCTAATGCAGCAGCGGTAATCTGCTCCTCAGAGGCATCGTTAAAAAATCCCTGGATCACGACTGGGACGCTGTGCGATACAACGGGCCTTCTACTGCGTGGAAACTCCACCAGAAATGCTTCCACTGCCGACTTCGTGGCCAGCGATTCCCACTCACGAAGAATTGTGCGCATTGATGATTAAAATGCTGGTACCAAGCTGCCTTGTGCTAGTTGATACTCTAGAATGATGAGGAGGCGAGACGACGAAGCAGTGATGCCACTGGGTGAGGCTTGGAGGAGTGGGTTGACCATGTACACACGCTTCGTGCCTGAGATGTGCACTGCAAAGGCATGAGATGCACAAGCCCATCCTCTTCGTCTCCATCGAGCTCAATGAAGCCAAAAGGGCCAGCTATATTGCACAACCCCACAGTGATTGCCCACAAGATTACAACCATATCGTTCCGATTTAACAGCAAATGCTCATCATACTTGTGGTGGAGGCGGTCTAGCTGGAACCTTCGAGGTAGCGGCTCTAGCTCGTGGAGGTATGGAGAAATGCCCCGAGTTGGTGAGTAGGAGCCTGAGAGTACGAATCAAGAAACGAAAGGCCATATTTGACACTGGTCACCATCTCGGATGAGCCCGCTCTGAGACTCGCAATTCCTCTTGTCAGCTACTAGGCGCACATGTTTAAGACTTACGAGCCAGTACAATTTGACTGGCCTGTGGTGATACCACTGGACGACTTCAGTCCATTATTGGCAATTGACGAAGAGGCACAACAAACAGAGGCAACAGCTCATCATTCCGCCTACCCAGTAGCCATAGGTTCTCTTCAATATTAGCGAGCGGGTCGACCGGCCAAGCCTGATTGCAAGATCACGGAACAGCCCAGCCGGACCAGTCTGAATTGTGGAGGCGAGAGATTTTCATGAAACAATAGTGCAGAACTGAGCCACTCAGCGCACTGCACACGACTCGAAATGGCGATCCCCTTGGATTTTATCGACAGGGGCTCCACACAATGTCTCCCCAATTTAGCGAGTGGATAAGTTATCCAGTTACCAGCACAGGATGAGTCCGACAGACCCATGTTCCTGCAGTAAAGCTCCTAGATCTGCACCAGGACTGAGAAATGTTGGAACGCTGTAAATGCTGGAGTAGTAAAACCCACGGCATGATGATTCCCTTGATCTGGGACATGAACATGAACGTCGCCGGTCTTGTCAAAGTCTCTACTACCAAACTAAATTCTCAAGGCGAGATGAGTGTAACCGACCAACAACAAGCTGATAGCGTCGGGTTGGTTGCGGCCTGCTTCTGTCGACCCGGTTGACGGCGACCAGGGGGTCGGCATACGCGGCATCGCCAGTGAGATCCCCGATACCCTCGTTCAGTCTGGATTTTCTCGCAGACGGAGCCATCGCGGATCCGAGATTCACAACATCGTTAATGGGGCTAGCCCAGTGGATACTTCAAAGGGGCTGTCTCCATCACAGCTAGCCACAACGACTCCATCCGTACCTGCATCAATAGTTTGGATACGCCACACTGTCCAGATTGCGAAACTATTTGAAAATATCGGGTCCTGAAGTGGGTTGACAAGGGATTGACCCATGCTCTGGAGAAGCGTCGTCTTGGCAGCCTCGAATGAAGGTTAGCAGATACCCGCCCGATAAACTAGTGGCTGAGTGTCATGCCATAAGTGGGCCTAAGCTGCTGAAGATGCACATTTCATTTGGTGAAGAAGGCGATTCCGAAATGGGAAAATCGTGGGATTCTTCTCGCCGGCTGTTAGCTTCGTCGTTATACGTACGCGAGTGCTAACGCAAGACTACTGAAAGTCGAGCTCGACGGATCAACCGTTAATCAGGGGCGACCCTGTTGTGACTCGGGTATCTACGGAGACTCCGTATTTCAATCTGGGCCCGGATGATCAGACGGGTCCCTCATTCGGCAGTGTATATTAACCCTTAATACTATAGGAACTGGTGGATATCCAGTCAGTCAACTTGGCAAACTTCTTGGCAATCTCTTCTCGAAAAGACAGCAAAGATGATTGCCCTCAAGCCGACGCTGTTACTCCTCAGCGCAGCCAGTTCCGCCCTCGCCTTTCCTGCTGCCGCCGACGGACTCATTTACGACATTAATGGTCATGTACAGGCCGCGAGCGCCAACAAGAGGGCAATCCCTTACCCAGGTATGCCAACAGCCAATATCGTGTGGTCTTGATAGCATCATTGCTAATCTCTTTGGCCTTCTGTTCAGTTTGCGATGACGCGGAGTACCGAGCCTTGACGTCCAACCAGGCCGAGGCATCACCTTTCTGTTCCACCTACATTCGAAGCACAGTAACTGCAACGGTGATACCCGATATCCAGCAGACTACCACGACAACCACCACCGACTTCATTACAGTCCAGGGAACTAGCACGGCCACCGGTCGCGGTTTATGTAAACCCAGGAGGTCAACCACGGTCACGATAACCGACACTGTCCAAGCAACCGACATTGTGACCGAAGCGATCACAGACACCGCGTCAGTTGGTGTCACCCCCACGGCTACAGCTCAAGTTACCGACACCGTGACGGAGGAAATCACAAACAGCGTGACAGAGCAGGTTACTGACACTGTCACGGTCCTTCTCACGGATACAGCCACCCAAGAAATCACAAACACTGTCACCGATGAAGTTACCAGCCAAGTAGCAGTCACGGTTACTTCAACGTGAGTAGCTATACGTTTCCCCTTGTTATCAAGCTTTGACTCACTAACCACTTCTATAGCTCTACGTAAGCCTCCCATCTCTCACCAAATGGCGAGAAAGAGCCTGTTACTAACACACTAGGCAGAGCGGCAGCTCCTACGGTGACCACAGCCAATGGTATATCTTATCCTGCATTCTAATACACTCGCGAGACTAGATCTAACTCATTTCATGTAGACGTTCACTGCGCCCTTAATGGCTATGGGACTGCCTCGTATAGCGTTGGTTCTACCACTAGTTTTGGTGGCACTTTCGCCGGTTGCAAGGCGTACTGTTCGAACATAGCCAGCGCTATCAGCTTTGGCTTTGGTTCTAGCCAGTGTGCCTGCTATAATCAGCCCGCGTAAGTGATCCAATCGCCTGCCCCCCCATACGCCCCTACTCCTTTCTTGCCTTCAGTTTCATACATGGGCTTGAGCGAAGAAGACTAAAACGTATAATTAGGATTGTTAATAGGAGAGTGGCATCGTCCGTTTACTACTTCTATGATATGGCTTGTCTTTCGGGAAGTGCGGTAAGCTCACACCCTGTTCTATCTTGAACACGTCAAAATGATGTGGAACTGCGCTGACTCTGGCATGCGACTCCACCAGCCTGCCAAGCGAGACGTGAAGAGGGCTGTTCAAGTCCCTGACTATTTGCCGAACGACGATCCCAGTGCCGTGAGCAGTGCCTGTTCGTGCCTGATTACCACTCCGGCCGCTCCCACTACTACGTATTTCATTGCCTCGGTCATCACGGCAACCGAGACCACGACGAGCACAATCACGCAACCTGCGAACGTGGTCTACAAGACTGTTACAGTTACCAACCACAACACTGCCACGGTCACTCGGCCAGTGACTATTACAATCACTCACTACAACACTGTCACTATCACAAACCACAACACTGTCACTGTCACTGACTATAACACTGCTTACTTCACGAATACCAACACCGCTTCCGTGACGAATCTTGATACTATTACCGCTACAGTTACAGATTTCGCTACAATCACCAACTACAATACAGTGACTGGTACTATTACTCAATTCATTACAGTAACACCTGCAACTGTAACTGTAACACGAGCGCCACAGACTATTTATGGGTCCTGAAAAGTTGAGAGAGGAGAGTATTGAGTGTTATGTTAAATTCCTGTATATACTAGAACAAGACGGCTTCAAGTCTGTGATTAATTATTAAATATACTCTACTTATCTCTCCGTCTCAATCGTTTGCCTTGCTTAGTCGATTGAAGTCTAACTTATGATCTATTGTCCTGTATCTACTTTTCTCTCGTACGACACTTCACAGAAATCCACGTTTGGGGGGGGGGGGGGGGGGAGAGGGGCTAAGCTTGAAGCAGAGTCTTCACCAACACGATCGACACACATCCTTGATTCATGACGCAGTGTGGGGGATGAACTTGCGTAAAAGTGAAAGAAGGTATTTACTGAGATTCTTGATACAAGGAATTCTTTGGGTTTGGGACCAGTCGCATCTTTTCCTTTGTCTCGATCCATTTCTGCGAGTATCCATCAGGCTTCTTTTCTGATGGTGGTCTCCCTTGGTTAACCCACTCCATTAACGCGGCCGCATATTCCACGTCAACTCCCCACAAGCTGTGGAACTTTTTTCCATAACCCTTGTCTTTGACTCTTTTCCTATACTCGGCTCTCATTTCAAGCTCCGATGGAAGTGTGGCCTTTGAAGAAAGGAACGAAGCAACTGCAATCGCCTGAAACTCGAAGAGAGAAAATGTTGCAGTGTAGAAGGGGACTCCAACAAATGCGAGTGTAGGGTCTGGAATGTAAAAGATATCTTGGTGCAAGTTGTGCAGCTGTAAACCATCCGATACAAGAATTCGATCGTCGGCGTCTTCCGGCTTCACATCATCTTGGTGGTACTCCGGTAAGAAGGGGAGTGTGAATTGGTATCCTGTTGCAACAATCACCCTGTCAACATTGTCGAGAATTCGACCGTCAACCAGAGTCACCGTTCCAGGAATTGCGCCGGACCTTTCATGGTCGGTATTCTGAAGGGGACTGAAGCTGGATACTTGTGCAACTCTTTCGGCATTCTCGGGCAAAATGGAAGGGGGATGATCAAACAAACCACCTCTTGTTGACTGCCAGACTTTCTTGGCGATTGGAGCAAGCTCTTTGGCAATGTCAACAGACGAGGCACTGCCTCCAATGAGAAGGATTGACTAAAAGCAGTTAGTATAACCTCTGAGTAATATAAGGGCCTCGTCATACTTGGTTCTCAAATCCCTGGCTATTTCGATATCCCTTTGAGTGTTGTATCCTTGATGGAAATGCACTTTTCCACTCCGAAAGCCCAGAAATATGTGGGGTCTTGGGATCGTGGTAGTGCCCAGAAGCTACGACAACGGCATCGAATGTCTATAGCATGTTAAGAGAGTTGGGGTGTTGGTTCGATCAAACTTACCCATTCTCGAGAAGTGGTCTCTTGCTTGACATGATCCCACGTAGAGGTTTGAACCTCCCACTGACTTTGGTGCTTTCTAACATATTGAACTTGGGTGTTGAATTGAGTGATGCTCGATACCCCAGTTTTGAGGGCAGTGTCTTGAATGTATTCCGCTAGAATGTGATGGCCCACGAAAGACTCGGTGTTGGGCTTCCACGAGTTTAGGCTTACTTCCATCAACTCCGTTGGAACATTGTTCTTCAAGCTGTCATAGGCCGGTCTCGGTTCTTCATCAGCTCAAGGCCCTCCGATATGACAGAGAAATATCGCTCACCCTGGGCCTGAATGCAATATGTACTTGTCACTGCTATCTGGGGGGTTGTAGAATGTTGACGATGCCACGGACGGTTTTGCCGACGGATAGGTTGGCTCAAGCGGAACTTTAGAGTCCCAAACCCTTTGACCATGTTTTAGTATTCAGATTGTCACCTAGCGATCAGGATAGAGAACGCACCACACGCCTCCGCTAACGGGTGCTCGTTCAAAGACGGTCACATCCAGCCCCTCAGATTTGAGGTGCGCAGCAGTAAGCACCCCAGAAACACCAGCACCGATAACGGCTACACGACGAATTGGAGGAGAAGTCATTATGACGATTAGTTTTGCTCTCAACGTTAAGAATTTCAGATGGTTAATCTGCGTGATATTTCCAGCAAGGCATGCCGGGGATGTTGTATCAATACGTTCAATTTGTCGTCTTTGAGCACGACAATGTGACAATCCACGAAGGTGATGACAACAAGCATATCTCGGAGGCGCCGGCCAGTCCGACAAATCAGCGTCGCTGGATTTCTCCGGGTCAATGTGGCCGAGATATGGCGTGATTACGCCTTTTAACATGAAATGATGTGATGCGAGCTATCGGGCTACAAGCCACTAGACCAACCGACATCCCACCAGTATTGCCGGTGAGCCAGTAAAGCCGAGGCTGCGCAATGCGGGGATCGGATTAAATCAATTGGGTATTCAGTAGTCGATGGTTAGCAACGGATAGTATGTCACTGACAGCGTTTCACCGATGATAGGAGTACTAAATGAGGTTTATCGGGTTGAGGGTTGAGAATGTAAGTCAAGACTGTATTCATCCAAATCACCGTTATGCAGCACAAATCTGATATGTTTGGGAATCACATGGTTTCCATTGCGCAAGGAGTCAAATAGCCGATCGAACCGAATATTACCATGGATGTTCCTGGCCCAACAAACTGGGAATCTCTGCACCCAAACTGGGGGGGAGTGGGGGTGAAGAGTTACTTTACACTGGAGGGTGCATGGTGGTGATCCTACCAGCAACTCTCGGACTTACGACCACGCGTATCTCGTTAATTCCGTTCTGATGTCGAGATCAATCATGCTGAGATCTGATTACGACTATACGTCAATGACGCGAGCGCTATTGCATTGCCATGTCGGAATACGTCTGGTGTGTGACCAATGAATGCTAGTACATGCCATTTTCTCGCCGATAAGGCAGAGTGGGATATCGCAAATTTGGACCCACCATGACGTTTTATGAAATCGTTCCACCTTACACGGGATGTGGGTTACTGTTTGAACAAGCTGGATTAGTTCACTGGTCTTACTTATTGATCCAGGAGTCGGATGTCTGTAGTTTTCCCCAAGGACATCTACTTGACTGGGATACCAGCAAATTTTCCCAGAACGTTGACTCTCGATTCTTTGATTTGACGTCAAGTATGATTGGAAAACAATTGACAACGGTTGCCATCATTGGAGGTGGCCCGGGGGGGCTTGGCACTGCCATCGCATTATCCAAGTTGTCATTTCTTCATGTTACTTTGTATGAGCAGAACCCAGAACCTCGAGAAGCAGGTGCAGGGATCAGCTTGAGCACTAATGCCTGGAAAATCCTTGACTTGCTTGGGGCTAGCGATGACGTGAAAGGCGGATCCAAGTCAAACACCCACCAAAGGTGAGTTGGATATTGAAAAGTGGAAATTAAACTTGGGCCGCACTGCTAATTGATACGCGAAACAACAGAAACGGGTACACGGGAAGTATTTTACATGTCTCAAAAAAGCCAGAGAATTCTGCTGCGGATTCTCGCGGGGCAATTCGAGCTCGCAGAACTCGTCTCCAGTCAGCACTGCTTGCTCAAGTGCCAGAAGACGTGATCCAGTACGGAAAGAAGCTCGTATCATTGGAGAATCTTGGGGAACAAGGCGTGCGTCTGCTGTTCAAAGATGGAACGGAGGTCATCGCAGATATGGTAGTCGGCGCTGACGGAATCCAATCAGTTCGTCCAGCTTCTTGCTTCGACTGGCGAGTTTTACTACTAACACAGGTTGCGGTAGATTACTCGGCGAGTCCTCTTTCCGGATCACCAACTTCACTTCACAGGCAAGTAACGGCTAAGCGCGAGAAAAGATATGGCCAAATTAATGTATGATTCTTTTCTTAGGCAATACGGCATGGCGTGTTCTCGTCCCGAGGTCATCCCTGTCTCACCTTCCGGATATTACTCATAATACCGCGTGGTGGTGGGGAGAGACCGGCCACACATATTTCTCTGATGTCGACGACGAGAATGAAGAGAATGAAGGATTATTTGAAATCACAGTGAGATCCTATCACGAACCCGAAATCCCGGGGAAGACTGTAGCTTGGGGAATTCCTGCCACCAACGAGCGAGTGGCATCTCGCGTACTGGTAAGAACAGGCCCCTCATCCTTTTAAATCCAAAAATTTCTTGGCTTAAATGAGAACAGAAATTCGACCAGAGGGTGAGAGACGCTGTCGATGCTGTTCCAGAAGGACAATGGAGGGAGTTTTCTGGCTATGCAGGACCTCGTTTAGAGAAGATTACTGGCTGGGACAAAGTTGCCCTTATCGGAGACTCTAGTCACCCGCTATCCGGTGAGTGCATAGCGAAAGACATCGATGTCACTCATACCTTTTCTTTTATTGACGATAAGTAACTAGGCGCTTTTGGCTCTGGGGCAACATTTGCCATGGAGGATGGATGGATTCTAGCTCGGGCGCTCGAGCGGACACAGCATTCTTCTCGCTCCATTCTCGATGCCCTCGAAATCTTTGAGAAAATCAGGTCCCCCTATTATGAAAGGATGTGAGTTTTTGTACCCTAACTGACCCGAATACTCCATCGATTTCGCTAACCGCTGTTATCTTGATAAGGTATAACCATCTCGACGAGTCCCACGACACAATGCAAAAGCGACAAAAAGACTCGAGTGATTTCGATGAAAAGCTGAAGATCAAGATTGATTCCTTTCTTTATGGGGATAAAGATTTTATCTACAAGAATGATATCGCGCAGGTTTGGCAAGATTACATCACGACGGAAGACAAGGGCGCGCCTGCATTGGTCAAGTGAGGTGCCCGAAGACGCTGTATTTGTAGATTTGGAGGCCTTGCCAATGCTTATTCGAAGCCTACATATGGAACCCAATCCGAGGATTCTTCAGTCCGAAACTTGGTCATTGGCTGGTGTCCTACAAATCGGAGAAGTCATCGCCTCTGCTTTATTCGCCTCCCTGGCGCGCGTGTGCGTCGGGGATGTCACCCACGGTGACAGGTCATTCCGCTGGGAGGTGGTACCATGCTCTCCTCTCCAGCTGAGATATGAAACTCACGCACAGTGAATGGGTATGGATAACATAGGGGTATTGCAAATATAATGAAAGCCCCCGTGCCCGGAAGCTGGACTCCCCCGCATTCAACTGAACATCCACATTGATACATGTTGCATACTGGCCTCTCCTCTGGCCGGCTCGTACCACTACATGGCCACCGTTGAACAACTCCCGCCATCTCATTCTGTAAACGACGACTGAGGTCCGACTGACTTAGCAATATGCTTCGCTATAAGCTCTCGAACTAATCCTATGCCCAATTAGCATTGCCATACGGGTGAGCTCTACGTACAAGGTGCGAAGTGCTGACTATATAAGAATGGCGACAGTAGTGAGATATCACCGAAAACTCGTCCCGCAATGAATGAACTGAAGTCGACAGTTCTTCGCAGCTGTTTAAAATTATCAGCTTCTTATTCTTTATTTGTAATATCTTATACATATTCGGGCGTTACAGTTACTCTGTGTCGCCTGAAGATATCGCCCAAGTCATTTGATAGTTCCTTGGGCTTCACATCGCAAGTATACTGAGGGAAACCCTCACCAGGGTGTCCATCCCGATGCTGCTCCTTAAGTTTACGCCAGATTCAGCGGCCTGGAAGATAATGCTATAGACCTCAATTGCCGTTTAAATAATCGCTCTTATTGCTACCTTAATCTTTAATTTTGCCGTATATCAGCGTATAAAAGTTACATAGGAAGTAGTCCCTGACGCGTACTGCGCTCTGCGCCTGGCCGTATAGATAATTGGGTATATTTACTGTAGTAAGTTGCACGAGAAGCCATCACCCTTTATTATGACAACTTTATTGACCGTAGTCAAAGGGGTGACAGTAGTTTGCGATGTCTGTATGTCGTTATGCCTGGGTTTGTTGTCACAAAATTCAAGCAGACTGCCATCCAGTGAAGCTTAATTTGCGTTTACAGGCGCTTTGTCTTGCAGCAACACCAGCTAGCATCATGAAGATCTTCTTGATGCACCTGTACGACTATACCTCGGATGACGTGTTGCTATCGGTGTATAGGGTGTCCTTCCGGTGTAGAATCAAAAGAATTGGCGATGCGATCCTTCCAACTCCAATGTTTTCTCCCTCCGTCATCCTCAAAGCATACTTAACCTTACGCTGCTGTAAACCATCAATATAGGTTCTGGAATTCTCTTAGAGGGACAACGAAGTTCCGTTGGCAATCCGAATTGAATCAAAAGGTGACTACTAGTTGTAGCCCACAACAAGGCGCGCATAATATCGACGTCGCCCCGAAATATCTTTGAACGTCTAATGAATGCAACGACCACACTTCTATATATTAGATGGCAATAAGACGAGGCACCATGTTACGCCGACTTTAATCACATCCATCCTATTGCTAATGGAAACAATGGGTCTAGGGTTCAGGAGCGCTTGATGGCCTGCATGGGCTTGGACCTATAAATACGCCAAGAGGGATAAATAGCATATCGTAATATGCATCGCGAAGACTCCATGAGGTGATTTCTTGATTACACTAACAAACCCAGGAATCTCATTGTGTGGCCGAGTATCTGGAAGAAGCTAGCCATGTACTGAGGGTTATTGGAGGCGGTTCATGGCTTGACGGGGACATATTTCCTATTATTTCATGTTGATTCGGGTTCCCAACCGCGACGCCCGCGCTGCCTCTGTGCTCGTACTTCTGAGCATAGAATTGCTCTTGCTAGAACTGGACCTGAAGTAGAGAACTCAGGACCAGATAACCCTGCGGTAGGTAACTCGAGGGTGAATAGCCAGGAGGAGGGTATCCATAAGGTACAGGGTATAGTAAGAAGATACTTAAGATTACTAGTTGTCTGCTCTTTAAGCTTCCATCTCTAGAGAATTATATAAAAGATAGCTGTAATATATAGTGGAATCTTCAGGCTGATATTAAAACTCAGTTTAAGCTGAAGTAATAGAGTGGATTTATTTTTTATTATTTTTAAATAGCTACTAAAAAATAATAACTTTTAATAGAAATTAATAAGTTTTAAAAGTAAATAATAAAGCTAATATTTATTTTTAAGCTGCTATTATTTATAATTTTATTTTTTACTTTTATATTACTATTAGTTATAATAGTATTAAATAATTAATATTTTTAAAATTCTTAATATAACTTTATATAGTTTTCCTTAGCAAGTTAAATTTAAAGAAACTTTAATATTCTAACCAAAAAGCCTTTTTTAAAAGATTATATTAATATTATAAATTAATTTTAAAAATAAATATTTAATAATAAGAATAACTTCTAACCATTTAAAACGCTTCTAATTCTTAGTATTTATCGCTGTTATTTTAACTGTAGTACTTATTCTGTACTTCTATATATAACTAGCCTTTAAGTAGCCAGGGATATTTAAGCTAGGCCTACCCTGACATCCATCCTAGCTTTCAACAGGGCCATGCGTAACATAGGCTCCAAGCCTACATATGCATACTCGCCGGACTTGTTGACGGAGTTAGCATTACACCCGGTTGAGATGCATTACCAGCGCCATTTTAAGCTCGGCCCGAATCATGACACTTTTAGGGCTGGTTGAAGCTAATTTAGTTGGGGCGCAGCTGGGACTAGGGTGGTACTGCGCGATGTCTTGACTCGCAGGCCATCCAATTGACGTGGCGGACCTCAAATCTTGATTTCTATGGTACGAGGGTAACTTGATCCTTGATGACGGGGGTCTCAGCATCCTATAACCATGGCGCGTCTATAAAGTGTAGCTGACCGTTACACATCCCACACCACTCTCAGATGAACATTGTCTTTACAACATCTTCGATCTCCATCCATCTGTAAACTTCAGCAAACAACCTCTTTCATCATGAAAACCCTTCTCACAGGTAGGTACTGCCAGCTTGACCTTGTGGAATTGGGTTTGTTTTCTTCCACCTGAGAGTTCCCAACCTGATGTTTCTTCTGAACCGCAAGGCACTAATTGAATTGGTATAGGCGCTACCGGATTTCTCGGTGGACATGTCCTTGACACACTTCTGCGTCGAGGCCACTCCGTGGTGGCTACCGTGAGGTCCGAGGAGAAGGGGCAGCAGATCCGTGCGTCCCACGCGGATCTCTCCCCTGAGAAGCTCGACTATGTTGTCGTCCCTGACATCGCCGCACCTGGAGCGTTCAGCAAGATGGAAGTCAACGGCCTGGAAGCCGTAGTCCATGTGGCTAGTCCAGTAAGGCTCCGACATGCAACGAATGCTCGTCTACTAACACATGGCTGCTGTAGTTCCATTACAACACGACGGACGTGAAGAAGGACCTCATTGATCCTGCTGTCCTCGGTACCACGGGTGTTCTCCGCTCCGTCAAGGAGTCCTATCCCGGAGTTACCCGTGTCGTCATTACCTCTTCGTTTGCGGCCATCTTGAACATGGGCTACGTCATGAGTGGTACCAAGAAGACATACTCCGAGGCTGATTGGAGCCCCGTGACGCTCGAGGATGGGCTGGCTAATCCCAACGTTGCCTACGTTGCTTCGAAGGCTCTGGCAGAAAAGGCTGCTTGGGACTTTATCGATACCGAGAAGCCGAATTTCACACTCTCGACGATCAACCCTCCGATGATCTATGGCCCAGTCAAATACCAGGTCAAGTCCCTTGACTCTGTCAACACCTCCAACCAGTTCCTGGCAGACGTACTCTCCGGAAAGTACAAGTCCGGCATGCCCCCGACGGGCTTCCCCCTGTGGGTTGACGTTCGTGACGTGGCCCTGGCCCATGTCCTCGCCATGGAGAAGAAGGAGGCAGCTGGCAAGCGCTTCCTAGTTACCGCTGGCTTCTACAAAAACGGGGATTTGGTCAAAACTGTTTGGAACAATTTCCCAGCACTGCGGGAGAAGCTGCCGGAGGAGGAAAACTGGGGGCTTTCCGAGAAGCCAAACCTCGAGCCCTGGGGGTACGACAACTCGCGGGCTGAGAAGATTTTGGGGATTCAGTGGACACCTTACGAGAAGACGGTGATTGATTCGGTCTCGTCCTTGATCAAGCAGTAAATCAGTTCTCACCTGAGTAGTGCGTTCTGAATGACGTGGCAGAAAGAGTGAGGAGCAAGGAGCATGGTCAAGTAATCTAGCTATCCTAGGAAAGGTGCACTTCTTTCACAGCTCTCATGTGCTGGTGTTGGCAATCAAGGCTAGCTTCATACCAGCTCCATACATAAGCTATTGACTAATTCATTTGTGGTCATAACCGGGCCCCTCGTTATCTTTTGACAGCTGTTCTGACGTAGGTATAGAATAAAACATGGGCTTTCAATTTGAGGCCCTTGTCATCCCCGCTTTGGCACTCGAACAACTGATGTTTTCACTATTGGAGCAGGCTAACATTCCAAACATGACCCTGTCTCACCAATCGCGCTATTCCTTCAAGCGACAGTATCCTATGAGAGGCCTATCTAATCGCCATGCTCTGCCTACTAGACCTGGACATCGCGCACAATCTTTCCTACGAGCACAACAGGCTTGACACTAGTATAGTTCTTCACATCATTCGCCATCTCGTCTGCAGCGGCATCCAAAAATGCGGCTTGCAATTGCTCGACACTTTCCAGCTCAATCACTCCATAGAAAACGTATGGGAGCGGTGACCCGTCTGCATTCGGCAGCAGCTCAGAAACAGTCCACCTCTTGAGGCCATACTTGGTCCAGTGCTTCTGCATCAGGGGCATATGGAAATTCTTGTAGTATTCGAGGTCGTGCGTAGCGTTGGCATCGTTTGGGTAGAGGAAGGTCAAGGTGGAGGACATGTTGGTATCCTTGTTGCAGCTGCATATGTGAGCAAGGTGACAATCTACGGTGGCGAAAGGGCATCTTACAGATGAGCGGTGAGTTGAATAATGGCTTGGTGATTTATTTGATTGGTGTCGGACATGAATGCTACATACTCTTGGTTGCTTTATATCTTTGTGCCTCCGTACTAACAACGGACGGTACCTAGCCTCTTGTGTTCCGACCCCCTGCCGGAGATAGCTCACTAATTCCGTGCATCCTCCGGTTGATGTTGCTGTTCTCTTTCGTCTCCCTTGAAAGGTACGTTGTATTTTGACGAAGGAGGACCCCTGAACAGTCCGGAAGCGAAGTTGCCGAGAACAATACTGGCGGCATTTTCCTCCAAACTAAGATGGAAGTTGCCGGAAGTTCCCGCACAATGTGCTCATCAACACCGCCTGATGCAGGAGTACAATAAAGTTTGTTACTTGCATGTTACATCCTAATGTGGTGCCATGCCAATCACAATGCTGTGAGGCTAGTAGTGAGCATGGGATGATTATGTCCACCGGTCGAAATAGCTCTTGTAACTTGGATTTTTATGCCTGTGGAGAACTTGAAATAGGCTTATGTAACTAACTACTTGTGGTAACCCATCCGTCTTACTCTCGCAATTAGTTTAGCCTTTAAGCTAGCCCTGGAGATGGTGGAGTCCATTAGCTGAAGCTGGTAAAATCATCAACGAATCAATGCCTTCGTCTTTACAGTTGCAAAAACATCCTTGAACATTGTGACGTATTCTGGCGACTCTGTAGCCAAATTTTACCACTTCTGCTTTAGATTGTGGGTGTTCTTCTAACTGAATGAGGGCTACTGCGTCACCAGCCCCCCGCGGCTCCCCTTTCCAAGGATTGTTCCACCAGGCAGGTCGACAACGATTGAGTACATACATGATACGGGTCACCAAAGTTCCCTCAGTTTCAGTACAGAACTGTAGGGGGTGCTCATCAAGATTTTTCAATTCCAAGCATCATCTCCAGAGCCTTCTAAAGGGTCATGATGACGTTGAGTGCCACTTGCTAATATCACCCCCCTCTAATCACTTCCACAACTGCTTTACCAGCCCGTATGTGGCTCATCAGCAACGAAAGTGCCAGTGAGCTTTTTGGGGTCTCCTTCTGTAGCGGCTCGCACGATAGCCTTGGCACCCTCGCTTGCATCTTTCATGCCGTAACCGCCAGTGAATCGAGTGCGGCACATGCCAGGCGCCGCCGCGACGACGGCGATATTGTACTCGGCGAACTTGACAGACATGGCAACCGTTATCATGTTGACTGCAGCCTTGCTGCTGCGGTAATCAGGAACGTAGTAAGATTTGGCGTTGTACTCGAAGCCCTCCTCATTCGCCATCGTGGTCAGCCCGACGCCGGATGTGACGTTCACGATGCGACGATCCGAATAAGGTGACGCCTTGAGCAGTGGTAAAAACGCATCTATCACCGCTGCTACTCCGAAGACGTTGACCTCGAAGATCTCGCGGTATTGTTCTCGGGTGGTAGCTGCAGTCGACGTTCCAAGCCCGGCGTTATTGATCAAGATGTCCAGATGGCCAGCCTGGTTCGACACCGCCTGGACGGCCGCTGCGATGGAACTGTCATCGGTCACATCAAGGGGAATTGGCATCAAGTTCGTTTCGTCAATTCCCTCTGCGTGCAGCGCGTGAACTGCGGCCTCAGCCTTCGACGAGGAGCGCGCTCCGACAAGAACTTTATATTTGCCGGAGCTCGCGAGCTGCTGCGCGATGCAGTAGCCAATGCCCTGGTTGGCGCCTGTGACGAGAACGACGGCTTTTGGTGAGGCCATGCTGTTTTTGCAAAGAGGTGATTGATGTTGGGAGAGATTGAGAAGTTTGTATTTAGAGAACGACAACATTATGTGCACTATATATACCTAAACGAGTATAGAGGAGACCTGACCGTAGACCCCCCCCCCCCAATTGATATAACAGTACTAAATAGGTGGGGCGGTATTACTTGAATAATTGGCTCTTAAAACCTGACGGATCCGTTACGGTCAGATTGATCAAATAGATACTGTTCAAAGCAGTAATAATAATGTTGATTATTGCTTGCATGCCGGTTATCCAGACCGGTCGAAAGAGGGGGTTATTAAAACACCCCTTCTGGCTTTAGTTAGGATATTAATCGATTAGAGAATATATAATATAAAGTTATCTTTTAAAAAAGAAAACCTATAAGATATATTAAATTATTATTATTTGGGTCTTATACCTGCAGTAAGCAGTTTAATTTTTAGCTATTATTTATATATTTCTTAAAGGTTTAATATATATTTTAACTTTATTATTTTATAATAGATTTTAAAGAGGTATTTAGTAGCTTTATAATTTATAAATATACTGACTTTTAGAGAATAGTTTTAGTATTATAGGAAAAATATATAATATAGAAAATCTTTTATAATAATTTTTTTAAAAATAATTTAATAAAAGTTTTAAAATAAAGTTATATATAATAAAATAATAAACCTTAAATAATAAATTAAAACATTATATAGTTACTATTAAAAAAACACTCAGCTGTTAGCTATATAAACTATTCAGAAAGTAGAGAGCTTCTAAGTTAAAGCTTTACTGCAGATAGCAATTTTAAGCGAGCCGGTTATACGATATTAGAGTTGGCTTTCTTTAATTTACTTTGTTGATTAATATAATATTTTCTGGGGCCACTGTTAGTTAAACAATAAATAGTGCCTCGGCGTCTTAGTGCGAGGAGATACACCACGCCAGATTCTCACCTCCTGATAAATAACTGAGGCTCTCTGCCACATAATCAGGTGGTCGAATTTCTTCAGAATGACGGCACAACACTGAAGCTTTTCTCCCTTCGTTATAGGCATCCATCTTCCACGTCAGCTGTTGTATCCTCGACCTAGTTTTTTATCTGATCAGGTCAGTAGCTAGCTGAAGGTAAAGACCCCGAAGCATCCGGAGCGTCTCGGCCGTTCCAAGTAATTCGAGATTATCTTCATCTCTGTGGTTGCGGTGGTCGTTGATACAGGGAAGGGAGCAACTGGGGTTGTCGCGTCCTCCGCGCTATCCAGGACTATAGTAGCGATTACAGAGTATAATGGTTATATTTTGATGAGTAAATGCTACAAAATCTTATCCAAGAAAGCCAGGGTGACAGCTGGGGTATTGACTGACACGAGGGAGGAACACATCTTATAACCCACCGAACAACTTTGAGCTGTCTGGCCCCAAAATTGTAAGACGGAATGTAGACTTTCAGATACGCCCATTTCCCATGTAACTTGGGACTACGCCGTCTAAACCGAGATTGGCTGATATCCTGGATACTGGTGAGTCTCTTCACGGGCATCGAAGGTAGCCATGCTGTTACTAACCTTGATGAGGGTAAACCCGTGAATCTGGGGCTTCTCTTCTGCTCCGCATTGTTCTCCGCGCTGGCGAGAAGGTTCTCACACAGTTCGGAGTTTTCCTCATAGATCGAGGGGTGTTGTCTTGAGTAGATCGTGCCGAGGGTTACCAGGTAAGGGAATTAACCCCCCGGGTTGCACCCTATTTTGGAACAGTCTCGGTAAGTGTGTGCCCGAGAGCGTGAATGGTATCTTCATCGGCTTTGCTCCTACCTCTCTCAGATCCATCGTCCTATTGTTTTCTCTTACTGTTTCGCAAAAGCCCTTCTGCATCTATTGACCCAGATTCTAGTCCATAGATCCAGTTCTACGCCGTCCCCTCCGTTACTATGCCTGCTAGAATCGAACAGCCGGTGCGACTGTCAGTTACAGACCAAGTCGACCAACAACGCGAGACTTTCTACGGGTATTTTCATCGTCGTACTTGCTGCGCTAGTTGACCTTCTTTATGTGCTACGTCAGAGGAAGGTGGCAGAAGTCATAGATCTCTTAAAGACGCTGTCTTTCCCTCACTTGGAGGATGGTACTTCTGGCTGAAATCTTTACCTCAATGATACACGCTGACTTTAGCTGCTTATGTCTCCCGAAATTACAGTATGGACTTACTTCCCCTCTCCCGTATCCGCTACTTCTCATCTCCACGAAGTATTTAGGCCGTTGCTGCGAATCGTGATATTATTGGCAATGGGCGAATCGATCCATCACGTATCTTAGTCCATGGAAGAGCCGCTGGAGGCCATTCTGCAATCTCTTGTTTGATCGGGATTGATGAGGCCAAATTTCCAGAACCTGGAGGCGCGGGTCGATCTCTACAAGACAGGCGCACCATTTGCACGAAATCGGAAGAATAACTTCCTCAGAAAATGCAGCTGGATCACTGCACCCAGTTAGCCATTGGAATGTAGGGCTATCGGATGTATCCCGAGCTGTCAGCCAACACTCAAAGAGGGCAGAAATCGCGGGATATTTTGCCGTCATAAACTAAGATCAACGTTGGAAGTCACAACCTGTTTTTGGATGACATACTTGGATGGTATGCCTATAGGTAAAGACATCGCAGTTGCTGATGGAGCCTCTTTTTAGTCTCGAGGTCAAGCCAAATGGGGACCACGGTTGGAATGTGTTCGCGGACCAAGGCAAGTTGTCAACCTACTGCGTGTTTAAGCCTGAGGCAGTAGAACATGGTATGCTACCTGGATCGGAGGCTGTTGTGTGCAGGTTGATTGACATCGCCCAGCACATGGGATTTAAAGTCAGGATATCAGATGTTGGCTGATCGAGGGCGAAACTGAGTTTGACTCAGCGCTACCACGCTACATGGCAAGACGGGCGACCTTTGGTGTCGGGGGAACTTGTTTATGTTTGATAAGCAGGTGTTGAGAGAAAAGCATTAGGATTCTAGCTTAAATATGCAAGACCTCAAGTGCCACCTCAAGGAGCGTCCCACCTCACCGAGCCTAACATTTAGGAGAGCACTCTTACAACCTCTAGACAATACCAGGCAGAACCCTACCCCCTCCCCGTCATGTGCTGCATTCTCATTCGTCCTCAATGCCCTCGCGGAGGAACTTGATTTGCTTCTTAATCTCAACCCAGAGCTCCAGTTTGTCCAAGTCGCCGTCGTTCAAGCTTAAAGCAGAGCCATCATCATCGCCCACCAGGACCCAAGCTTCTGCAGAGCCTCTGCTTGTTGCCTTAGTCTCAGACCGCCTGGCAATTGCTAGCAGTGTCGCCACAAATGCCTCCTGAATATACGCAAAGCTGAACTTGTCCGTGATCTCAGCAATGGCCTTGCACAGCTTGTCCGGGAACTCGATGTCCTTATTCGGCTTGAGCTTCTTCTGCCAGAAGCGGCAATATGCCTCTCGCTGATCGACGTTTGGGTCAGGGAAGTAGTATTTCCGGTCGAAGCGAGATGGACGTTTCTACACTGTCAGCAACGCTTCTTTCCGCACGGGGACGACGACTTACGGAGATGCCCGGGTCTAGGAGCTCCAAGTGATTGGTGCTGGCGATGATGAAGATGCCGTCGTTTTCTTTCAGGCCATCCACCTCGTTTAGGAAGTAGCTTCTCACCATGGGTGTGACGAGGGAATCAATGTCTTCAAACACCAGGTAACAGGGCGCGAATTCCCTCGCCTTCTCAAAGATTATGTGAAGAGAAAATTCGGGTCCCATCCACGACTCCAAGCTGCGAACGTAGACGGTTGGAACAGTGGGAGTTCTGTCGGCCAGCATGTGCATCGTTGCCTTGATACTAATGGTCTTACCGTTGCCAGGCGGGCCATGGTAAATGATTCCTCGCTTCCATGGCACGCCGAGACTCGCGTACGTCTCTCTAGACTCAAAGAAGGAGAGGTGGTCGTTGATGAGCGACTTCTTCATGTCCTCGTCGAGGATGACGGCATCCCATGTTGCTTTCTGGGCGCTCTCCCACAGCTCGCGATCTTTGATGAAGGAACCCTGGTCAAACACCCATACTTCATTGTTCAGGTCGCTTGTCCACGATCCGACGGCGAGCACAAGTTGCTCAGCTTTGAAGGCATCCGCCGTGAGGATGTAGGAGTTCTTCACCCGTGGATAGGGTTCCGCCCCATCGCGGCCGTCAACCAGATAGATGATGAACTCCTCTCCTTCCCACTGATAGAGAAACTTGCCGAAGATGATATCCTCGCCCAGGTATCCCTTGTTGCCATCCATTCGACGGGCCGGCGGCAGATAAACCGTCCATTCAAGCGACGGTGGTAGGTCGCCCTCGTCCTCGAGGCGAGTGAAAGTGGCGTGACCCGCGCCAGCGAAAGCTAGCAGATTGCACAGGATACCCTCATCGCTGTACTGTGGGACCACGACGAGCTCGAGCTCGGGATACTGCTTCTTGAGAGCTGCGGTGATGATTGAATCGGTATTGATCCGCTTGCCAGTGGAGTGCTCGAAGTAGGTCCTGGTAGCATCGCCACCATGTCCACCTGATTGAACAGATGGAGAGGACGGGGCTTGCGAAGGGCTAGGCTCCAATATTGTTGATTTTGGGTGTCCTCGGTACAGAGAAGGATGCTCATGCCTCATGGCGCCACGGAGGCCTGGAGCTGCAGGGTTCATGGTTTGGGCCTGTAAAAGGCGCTGCTGGGCTGGGCGCTTTGGGAGCGTTGAAGTCTGGCCGCTGTTCATCTTGCCACTGCGCGTCTTGGGTAGGTATGTTCAATGTTTATTTCGAATTTGTGGTAACCGTGTCTTGTGATGGAGTCGATGAGGACAATTAAACAAATCCCAGACATGGTTGCCTGGAGGGAATGAAATCCGAGAGGGGAAGCTGGAATGATGATGATGCTCCGCCTCCAGCGACAGGGGTTGTGATTCGACAATTCGCTCGACGCCCAGCCGAGTTGCGACCAGCTGAGTTAGCCGAACCTCGTATTGAGCTTCACCGAATGGAAGTGTGGCGGCATGAGGCGGGGGAGTTCTGGCGTCGAGCTTTTGGTAAATGTCCTGGTAGCATGTACCCAGACAGAAGACTAGATAGAGGTCGAACCAGTTCAAAGAAGGGTGGTATCATGAAAAATGTTGACCAAGGAAAAAACCAAGTAATAACTATTTTCACGCTCCGCTTTATAGTGTGGTGATTTGGTAATGGTGGCAATACGAAACGAGTTGCCCAACATTTTCCCCCAGTCCTTTTTATATGGCTGCCTAGGCCGAGCGAATAGAGGGATTGAGCAATCGGGTCGGAGCAGTCTCACATTGTCGTCATCAAACGCATTATCGTCATCAAACGCATTATCAAGAGGCGTCGAACTAACAAGGTGGATGGGCTGCCATTCAAGATGCCTGACGGTTACTCCCTTAGAAGAGCTAAGACTGCAGTGTATTTTGGCGGTGACTACCTAGTTGAGCCTCGAAGGATCCGATCTCAGTCTGACAGTCGCTTCCTTGGCGACGCTAAAATTGCAGTGCTCTGTCCCAACGCTGCCCGCTGTCCACTTAAACACAGCTGCGGCTAAGATGAGACGCCAGAGAGTAATGAATCCAGTAGGTTCGAGACATTGAGATAGGAGTGCTTTCTATTTACATGAATAATAAACAAAGAAAATTGACTGAATGATAATTATATCCAATGTCTTATTGGGGCTCAGGGCCAGCCATCTACTGGTCCAAGGCTTGACTCTGGCACTGCACACCGATTGTTTAGCGAAAGAAAGACACGAAGCAGATGTAAAAACTTACCATTTCCCAGTAAACGCCCTTCGACTTGACAAGATCATCATGATTGCCCTGCTCAACAACCCTGCCCTCATCCAAGACAAAGATGACATCGGCCTTCTGGATGGTCGACAGCCGATGGGCGACGGCGATTATCGTCCGGCCCTCACGCGCTTTTTCGAATGCGGATTGGACAATCTTCTCAGACTCAGAGTCCAGCGCCGACGTTGCTTCATCAAGCAGCAAGATCTTGGGATCGCGGATCAAGGCTCGCGCAATGGCGATCCTCTGCCTCTGGCCTCCCGACATGGAGACGCCTTGTTGGCCGACGTCGGTGTTGTAGCCTTCGGGCAGGGAAACGATGAAGTCGTGGATGAAGGCGTCGCGGCATACTGCGTGGATTCGCTCGTCTGGCACAGAGTCGGGATCGGAAATGCCAAAGAGGATGTTGTCTCTTATGCTTCCTTGGAACAAAGTCGGTTCTTGAGCCACGAGCGACAGGTTCCGTCGGTAGTCGTAGACATTAAGCTCATTGATGTTGACGCCGTTGCAGCGAATCTCGCCTCCGTCTGGGCCAAGGTCGTAGAACCGCTCCATAAGGGAAATGATGGTTGTTTTGCCAGATCCAGAAGGGCCCACGAATGCTGCATACTGACCCTTTTTGATGGCTAGGCTTAGCCCGTCAAAAACGGAGACATCCCGCGTAGGATACTTGAAATGGACGTCTCGCAGCTCGATGTGCACTCCGCCATCTGACCCAGGAATGTTGCCGCCTCCACTCATCCCAGCTGCTCCAAAATCCGACGACTCTTCCACATTGAAGATTCGATCCGCAGCTGTAGCGGCCTGTGCAAAGTTGGGCGAGACGCTGAGAACTTGGGCTGCCGACTCTGCGCCTTGGATCATTGCCATGAAACAGACAAAGAACTGCTCCAAGCTGAGCTCGCCGCTTGCCATGAGCTTGCCGCCGTACCAAAACACCAAGGCTTGGCAGGCGAGCCCAACGCTGTCTGCGAAGCCGAAGAATCCGGCGGTCCATTGGGCCTTGAGACGAGCCGCGTGGACGTGATCGCTCAGGAGGGTTTGGTATCGGCCATTGATCGCATCTTCCATGTTCAGCGAAGAAACCGTCCGCATGGCTCCGACAGCTTCCGTCGCAAATTGAGAGCTTTCCATGAAGACGGCCGAGTTCATCTTTTCGAAATAGATCTCGTACCTGTACTTCCAGAAGCCCGCGGTCAGCATGACGGGCATGGTGGCAAACATGGCAACCAGCCCGAGCTTCCAAGAGAAGATGAGCGAGATGATGATGCAACCGGCGGCGTTGAACACGCCGTTGAGGAGAGAGCCGGCGTTCAAGCCAAAGAGCTCTTCTAGCAGCTTTGCATCGCCTGAAACCAGAGAGGTCAAGGTCCCATGAGAGTTTTGGTCTTGGTCGAAATAGCTTGGCTTCTGGTGCAGCATGTCGGTGAAATATTGTGTCTTGAAGAACCGGCTGACAGAGTACTGGGCGTGCAAGCAGTTCCAGGCCATAGAAAACCAGCCGAAGCCAATTCCTGCAGCGAGGGCCAACCACATCAGGCCCCAAAAGCTCCCTTCTTTCTTGATGTCGTCGCCTACCAGAAGGAAGACTTGAACGGCTTTGGCAAACAACCATGCCTGTAAGGGCGTACCTGCTCCGATAGCCATGCAGGAAAGGACAATACCGATAAAGAGAGGCCTCTGTGCTTGGAGCCTGTACAAAAGCTTGCCAATGATTCGAAACAGGCTCGGAGGCAGCTGTTCTTGGTGGCTTTGACGAGGATCGTTCTCAGCTTCTGGTGTGGTTGGGACATCATCATCGCTCAAGTTCAGCTTTGGATCTGTTTCGGAGTCCAGTTTCGGTCGAGTATGCTCATCTTCGCTGGTAGAAGGCAAACGGAGCGACTGGGCCTGCACCAAGGCGTTGTAGACGCCCAACGAGTCGGCCATCAGGCTTTGATGTGTGCCTTGCTCGACTGCACGGCCATTCTTCAGGACAATGATATGGTCGGCCTTTTGTATAGTCGAGAGGCGATGCGCGATGGTTATTGTAGTGCGGTGCTGAGTTACCCTGTCAAGTGCTGCTTGAACTATCCTTTCGCTCTTGGCATCTATTGCGCTGGTTGCCTCGTCGAGGATGATGATCTGAGGCTTCTTGATGATGCTTCTGGCGATGGCAAGGCGTTGCTTCTGGCCACCTGATAGCTTTGCACCGCCATCGCCAACTCGTGTGTCGTAGCCCTGGAGGTGTCAGCGAGGCTCTCAAGGCTATGGAAACGACTACATAAAATGGAAGATGGTGGACTCACATCGGGTAACCGATTGATGAACTCATCGGCGTAGGCCTCCCCGCAGGCTTCTTTGACCAGCTCTCGCTTCTCTGCTTCGGGGACATGTTCCCACTCAGTTCCGACGAGACCATTTGCGACATTGCCGTAGATGGTATCGTTGAAGAGGAAAGGCTCCTGCTGAACAAGGCCAATTTGCGACCTCCACCATTTGAGGTCCAGTTCCTCCAGATTGTGGTTGCCAATAGTGATAGATCCAGACAGTTTGGCTTCGACCGGAGCATCCTGAACAGCTTCAGATACCTTTTCCTGATCAACATCCGACTTCTCTGCCGGCGTAGCTTGTATCACCCGGGGCAGCAGCTGTTGGCCCTTGAGAGAATACCACCCCTCGACCAATCCAACAATTGTGCTCTTGCCTGATCCAGACGGGCCGACGAGGGCTGTATTGCAACCTGATCGAATTCGAAAACTGAGGTTATCTAGGACTCCGACACCCGGCCGGCTTGGGTATTCAAAAGTGACGTTATGGAAAACAAGGTCCTGAGCGGTGATGTCTGGCTTCGAGGAACCGCGATCGGGAAGAGGCGCGTCGATGACGGTGAAGAACTCGCATGCGGCAATCATGGCTTTGCTGACAGCTATGAGTGGCGTCGATACGCGCTCGAGGGAGTTGAGGACCATCATGACGGACATCAATACGATGATGACGACGCCGGCATTACTGACAGCACCCTCTCCGAACCTCTTTGTCCCGTACCAAAACGTCAAGCCATACGCTCCATAAATGCCGAACATCTGCCCCGTATTAGTTGGCGAATGACATTACAGAAGCCACGATTGATACTCACTATAAAGCCAAATTGAAGTCCCATAACGGGGGAGATCTTCTGGCCTCGCCTCATAGCCTCGCGCACCCATTTCTCGTAGTGGGAAATGGTACGGCCCTGAGCACCACACGCCATGACGAGTCGAACGCCCTTTAGAGCCTCACTTGCAATGGCGTTGGCTTGTGCATCCGCCTGAGCAGTTGCAGTCTGGCCTTTGAGAATGAGTGGCAACAGCACGCACAGAACAACCATCATGTACAATAGCAGGGACAAGGTCACCAAGGTGATGTCCCAGCTCCAGACGAATGAGATAATGAGAGCAGCCCATATGGTGGCATTGGCCTGGAGGAACGTCCCGAGGTGTTCCGAAATTCCAAGTTGCAACGTGTTCGACGTCGTGGTGATGGCGGTCGCAGGAGCTCCGATAGGCATGGAGTCGATGACAGAGATTTCCTGCGCAAACAGCGATCTCAGATAGTCATGACGGATAGCGGACGACAGACGAATGCCAATCATTCGAAAGCAGAACTTGTTGATGGCATTCAGGGCCCAACGGGCGAGAAAGAGGGCTACGACGTACAACGCTTGGCGGTTGAGCAAACTGTCAAAGTCGAACTTTGACATGTCCGAAGCATCTCCAAAGTACGAGGTGAATTGCCCAACGAGCTGGCCGAAAATGATGTTCATGAGAGGCATGGTGATTCCGGCTCCGATCGAGGACAGAGAGGCGATGATGTAGACAACAAAGTCCCATCTTGTCGCGTAGCTGAAGATCCTGAAGTAGTCGGAGTATGTAGGGGTTCGTTCGGCTTGTTTTGGGTGTGATGGCGTCGATTCCGCGTCGGTCGGGGCTGGGTCAGGAGTCATGTTGGGAGTTCAATCTTTTGCGGCAGTTAGCGTTAGTATTTTACTCGCGTGAGGTAATTTGCCTGCCTAGGTGACTCGATTTTGGTGTATTTGTTTCTGTCACAAAATCGTCGTTGGAACACGATGTCGAGAACTTGTCCTGGCAGCCCTGTCCGCTCGTTTCAGGACCCAAAGGAGTGTAAAAAATGAAGAGGAAGAAACAATAGAGAGGAAGTAGATGTAGTGAGAATGGATATGGGATTCATTGAATAGCAGTTGGGAATTACTTATACCAGTCCTTGACCAGCTGGTTGCCCTACGAGGCAGAATACGACGAATCCACCCAGCATCGCGTGTTTCCCTTTTGGGAAGTTTACGAGCACTGCATCGACTCTGGGATGAGATAATGCGATTGGTCACTTGCCTCAGTAAAGTGGGCACCATCTTCGGGTTATTTTGTCATCGATCATGCCTTATTCTTTGGGTGATTCAACGAGCCCCAAATGTCAAAGCCTAGGTATCTACTCTATGACTGCAATGTGTCTTGAGGCGTGCTTTCAGTTCACATCAATTTGGGCTTTTTGTTTCAATATTTTGAATAGACATTAGCGGTAAAGCCTTGAAATTTACCACCGCTACGTGTCCTCGTGGCGAGCAAGCATGCAGGATGGGTGACCCTGGCGCCTACGAAATACAGGCAATCCAGCTTCTTCAACGTCACCATCCAGAGCTTCCAGATGCAATTTCGGACTCTCGGGCGAATTTATAACCCCGTCGTACAATCTAATTTTAAGGTGCAAGGCATTCAGCTCTATGGAGGTTTCTTCGGCTTGCCGCTTATCTAGCTGTTTCGGCAGCCTGCCCCAGACTACTGCACGGCTCGTAAACATCCAAAAGCGGAAAGGTCTTTACGAGCTTGGCAGGAGGGTGAGATGCACAATTTCCACGTCATTGACGCATTGTAGGTCATGGACACAGGCTCTCTCATGGAAAGAATCGACCATATTCTGCTTCCAAGTTCCTGTTGAGCCAGGTCAATCGAGGCCGATTCGATTTAATAGCCAGGGCGTTGTGGATTGATTATTGTTCAAATTGAACCTAGATGTCCTTCCTGTTTGCCTCTAAACTCCATACTCAGCTCTCATAACCAACCAAATCTGCCATCAGCAGCGCACACGATGTTGACAATGGCCGCCGTATCCACGTCACATCATCAGATCTCTCGCTAACATCAACCGCCTCTTCCACCAGTTCCCATTGTCCCGTTGTCGCGTCTTTATCGAGGTATCGAAAGACAACGCGATCACCTCCGGCTTCAAAGACGAATTCCCGGCGCAACAGCCGCTGCCACTGTTCCGCCGCTGAGCCTTCCGCCACATTGATCCGCTCAACGGCAAGGCTCCTCACGGCCAAAACGTAGAGAGCGTGCGAGTCGAGCAGCCCGTCCTGGCCAGGGTAATCCTTCAGCAGCCAGACAGCCTCGTCGCGGGCCAACGGGTCGCGGCAGAAGAAAGCCAGCACGAGTAAATATGACGCGACACCGCACTGTAATGACAGCTGCTGGGTTGGCTCTGTGATGTGCCGCTTGGCTGTGCGCAAAGCTAGTCTGACTACCGACAAGTATTCGTGGAAGAGATGCGACCGAGCATACAACAACTCAACGTCAAGGTACTGCAGGGGGTCGCCGAAGGTGTAGATACCCAGGTACTGAAGGCGTAAATGGATTGCTCGCAGAGCTGTCGGTGATTCGGGCTCGAACATGATGACCCTGTTGAAAAGAGGCAAATATGCCGAGTCCAGAGCTCGCATTGCGTTTCTCAATCCCTCGCAGAATTCCTGCACTTCCGTGTTCCCGAACCAGTCCAGCTGAAAACCGCTCATCACCTCTTCATTCTTGCAGCCCGAGGCAACCAGAGCACGCATGGTTCCAGCCATGATCTGCATCATCTTGATCTGTCGACGCTGGCAGGCCATCCAGTACCCCTCAAACTCGTCTAGGTCGTTGAAGCTGGCCGGAACGTTCTCTATCGTCGCAGTGGAGGGCGTGAGTTCGCTGAGGAGCATCATGAAGGATTCAACCGTGTGTTTTTTCTCTTTTAATCCCTTGGCAAGGTTTGGTAGGGATGGACCGGATCCAATCTCATTCTGGACAACCGTTCGGCTTTGTGTCAAAAGTTGGATGAAGATGTCCCCCACTGCTCCAAGCAGAGGTTTCGGGTCTGGCGCAAAGGCAGCCACATGGCAACTAGTCGCGTCATCATCGGTCAAGAGAGCAAGCAGCAGAGCCAAGCCATGATTCACATGATTCAGCGCGGCTTTTCTGTTTCCTCGTAGTATTTCAAAGAACAGCAGCAGCAGCGATAGAAACACGGCGTTTTGCGGAGAGGCCTGTTGATGTTGCAGCTTCAGAGAGTGACCATAACAAGCCATGGCGTGGAAGTAGGACACCCGTCGGTCGTCGGTCAACAGCTCTGGTACCGGTACTGAGCGAAGCGTCTTCTGGTTGAATTGGCGATGCCATACGTTTAATGCACCGATGGCCATTGCGGCATGACGAAGTGTGCTGTTATTGTGAGCGAGTTGAGGCAGAGTCACGGCCCAGAAACCTTTGTTGGAAGCCGCAGTAATCCACGGTCCCTGAACCAACTCGACGAATTCTTGGAAATAAAGTGCGCCTTGAGAGCCCCGAAACGATGAAGATTCGACGTCAAGTCGCAGCTGTACTCTCGGCGGCGTTGCAAGATCAACTGATTTGGAATTCCAACAGATTTGAGGAGGTGCGTCGGCCTTCTTGCTCGGCTCGACAGCATAACCCTCGCAATGACCTCGACCCTTGAGGCATTTCAGGCAATGCGGCCGGGCTTCGTCGCATTTTACGCGCCGCTTTTTGCAAGTAATGCATCCTGTCCGTACTTTGGGAGTGCTTGTACGAAAGTGTTTTGGCTTGTCAAGAGACCTGGTAGAAACGAGGCCATGGGGCGTTCGTTAGCTTTGGAATACGGGACAACCAGTATCGCCATCGCCTGCTTACGTTTTGGGATGATTGGGAATACCTGGGTTTGGATCGGCCATGGCATTTCTTCTCTTCTTCTTCGACACTCTGAGGTTGATGGAGAAGTAATACTTCAATCAAATAGGCTGCTATCGTCGGGGGAATCTTAGCTGCGCCTCCGGATTCCGGCCTAACTTTTCTGCGGGTACGTGCGCTGTGATGGGCCATCTGTGAGCATCTAGGGTAGGGGATTCCAGCATTGCTGGTACAGGTGAAGCTGTCAGCGATATCATGAGATTGGGACACATTGTAACTTCCGTCAATCCAATCATCTGCCTTGACGCCTGAGCTCCAACCGATGTTGCCAGAATTGGAGACTGTGACAGAACATGCCCTCCAGGGCCGCAATACTCACGCCTACTGATGGAGCTCTAGACGTGCAAATAAGTGACAGAATGACTGCGCCAGGAAATGTATGGAGACGGGCATTTACTTGATTTAATTATGAATACAAGCGCTTACACTCCAGCTCCTGCTCGTTAATATTTCCGTCCTTATCGGCCACTCGCTCGCCAAAGATCCGCAAAGGATTCTTCCTGCTCTTCTCATACACATGCCACCCGTGCTTGAGCATAGCTTTCCTCGACCCCCTTGTTGCTGTGAATGTTAAATATGCATCCTGCATCGCCGCGCTGGTTGCTTTCTCCAGTTTTGTAGACGGACCGCGGAACAGGCCGTGGGTGCCGAAGATCATGGGCAACTCGGATGAGTGGTAGGCGCCAATGTATGGCACGGGAGACACGTTGCTAAAGTTGCCTCGATATTCATAGCGCCAGGTATCGAGACCTGCCGCTAAGCGATTGGATGATGTCTTGTAGGCTGGGCAGAGGAACAGCGACAGCGTGACTTGCTCTGCGACAGTCGTATCGACCCCATTACCGGTATATCCGAACGGATAGCCGTCCTGTGCAGCCGTGCCGACAATCGCAGGCTACATTGTAGAGGTGTCAGAATTTATAGTCAATCAAGTTTTGGAATGATGGAACGCACGATCTTTCCCTGGGCACCCAAGAGTGAGCGCTCAGTATAGTTGCTGAACACCAGTCGGCCATCTGGTACGGGCTTGAAAGCTAGCGATGGAGTAGTCCCTTGCTCAGTATACTCCTGGATAAAATCCTCAATATCCTGGAAGGGAACTTGGCGCATACAAGCCAACTCCTCGGCCGGTGAGTCCCTCTGGCATCCCAGATTCTCTGCCACAAAGGTAAAGTTGGAGTGGTCCGTGTCGCTTTCACCTGATCCGAGATTGGTGAATTCACTGGCCGAGTCCAGAATGAGGCTACTGACGATGGGGTTTTCGGGATAGGCGTAGGTGTAGCTGTCACAGCGTAAGGAGACATCCAAAACCGTCAATTCGGATAGGACTTACTAGGCCACAGACATTGCCCCGGCACTTTGCCCCCAGAGCGACATGCGTGTTTTGTCACCGCCGAAATGGTAGATGTTATCCCGCACCCACTCGATAGCCATGCGCTGATCTAATAAGCCGAGGTTCTGGCTCTCAACACCAGCAGAGCGGGGGAACCCGAACATGTTGACGCGATAATTGAAACTGACAACAATGTGGGATTTCGTTCGCTGAACCCACTGGGTTGGAATTTGGTAGGGTACATCTTGACCTCCAGTTGAGAACCCGCCTCCATATATGTAAATCAGAATGGGAAGATTGTCTCCTCTCCGGGCCCCCAAAGGAGTCCAGACACTAAGCGTGAGACAGTCTTCACTAATGGAGCCGGTTTTGTTCAAGCCTTGTAAGTTGAACTCCAAAACCTCCTGCGAGTAGAAGTTACCCCGGCTCACGCCGAGATATTGGGGACAACTAGGGGGGAGCTTCTTGGCTTGGATGTCTCCAAACTCCTCAACAGGATGGGGTCGGTCCCATCGCAAGTCACCGATGGGAGGTTTGGCATATGGAATGCCAAGGAATTGCCGAACCGATGGATTGCTCCTGTCGATCACACCATGTATAGTACCAAGGCTGGTTTTGACAGACTGGGCAGAGGAGGACGATGGGAATACTACTAGCGGCGCCAAGAGCCACAGGCAGTGGAGCATGAATTGAACAAGTGTAGTCATCTTGTGAAGAGACGCAGTTAAACTTGGATCACCGACCACGTAATTAGTGCCAATGGCCCGAACTCGCAACAGTATATATACCTTTCCACCACACAGATGAGGCCCATTTATTGTTGGGTCCGGCCGTTAGTGCTTCCGAGGAAACTCCATAACTTGGGCAACATGCTCGGCGGAATTGACATCATGGTGTGATTTCCCCCGCCTCTCCATCCCCCACACATGTCACGAGTACTACTCAAGCCATCAGCTCCACCAGTACCCTTGATCGAAGCGGAGACCACTCAGTTTCTTTGAGAAATATGGCCGGGAATAGGCGTAGCATTGGCTAGTCCGGGGGGTAAACCTTTCCGGCGCGGGGTCAACTGGTTCTCCCTTGCTGCCACTCTGGGGTCTGAGCTATTTAACCTGTGATCCAAGTATCAAGGATGGCATGGAAACGGACCGATTAACTGACCTCGGGATATCAGCAAACAACCCCTCATTATTTACGATGACAAGTCTGGGGCTGTCAAGCTTGGTGTCGCCCACCATGACGATGCTGGCATTGTTTACCACACCCAGTGAGTCAAGATGTCCTTGACCGGACCAAAAAGGTTGTTGAGCTATTGCTGTATTTATTTCTGTCTATATAGCTACGGTTCTTCCGTTTCTTGACCTTCTCTTCTGTAATCAGGGTGGCGTTACTCGCAGGGGACTTTTTGTCGATAGATGTAACATCAAGTGCCTTGAATTTCGGATTTGGTGATAGACTGAAAGACAGCACCGTCGCCCCAGGCCTCCACCAATGCCAGAGAAGCCTTGAAAATCTTTTCTTAGGTGGAACTCGGGTAAAAGGCTTTGTAACTTTAAATGAGAAGGAACAGTCAATATTACCGTTGAGGTAACGGCGGAGAACAACATAGCTGCCTCGCAGGCTCGCGTTATCGTCACGAGTGCCCTGATACCAGTACTTGACGAACGTTGCCAATCTTAACTGTTCTGCTGTTGCGCTCCACGACGGAACAACGATGCTGGAATAGGTTGGGTCGCGGACTTTGTTCCAAGGATAGGTGCCGTCCGCAAGGATAGCGCGGTGCATAAAGGACGGAACAGACCAGACCCAACATTTTAAATTGGTCGCATGTGAGCTTGATCTACTGGTCAGTGTCAGTACAGTAGTTCTTTATCAACTTCTCTTCACCAGCGCTCCTCTGCGACATAGCTGCATTGTTGTACGTTCCAGGCCGGAGCTTATAGATAAGTTTTTTGTGGTCATATGCCGTGCCCGTCAAAATGACCGAGTCCTAGACCGTCACAGGTTTCATAGTTAAAATGTTTGGACGACTACGAAAATTCGCTCAAACATATGCAAGAGACACTTCAAGTCACTTTGGACGCCATACGATCAAAGACCATTTAGAGAGGAAATCTCAAAGCATGATCTACCCTTCTACCTAGAGAAGAAGCTTAAAGGCGATACCTATTATTTCAAATAATGTGACAGATCACTATTATTCGCTGCGTTGGCGCGTACCGTTCCATGTCCGTTACTAGGGTGACCCGATTTTTGCATGCGCTTAGTTGAGATTCTGCTTCAGAAGGGAATAGATCCGAATGATCCGATGACGACAAGTCAAGTTTTCAAGCCTCCTTCTCCGAGGAAATTATTTCTTCAGGAGCTGGATGGTCGAGAGCGAAGACGTACGGAAAGCTTCAGCGGTTTGCTTGTTCTTCTCTTATCGTACGGCGCGAATCCCAATGATTGCTCTGCAAAGCCATGACATGATCTCAACCATAAGCTCAAAATTGAATCGGAGCTTAAGAAGCGTGGGGAGGCTAAGCTAAGGACAGATGAGAAGAGATCTCTGCGAAAACGGCGGAGGCGGGCATGAGAGCGTCTGTCAGAGAGAAAGGTTGGATGCAGCTTGAAACCGCAGTAAAAAAAACGTAGGTATCATAACCATTGCCCGCTTGTGCTCGAATCACAACAAAAACAACACATTAGTGCCCATCACCTCATACAGTGGTGTCTCGACCGTCCGGTATATCTGTACTTCGAAAATGCGACTTTTTTCCGATAGCTACCAGTTCGATTTCATCATCCCTTACGCCCCATTCCTCGTAAGCTTGTGGTGTTGACCGCGACTTGAATGCATGCTTGTTGGACATTTGTCCAGATCCAGACTGTGAACCGTCGCCGCGATCTGTTGTGTTTGTTGGGGTTTTTGACCGCGTAATGAACTTTTTCAGACCAGGGAGACAGACGACAATGACGGCAGTGGTCATCTCGGCAGTGCACAGGGTGTCTGGAGCGAGTCAGCACATGCAATTTATGACAAAGTCTGTGGTTTCCAAGAAAACTGCTGGGGCAGGTGAGAAGACAGGGCGAATACATACTGCCAGACGAATCATCAAGGTCAAAATCCGTCACATTGTACGCGATAAAGCGTCCAAGGCTTACTGACAAAGTGATGGCGCCCAAGGAAAAGACGCCGACAAGACCGATTTTTTGTTCTCGGCGAAGCTTCAAGTGCGGAAGAAGAAAGAACGGAAAGCAAAAGACTAGACGGCAGATGGAACGTTAGATGAAGTTGTTCAACGGCTTCAATAAACATACGCAGCAGATCAGTGGAAAAGTTAAGACACCATTGAACGACAAAAAGAGGATAGGAATTCCAAGCCGAGTCTAACTGATGTTCAATGGACCTGTTGGGGACTGTTAGCATGTATTCTCCATCGACGTATTTCAAGACGTTACCAATTATTCGAGATAGGGTGCGCTATTAGAGTGACTACTAGGAAGGCTGCAATCATGCAACAGACGAGATACGCCGTGCTTGCGTATAGTGCTTTCCTCAGAGTTCGGAAAATCCGGGGTATCAACAACCAGTAAAACGTGGTGATGGACAGCTTAGGCCAGTAAATTCCAATGTCGAAGAAGTATTCGGCTATGAAGACGGTCTACAGGTCGAACACCGTTAGTTTTAAGAAAAAGCTTTCTTCTATTCTCAGGGTAGTTGGCCACGTACCTTCAAGTATGCCACATTATTGACAACAAGTTCCTCGCCAACCGCGGGATGCTTTATCAGAATCCGCAAAGCGACGGTCGAGCAGATGAACCATCCCAGCGCGAACAACCAGCCGATGCAGGCAAAATACTCCGAGATGGTAAGCGACGCCCTCTCGAACCGAAGTCGAGCCCAGCATCGAAGAACGATGACCAACAGCGCCAAGCCCAGAAGGAATCCTTGAATGACCTGCGCACGTAATCAGTTAGTAAACAAGGCACAGGAAATAGGATATCGAGCCGGAGATGTCGCGCAAAGCATACAATCGAGACTGTAATTAGCATGGTGCCGCGTTGCGGCTGCTGTCGCAGCTCCTGCTAGCTCAGCCCAACGGACACGCGTGTTTTTTTTTTGGCTTTCCGCCCTGATGAAGGAACAAAAGCGCGTTATATTTTCCAGCCACACTTCCCCTGACTCAGGCTGCCAGCTCCGGATCCGTTCCAGGCGCCACTAGTGTCTAGCTGGAACTTCTGCGGTATCGGGTGGCGTCCGTTTAGGCCAGGCTTCATTCCGCTGGACACGATGGTCCAGTCATTAGAGTTTGCTATTTAACCTAATGCAGCTGTAGCTGATAGATAAGAGAACCTTGAAAGCAAATCAGTCGATGCCAGGATGAAGCGCCCGTTGATCTTACTTCAACCGGTCGGTTCCGTGCCGATTGAGTGACAATCTGATGAGATGCGCCGCAAATCAGCCCTGGAAGCTCCTTATTTATGTAGCGACTAGGGTAAGACTGTGTCGCCGGGAATAAATGCAAAACTCATCACCGTCCATATCTGAGTCCATCTAGGATCCCCTGTCAAGCCTGGTTGAGGCTTGGATCTACACCACTCCACTCCCACACACACGGCTGATCGGCACAGTAGCGAATCTGAAACCTCGAGTTCCAGGCACCAAATCTTATTGATCTGGTTAGTAGCAGATTTAGTGAGAGAATCCTCACTGTCAAAGCGAAGGCGATGTTGTAAATTAAGGACAGTCTTCCTTTCTTCCACCATCACTATGCCACAAAACCTTCAAGCACTGATCTTGTGTAGCTACCAACAACATTTGCGCTCTTACTTCTCTCATCTTGCAGAAAAGTACTGAGGCGCATGTCGATTTAATTATTTAAATCCTGTTTCTCCTTGTCTAGGGTAGGCGTGAAAAACTAAGCATGATAAGATAAGATAAGTCAGTCCTAACTTATCACCCCACTTTGTTTGGTGAATCCTTTGATGTCATTTCTGAGTCCTTGATTATCAGCCTCGATATCGTCACCACCTCCTCCATCATGTTTGCAGCACGAAGACTGATTGCAAGGCCTTTTATGCGCGTTGCTACGCGCCATATTCACGCGACATGCCCGCGTTTCGCCGCCGCGAGCCCTCCCAATATGCCGGAAATGATGATGAATGACCCCAAGGTTCGGGAGACGTTTGAGAAGCTGAGCCGACATCCTCCGGCCATTGCAGCCATGCAGAAAGTTGGTGATATCATCAAGGGAAAGGGTATGTTGGAAACGTATTCCTCGCGCTGCATGGGCTTGCGCTGACTCATTCCTATAGGATTCGACGCTACCAAGCCTCCAAGCAAGATGGATATGATGCGGCTCATGATGGACAAGCAGTTTCAAGAGGCGGCTCAAACAGTAGGTTTATACTCTCGGTTTTTGTACTTTTGAGACTGATGACGGACTTTCAGTTGTACGATGAGATGCAAAACGCAGGCATTGAGATGGACTCCGACGTTGGTTCTACCCTCCCTCACTACCTGTCTTCATTGTACTGACTACCTCGATAGGTGTTCATGAAGATGATGGGGAATGATAGGGGAAATTGACGAATTGCATTGATAACACCAGCAAATAATTACCCGATGTATTGGTTGGATGAGTACTCATCAGGCTTGAATGTTAGCTCTCACATAGGAGTGCCGACCGGTGTCTATAGACAACCGTCGCGGCTTTCTCGCACATATACTGAGGAATGCATCATGGAAAGAGAGCAATAACAAACACGTATATCTAAATTTCTAGGGTTCAGAACTATGTTGTGCCATATAGGTCCATTTGAAACTCCATCACCCTATCAACATTATAGGCCAGTAAAATTGCATATTCATTATTGGAACTCGCAGTCAGGATAGTCACAAAATAGCTTGCACTACTCACATTCAATCGAAAACTAAATCATCGTCTTGGTGAATCATAGCTGTTCAGTTTCGATGCCGTTTATGCTAATGCATCTGCCGCTGCTGGAGAAATCATCACAACCTCTAAGATACATCAGCACGTGGCGCCCTTTGGTCTGGTTGTAGAGCCACCTTCAGCTATTTCAGCGATGCCAGTAATCTGGTCTGGGATCAGCGTGGTTACAACTATATGCTCGCCGAGGCCACGGAGTTTCTCAAGAAGGGCGGTTCTCAACTTCCACTAAACACGACTGTTGGGAAGATGGAGTACCGTAAGAATTGTGTCAAAATATCGACCAAGGGCGGTGGCTGCACTGAAGCCGAATGCGCCATCTGCACCTTTTCGCTCAGCGTGATGCAAAACGACGTCGTGGAGATCAAGCCCGAAATTCCTCGCGGAAGCAGGAGGCCATTGCCCAATTCGCTATGGGCACATGCACCAAGATCTTTCGCAGTCAAATACTTTGGCGACGCAGGCTACGACGTGTTACGTTTATCTAGCCTTCACCAAACACTACCTAGTGAATAATGAATGTAGCAGAAGCTTCTAGTTAGCAGCAAGCGTGGCAGAAGCCATCACCTGGCAGAAGCCATCACCTGGCAGCAACTGCAACAGGAGCCACCAGCTGGCAGCAACTGCGGCAGAAGCTATCGTGAGCACCTATGAATTCTCAGCTGGCATGAAAATTCAGTCATGCTTCGATTCTTCAACCTCACTCTTCTAACTTGAGTCTTTCTTCAAACTCACGCGCAACTCCAACAACCCAACTCTTTTTCAGACTATTCTTCCGCTCCCACTAAGACCTTCCCTCCACTGTCGCGATGTCTCCTATCCCCATGGATCTTGTCGCAGGGCCTGCGCCCGTTCACCCATTCACCATGGGATTCACCGGGGGCTCGCCTTCATCACCTTGTGCCTCAGCATTTGGGGCTGCACTTGGGCATGGTATTCGAAGCGTGAGGACTAGCGGCGCGCCCGCCGATACGGATAAGAAGGCGAAACACAACCAGGACGAAGAGATGGATACGGTGAAGGCAAGGCTCGATGCGATTGGCGAAGATTTGCGCGTCGCCTATCGTCTTGCCTAGGTACCAAGTTCCAGGTCTTGCAAAAGCGTAAGTTTGCTGTCCGCTCTGCTTTCTGAGTGCACTTGAACTCACAAGTTCTTAAGTGTTGAAGAGTTGCAAGGCAATTTGGTACGCATAGGCGCGGAGCAGGGAAACCTCAAGAAATCAATCATTGCCCTCGAGACTCGACTTAACAAATAGCCCAAGTGCTCCTGTAACGAAGCCATCACCGATATGGAAAAGGAACTTAAGTCACTGGACAAGGCCCGGGAGACTCTCGATAAGCGGCTCACATCTGCCCGAGGATACACCACCGCTTTCCAGAACACCGCCGAGAATCTAAAGGAATGCAATTGCGGAAAAGACAAGCTCAAGATCACTCAGTCGACGGGTTCGCCGCTTGTGCGAACCGTATCTGCAGTCAAGATAGACAAAACGTCGGCTCGGAACCCTTATGCTGGCAAGTCGAAGTAGATGATGGGTAGCTTTTAACTTTAAGAATCAGCGAAATAAGTGTATCTTGTATATGGATATAATAAAACCAACGAGATGCTTTCTTGGAATGGCTTGCTGTTTCTCTACCCGGGCGTGAGTATCAGTCGCAACCCCCTCGATGTCAACCCTTTGCCTGCAATTGCTATTCGCACACACTCAAAATACTACTCGCAGAGTCAAGGGCATCAACTAATTTTACCAGGAAGTTTCAATAATATACCTATTTACAAGTAAACCTAAGAAATTAAATAAGTTTTATTCTTAGGATTTATTCTTTAAGGTCTGCAGTTTAAATTTTATCTTTTGATTTATTTAGGGTAAAAACTGGAAATTCTTTAGAATAAAATGCCTTAAAATAGTATATCGTCTGGGTATATTTCCTTGTACTAAGATTATGTGTAAAATTGTGTACTTATGTGTGATTAGCATTTTGAACGGGTGGGAATAGCAATACTCAAAAAAAAAGGCTGAGGCGTGACCAGGCTGTGTATAGTCGGTCATGTGCTAATTATCTGAGAGATATATAGTGAACCAACGAAGGGTTGAGGGTACTATATCACCAGCCCGCATAAACCACTCCCCCGTAAGCCCCGAGCTGAACACGGCCGGCTTCAATAGTCTCAATATTCTTCCCGAGCAACCTCGTCCACTTGGAGTTGGAATGTTCCTCCAGCTCAACCTTTTGTTCCTTGTCCGAAAAGTTCAGCAAGACCAGTGCCACTCTCCCATCGTAGCTTGTCATGGTGTATGCAAAAACATGCTCACTCTTCTCATACTCGGGCAATTCGTCGAACCGCCCATACACAAAAACATCTTTCTCCTTCTGTCGCAACGCCAGGACCTCTCTCCAGAAAGCCAACACGCTGTTGTCATCCTTTTCCATCTGCGCGACATTCCACTCGTCGAAGTCATCGTTGACGCGCATCCAAGGCTTGGATCCTTCCGTGAACCCGCCATTCTTCTCTGCCGTCCATTGCATGGGCAGCCTTCCATTGTCGCGTGCCTTGAGCCTCATCTCCCTCATGACATCGGACATGTCAGCACCACGACCTCTCCTTTTGAGCTCGCTGTTGTAGTAATTTAGGCCTTCGACATCAATGTAGTCGTCAATGGTCCACGACCTCGGCGCATTCGCCATGCCAATCTCTTGGCCCTGCAGCAGAAACAGCGTGCCGCTCAGCGTCCCTAGGTAGATGGCCAGCATCTTGGCTGCGTCCTCCCGATACTGGGGTAGATCCGATCCGTACCGGGAAAGGGAGCGACCGGAGTCGTGATTGTCCATGTATACTGAGTTCCAACCGTCGAATTTGGGCATGGCGTTCTGCCACCGGTTGGTGATGGCCTTGAGCTTGGAGAGCCGGAAGTCGTCTCGCTCATACTTGTGGTTGACTCCGAAATCCATGTCGACAATGTCACCGGTAAAGAGCATATTGAGCTCATGCCTGTCCTTGGCAACATAACTCGCCACGCTCGCCTCGTCCTTGGTGAAGCCCAGTTCGCCAACAGTCATGCAGTCGTACTTGTCCAAAACTTCGCTGCGCATCTCGCGGATGTACTCGTGCATTCGCGGGCCGCTGGCAAAATACTTGTCTCCCGGCTGGAACTCGTCACCGGGCCGCGTGATGGGCGCGTCGGGGAGGTCCGGGTGCTTAGACATGAGATTCATAGAGTCGATGCGGAAGCCGTCGACGCCCTTGTCGAGCCAGAACTGCATGTCGGCGTAAATTTCGCGGCGCATGTCCTTACTGGCCCAGTTTAGATCGGGCTGCGAGGGTAGGAAGAGGGCGAGGTAGTATTGGCCCGTGGCCTCGTCCCATGCCCAGGCGCTGCCGCCGAAGATGGAAGCCCAGTTGTTGGGTGGCTTTCGCGTGCCGTCTGGTTCGAATTTGGGGTCGCGCCAGAAGTACCAGTCTCTCTTGGGGGAGGTTCTTGATGAGCGTGACTCTCGGAACCATTCGTGTTCGTGGCTGGTGTGGTTGACGACGAGGTCTAGAAGAATCTTGATGCTCCTTTTGTGGCAGCCTTGGATCAGGGTTTCGACGTCTTGGACGGTTCCATAAGGGCGGTGAATGTCTCGATAGTCTGAGACATCATAGCCCATGTCATACTGAGGACTCTTGAAGATGGGCGACAGCCAGATGGCACTGGCTCCTACCGACTGGATGTAGTCGAGCTTCGAGATGATGCCTGGCAGATCACCAAGCCCATCGGCGTCCGAGTCCAAGAAGCTGGCCGGGTAGATCTGGTAGACGACTGCTTCTTTCCACCATTGCGCCTCTGGAGGAGTAGACGGTGACATGTTTGTTGATGTCGATGATGCTATGGTGGTTCGGTCAGGAAGAGACTGACGAGTTTACGTTTCAGAAGCGAGTCTCTTATTCCTGTATCTCCTATGCCCTAGTGCCACTTGCCGGTCCGACAACTGCATCTAGTCTCGACGATTGCGATGCTCGGTTGAATTCGTATTGGGCCTCGCATCTTGCCGATCCCATGATCGTCTACGTCAGCAATATGAGGCACACGGGCTGGTCTCGGATGGTTGAATTGTGATTCGCTAGAAACTCAAGCCCAAGAAGAAAAAGAACCCATTCTCGTCGGACCGCCAAAGAGCCAACCATAATTCAGCCTGTTTGCACTCACTGAGTGATTTGTCTAGCCAATAGAAATCCACCCATTTCACCCGGAGGCTCCCTCGCGATTAGACGGCGCCATTTTCTGGGGTTCTGGAACCCCATCTCGAACTGTGGATAATGCCCCATTTAGTGCGCGGCCTTGACTCCGGTTCGGCGGATGGTCTGTTTTGCCTCACCTGATTCCCCATGGGGCTCCGTCTAGACGACAGAAAGGTACGAGCTTTCTGGGGATCACGAGTCAGGCTGTATTCGGGTCGTCGATATATCTCATTGGCGGTCAGGAGTAGATACTAATCCCTGTCGGCACAAAGCCCATTTGTGTCCTGACTGCCAAAGATATAAAGACTAGGCACGATGCCCTCACAAATAAAACGTAGGACATCACACTCAGTCTCGAGTCCCCTTCACATCCTCATTCAAACTCACCGAATCAAGCATTCAATATGGATACCAAGTCTGAGCCAATCGCGACTGTGTCCGACCACGTCGAAAAGGCCCCTATCGCAGACTCAGCCGCTGTCCAAAAAGCTGTCGACGCGCAGGACCTCACGCCCAAGCAGCAGTATCAACGCCTCTGGACAAACCTGAAAAAAGACAAGCGTTATGTCCTCTGGTCGCTCTACGTCATGTCTCTTGTCTTCGGATGGGGCTACGACTCTGGTCTTTCCGGTGTTGCCATCGCCTTCCCAGAGTTCCGCAAGGCCTATGGCGAGTATTACGCCGTGGGCGACCAATTCGTTGTCCCTGCGCTTTGGCAGTCTCTTTGGAACGCTGCTAGTACCATTGGCCAGGTGTTTGGAGCTTTCTTGACAGGCCAATTTGCAGACCAGGTTGGTCGAAGGGCTGTGCTATGGACTGCCGTCGTGCTGTCCCTGTCTTCGTCCTTTGCACTTGTCTTTGCCCCGAGTCTGCCGATCCTCTTCGTCTCCAAGCTCCTGCTGGGCTTCTCCGTTGGCCTCTCGACCGTCACGCCTCCACTGTACGTTACCGAAAACGCACCCGCTGCGCTCCGAAGCTCCCTCAGCTCCTTGACAAACGTCATCATCGTCCTGGGTTTCTTCCTCTCCTCTATCACAGGCTGGGGATCTTCCAAGATACACGGCGAATGGAGCTATCGACTCGCCTTTGTTATGACGTTTCTCGTCCCGACGCTCTTCGCCATTGTCCTCCCTTTCTTGCCCGAGTCGCCTGTCTGGTACGTCAAGAAGGGCAGAGATGATGACGCTCGCAAGGCGATAATCAAGCTTTATGGCAAGGGCGTCGACGCCGAGGAGAGGCTCAACTTCATCAGGTCTGAGCTTGAGGTTGCGGCTGGCGAAGCCAACATGGCCAAGCAAACGAGCTGGAAGGCCATCTTCTCCAAGGAGCACCGATCGCGAACTCTTATTGCTGTCATGGGGCTGCAATCTCAGAACTTCTCTGGTGGATATTTTGCAAGTGAGTCGTCTAAAACTTGAAATTTTGCTTAGCAATTGCTAAAGGCTGCAGACACGTACCAGACGTATTATTTCGAGCTCATCGGCCAATCCGACCCCTTTGGCCTCACAGCCATCTCCTCGACGCTCCAATTCCTTTCCAATTGCGCTGCCGTCGCCGTCTCAGATGTTCTCCCTCGCCGAAAGTCGCTGATTGGCGGTGGTACGCTGCTCTGCTGCTGGTCCATCATCATCGCCGGGACCTCGCTGGCCGGCACAGCCAACAAAGCGGCCAACACGGCTCTTCTCTGCTTCATGATCACATGGTCGATGCTATACACTGCCACGGTGGGCTGCTTCGGCTGGGCTGTGGCGCAAGAGACTGCCTCGCAGGCGACGCGTCCCAAGACAATTGCCTTTAGCCTGGTGTGCCAGCAACTCACTGCGCTCATGCTTTCGTCGGTATTCCCGTACTTCATCAACCCCGATCAGTTGAACTGGGGAGGCAAAGTCATGTTCTTGTTTGTTGGTGCTGAGATTGTTATTCTGGGTATTCTGTTCTTCTTCCAGCCTGAGACGAAGAACAGGACCTATCACGACATTGACTGCCTGTATGCTGAGGGTGTACCTCCGAGAAAGTTTCGCGAGTTTATTGTGGATGACGGAACTGTTATTCCGAAGCTTCGCTCATAGGATGGCTGTTGGCCAATTTATTCTTATTCAGTAGGGCTGAGCTTGTGGGTGGCTATCACGGTCGGCACCATGGCCATTCTTTTCCGGTGAGGAGAGGGACATCCAAAACTAGCAAAGTCTGCTTATTAGTCAACCCCCTAGGTAATTAATTAGCCGGGGTTTTTCTCCGCATATATGAAAGCTCTGTCCCCCCAGACATTGTTCCCCGGCCAGCTTCAAAATAACTCCAGTCACGTCCCGCCCAACAAGCTCAACAATGCCAAAACAACCGCCCAAAGTCCGGCAAGCTTGCGATGCCTGCCATACGCGCAAGGTGCGCTGTGACGGGTCCAGGCCATGTATCAACTGCCAAGGGTTAACGGTAAACTGTACCTACTTGGCCGTACATAAGAAGACGGGCCCAAAGCGAGGTCCACGGCATGCAAGGAGGCTACTACTCCAACATCAGCCTGTCCCAGTACCGATGCGGTGCCCTTTTCCCAACCCCGGCGAACAATCTACTTTCTCTACCGCGTCTCAGCCGAATACTATCCCCGAGCAGCCTTCATTAGAAGCTGCTTTTCAGCCATCTCCTCAAATATCGACTGAAGTTGTCCGATGGTGCCTCGACGCTTACTTCAAGCACAAGTACCCCCTCACACCTATACTCGATCGCCAGCAAGTCGAGCAAGTCCCATACTCGCCCGAGCACTATGGACTCATCACGGCCTGCTGCGCTGTGGTTTCACTTTCTACCGAAATTCTCCCACCGGCACCCACTCAAGGCCTCATCATTCCGCCTACCGACTTTCTCATCTCCGAAACCCTCCGTTCAAGACAGCATTGCGACCTCATTGAGCACCCATCATTAACCCACATCCAGACATCCTTTTTCCTCTACGCCGCCTTCTTCTGTCTGGATAAAGATAATTCGGCATGGTATTATCTGCGAGAGGCCATCACCATCCTGCAGACACTTCGGTTGCATGAGGAAGCCATATACAGCGACATGGACGATTCCCACTTTGCCTCATACGCTCGGCGCATGTTTTGGGTGCTGTTCATCACTGAAAGAGGATATGCACTGCAGCGGAATCGACCCGTCACGCTGCAAAGTACCCTGGATCTACCTGTTGTCGACCAATCGTCCCCAGACGCGAATATACTGCTTGGATTCCTCGAGCTCATCTCCCTCTTCCACCACTTTGACGAGGTTTTCAACGCGAGCTGGAATTTCACCACTGCGTCAAACACAACAGATCCGGCGCACCTGTCAAGGCTCCAAAGCATCCTCAAGTACACACTCCCCAATATATCCAACTACTCTCCAGCCCAGCAAGCAGACCTTCTCGTCTCGCGACAATGGCTCAAGATCATAGTCTGGAAGCTGTGCGCGTCTAAAACAATGCTTTCCACCACCAGGAGCGAGGACGTCATGTCGCTGCACTATCCGGCTACCATCGCGCGTGACGTTGTGCTTGCCTCTCAGCTGGTGCCGACCCAAGCTTTCGAGGCGAATGGCATCGGCATATTGGAAAAGGTCTTTGACGTAGGGTGTTCGCTGGCTGACCTTTTGTCGTTGGTGCCTGTTGGCAGCCAAGGATCGGCCATGGATGTTGGCCCTGTTGATACGTTGATGGAGGTTGTGAGAATCGTGGGCACGAGGTTTGGGGGCAGCTATAGGCACCTAGATATGCTGGCTGACAAGGCTAGTAGGTGTCTTGTTATGAATATAGACAGAAGCCTCCCTCTGCCGGCTGATGAGCCTGAAAATAGTGTCGATTGAGCCTGGCAAAGGTATTAATTAAAGTCACAACTGGCACTCGGATTCCGATTGAAATAGGTGTTCCCATCTTGATGGTCCAAAGGTTTCATATAGCTCGTCGTAAAATGCCTAAACGATACGAATTATATATACGTCGACGATGCTAGATGAATTCTCTCTTTAGGCATCCTTATTAAATGATATCCTGTCCCTTTTCCTTTTTTGTGCTAACAAGCAAGGGAATTTGGATAGCATAAATGCATAGCATCAATGGCGAATCCTACCATTGTCAATCTATATATTCAGATGACCCCAATAGCAAGAATCATATCTAGGACTCCCACGAGCTAAAAACTTCCGACAGCCAGGCATCGTCGGAAAAGTCCATGGCCACAAAGTCGCCCGGCGCAACATCCGGAGCCTCCAGCTCTACGGCATTCTGAGCCGCAAGGTCCGTACCCAAGGTCGCATCCACACCGCCAAGAGCCCTCTGCCAAATGGGAATTGCGCCTCGCAGTGTCATGGCGCACTTTGTGAAAAAGTCGCTCGCATCACTTCGGAACTGAACCGCTTCAGGTACTGCGCCCATATGCTCGGCGCCGCGTTCTAGGGTTTGAATCAAATCAACTGCGTTTCGTACGGCGGCGCGGTCCCACGCTGGATCTTCTCGCATGGTGAGGCGGTAAAGAACGTGAGTGTAGCGCCCGAAGTGAAGTAGCAACCCTAGAGATGCTCCAAACAACTCTCCCGGGGTGAGGCAGAACCAGTTGTCCAGACCCTGTTTGATGGCATGGATGCAGGCGTAAAAGCACCTTGTTCTTTCAAGCTCGTTTAACATGAAGGTGTTTGTGGGGGGACCTGTGCTACACAGGGCCAGGTTATTGATCATCATGTAGGTATCGTAAAGGTATGACCGTACAACTTCTGCTCGACGCGTCAGTCATCGACGGTTTCCAATCGCAAATGGAGAATACGCACTGCTTTCCGCCATTTCTGGCCGAAACCCCTTCTCGATAGCCTCGAGATTTAAGCGCAGGGCTTTCACATGTAATATGGACGGGGCCTTTGGAGGACCATGTGCCTCAGACTCGAAGAGACGCTCATGCATCAAGGTAGTGACAACATCCATGACCTTTTGTATTTGGACGATAGAGACAAGTAATTCGTCACCGGGTGTTTCGGCTTCGTCAACGAGATGGCGTAGAGAGTCTTCCATATGCGATGTCCACCTCATTGGCTGCGACTTGAGAAATGATGATATGCTAGGATGAGTGAGGATTAGTACATGACTGGGTCATTTGAAAACCATGGTAATCTTCGGCTTACGTTGAACACATCGAAAAGCATGCCAATGTCGCTCTCCGCTGCTCATTCGTACGATAAGTTGGCACTTGTTGCTTGATTGGATAGTCAAAGGACTTGTAGGCATGTTCCTCTTTACAAGGAGTCTCCTGGTCAGACCGATCGAGCCGGAGATCAAAGACAAGTGATGCCGCAAGATTCGAATAAGTGCACAGAATCTTTTTACCTTTGCCATGATCCATTCTCCTAGATGAAGGATCAGCAACAGTTGTCATGGAAGATTCCATGGCATCATGGGAAATACCAGGCAAGATATGCAATGAGTCCCAACAAGAGGTCAATGCTGCGCTCCCCGTCGACTATGAGGCTTTGTGCTAGGGTCTCGCGAACAGTCTTGTGGAACTTGTCGCTCTCCAACGTAGACTTGCAGCAGAGTGCTCGGATGTTGAGCCAGAGAAATGGGCGTTCGCGCTGCAATCGGGCAGCGCTTTTATAAGACTACAGTTAGTGCTTGCACTAGAACCGCTTCCCGATGACATGGCGCATGGACTCACGTACGTAAGTTCAGGTGGAATGTGGATAAAAGGCAGCGCTTTTAGATGGTGGGCTTGGAAAGTCCTTAGATACTCGTCCGCTTGTGATGGCGGTAGGGGTAGGGAATGGAGGGAATCAGCCGAATGAGGTGTTGTGCGGACTGAGGACATCTCAGACAGTCTGCCAGGTTCCGCCCTAATATCGGGAATAGCTGGAATTGCCTCATTCGGTTGCCTGTGTAGTGAGTCTCCAATAGAACGAGTTGGGAGACCTGAACTGAAACCATTGTGCTGTTGATCGCTCCGAGCGCCGCCTAAGTCGTGGCGTTGTTCCAACAGCTTCGTCGCAGCTTGCGTCTTAAGCAACGTGACTAGATCATCAAGTTTCTCCTCTAGCCGGACTGTCTTGCTCGCTGGGCGTCGAGCGAGACGTTTGGATGCAACGGTCGACGGGTGGCATTCTTTACTCATTCGGTGACATCTTTGGCAGCTGTTGCCGGGTCCTCGACTAATGCATCGCGACTTGGCTTTAGAACACCCGACACAAGCGTGACCATAGGGTGCGGATTTGGGGACGGTGGGGTTGAGGTTGGGCGAAGACATGACTGAGTGGTACGGATTTGAAGCGGAATAAAGTCTCCTTAATCCAGTGCGTTAACCTGGCTCGCGGTCCAGAGCATTAGGCTGTAAGATGATGCTCCAAGCCATCATGACGAGACGAAGGGGGTTTACCGAGACAAGTGCGGCGGGATTCCCATGTTTCGATGACGAATCCCGCCGTCAACAATGCTAGTCGACTCCACAGTCCATTTCCGCACCAATGAATTGAGGATGGTTCGGCGGCATTGGGTAACAAATCCCGCCGTGGGGATAAACATCCTTCGTCCCACTCAATATCAATGGTGCCAGTCGGGTTTGAGTTGGGAGGTGTGATTAAGTGGTAGGTAAGTACTTAGTTGTCTTTAAAAGAAAGTTTAGATGTAGAGATAGAAATATACAGTAAATTAGCTCTTGCAATATATTAAGGGAGCCTAGCATCCCGAATCAAAACGACTATTATCTTCTTGGCCTCACGTGCTCGTTAAGTTCGTTACCCGAAGTATCAATTGCAAGGAAGTCTTTTTCTCCAAAACCAGCTTATATCCATGACGCAAGGTTTACATATGCTGTGTGCCACCATCTTCCGCAGCTGTTGTAGGCTGTCACACTACACGAGGGTAGGCTAAACTTTGGAGCCAAAATGGCTGCGATCCCCGCTTACCCGTGGCACTCTCCGTGAATGGATGAAGAGCAGGTTTTCTTTAGTGTGGTGACATCTCGCCTATTATTGCCGTGATCCGATCCTAACAATACTTGGTACAGCGGCAAAAAAAAAGAAACATACTTTGGCCTTCGCTCCGCCATCATTCCTCACATGCTCCCGAACACTTCCACGTATGCAGAACCGAAAAGAATCCATAGTTGCTTTTGTGGGCATTCCTTTGTTCATTTACTCAATCCTGTGGGATAGTTTGCTTCATTAATTTCTCTCTTTCATCAAATCGATCGTCTGCTCCTGCGACAAGTCCGGTCTTGAGCCATATCCACACACTGCGATCTTCTACATACCAATGCCGTTTCTTACGACGCGCGACCGTCGGCATGGCCCACCGTATCCTTTTCTTCCTCTACTCATCGTTTACATCTTACAGACGTCTTCTTTTCTGGTCGTGATCCCTATCGTCTCCTACATGGTATTCCACCTCCACAACCGGCATCTCTTCTTTCACCTCGTAAGAAACAATCCATAATTGCAACAGGTCATCTCATGGATAATTAACTTTGCCATACAATATAGCTCTCTGCAGCCGCTTACTTCACCGTCCTGCAGCTACTCGCTGTAAACATCCTCTCCTGCTTTTGTCGCCTTCCTCCAGTAACGCGCTTCGTCATCAACGCCATTGGCTGCGTGCTCTGGGCCGCTGGATTCTTCACCATGGCGGCCTACGACGTGAGGCAGAAGCTTCTGGTACGGTGCAGCGGACATTTCATCTGCAGCCTCTATAAGCTGCTATTCGCGTTTGCAGCTGTCGGGTTGTAAGCCTGCCCATTTAGCACTCCCTTGTTGCATTGTACCTGACAGGAAACAGGATCGCTGCTATACTAGCTGTTCTGTTGGAATTTTACGTGTTGAGGCGCGTCCGGTCGGGATATAAGAACATCAAGAACCAGGCGGACGGGGAGCAGGAGCTCCCGCAGGGCTATCACCTATTTCATGTAAGGCAACAGAGGGGATAGAAGGCTGGAGGTAGAGATACATACGGTGACGTCCAAACTTGGGATTGAAGGAATAGTAAAGGCTGAATATATAATTGACTGCTCACCTGAGGTTGGCCACTTTATATCGTAAAAAGATTAGAATTCCCCTATAGCTATTAACATCAAGCAAGCCTCCTTATCAGCCTGCTGTATATTTAAACTACCCTCCCCGCGCACCAGCACTAAACACCGACGCTCTATTATCTCATAGCAAACTCACCCGGTAACTCATCATGTTGCTCCGGATCCCCCCTCGCAACCGCATCCACCTAGTATGTCTCGGCGCAGCAATGCTTCTGCTAGCTACCTGGGCGTATCTAGCTGCGCCCTCTACATACCAGGGCCTCGAACCCCAGAAGCAGCCCCCCGTCATCGCAGAGAATAAAGACGCCCGCAAGATTGTCCATACAATGGATGGACCCCTTGCCGTCTCACACCCTCGTTACTTCCCCCTCTCCCCCTTGTCCACCCACCTCGACGCGCGCTTCGCAGCCTCAACCCGGCCCACGGCGCCGGAGCGACATGCCGCTCTTACCAGGCTCCTGCGCTCGTTCGTTGGCACCATGGAGAATTTGGAGACCACCGCGTGGCTTGCCCACGGTTCGCTGCTCGCCTGGCACTGGAGCCCGCGGATCTTCCCATGGGAATGGGACCTAGACGTCCATGTGCACTTTCGGGGGCTGCAGAAGCTGGCCAGTTGCTGCAACGGCTCGGTGTACGAATGTGGCATAGGGGAAAAGTACTTGCTGGATGTTAATCCGTTTATGTGGGAGAGGAATGGGATGGTCGACCCGACTAACCGGATCGATGCGCGATGGATTGATCTAGCGACGGGGCTGTATGTGGATATCACGGCCGTGGAGGAGGCTGAAAATGCTCAGGGAGGATGGTCACTGGCGGCCAAAGATGGGCACCAGTATAGGAAAGGGGATGTGCTGCCGTTGAGGGTGGCATGGTTTGAGGGTGTAAAGGTGCTGGTGCCGTGGAATTCGACGGTGGTGCTGGAGCACGAGTACGGCAGGGAGGCACTAGTGAGGAGGATATTCAGAGGGTAAGTTCGGTCTACGGTTAGGAGATAAGTGCTAACGAGTCACAGGTTCAGGTTTCATGAAGACGTGAGGGAGTGGATAGCGATCACTTCGGATACGACGGCCCGCTGAGAGGAGGGGAAGCACGACGAGGGAAGAAAACGTCCGCAAGACAGAAACGGTGAAGAGAGGAAGAAACTGATACGCCGGGTCACACCGACGGTGTTTTCCGCATGTCGTAAGAGGCGGTATTAGTCGCTAATAATAGGCGAGAAGCCACACCACTACATACTTAATCAAAACCTACGCTTTAGCCACGGAGAAGGCCTACGGGTAAGCGGGGTTCATTTGTCGTCACTTTGGCCTACTCCTGCGTAGGGGCGCCGTGATTGTCCCGGATGAGTATTTCATTCCATCAAGAGCTTGCGAGGACAGGGCGAGAGAACACTGAGCTTGCGCCTGAGTCAGACATCATAACCTTCACCGTGACTTTTCAATCCTAACAGTCGGACGGTTAAGATGCAGAGTTATCTTCTATTCATCCTAACCCTCGCCGTGGTAGCGCATGCCGCGCATCGCGATCAAACGCCTGAGGAGTGGGCACGTCGGCAAAACGACGAACGCTTCAACCGGGAGGCCTACCATGGCCTTCCTTGGGAAGAATACAGCCAGGAAGGCTTCTTTCCACGAGAGCCACAGCGTCGTCTCAGACAGGAGGACTCGGACAGACAGAATGCCTTCGCTCCCACGCTCACATCCGACGACCTCACGCCAACCAGAACAGATCCGATGAGGTTGATGCCTCGCGCGTCGTTCGAAAACGGCTGCAGCTTGGATGGAACACCTAATTGTTTTACATTTATTTGTAAGTTTTTGGGTCCGCAGTTATTGGCATCTCTACTTAGTGGGTAGCGAAACCATCCGCTTACCACGGCAGCAGGTCCCACCAGTGTTCAAGTATGTCTATTCAATGCATCGTCGCCATGAAATGCTAAGTAACAGTGCAACGATGGCGGTTGCTGCCCTCTTGGGGACTATTGCGCCATTAAAAAGGGAGTATTGGGGTGCTGCCCGCTGTATGTGCCTCCCACCGTCTCGCCCCGGTAAAATCACGCATGATAAAGGAGGCTAAAGATATAAAGTGACGCTTCACCATGTGACACCGATCCGATCCCGGGTTGTTCAATGTGCGTTGATCTCCCTTCCCTTCCCAAAAGTGTGTATCAACTGACCCTACGTTCCCTAGTTCCTGCTACGGGATATGCTGCGACTTGATTCAGGATATTATTGGAGAGCGTAAGTAACTACAGGCTACCTATTACGTTGCCATAGCTAACAGCGTTTCACCTCACAAGCCGCCTGCAGTCAAACAGTCGGCGCTGGAGGCCAGCCATCCGGCCTCTGCACTGGTGTTTCACCCAAGGCTTCGGGGACCCATTCAATCAGTTGCAGTGGAACTGACTTGTAAGTAACCTTTCCGTTCACGATTCCATGGCCTCCTTTCCTATAGTCGTATAGACTGGTAATGGTCCGGCAAATACTCTGTATAATAAATTGAGCTGATGCTGTTGTAGTTCGTGCGGCGGTGAATGCTGCCCCGGCGGCGCAGGGCTAGTCTGCGACAACACTACCATTCCAGACGCACCGTTCTGCAACCTCCCCCCTTGAATTCTACGCCAATAACACTTCTAAGTGAAGTGGGTGAATCTTGTCGGTCTAGAGCGTTGAATTGATGGAAACTGTACAAGGCATCTGTCACCTTATTTAGCCATAGGGTCTTCAAGGCGTAGTTGAATATTTTATTATACTAAAAGGCCCAAGGATGTATAGGCGCCCGGGCGCTGTCTATCAGTTATCTACGAGCTAGGTAGCTAAAGTTTCCCTCAGAAAGGATTTACTGGCAAAACACTACATAAATTGTTTCAAGAATAATAATGTCACGGCCAGCATTGGGACCGGGCGGTCACAACCAGGTGTACTGTACAGTATACCCAACTTATCTTTATCTAATGCCGGTTGGATTGTCCATTCTAATGATATTTTTCGGATTCTAAGATACCGATACTTTCTATTGCGAGACCTTGCAGGGAGACTATTTGTTCAACTCGACGCAAATGCATCCAAACCACTCGATATCAAACCCACACTTCCAGCTCGGGTTTTGTCATTGGCATCATAAAGCGGGGGGCATTATTCCATGCTCAAATTGTCACAAATAGCTAGGTACCTCCACCATGTAACATGGTTCACTTTACGGAACACTGTCTCAGCTGTGTCAGTGTTATAGTCAATCGATTTCGCACATTGGTGCTCGTAGTCTTCTAGAGCGCAACTCTTGGTACCACCTAACGGTTTGAGAAGCAGAGTGTATATAGTGGCCCAACATCTCCGGCCAGATTAGAAAACTTGGGGCGGCGCAGCGTTGGCAAAAAAAATTACCATGGGATTGATGCTTGACAGGTTATTATGCAATTACGATGCATTTTAGCAGCAGGAAGGGACGGAAAACAACACCCAACTCATTAACTTACCCTAGGGGAAATACACAGAGAGTCGTCGCACAGGCGTCTTGGCCGGTCAGCCCGAAGCTGCACCAGATTATGCGTATGAGGTCGGATCAATCTGAGGCTTATGTCTCCTAATAGGGAAGCATCTCATAAGATAGAATATCGGGTCGATTACAGGAAAGTTCGCTGGCAAGGCATCAATAGGGCCTGCGGCAGCCCGATATCTGAGGGAGGTTGAAGACGGAGGTTGGACAGGGAACGTAGTAACGGCAAGAAGGTTCAAATAAATCTCTTAAAAATGAAGGCAATTAATTAATAGACTTCCTAGTAATCTCGAGCCCTTCCGGCCTCTCTGACTTCTAGGAAGAATCTCTGATAAATAAAAAGACGATGATTTTTCCCAATAACGGTACTGACCTCCCCTTTTAACCCCATCCGGGTCACCCTAGAGACATCCCCGCTAGCGACCAGCTAGCCCAAGCGTCCCTAACCGCCTGTCACAGCATATCATTCGTATTTCAATTTAAGTGGTGTAGCGTCTAATCAATCCAATACATACATCTCGTACTAATAAATTTTGCACAGAAGCAATTTCCTAAAAAAAGACAATTTATTTTCTTAAATATCCTGGTACTCACCAACACTGAGAGTAATATATCTTTTGAGAAACTGACTTAATTAAATTGGGAAAACTGGCAACTTTTATATCAGTTAGCTACCACTCTATAAATCATTCTATTTCAACCAGTCCGATCACTTAGAGCACATTCAACATTCCAGTTAAAACAACCCATTACTCTTCTACCTTCTGCTTCATAGCAATCAGATGTGCTTTGTATTGCTGGAACTGAGGTCAACGCAGAGAAGTGCAGCAGCTCGCAGGTTGTAATGCAATGGCGATCATCACACCAGGTAAGGCACTTGGTATCCTGATCATCAAAATGCCCATAGCTCTCTGGATCAAGTGTCCTAATCCATTCCTTAAACACTGAATCCATTGAGATTGCGCTGGAACCTATATACCAATAGCTCTCGATCCGGCCTACTTCAGCCTCCTGGAGAAGACTAATGATATTGATGCAAGCACTATAGCTAGCCAATGAGGTTCGCTCGAGGTGTTCCGGGTAGAAGAGACGGTCTGGTGTGGTTTTGAAATGGGGATAAAAGAAAGCAGGGAAAGACTGGTGTAATTCTTTTAGTTTAGTCCGGCAGTTATCCCAGACCATGGCCTTTAATAAGCATCAGTCTAGTGTAACAGTCCACTTCATTCTGGTTCTCTGATTTGAGGTCCAATAACGTGCAGTAGCCGTGGCAGCTGGACAATTTGCCTTATGACAGGTGATTTCCCTCTCCTTGCCTTCTATCATCCACTTTTCGATATCTGCGAACGAGACTTTTACATAGGGACAAATAGGCCGGTATCCTTGGTGGCTAATGCAGACTCGTGTTGCCGATGATTCTCTCCGTGACGAGTAGGAAAACAGGATCGAGGGTTGCTCTTTTCGGCATGCTATGCAATAGAGCGGTTTCATGAGATTTAGGATTCGGTCGGCGTAGTCAGGGGACGTACGGGCCTCTTGGCATGGCTCGCAGTACTTGGCGAAGCAAATACCATCTGGCTTTTCAGCATAGGCGTCTGACTTAGAGTCGGCTTCTGGCCTTTCAAAGTCGACATCTGGCTCTCCAGAATAGGCATCTTGCTCTTCGGAACAGGAAGCTAGCTTTTCAGAATTGGCACTCAGGGCGTCTGAGCTCCCAGTCGAGGTCGAGCTGTGTGAGATGCATCCTTCCAGGAGGACTTCTGTCGGAATCACTGAACGGGTTTCATTCGTTTGAGTAGGCGGCGCCATGCTGCCAAATGGCGTAAAAGATTCGTAGCTGGGTGACAATCCATACGTCTCATCGACACTCTGAGACTCGGCTGATAAATATGTTCCGAAATCATCTTCGTTGGTCTCTGGGATTCGAGCCCAGCGCCGGCGCAATTTCCGTTGTAGAAATTCTCGAAACATGGCAGGCTCACCTGTATCAAAGCCCAATGTATCTGGAAGTCGAAGCCAGTGACTCGTGGTATGGGAGTTCTGTGATTCTAAGGTCGAACAGGTTGGGAAATGATCATTGAAGGTAACCTTGAACATTCGGCTCCTTGGGCTCAGTAGCAGCTTATATAGTCAAAGCAATTTGAGTTTCCCATCCTGGAAAAGCATGAAAAGCTTCATCTTCGTGACTGTGGAAGCATTTGGGTCTTGCAAAGCTTGAATAGTGGAATGAATCTGTGTTTTTGATTTTGGTTTTCTGCAATCAACTTGCTCACCTTGAGGGAAAAGATCACTTATTACCTTGTTAACCTTGGCATATTGAACCATGGGTGTCGATAAAGTTTTTAAACAGAAAGGTACACAAGTGATCTAGGCAGAGAGTCTACGTGTGTAATAGGGTCTGCGTCATCAAGCCATGCAAGTTACTTCCACTCTGTCAAATGCCACATTGACAGATAGGTACAATCTAATCATTTTGAAAACCTCATACCTTATAATGACTAACATCAAGATTTTCCAGGTCTTTCAGGGTAGGAAACTCAAATCTACCCTGATATTTCTGGGTAGGTTACACCTTGGGAGACACGCTTAACTCAACTCAGGTGACAGTGAAGAAAAATTAATCTGCGGGTCAGTGACCTTGGACCAAGTGATGAGCAGATGCATTTCAGTTGCATGCGATTCATGCAGTGTTTCTTCGCGGGAAATGTCAGATATCGGGGTCTTGAATAGAAGCGATAACACCGTTTGGAGCGGAAAGACTGGTAAAATTGTCGAAGTCTGGCTACCAGAGCGGTGTCTCGTCATTGAGAGTCAACAAAATAAAACTACAAGTGTTCCTTGGATCGGTATCTGTCGCCATACGTAAGTCCCCGACCGGCAAGCAACAACAAATCGCCTTTGATAGACTGGGCAGCCATCCGGTAGTCCGGCAATCAGTGATGCATCCATCTGCCGGAGCTGCTAGGTTCATCCGCTCAAATATACTGCGAAAACTATTTGAAGAACTATGAATAGGTAGGCACCGGGAGGTCAACAACTGAGCAACACAATGTACGACATAAATTAAGCCTCGACTTTCCTACCACCGGATGAAGGGAATGATACTGACATCTTCACATAACTAGCAGAAGGAAATCCTGAAGGATTGACCCAGCAGAGTCTGGCAAAAGACGTTGAATCGCCCGTCTTTGTCACCTATCTAAAAGGATTGCACATTCTATCTGGGGTAGAAATGCTGGTCCGCGCTCATGACATCCCGATATGCGTCGTCAGTCTTGGTTTGAATAAGGTGGATACACTTGCTACTAGGCGATGTATATCTCTCTATTCCGGGGGAGTCTTTGGTCTTTTGGCGGCGGCTGCTATTCTACTGCAGAAATAGAATATATATTACTAAACTTGCCGAATCCGGTGTTTACATTTTCCACCCGAAATTGCATTCCTGGACTTGACACTATGCCAGATTTAATACCGGCAGTTTTAATACCGGCAGTACGGAGGACCCTTCCGCAACCGGGATGTCTAATGCGCCACTCTATCCATAGCGGGAAGTGTCCCCTGTCCCGATGACACTGGTGATGAGTTAGAGCAAGCCACTCTGTGTCAGAGCGCAAGTAATGACAGCGTCCATTGGCCTCGCTAGATCGAATGACATGACACTGGTTCTTGGCGTCCGCCTGGGCATTCCCTTAAGATCTGGACCCCCCATCCCTGCTAGACCCAGCCCTTTCTCCATCGTCCATCTTCCATTTCCACAGGCCTCATCGACTAACGTTACAGCTCATGCCGGACGCCGACAATCGGACCCGAAACTGACGCTTCGCATGGCGGCTGCATCGGACGTCGCGTCGGCGGGCGACGGCGGTTCTCAAGGCTACATCATCGTCAACCTCAACGCCTTCCTGATTGCGATCTCTACAGCCCTTGTCTTTAGCCGTGTCTATGTCCGATTTTTTATGATCAAAGCCCACGGATGGGACGACATCATTGTTCTCATCACATTTGTGAGAGTTGGATACCCCATGCTTTGCAAGGCCGTGTCTCATGAGTTCTCTAGCCGCTCGTCATCGCCGTGTCTGTCATGGAAATTGTTCTGGTCCGGTACGGGAGCGGATCTCATATCTGGACGCTATCACAGGAGCAATTGAATGCCTGGTTTTCAGTACGGACTTGCTTCTCTCCTATCAAAGACCCCATCCACTCTTCCATTGCTGACTACATGGCGACACAGCTGCTGCCTGTCAACACACTACTAATCTTTTTAGCGGGCGGCTTTGTTCGACTATCCATTCTGGCATTTCTTCCTCGTTTCTGTATAAACGGTACTGTTTAATTCTGCATGTCGTGGCCCATGGCTGATGATTACTAGACGCTCACATGAAATTTGTGTGGGCAACTAGCGCCGTCACTATTTGCACAACTCTTACAGCCATTTTCGTTTATACGTTTGCGTGCTCCCCTGTTCAGTATGCTTGCCCTCTCTGAATCTTCCATACTCGTCTTTATTTCCTTTCTGATTAACCGGCAGTGATGCTTTCCATGTTGAATTCCCCGACGTACATTGCGTGGCGAATCGCACAAAAGGCATCATGGTGATGGCGCACTCAATCATGAACACCTGCCTCGATGTGGTTCTATTCGGCCTCCCTGTTTGGATTGTTTACACGACCATGATCTTTGACCCCAAAGCCATCAAGGTGATTCTTGTCTTTAGCTTTGGCTTCCTGGCTGTCATCACCGGGATCATCAAGACTTCCATGTTCCTCACGACGGATTTTAGGACGGATACGTTTGTCTCCATTCATCTGTTTGGGGTATGACACATGCTGACATGCCATCGCAGAACCTACAAAGCGATTCGCGTGTGTACCTGGAATGTTATGGAAATGCACATGGGGCTCTGGTGTGCTAGCTTTCCAGCGCTTCAGCCTCTTCTTCGCCTCGGTTGCACGAAGCTGAAGACCCTCAGCCAACGTTCAAGCTCGTCATCGCCGAACTCCCAGAGCAGCAGAGGAGATAGCCATAGAGGGATTTTTGTGACCAGAAACGGACCCTCTCATGACTCTCGCGATAGGACACTGAGATTGTCAGATAGTGATTCAGCAACAATGAATTGTGTGCATCTGGAAGATGCCGACAAAGCAATGGGGACAAATGTAGAAATCATCACTCATCCATGGGAGCCTGATAAGGTGGAAATAAAAAAAGCTCTCGTTTGAAAAATACATACATCGCATGTTTAAATAAGTTTCTCAGGCACATTTCAAAGTATCAGTGCATTTCAATACCTAGGATAGATTTTAATATAGAGCCAGAATAAGTTAGCAACCCGAGAGCGACTCGCCATTACTCTCCGCCGGCTGAGTGCCCACACCAGCGGCCTTTCATATGATGCCATGAACCCGACCTCATCGCGTGGCGCATATCGTGGGGCGAGTCTACTCTTGTAATAACTGGCAGTCTCACTGACGCCTACTTCTTGCCACTACCTTTTGAGCCAGGTTCCGGATGGACCTATGGCTGGAGCTTGGGTCGGCTGGCGTGATCGTTGAGACGCTTAATGGAGGCATGAAACTTGGCGATTATTTCCTGAAACACATTCTTGATCTTGTGTCCTCGCGATTTCCTCTTTGAGGGGCCCCCTCTTCTCTAGGAAGAGTCTATTGATCTCTTATTCACTCTCCGGGTGGCATCAGGAGATCTGAGATTCGCTGACAATCACAGCAGCCGAGAAGATAGAAGGTGGTGATAATATGAATTTCCAACTTGTTACCCCATAAAGCGATCTGTGCCTTGTAGTATTTTGTTCTGGCTCAGCCCATGACGATGGGTGTCGCAAACCCAACCGAGACCAGCGAAACTTCCTGTCATTCGCTTCAGCCAAAAGCGGGTGAGATAGTGGATGAATTTGGACAACACTGTACCTGAACAGACCGCCGCGATGCAACCCCTTGGACTGTCCACAGCCAACTGAAATGCTCTGTGCCAAGTTCTCCTTACCACAAAACCTCAACAAATTCATTCATGCCTTTGGTTGATCTGATATCGCAACCGGCCGGAGTTTCATCAGCCAACATTCGACGCCAGAGAAAGGTTAGCCACTCTGGTTGCTACAATGGCCATGCTTGGGGGTTGATGAATGTGGGAACGGGCAGACCGTAGAGGATTGGGTATTTCAGATGCTCCTGAGGGCTGAACTGATACTGAAGGAATGACAGTAACTCGACCAGCTAACGTGCCCAAGTTCTTCGTCATCGCTAGTGGTAAGGAAGAGACAGTCTTGGTTGTCTCAAAACTCCTGATGTTTCAGATATGGAAGGAATGCACGAGCTCATCGTACGCGCCCAGAGGGCGAATCTGACAGATCTTTCTGTAGGTAGTTGAGGAGATTTCAGATCAAAGTGGGTGACAGACGAGGGCGCTCTAGTCTACTATCAAGCAGAGAGCTTCATTATATCTAGTACTCATGTATATTTATATCCACGTATCAGGTGATGTAGATGGTCTGTTGCGTCTCATGCTTTATTGTTTGAGTGATGATGTTGGCGGGTTTTCTGTGGCCCTTGTTGGGTTCTAACCATGGAGTGAACAGGTGGAATATTCATCTTGCATCTTTTGGTGTAAAAGTACTATCCCTATAACGATATATGCTATTTTCTCCTACGAATGACCAATACCTCCTATAATTTAACTAGAGCAAATCTAGAAATCTCTATTATGCCAAGTCCAACACAACTAGCTCGGTCTCGACAAGGCTAACGCCCTCTACGTAAACGCCGCTACCCGCCTCTATATCTTCAACAAACACGCCGTCGCCCTCCCGGAGGTTCAGCTCCTCCCCAGAATCAAAGCGGATCTTGGCTTCGCTCCCACTATGCAATGGAATATGGATGAAAAGGTTGCGCTTGGTTGAAAGCCGGGAAGACGCACCCACTTTCCACGAGAGTGTGCCCTTGTGCTTGACTATACCGGCTGCCATGAAAAAGTCTGCATGTATAGGAATCGTACCTGGGACAAGAGGATCTGATTGCGTCTCATCCTTGGGGCCACCCTCGGGGCCTGCTTTCAAAGGTGATAAAATAGTGACGAAGCCTCGACGCTTGGTGTCATCGTCGAAGTGGCGTGTGTGATATCGCGGTTGCAACTGGCTTTTCCAAGGTTTCACCCAGATTTGCAGAAATTGTGTGATATCCGTCGGATGCTCATTCGTCTCAGAATGTGTAAGGCCGGTGCCAGCAGTGGTGAACTGGATGTCCCCGCGACGCATGATTATGGATTCGCCATATTGGCCACCATTCATGCTATCCAGCGTGGAGTCGCGGTGAGTCAACTCCCCTGAGATGATATAGCTGAATATCTCGAACTCGGCATGTGGATGCTCTGGAAAGCCAGACTTTGGTGCGACTAGGTCTTCGTTCACTACGCAGAGCGTGGAAAATTCAGAAGACTTGATAGATAGCCGGTCCGCATAGGATAGACTGGCATGCGAATTCAGCCAGCCATGGTTTGAATGGTGACGATCGTCGCTCCGAAGTAGCCGGATCTTGATTGGCTTGTTGGCTGACGCATTGAAAGTGAGCTTTGGACAGGTAGAAAAGAAGAGATCTAACCCATGAGACAGGCAGTAGTGATCGCAAACTTTGGACTTCCTTCCAGGGCCATCATGCATATATAACGACTAGTTGAACCTGGTCCCTTTTCTGACGAGGGCAGCATTTGACATGTAATTAGCATCTGTTTACTGGGCCAAGCTAGTCAGGCTTCAATATAGCTCCACTGAGATTGCTGTTGATGGTTTAATGCTGACAAATTCACTTGAAAACTGACAAAGCCAAGATTTGTAAGTTCAATCAGGTGGTTACTAATGAAGGCTCCTCTGTGAAGCGTTTATCTCAAGGTTACCGAGAGGTCCAGACCTCTCCTTCCGAGCGTGCTTCCGAGATGCGACGCACTACTCCAAGAAGTGATTAGTGCCCTCAAGTACACACTAAAAGGGAGTAGGACAGGGGCTTGGCTGTACTCAGCGTCTGTGCTTTTGTGAGCGTCGTAAGCTGGTGATGTGAGATTCGAGCTGGCGAAGAAGCTTGACTTGGTGCAAAGGAGGGATTACACGATTTGATTGCGGAAGCTGACCCGAGTCCAAGTTACGCCAGGCGCCACGTTCTACACGATCAGGGTCCGGAGGACGAATGATTTATTAGCACTAGAGGGAGATACTAATGTTGATCTAGGCGATTATCATCACTCGGAAAATTCCGCAATCATACGTGTCTCGGCTATGTCTGGTCCCTGGGATTCCGTAGGAAATGATAGACTGAGCGCGGAAGCCTCGGAGCAAGGATCGGGTAGTCTCCTGGTTGGTGTCAAACATTGGGGTTACAACTCAGCCCCTTATTATGGCTGACTTTGTCTTCACCGGTATTTATGATTACCAGAAAAACACAAGTTCTGCGAGGCTATTCCCGCAAAAACTCAGGCAACTCGAACACATTAGCTCGCCCCATTGATCCCCATATTTCCACTCTTAACCGTCAGAACGCATTATTTCATTGGGTTCAATGCGCATTAAACGGGGCCACTAACCGATTTATCGACGAAAGACGTTGTGTGCAGGGCTAGGGCACAAGACGCGCGTGCATAATGGAACTTTGGCAAAGGACACGCCATCCAAGAAAGCAATTTGGCGCAGTGGAAGCGCGGTATGTTTACACTCCAAGCACTTCAAATCATTGGTTCGAAAACTAACTTGCATCAGCCGGGCTCATAACCCGGAGGGTACGTCTCATACCATGATACACCAACCATCGGCATCAACTAACTCCAAATCCAGTCGCACGATCGAAACGTGCAATTGCTAGGCAATAGACCTTATACAAGGTGCTTCTTTTTTTTCCCTCTCATAAATTGTTTCCTATAGTCTTGCACTGCCCTGTATTTGTTCCGCCGACTACTTCTTTACCGCTTTCCACTTCAAGCCTCCATGTTGGGGCGAATTTCCACTGCACACCAATAAGTAGCAACCCGGCAAGTTGGACGATGGCACAAACTGTAAAAGTACGTGCCACCCCAATCTCATCGATCATACGCATGACAAGACTCGTCCCCCTTGCAGCGAATAGGCACGTTGCGAGGTTAAGGCTGGCACTAGCCGTTGCACTATGATCTGAAAATACATCCACCAGATAAGTCATGATGGCGAATTGTGTAGAAAGAGCAGGCCAGCTAGTGATGAATGTAGAAAGAATAGGAAAGACAGTGTGAATGTGATCTGGATATTGAGTGGTCCAACCTAATAAGAGAATCGATAAACATTGTAGAAGGGAGAAGCCAAGCACGAGCCTAAGTCTAGCAAATTCAATGGGTAACTCATCGTCGTCTAGAGTTGTGAAGAGTTTGACAGTCTCCTGTTTCGATATTCCGAGTTGTTCAGGTATCACAAATGGCCTTGGCAACCCAATACCCATCATTGTACCGCCAGGTCGTAGGAAATCCACCCCGTAGGCGTGTTAGATATTACTCGCTACCCAAGCAATACCGGTGTGGACACATAACCCTTCCAAGCACCGTTTCACGTCCGCTGGTAGATCCTGGCCGATTTCCATGACATCGAGGAACACCTCTGCTCCACTCTGTTTATCGTCTCCTTTACTAGCCTGATCGATTCTGATGACTCTTTGCTCAAATACATTCGGTGCCAATTGCGTGACGAGATACCCTACACCTCCACCAGTGCCTGACACGACCATCCAATCTCCCGGCTTTGTGTTACTTTTTTCGCACGGTTGCTATGTCATATGAAGCTATTAGTGAATTGTCGGGAAGTGTTCAATTCATGAAAAAATGTACCACATGTGCCACACGCGTCCCTGAGCCATTTGACGCCGACTTGACCACCAATTCCAAACCCATCTACTTCTTCGCCGACTTGGAAAATTGTCCCGACACCTTTATGTCCACCTACCTGGGCTTTTACCCCACGTATATAAACCACCTTTTTACTGATTGAAGGCTGGTTTTCCGCAGATAACCGAAACGTACTATTTGGGACTAGAACAGAAAACTTCCGCCCATTCTTTATGATAGATAGCTCCGAGTGACAGAACTTCCCCAGTCCCGGGACTCGGTAGATGAAGTTCAACAACCTTAGTACTAATTTCTCTCGGTTTATCATACACAACACCGGCACAATCAGATGGGGGAATGGCGGGGCTAACGTGGTTCCGCTCAACCACATGCAAAAGCCAGTACTCTGGTCACAGGTGCAAGAGTATTGGCCAGAAGGGAAATGGTAAGACTAGAGGTCCTGTTAGTGCGTCTTAATCAGGATTTAAACCCCGGCTAGAGCTGTGATTGACTCTGGAGACGCACCATCCTACCAACTGCACTATAAATGTCGGAGTAAACAAGCCGAAGATCGGTAGTATTGCTCCGAGGACAGTATTAGCCCGCTCACCCAACAATACGAATGAAAATCACTCCTAAAATACTCAAAGTCAGGCGCATCATGGCTAATACCTTAGCGACTCGAAGTTCTCTTCGGCTCGTCCAGGTCCGTGTAATCCCTTGATTCGCTTGTAAGCTCAGGATATCTACGGCAACGGCAGCGGTTGTGCCGTTCTCTGAATTAAATAAGACGGCCACGAAAACATTATGCTTCCCGATATTTCCTAGAGTAACGTTCCTCGCGATCAAAGTCGGCATAATGCTAGATCTTTGGCTAAGTGTGGTGAGCCGAACTCCCTAACATTAGAAGAGGGGTATTGGCGATCTACCGATACAACCGATGACCCGGAAGCAAAGCGCCGATTACAACAAGCTTCGGGCTAAATAGTTTTAGTCACGTAGCCATCGGCGAGGAATTTAACGACGATCCGATTGGGTCATCGAAGGAAATTATTCAGGTGATGTTTTTGCGATAGACCTATAACACTATATTCCCCACTCCGACGCGTCGTCCCACTTTGGTTCACTGCGCCTTTACTCTCTACAATCATTCAACAAACAACATCATTGTGTGCCAGGATGGACAAGCACTCATCTATTCAAGAACAACTCAGAACTATCTGGGCTGAGAAGCGGGTGGTTCTTATTTGTTTATTCGTCGCTCTGGCCCAGTTCCAGTACGGCTATGATTCTGCCGCTGTGTCAGGATTCCAATCCATGCCCGGATTCTTGACAGTTTTCGGATACGTTGATGTAAGCACCGCCGTGCAATGGGATTTTTTTCCTGAAGCAAATCCCATCCCTACTCACGCTACATTACTTAATACTAACTCCTTCAACCAGCCTCTGAATCCGATCGGCTACAATATCAGCACGAAAGTTCAGACTCTTATACAAAGTCTGATCCAGCTAGGCTCCCTAGCATCTTGCATCGTCATCTTCAAGTTCGGAAGCGTTTTCAGCAGCCGAATGGGTCTATGGATTGGTTCAATTCTATCCGTCGTTTCCATTGCCGTTCAAATTGGGAGCACCCATGTGGGTGCTTTATACGTTGGTCGCCTGCTGCTTGGATTCTCCAACGGCTTCTTCACAACCTATTCCGCGATCTATATGGGGGAGTCAGCACCCGCTGCTATTCGAGGCCCTGTGATCGGAATGATAACCTTTCAAGTATCACTCGGAGCCCTCATTGGCATCTTGGTCGACAATTACACTCAGGTACACATCGGCCGGATTTCGTACCAAATTCCACTCGCAGTCATGTTTGCCATTCCAGTCTTACTTTCGATCGGCCTGGTATTTTTACCGGAGACCCCTCGATACTATGTCTCAAGAGGACGGGATGCCGAGGCTGCCCATGCGATACGAAAGCTTCGTGGAGCCCACATCGAGGATCAGATTGAAGGAGATGTCCAAGCCATGAGGGATGCCTGGATTGCGGAAACGGATATGAACTCATCGACCAATTTACTTGATGCCTTCCGCGGCCCTGACCTTCGACGAACAATTCTCAGTATCGCTGCTGCTGTTGGTCAGACAGCCACAGGTATCATATTTATTTCAGCCTTTTCGGTCTACTTTTTTGTTCAGGCGAATATTGGTAGCCCTTTCAAATGGGTCATGGTCTCTCTGGCTATTGCTTTGATAGGGAACATGCTGTCTTTTCCAGCCATGCGATTCCTTCATCGCCGAACGCTACTTCTCACGGCAACTTTGCTGTGCTCTGGCCTCATGATGGGCATGGCAATTGTCTATACAGTATCCCCACCAGGGTCAGCATCTGCTGGTAAAGCATTGGTTGGGCTCAGCATCAGCTTCACCTTCATATACGGCGTTGGGCAGGGCCCAGTGTTGTGGGCAATTCAAACAGAAGTTCCATCACAGAAGCTTCGATCACAGACCGTTGGGTTTGCACAGGGAGTCAACTTCGTCTTTGCGTGGCTGTCCTCATACTGCACCCCATATTTTATCAACCCGCAGTCGTTGAACTGGGGCCCCAAATACTGCTATATTTGGGGTGGCAGCAATTTGATCTTAGCGGCTTTCGTCTACTTCTTTGTTCCCGAGACTGGAGGAAGAACGCTTGAACAACTTGATGAACTATTTGAGAAGAGAGTTTCTACCAGACGGTTTGCAACATATGTCACTGAGCTTTGCCCCCCAGACGGAATCAATTCTCATGGATTCGAATCGGAGAAGCATGATGCTGAAGCTCTTCAGACAGAGCATCTAGAGGGACCTACTCGTCCTTAGGAATTCTTGGCGCATTTTAAGTAATTACTTATTCTCCTCAAATTTATATAACTTGGGATGTGTTTTACCCATTGTCAATCCCTTGGTTGGCATTACTGTCTTAGGGATGCTCTTCCTATAGTGGTTGACTGGCCCGAAATGTTCCAATTCGCCTCATCCCGACGCAACTCCACTTGATGGGAAAAAATCTTACAAGCTAATTTATCATCTTTAGAACCATGTGTCGATTTCCTATTGCGGTCTTTGCTGGAAGCCCTCACTAGCTTCTGTTTAGACGCCCTGCCGAGGTTCAGGACTACCACTCCGACTGCGCCGCCGTGTCTCCCAGCGTGCGTCCAAGGGATCGGCCTTATCTTTAGTTGATCCAGCAACAGAATGCTACTACTTGATCAAGCGATACTGCATGTTGTGCCACAACATGCCGTGCAATGTGCGGCTGAGAATGGCCCATGTCCCAGTGTAAAAGATGATTGCGATGGTAACACTTTGGCAGGCTCTGGTTGACCGCCATTAGACAAGGCCAAGAAAAGAATCCATTGTGGTTGACTGCTTGTTGGAGCGAAATGCAGCCTGATGTCTCAGCCCCAGAAAGGGATCCGGCGAACAAGAGGAGGGACTTGGTGACGGTGTTGTTTCCTGGTGACATTTCCCGAAATAGGGGGCACTTGTTCAACACCGAGACATCCTCTTCCACCCAAACTCCCTTCCTAGCCTTCCTACTCCAATATTTATCACCGGCTGGCTTGTTTCTGCGGCAGTTATTGCCCGGTGTTCGTCTTGGTGAGTCGCCAGTCGTTGTGTCATGCATCAGGACGGCCCAGGGCTGGGTGTAAAGAGGTGTTTTCATGCAGTAGTCTCATGACCAAACTACTCATCCTGCGAGTATAGCTTGCCGCACACACGGCCAGTATGTCTCGGCAGCCCACTGCCGAATGATTTGCAGGCTGTGAACAATTTTGTATATGCCCATGAGGCTGTTCGTGGCGCCCATGTTGATTTTGCTGTATAGGATGGTCTTTTCGCCTTCCCTCAGCGATAGGACCAGCAACCAATCATGTCCTTGGATGACGATGCCGGGGATGAAGTCAAGAAACGGAGGAAGGTCATCATGCTGTTGCCCTTGTTGCCCTTGCTGCTCTTGTTGCTCCCCTTGATTCTCTCGTTGCTGCCCTTGGTTCCCCCACAGATCCTCCACAGAGTTCCAATGCGCAGCCTCCCACACGCCTAGTTGCAGCAGGGCGGCCTCCCAGGCCTCGCCGGGCTTCTTAGTCTCTATGCTCAGGGCGATGGGACGGTCACTGAGGGGCACGTAGTTGGTGTGGTTGACAGTCGCCCCGGGCCGCCGACTTTTGGTTGCGGCCACGGCCGACTTCATCTTGGCAGAAGAGGCACTCTCGTCGTTTGCGGGATCGATGTAAATGCAAAAGTCGATCTTTTTAGGGGCGCAGAAGGGAGTGAGGAATTCACGGACAACGGACGCTGTAGGGCTGCGCCAATGGTTAGCAAACAAACATCCATAGTTGAGGTGCGCGCAGTGGAGGAGAGTAATAAAAGACTGACCATGTCAGGTAATTCACCAGGTTGCTGAAACTCGGGCGACCTGGTGGTCGGAGAGCCATGCGCAGGATCTGGCTGTGCACTTCGACGTTCCACTGGGCTTCTCCGTGATACCTGGATTCGCACTCAAGCGCCTCTTCCAACACGGCCAGGACAGCCTCGAGTGGAGGCGTGTGTCCGATCCGATGCCTCTCCTCGGAGAAGGAAAAGTCCGGGACAGTCTCTGCTGACGCGCCATCCTGGGCCATGTACGCATGGATGGGCTCCTTGCTCGCCGGGGGAAGAATGCCAATCCCCATGGAGCTGAGGCTCATCTTCTCTCGAAAGCCGCCAAGCGCTGCCGAGGGCTGCTTGAGCGTAGCCACGGGACGGATCTCGACACCGCGATCGTAATCCTTGAGCAGGTCGAGCTGTTTCCGAGGCGACTGACTTCCCGATCGCTGGGAATGCGATCGCTGCGACTGAGACTGGGAGCGGGATGCCGATAGCACCGAGTATTCGGACTCCGAGTCGGCCGTCTGGATGCGCTTCTGGGTCGGGCGCGGGGTCATGTCTTGGTCGCGCGGGACAATTGGGCGCTTGTGTTTTCGAGGGGTGCCATCGCGGCTCGAAGACATGTTATCGACAGATGTTTCTGGCGTGAGAGGGCGAGGGCGCTTGCGTGAGGATGAGGAGGGATAGTTGATTTGATACGGCTGAGGGTGCCGTTGAGGAGTGTCGGAAACGTTGTGCAGCCAGTCCAAGATGCTGTGCTGCAAGTTGTTGTGATCTGAGGTGCTATGATCCAAGGTATTGTGATGGTTCATTGCTGCAACGCCCCTAGGGAGAGGAGACTGATGCTGCAAATCCTGGTGGTGTCGTGGAGTGGAGTGGAAACAATGTGGTATCGCTGGTTCGGGCCGCGATGACGGTTTATTCGCCGTTGGCGGGGTAACGTGGCATGTGCCGAAGATTATCCATTATCTCCCCCACGACCCCAGGGTGCTGATAAGCTGATTAGGATAAGTGGGCCTTGTCCAACTGACGTCATCTTAGTTAACATCATCCTCTACACAGCCAGATATAACAGCTATCTAACTTATGGTCTGCTTACGGAGCAAATGGAAAATGCCCATTTCAAGCGGCGAAAATGGTTACTACTTCGCAGTGTTTCACAAGGCGTCGAGCGACTTTACGCTTACAGAGAGCCTGGATGATGAGATTCACACTGTGCAGGAAGCTGACGGTCTTAAAGCTGCTGGCATTTGGCTATTTGTCTTGAATAATCGAGGATACACACGGGACGAGAAGAGATAGAAGACCGGAGATCAGAGATGTTTTTATCTTAATTTAATTTGTACTATGTGTCAAACCAGCTCTTCTCATGAACTACCAGAGAGCCCCAACGATCAACATGACTACCGTGGTGTATACAAACACCGGCAACCCATCCAACGTCACAGCCGCACTGTCGTCATCCCCGTCTGACGAGCCGCCTCCATTTTCAGAAGTGCTATTGTTCTCACTAGAGTTGTTGCCATTCGATTCAACGTCTCCGTCCAGCTTCATGCCAAAGTTGGCTGCCGTGAATGTCGCATTTCCGTCAGAAAACCAGGTTTCGGTGCCGAACTCGACAATCCCCAGGTAGGGGTCCCTCGGCAGGTCGTCTGGGATCTCAGGATGCTTGTGAGCTTGTTTGAGAATAAACTCGAGGAGAGGATAGAAGTCTTGGTCAATAGACAGAATATCCTCGCCGTCACGGGGCACTGCGGTGAAGACGTGGGTGCCGCCCGAGTTGCGCCCATAGTAAAGGGAGCTGAAGATTGTTAGCAGCCAGTCGAGCAAAAGGGTGACGGGAAACTTGAAACTCACAACTCGGCATCTCCAAGCGTTATGTTGGACAAGATCGTCGAGTTCAGGCGGCCGAGCCACCACGGGTCACCCACGCTACCAAGCCAGACCATAAACTCGATGGCTGCTACTTGCGGGTAAAGCGTCTTGTTGCGATCATTGTCAAGGAAGAAGTCCCAAGCCGCGTTAGCCTGGATATTATTCTTCTCCAGTTTACTTTTATTCTTGCTCCAAATGGATTTCGTAAAGACGCGGGGAAATTCACTGATAGCACCGGCCGTCATGATCCAATCGGTTGACAGGTGGATGGACCGGATGCTGCTGAGACGCATAGGGAGGTCAACGCTGCCAAACCGCACATACGGGAAAGCGTGTACATCTTGAATGTTCGCACCCCAGTTCCACGTTGCGTCGTAGGCTGGTGTGCTGTTATCAACCCTCATGCAAGAAAACCCACCATCTGGGCTTTTATGATTCCAGGGATTCGGGTTGTCTGAGTGCAGAGTCAGCTCGCCAAGTCCTTATTCGAGACGAGTTCCGAATTGTGCTTACACATGAGAGGCCCTGTGACATCGCCGACGTATTCCTGGCCGCAAATGACCTCGACACCGTCTGTGTTGGCCTGCACCCAGCTGGCACCTAGCAACAGCAGAGCAATCCGCCTCAAGATGAGACTCCGTTTCATGGCGATTGTAATGGAAGCCAATGAACCCAGTTCGTCCCTCTCGGGTGTCGATTGAATGAGTTGATGATTGAAAAATATCCCGGCTGAAATACATCGGGTGCTAGACGTAGAGATCAAATACAAACTTTTCAAGAATCAACAAACAATGATTCAGCAAAAATAACACGTATGACAGTCCACGCGCTTCATCAGCCGTCCGAGCGTGGATGCTTCGTGACTGTTTTGCTGACGCGCGAAAACGTCATTGCACAAATTTGAGTTTCGCAACGTCTCGAGAAAAAAATAAAAATAGCTCACTTTCTACCGTTGTGGGCAGTGATTGGCAGGAACAGTCTCAACAAAGTGATCAGAGAGGAGGACAGGTTCAACATGACGAAATGTGAGCAAAAACGAGTGAATGTATGCATGCTTAGTGTGACAGTGAGTCAAAAAAACGTCGAATTCAGCCCCAGTCTCATTTAACTTCTTCTCTAGACCGGCAGGGAGGTGAACTACGACTCTACGAGAAGTACGGCAGGTGTCAGATTTATGCCGTCAGGCCAAAAACATAATTTATCGCTATAATCGGTACCTGCCTGTATATCTGGGTCCATACTGCACTCTGACAGCAGGCTATAATGCAGATTTTGGACCGTAGTCAGCAATGGACTCTTTTGCACCGAGCAGTTGATCGAGGAATTTATTCAAACAGCCAGGTCACTAGACATTATACTCCCCCTCAATCGCGACGATGCCACTACGGATTTGGCTCTGCTAAGGCGCTGGTATTATCCACTTCTTGTGGTTAAATTAGCGATAAACTGTTTCGTAATCACGGCGCTGACCTCAAACGGTGCCTGGACTAGCTAGTTGCAGTTCCACAGTCTGCAAGAGGTAGAAACTGGTCGCAGACCGATCGAGTGGAAGGCGAAAGTTGACTTTTTTTCTGCAGCATGGTGCTAATTAAGAATGAGAAAAAGCAACCGAACACGTTAGTTTCAAGGATGTCGACGCTGGCAAGGCACCAGAGGAACTTCACAAACTCATTCGAGACAAGACCTTAAGGGATTTCTCTGCGATTGAGCCTAGATACTTGAAAGCGGGTGCCTCTGGTCCCGCTCCTGCAGCAGGGAGGATAAGGCAACAACAAAGGTGCTTGTTGTCATCATGGTTGATAATCAGCTCCGTGGCCTAATTTATTTGCATGCTTTAGCTATGTTACGAAGTGTAAGCTGACAAGTCCGCGGAACTCCGGCTCGGAGTCCGGATTGCAAATTGAAGCAAGGGTGGAGTAAGCCAACACAAGGGACTTGGGACCACGAATGAAGTAATCCTGAGGTATCTCTATGGTGTGGCTAAAAGTCCAAGGTCAATCATATAAGAGCCTCAACATTTGGCTTGAACAACTCCCATCTTCTCGTCTACTCAAATCCGATTACTCCTGCTCTCCTGAAATCCAGTCTCGCAAGTCGCAACACAACAAGACATCAAGATGGCCTCAACAACGTACGCCAAAGACCAGCCTCGGGGATTTACCAATCGCATTGAGAGAGTCGCCATCGTCGGTGTACGTACAGACATTCCTTCGCCGTGCGAGGATAAGACACTGACTTCTACCAGGCTGGAGGCCGTCAAGGCGCGCATATGACGGAGCAACTTCTCAAGACAGGCCGACACACGGTCACTGCCTTGACCCGCGCCAGCAGCGAGACAAAACTCCCACCCAGTGTTCAAGTTGCGACAGTGGACTATGACGACGAGGACTCTATCAGCACTGCTCTTGCGGGGCAACAGGCTCTCGTCATCACTCTCGCCCATGGTGTTGACATCGAAGTCCACCATCATATCGTCAGGGCTGCAGGTAAAGCAGGCGTGCCGTACATCGTGCCAAACATCTACGCAGCGAATATTGTCGTCAACAACCAAGGATTGGTCGACGACTTTTTCCCCGCCGCGCCTCTGAGGTCACTGTTGACTGAGATAGAGCGCGTTGGAGTTAGCTCCTGGACTGTTCTTGTTGGCAGTGTCTGGTTCGACTACAGCTTTCCAGCCGGGCCAAACTTTCTTGGGTTTGACATCAAGGGCCGCCAGGTCACCTTTTTCGACCAGGGAACGGCCAAGATCAACACGACAACATGGGCTCAATACGGTCGCTCTCTTGCGGCATTGTTGAGTCTCAAGCAGCTACCGGATGACGAAAACGACACCTCGCCCACTGTGTCTCGGTTTAGAAACCAGTCGCTCTACGTCTCCAGCTTCTTCGTCAGCCAGCGCGATATCTTCAACACCCTTCAGGTTGCCGCGGGCACAAGAGATGCCGATTGGACTATTGCGTATGAGACTACCAAGGACCGCATGGCTGACGGAAAGACAATTGCTGCGGCTGGTGACTTCAGGGGACTTGTCAAGACGTACTACTCGTTTTTATTGTCGTCAGAGGGGCAAAAGTTGAATTACGAAGATAAACTGCAAAATGAATTGCTTGGATTGCCAAAGGAAGACTTGGTCCAAGTTGTCCAAGAGTGTGTAACGAAGGCCGAAAATGGCTACGACCCCTTTCAGTAGTTTGGCAGTGGGACTTGAGGCTGGAGTGGTTCGTTTACGAGAGCTGTAATAGACTACAATGACGACGCGTTTAAACCTGCAAAAGAAGTTGCAGATAACCTAATCAATTGGCCCAGTGGTTGGAAGCTCTTTCCAACCTTTTTTGGAGGCGAGTAGGTGATAAACAGAGACTTGTGGCGTATTCGGAAGTGATACTAAGAACTGAGGTTTTCCATTGACTATGAAACTGTAAAAGTGAGTGGAAGAAAGTGATAGAAGGTCATTGATCAAAGAAGAACCAATAAGAAAGACCAAGACTCATGTTTCTACGCCTACATGTGGATCGTAACCTTGACAGATGCAACACCCACCCCAGCAATCCTGATTCAATTACTTTTGCGATGGCTCTTGAATGTAGTCAAGGATCTCGTGTGACCGAATGACGACTGTGACGACATAATCTCAATTTGTCTGCCGATCTAGTTGTCAAAATCGCTTGTACAATCAAATTGCAGCTGTTTGTCGCATCTGTGGGAATCAGTCATGTAACCTGCATCGACCCGCATCGTCGATTCTTTGAGAGGACCTATGAATCAAGATGGAGTTTTTCGGGGTAAAGACATCCATACATTGAGCAATGTCCCACAGGATACAGAAGGTCTCCTGTGTAAATAGGATCCCGCATCCTATCATCCGGATCAGTTCCAAAAGCTAGTAATTATTATGCACGCCGGAAGTATCTCTCAGGTCTAAGGTCTAAGGTCTAAGATCTAAGGTCTACGGTCTCTGCGGATCAGGGCCTAATAAAAGACGTCGACTCCAGAAATGCTCTTGTCACCCCAAAACGTCCAGCAGTCTTCCACAAGGTTTTGAGGATTTATGAAGGCGGGAAAATGCCCACCGAGAACATCAGGAGCCTTCTTGCTGAAGAAGGTGATGTTCCCCTGGCGCTGAGCCCATTTAATCGGCTGCGTATTGGCAACAAGTTAGCTAATTGGACCTAGTATTTGGTGAAGGCTAGATGAACGTACCACGTCGTAGCCTGCGTCGCCAAAGTATTTGACCACACCGACTGGCTGTTTGACAAAGGGGAAGACGCCATCTAAAACACCCTCCTGTGAAAGAATATAGTTAGCTACCAGCGCGCAGATAGGATACAGGGTGGGAACCTACTCGATTTGCCTCTTTATAAATCCTAAGCCCACCATATGGGCCTTGAATGTAGTTCAACATAGCCCACGTAATGAGTTGCTCCGTGTCCCATTCATAACCCGGCGTCATCATGCGCATGCCCATGTACTGCCACGCCGTCCAAGCGATGGGGCTGTCTGCAAGACCAATGGCCACCTGCAGCGGCACAGACTTCTCAATATCCCAGTATGCCTTGGTCCAGGTGAAGGCTGGATTGGTCAGTAGATTAAGAAGAGCCGTCTCTTCTGGGTCGGTCTGATTGTTGGCGAAACGTTGCAGATCTGTAGAATTTGGCGTGACGTTGAAGAGGTTGGAAAGGATAGAGACCAGTGCGTCTGGGAAGTCGGGTGACATGACGCGGAGGATATGGCTGCCGAAGTCACCTCCTTGGCCGACGTATTTTGTGTAGCCGAGCTGCTTCATCAAGTTGTTGAATGCTTGGCCCATCTCGCGCAAGCCCAGACCTGGATGCATTGGAGCAGGGGAGAAGCCAAAGCCTGGCAAGTCCGGGGCCACTACATGGAAAGCGGGAAGAGTATTGTTTGGCGGACTGGTAAGTAGATCAACGATGCCGGCAACTTCGTGAAAGGTCCCGGGCCAGCCATGCAAGAACAAAAGGGGAATTGCATCTGGCCGATTGGACCTATGATGGACGAAATGAAGAGGGATGGGATATGTGTAGTTTTCTCCTGCGTGAACCGTCGTGGTGAAATGCTGAAAGTCGTCATTGAGAGACTTTTCTACTTTTCTCCAGTCGTATTCTTCTGCCCAGTACTCGGACCAGGCGCCCACAACATGTGAAGGAACTCCATCCTCAAAGTCGGGTTGATCGAGGTCGACTGATAAGCGTGCTTTACCAGCTTTTACCTTGGTGTCATCGAGAAAGTCTTGGTGGACGTGAATGGTGAATGGATGAGGCTCGTTGCTGAAATGAGCGTCAAAGTTCAAATTCTGCGCTGAGTTGACACCGTCTGCGACGAGGGCAGCGACAAGTCGGCCCCCTAAAAGGATTAAAAATGCTTGAGCAATCATTTTTCAAATACTGTCGGTAAAACAAAGTGAGCAGTGTCTGGACTACTAGCTGAGACGAGACGTCTCAACTTCAACAATATATGTCAATCCTGAGTGACTACACACGTTCGTAAGATGACGTTTGCCAATGCTTGGTGATCCATTTATCACGGTCGTGTCCGTCGGACTCCGTAGCTGACTGACTTGGACGAAACTTGGAGGTTCCGGGTAAGCAGTTTGTGCGGTGATAAGTCCTCGGAGTTCCGAACTCCGCGGACTCCGAGAACTTACGTGAGCGTAAGCAGAGGAAAAGTCACATTTTGTCCGAGGCGTGAACTCCGACGGAGTTTCAACCACTCTCACAGCGACTTCATTTGCTAAGCAGCCTCCAAGTCGAACATAACGATTGTCCTTTCACCAAGAGACTACTATTCTATGGATGGGTCAAGAAGAGAGAGGGGCCTTGGTCGTCGAAAGGTGAGTCAGCCTCAAGCACGGCAATGGAAAGCTCCTCTTTTGCTCACAACATCAACACCAGGCCTGCGATAGTTGCTGCCAGAGAAAGGTCAGGTGCGATGCAAAGAAGCCGCAATGCTCTGCGTGTTCTTTGCACAACGTCGCCTGTGTGTGGACTCCCGGGCCATCCTCGAAACCTCCAAAGAGGACCCTGAATAGTACGAGAAAAGATAGGTCAGGACTACACACCCCACACTGTAGTTGTTCCGGCCCGCTCACATTTGCAGTGGCTCGAATGAAGGTCGTTTTGAGGGTATTGAAGGCAGACTCAGAGCTATCGAGGCTCAGCTTTGGCGAAATGCTTCCACGAATCAAGCAGCGATTGAGATGGAGGATGACGATCAATACGCTGCAGCGTCCTTCGAGGCACATTCACCAACGCCGTCCTCAATAGACACTCCTGCAAGCCTCCAGTCAGGCATGACTCTACAGGCTATTAATTCAAGCAAGGAAGACGAATTGTCTTTGCCCCCTCGAAACCAAATGGAGCCGCTGATTGCCAACTACTTCGAAGGCTTCAATCAAGCCATGCCGTTATTCGATCCAGACAGCTTCATCAAGATGTTCAAAGACTGGTATGAGTTCCCGTCTGGGCGTGACCAAGCAACCTGGTCGGCAATCAACGTCGTCATCGCACTGTCCCTGCGGCATGATCCTTCCAAGAACTCCACCGCCAGAGATAAAATGGCCTCAATGTGCATCCGCAATGCGCGGTCCACTATGGATAGCCTCGTCTATCGAGACCAAGACTTGAAGGGAATACAAGTCCTCTTAGGCCTAGCCTTGATTTTCCTCGGTACTTCTCATCCACATCCGGCGTGTGTCTTGGTTGCGACAGCGGTGAAACTGGCCCATCGGCTTAAACTTCACAGAAGGAGGGAACCAGATGCTGAAGAAAATACACTAGAGCGGGATCGACTTTTCTGGATAACCTTTATCATTGACCGGGCCGTATCAATGCATACACTAGAGCCATATCTGCTGCAAGAGAATGACATGGATATTGATGCCGAGGGACTCTCTAGGCTTGACGGCATCGGGTTAAGTGAACCAGTCCTCTTACTCCAGCTCCGCTTCAACTTGGCTCTCGTTCAAGGTAAAGTTTACGACCTCGTTTACTCCGTCAGAGCCTCGAGGCTCTCTTCGAACCAAAAAAAGGCTGCCACTGAGCGTCTTGACCGAATGCTCAATCAATGGTACAGCTCAGTTCCCGGATGCTTCACCTTTGATAAAGCTGCAGGATTGGACCCGATGCAGCGAAGGCACTGCATTTCGCTACACATGGCTTACTACCAGTGCCTGTTCTCAAGCCACCGAGTTAACGCTCATGACAACTCTTGGGTGAAGCGTTTGACTGATTTTGGCGATGCACTTGGTCGGGAAGGCGAAATTGCAAAGACTTCACCACCTGAACCCGCGTTGTTGCCCTCTAACTGGTCCAACTTGGTGGCAGCCGCAAGGTCATGTTTGGCATTATCGGATCTCATAGATGAAAGAGACTCCGCGCTACGATGGTAAGTCCATTCTATCTGGACTCTGATACTCAAGAACTGACTGTGCAAAGGGGCGCAACCTGCGCTTGCCAAGCTGCAATTACTGTCCTCGCTGCGAAAAACCTGACCCTCTCTGAGCATGATCTCCATGAACAGATCGAAGCGGACGAAGAGCGAGTAGAGAAGGCTACCAAACAGCTTGAACAGCGAGTTTGTAACTCCGATGACACCTATTTACGAACTATACACTCTGTATGCTCCGATCTTGGCTCAAGAGCTGCATTGGCAGTCCTGAAGTTTCACGAGAGTTCGGCTGCTGGGCTCCTCTGGGACGATGAGTCCATTGTATCTTGAATTAAGAAGAAGATTGTATAATATACATAAATTGATCCCTAGTAAATGACAAGAAGCCTGCCATGTTAGAAGGCATGCAAATAAGAGGAAATTGTCGTTCAAGGGAACCAGGCTGTAGGAAGCGTAGAATCCGATTGAGGGAGGTCAAAGAGATATTCGAGAACGGACCAAGTGGCAGATAAACCTTGATAGCCTCTGCACATTCAGGTCTTCCCCTTAGTATCCCAGCTTGAACCCACCCCAGTTGAGACGCGTGAACACGAAGTCTGGGTCGTACACATCTCTGATACGTCTCAACTTCTCCTGGTTCTCCTTCGGGTACGTGAGCAGCGGGTTTTGGTAGTCAGCCGCATCGCCGCCGTAGAGAAGCTCAGTAGAGAGTCCCAGAGCTTTATTCTGGGCATGGAAATGCTCGAGGAACGACCTGGCCCAGGTTGTCACTCTGAGGTCGTCTTCGGGACGGGCCCAAGCAGTCGAAAGTTGCCACCCTAAAGACACACGTTAGGATCCAGGAAGTTGTGCATACTTGAGGAATACCAACAGATATATGGTTGCTTATTGTCTAGGCCAAAGGCGTTTCCAATGCCGTTATTCTTACCCACAGTTGCTGCAGATCGTGGAACAAGGTTAAGAATGAGCGTAGGACGGATCCCGGGAACGTCGGCTACATCTTGGATTGCATCAATCCACGCGTTGTAAATCTCGATGAGTCTCTTGGCGTCTGGCTTGATAGTATGATGGCCGAAGGAAATGCTGAATGGAGAATGTTTAGCACCATTCTTCAGAGTACAATACGTGCCGTAAACCTACCGGAACAACTGGTTCGGAGACGCCTGCGCTGACTGCCAAGCTATCGGAGTGGTGACATTATGAACTCGAGTCACCACCTCAGGAATGACGGTAAAGTTGGCGAAACGAGAAGGCGGGGACTTGGTAGTTTCCTGGAGACCGAAGACCTGCGGCGTGGCGGTTTTGGTCGTCGCGTTATAGTTGATATTGATGACAGCGCCGGCGCCAACGGCGCCATTCTCTGAGAGAGCTAGGTCGCAAGCGGCCTTGATGAAGGCAGGTGCTGCGGCCGGCTGGAAGATCTGAAGGGTGCTGGTAACCCGAGGGATCTTGTATGTTTTGATGACGAACTTGGTGACGACGCCGTAGTTCAGGGCACTTCCTTTCAAGGCCCAGAAGAGGTCGCGGTTTGTGCGCTTATCTGCTACGACTAGGGTGCCGTTGCCCAGCACCACGTCGTAGCTGACAATGTTATCCATGGTGAAGCCATACTTGTTGAGAAACCAGTTGACTCCACCCAGGAGGCTGGAGCCTGCTACGCCAATTGTCGAGAGCCGGCCACCAATGGCATATAAACCGTGAGGTGCCAGAGCTGAGTAAACGCTTATCCACTTGTTGCCAGGCCCAACTTCAACGAGGTTCTTTTTAGTATCCACTATGACCTTGTTCAGACCGCTCAAGACTACCAGAATGCCATCACTGATGCTGTTCGCTCCCGGGTACTATAACTGAGTTAGCCATTATCCCACGTAGTGGCGTTTCTGGGAGAGCTTACGGGCAGGTGGCCACCCCCACGGACAGCGAACTGGGCGTTGTTTGCGTGGAAAATCCGGAGCGCCGAGGCTACTTGAGAATCGGTCTCAGGTCTGAAGATACAGCCAGGGAGGAGGTTGGACCTCTTATCCCATACGTTGATAACTTCTTTGTCGTACTCTGCCGTGTTGGGGAGAAGGGTCAAGGTGGCATGGCTCTCTCCAAGTTCAGAGCAGGCTGCTGCGACCCCGTTTGAGACATGTAGCTCTCGGGGCAAGATGTCCTCAGCTTTGGCTAGACTGACAGCAAGCCAGATAATCGAGGTGACTCGCATGTTGCAGATCGAGTTCCAGTTTACAAAGAGGTAGAGAGTTGAGCAACGATCGTGTGGAAAGATAAGGGCTGAGATCTTCCCCTTTGGCAATCGGAATCTCGCCTTTAATACATTATTACTCACCGAACGGGAGAATAATTCAATCGTGTATCCCACAGTTCACTTACAAATCAACACCACGCAATGAATCACAGGACAATAACCGTACAACCGTGATTCCAGCCTTAACGGAGAGTCGGTAAAATACAGCTCCACGAAAGCGAAAGCGAGACCGAGGCCGAAGTAGTATAAACGATCGCATTGCCAAGTATTCCGTAATTTCGTTGCACCCTTTACAGCTCCGTCTTCGGAGTTGGTCCCGTATTAGTCCCGTATACCTCAGCCACACCAGGGGCAATGTTTCACTGCCCCAAAGTGTTGGGAGCCAAGATCGGCCATGTGGTCTCATAGAGGAAGGTTGCCCGGTAGTTTGTTTCACTAGATCTGGGCATTCACTAGTGACAATTCATTTCCCCCACCTGACCCTTGCCACCATATATCTCAAATAAATTTAATCGTCATTTGACTACTCCGTATTTTCGGAATCAGATTAGTACCGGCGACTACTGCAAACCTTATTTTTAAACTTATTTTCCCCGGGGGCTGAGCCGAGAGCTGATCAGTCGTTGAGCTGCTCCGAGCTGGGGCTCAGACTTGACACCTGTGCCTCTTGCTTTCTAGACACTAGTCAAGCGCATTTCTTTGAGTTCAGTGTGGCCAACAGTATCTTGCACTTTACGTAATACCTGTTGGGAAATCAAGCCCTTTCCTTCCTCGAATGATATCCCAGAGACGGCGACAGGTGTCCGTAATTAGCGGAGACTCACATGTGTGCCAGCTCTTTAGGCTGATTCGTGGTGTGTTATTGTTTGTATAGTGTTGATTGTACAATAGTATGCAACTATATTGATGCATGGATGAATGGGTGCCTTCTATCTTGGGAAATTCGGTAAACAAATCTCGATTCCTTGGCATTTGTTCAGCCACCATCGAGCCATCTCGCAGCCAGCATTAACTAGGTTCACCCCTGTAGTTTAGTCGCTAACAGGTGACCCTTGGCGGTTAGCTGAGCGGAGGGGTACGGATGATTTCCGCGGGTGGTTCGCTGGACCGCTCCCGCCTATATCTGTTCTATAGCCAAGTCGCACATTCTGGTTAGTACTGGCGCATGTCTCGAGGCCACCGTAGGCCCAGACTTTTGTTCAATGCTCAATAAGCGTTTGAGACTGGCTGCAGTGAGCTCCTGCCCAGCCACGTGCTCCTTTTGTGTTGTCACCCACTATTAGGAGCTGTACATGACAGCCCGATGTGCCTTGGCAAAACCTGCCACATCCTGGGCATTTTTTGGTAGCACAGACCCATTCTTGATGCTAACAGCGCGGCTTTCGAAGGAGCTATATTCGATGCCGTGGTCATCCCTATGTGCTCGGTAGTCAAGCCGGATACTACGATCCGGTAAACAATCCATGCCATGGTCATGATTCAAGGTTAGAAGAGCTCCATAAGTATGATTATCTCCCAAAAAAATTAAATCAGCTTTTCGACTGTAGTCTTGGTGCTGGGATAAACTCGAAGTAGTTTTTTATCGGAAAAATTATATTTTCTATTTTATCACCTGAATGCGACCTTGTCGTTGAACTACTGTTTCTTCTGGTGCTAGATGTAGCACTCATTGTTTATCTCTACTGTTTGGGAATACTGTTTGGCTTTGGTCTATCTAATGATATTGAGTAGAGCTAAAAAAAAAAAAAAACCAAGAAAGCTATTTACGAAGCCATCGTTGAGTTCTAGGGTAGCGCTTCAATGTAAAACAGGGGTTGGATCGTCACTTTTGCTGATCCACGGTAAGAAGAACACCTTACAGTGGGGCTATGTACAAGGCTCCGACAAGCCCACACGATGTTTAATTCGAAACCTTCGTAATTTGAATTTTGTGAACCGATAGTTTATGATACACTGTGAGACGGAGGAATCAAGCCTGTTCCCATACCAAAGCAAATGTCAGAGGAATATAGTAAATCCGGCCCGGTCTCGTGAATGAGGAGAAACCACATATCCAAGCTAGCCGCGCTGCAGGGCTATCGGCAGATCTCGATTTCACCCATTAATCTGGCACTGTCAGAGCACGTCATTCTTGCGTAGTAGCCCTCGCGACCCCTCCTCAAGGCCATATCACCCTTCAAATACACCTGGCTAGATACCCACCTCCAAACTAACTATCGTCAAAGTTCACTATCTTTGCCTCTATCTCTCTTTTTGCTGCTCCCGCGGTGATCAAGCCGCTGTGGAGTCTCCCTCTCCCGTAAGCGGCGTCACCAACACAGCCAATCAATCAGTCACAGCGACATCACTTGAAGTCGCAATTCCCATTAATTTAAGCCGCTTATTTTAGCATCATTTGATCGCAAATCTTGCTGTGCGAAAGTCACCCAGCCCAGACCGAAAGAGTCTACTTACCGGGACACGAGATCTGACACAACCCCATAGCCCTTCTCTCTGCACAAGGTGAAGCTCTCAGACATATGTTCCAGTACTAGAACTAACAATGCGTACATTTAGACCGCCATTCTACACCATGTCCCATACCTCTAGGCGCCGCAAGAATGTTTCAGGCCATTCCCGCCAGAAGGAAATTGTTCATGACAAGCATGGGCCGCACAATGGTGGCCAGCCTCCTCATACACGACCAGGTGAACATTTTCCAGGAGAGTGCTATACTTCTCATGGCATCAACAGCGAAAATCTCGAAGTTAAGGGCCATGATTTCGACTTTATTCACCTCCGATGCCCCTTCTCGTCGCCAGAACCATGCAGTTGCGGCCGTCATTCATACCATATGGACTCAATGATCGTCGCTGTCGACGGAGCTTGCCCTGGGAACGGCTCGCATAAAGCAGTCGCCTCCGGATGCGGCGTCTGGTTTGGTCCCAGATCTGCCGATAGTGACAATAACACTATACAACCAAATCTGTCGTTTCGAGTTCCCGACGACCCGATCCATCCACATACAAGTCAGCGCGCCGAACTGCACGCCGCTATTGCAGGACTGGAAAGTTCTATGAAGTTCGCAACGCATGGAGGACATATCAAGTGCGAGGTTCCAGACAGTTGCCCGGAGCCGTGTCGAATCACCCATCTGATCATCAAATCAGACTCGGCATACATTGTTAACGCCATGACAGGAAGCCTTTGGAAGTGGCTAAATAATGGTTGGCTTACAACTAAAAAAACCCCTGTCAAGAATAAGGACCTTTGGGAACTTTTGTTCGCTGGATATTCTCTACTTGTACTAATGGGTGTTACAGTGGACTTTTGGCATGTTCCGCGCGAGAAAAATGCAGAAGCCGACTCTCTTGCTCGCCAGGGAGTGCACTCTCAGTGCACATATGGTGGGGAAAAACTCTGATACAATTTTGATTGTCTTTGAGGGCTTGGAAAGATCGCTGCACTCTCAGAAGCAGACCTATCTAGCATTACAAGTCTATTCTTGTAATACCGGTAACTACCTGTTAGCTTCATTCATCGGGCTTTATTTGATCGTGTGCTCCCGTGTTGCATTTTATTCTATAACTTCATTTCCTACCAACGATTACTTGTCAATAGATCCAAATATATAATACCTTCGATTAAATTGTAACTTTATTATGAAGCCTCACATCAGAAGCACCGCCGGGAAGAGCCCGAGACGAAATTGAACCTCGCTTACTCCCCCCTTGTCGCTTGCTGTGGCTAGCGCTTGGACATGACCTTTAAAGAGGCTAGGGAGCCGGAACGGACTCTTCTCCGTCAGTCCGAGGAGCCGGGGTAGCCACTCAGCTTCAAAGTGGAGGTGACGGGTTATGGGATTTAGGAACCCCGTCCGCCGATGCGGACATTGCGCGGACATGGTCCGAAGCCAAATCATGTCGAAATAGTTAATCCAAAATTCACATCATTTAAGTCCTTTTTTTTTCTTCAAGCAATAACAACCGTGTCTATTTACTAATCGTGTCCGTCACTCCATTCACTCTCAATAGGCCCTGCAAAGTTCCAGCCCCTCTAGACTCTATACTTTCATTCGGAACAATGAAGGAAGCCGTGGTTGCTGAAGGGCCCATCGTCACTATTCAGGATCTGCCCATCCCGAGTATCCAAGACCCTCGACAGCTGATAATCAAGGTTATTTTCAGTGGGAGCAACCCCAAGGACTGGAAAGGACCTACGTGGTATGGGAGAGTGTTCAATCTGGGAGACGACATTGCCGGCATTGTCCATGAGGTCGGCGATGATGTCACCGAGTTCAAAGTCGGAGACCGAGTCGCTGCTTTCCATCAAATGAGAACCCCCGGAGGGAGCTACGCCGAATACGCTTTGGCGTGGGACTGGACGACATTCCATATTGGTAAAAACACCAGCTTTGAAGGTGTGTTGAATCATATTTGCCAAGATTCGAGTCGCATACTTACGTCCCCCTCTTTAGAAGCGGCCACTGTCCCCCTATCAGCTATGACCGCCACATTCAGTCTTTATCACTGCTTGGCTATTCCCCACCCATGGACAAAAGCGCAGAAGCCGACGCCCCTCGTCATTTATGGTGCCTCCGGCGCAGTTGGCGCATATGCAATCAAGCTTGCAAGCCTTTCAAACATCCACCCCATCATTTGTGTTGCAGGAAGAGGAGCACAATTTGTCGATACATTGATCGATCGAACCAAGGGGGACACAATCGTCGACTACAGACAAGGTGATGACGCAACTGTCGAAGGACTGAAGCAAGCATTGAATGGTCAACCTCTTCGTTATGCTTTCGATGCAATCAGCGAAAACAACACCTGGATGAATATTGTCAAAGTTCTCGAACCTGAAAATGGTCACCTGTGCCTGGTGCTACCGGACTTTTCAGGTACGACATATGACGACATCCCAACGACGATTAAGTGGTCGGTTGCGAGAGTCGGGCACGCTCATGAAGATATCGGAGCAGAAAGCGGTGCTCGACTCCTGGCACGTTCCTTTTTCAGATTGTTTGGCAATGGCTTGAGCGAAGGGTGGTTTAAAGGACACCCTCATGAAGTTGTTCCCGGTGGATTGGCTGGTATCCAGACAGGTCTTACAAATCTCAAGGAGGGGAGAGCAAGCGCTGTAAAGTATGTCTTTAGGATTTCAGAGACCCCGGGGTTGGAAGGTACCTCATGAATTTGAATATGATTGGGCAGAATTGTCATCACATTAAAAGATTTTGTGACATATTGTTGGTGATCTTACTCTTTGGCGCGTGCCTTGTGGTGGTGATAATTGGCAACGCTGTGTTGTAGTTGGATATCAGCCGCTGACCAATCGAGCGAGCACCTGAAGTTGAAGTCTGCCCAGTTTCCATAAGACAGGCTTATTTGACTTTCTTGTTATTCAATGACCAACAACACACCTTCTGTTTGATTGATCCATCGTGCCTTAGCTGTCGCTGCATCTCCGAGTCCTTGGATACCCTACAGGCATGTTTGATCAGTACTGTCCACGCAAGCAAAACATCCTCGTAGACTTCAAGGAGCGATGGAAATATACCCTCTTGTATTTGTAAATAAACAAAGGATCTTCTAACAAAATGTAACCCGTTGGAAAAAAAGAGCAAGGCTAGATCAGCGCAACGGACCAGATGTTAATTGGGGGTTCGACGTCTAATTATAGATAGAGTAATAGCATTATTAGCCCCAAGGATGTTGCGATGTAGCCTATATTTATCAATAGTCAACTATTTAGGAGCCACCGTGTTCACTCTGTCCAGCGCTTGCAAATTATGCAGAGACATCCTCGACGTGTTGTTTCTCTTTGAACTGCTTATGAATGGATGCCGATGCCGAATCATTCAAGGTTACATTGTCCCCAAACACTTCGGCAATATCTTCCAATGACTTCCCCTTCGTCTGTAAGGATGTTAGTTTGAATCACCAATTAAATACCTGATTTGCAACACATACCTCGGGGAAATAGAGCCACACAACAAAAAACATGACTGTGCTCATCGCAATAAAAGCAAGGTAATACTTCCAGCCCACATTCATAAAAGCCGTTGGAGCACTCTGCAAGAAACACGATGAGATTGCAAGGCATGGATGGGATGAGACCACGCTCGGGGTATCGGGTGTCATCCACCCCGTGACAGATGGTGGAATGGGATCCAAACCTGGAGAAGGATCAGCCACTGGTTTCAAAGACGGCCCAGACTCAGTGGAAGAATCTTGGTGAAGAGGATGAACCCTCCCTGAAGGCGACACCCGCGATGCGACTGGACCCGAAAGATCTCTCTCAAGACCAGCGACGCTCGCTTGGACCACGCAACCCCGGACAGGTAGAGAAACATCAAGACCCTATAGGCATTCTAGGAGATGAAGCCCTCTGAGAATTGGAGCAGCGACAGGCTCGGGGAGAGTACCCATCGAGAACCCCAGAATATCAACCCCCTCGAGTTAAAGAGGTATTTCCAGACGTGCTAGATGACAATAGGATATTCCGGGAAGAAATTATTATCCCCCCTCCATCATATAACCTTCCTATTAATTACCCTGGGACAGATAACTCCGATCAGGTTATAATAAATAATAAGTTTCAGAATCTACTTCTCTAACTCCAACTGTATTTAGAGAGAATATTAAACTGCCCCTCTACTGGACTCAAGCTGGTTATAGCAGCGGAGAAGAAACCTCGATATATTCTGGAGAAAATCAGGGCGACTGAGGAATTTAATGTTCTACAGTTTGAGATTGGGAAACAACTTTATAGGATTAATGTTTTAATAAGTATTTCTCCAGCTCCTTTAGATCTCCCCCTCTATACGACAACACTTGACACGACTGGTCCAGTGTTGCAGGAAATCAAAATCCTCTTAGGTAAAAGACCTGGTAGCGGGCGTGTTACTCCTGTATGAAGGTTTGGATATCGTAGAAGAGGGGCTCAGCGACAATGATCTGGACTCAGCGGAGGGACTCGTCTCGGAGGAACACTCATGCTTGCAGCTGGGATCGACGAACGCAATGAGACAGATTGTGTATCGGGACATCGCATCAAGTGAGGATGAGGTGGTGCTCCCTCATGTTGGATGGAGGATCTGCTGTTTGCCTCGTTAATGAAAGATACGTCGACAAATGCGGGCTGTCGGTTATGTCCATGCCGAAGGCGGGGATGATCCGAATGGCCAACGACGAGATCCAACAAGTCACATGCTGTGTGATGCTGCGAGTTGTGGTTGGCGGGATTCTGGCCACAATCCAGGCATATATGTGATGGGATACCATCGCGATTGGGACGTGCTGTTGGGCCGGCCCTGGATGAGGGGAATGAAGGCCATCGAGAATTACGACAAGGAAACTTTGACCATCACGGGAGTAAAGGGTCACTCCCAAACCATCTGCATTCTCCCACACCCCAATTTGTTTGAGCCCGAGGACGCGGGGCTTGGCTGCTATGGACGCCTACCAAATCACAAGCGCAAGCAGGAGAGACTGCGCCATAAACCCACACGGCCCTTCTACGACACAATGGATGATGCCGATGAGGAGATGATCCGAGTACAGGATGATCAAAAGATTCTGGAAGAGGTCGAAATGATAGTGGATGGGGATGGGCGACTCGATCATCGAGGTCGCAAACGGGATGTCGAAAAACTGATGGCCATAGATGGCACGGCCGGATGCCAGACATGGCGAGCTCAGGACAACCGGCAGGAGGATGTGAAGGACGAACGAGTACAGACTACATTATTCTATCCCCTTTTGGACGATTAAGAGCGAGCGACAAACTTGGTGGTTTCGAAAATCAAAAATACCAATGAGAGCAGTAAGCATATCCTTAACTAGAGCATAATTACTAAGCGATCGGCATCGGAGGGATTAACTCCTGTAGATGCATTTTGAAGATAACAATCTGAGATGGAGTGGGGTCGTAGTGTAGGTGAGCGCCAGAAGGGGGATAGCTTCAGCGATTACCATCAGATACCATCATTTGGGAATCATACTTGATGAGTTTACAGGATGCAATCCCGGAACGTCCTGGAATCATTTGGCTCAATGGGGCGTAGGGAATCAAAACAATGAACCCTCAAGACGTCACTCTTGGGAACACCTACTTTATGCGTCCGAGGGACACAAGGCGGAAACTCTCCCGAAATATTGTGCCCTCGGCGGCAGACTCTCGGGACAGCGATTACTCCATGGAGACAAAACAGCTGGACGACGCTACTGAATTTCCCTTGGCAACTGGGTTCGGTGAACCTGACTTGGACGCTGACCTGGGACACCACGGCTCGGAGAGATTGGGGAACGGGGAGGAGAGGCAAACACCTCGAGCCTTTGGGAATGGACGCCGGGGGACACCGCCGGATAGACTTGAAGACCGTTCAAGGCGGATCGGGGGAACAACCGGGCTAAAGGAGGGAAGCTCTAGGATACCGGTGGGCAGCCAGGAGGATGCAGGGATACGGTCGAGGATAGACTAAAGGGACAACTGGATACGATTGAGGATAGAGGATAGGAATAACTAGATATAGAGGATGGAAATAATTAAGGTTACTAAAGGGGATAATAGGATATGGAAGCTATTAGATAGATGCTGGGAGTTATATACTGGGGATAGCTATATATAACTAGATAGGATATTCTAAATATTTAAGGCTGGTAAAGAGTTAATTAAGATATAAGATATTAAACCTACTATATAGATATAGGAATAATAGAGGTAGAAGAAGAATTAAATAGAATATAAAAAGATAAATTTATTAGGTTACTAAGGGATTATAAGATACTAATATCTATACTTCTATCTAACTTTATAATAGCAAATAAGACAATAGTTAACAAGATAAACCCATTTCCTTACTCTACTAAACTCAATAGCTCTACTGGAGGGAACACCATACTGGTCAAGAGACTTTATTACACCTACTACTAGGTCCAAGCATCCACAGCCCAAGCGGGTAATACCTCCTCGGTACTTACCCTTATAGCACCACTTACTATCTCCTTACTATGCAGCCTTTAGTAGACTACGTAACGGTATTGACTGGTACTACCTTGGGCATCTAGGGCACCCTCTACTAACCTAACCTTCTCACCTCAGTTTTGTGCACTCTCTCTTCACAAGCCTCTTCCGCCCACCCTAGCCGTTAAGGTATTTAAGCTTTCGCAAAGCCTTCAAGTAAGCCTTTTTTGAAAATTTCTCTTCCACACCCTCCCGGCTCATATCCCGCACCTGTATGAGAAACCTTAACGCTGACTCGCGGAAGTCGAGGTTCGTGTGATAGCCCGGGTAGCTCTGCATTCGTAGAGCATAGATGGGAACTTTGAATTTCGGTGCACTAATATCCTCGAAGCGTCGAGCCTGCGCATATATTCGCAGGAAGATAGTGCCTGCTTGCTGGCTAGTGGGATTATCAGGCTTCGTCCCGTACAGCTCAACGCTGAGTTTGCTGAAATTGTGGTCCTTGAAGATGTGATGGAGCTGCTGCCGCATCATCTTCTCTTTGGCCTCGATATCGAGCCCGTTGAGGTAGAAGATGGCCTCGGCTTGATAGCCTCCGGGAGCAGCGAACATGACCTTGGTTGTCGAGGGAGGAGGAAGCCCCGTGATGCCGGAGACGCGAACTCGATTTGGAGCTTCGAGCTCTACCTTGACCTTGGCCAGGTCAGCCGCCACGTCGAGATTCAAGTAAATGTGACCCTGCAGCTCATATAGGATCTGCGCTCGAACTGTATCTTCGGTGACGCGACCGCCGCCGGCATCTGTCGTAGTAACAACGCACTGTCCGTTGCGGTCGATTTCGGCGATGGGAAAGCTGAGGTCTACCAAATCGCCCAGCATGTCTTTGAAGCCAGTAAAGTTGGCTCCGCATACATAGGGTCCGCATCCAATCAGATGGCCGGCAAGCAAGGCTCCCGCCATGGCATCGTACTGGTCCTCTTCCCATTGAAAGTACCATGCGGCAGCACCCATGACGGGTGATGCATCAGTACATCTGCCACAAATGACAATTTGGGCGCCTGAGTTTAGAGCCTCGACGACACCGCGGCATCCAATATAGGCGGCGCCACAGAATGGCTTCAGTTCCCAGTCCTGGAGTCTCTTGTCTTGGTGGTCGAGATGTGTCAAGTCGGGGCCTTGACCCAGCTGGCCGATCAAATCCGAGACGTCGTCGCCCAAAACAGCGGCAACCTGGACGTCCTTGTACCCCCTGGACTGGCATAGTTTGCGGACTTGTCGGGTGAGGGATTGGGTATTGAGAGCACCGGCATTGGTGATGACCTTGATGCCCTTTGTCACAATGTCGTCAAGGGATACCTCCAGCTGGTCAAGGAAGCCTTTTTCGTAGCCGAGGCTGGGCCATGTGGTTCTTTGGGTGGATGAGGCGAAGGAATTCTTGACATCGATAATACGACGAGATTACCGATGGATATTTGCCAGCGCGGGCCATAGTCCGCATGTCTTCGGACGCACATCCTAACTAGCCTCGGATGAGCGGACCACCTCCGATGTCCGTCCACTAGGTCTCTTCTCCGACTTGCTAGTGTAGCTCTCGACGCCGTTTAGTTTCCCCAGAGAGGACTAGGCCTGGTACACACGTCAACGATGATCCATTGGCACTCTCGTGCCCTCCTTATGCTTGCCCCGGAATTCGAGATGAAGGATCCCCGCACCAGGAGTGAAGTTTTCCAGGTGATGCCCACTTCCCCGCTTACCCCGGACTGGTGTCATGGCATTTGAGCTGGCTTGTGGAAGACTTGACTAGGGCTTAGTGTGGAAGTGTGAATGAATTTGGTTGAAAAGGAGCAGCCCCTCTCCAACAAGTTCATCGGTGTGTCTCCTTTCCAAGCTGCAATCAGACCTCAAGCAACACTCCACAATGGCCGGCAATTATCCAAAGGAGAGGAAGGCCTCTGCCGATGGCAGTAATCACCTCGAGTATGCCAAAGAGGAAAGTATTGCCCAGGGAGGCATTGACGACGTGATTACCCCTTCACTCTCAGTCTGATCTCGTTTTGACTGGTATTAGATCCCCCAGTACGATCGCGTTGAAACTCGCCGAGTCTTGCGGAAAATTGATTACCGACTGTTACCTCTCCTTGCGATCCCATACCTGTTGTCATATATGGACAGAGGCAATATTGGCAACGCCAAAGTGGCTGGTACTGATTTTCTCGCTGTACCGTCTTGGACTACAACTGATGTATCTACAGGCTTGAACGTCGATCTCGAACTCACAGACAAACAATACAATATATGCTTGATGGTGGGATTGATGCCCGCCTAGTTACAAAGCTGCGTTTGCTAACAAACCTTAGGTCTTTTTCTTCACCTATGGACTTTTTGAGGTTCCGAGCAACGTTGTGCTCAAGTTGATGCGGCATTCGTGGTGGATCGGAATTATAATGCTTGCATGGGGAACAGTACAGTCATCTCATTTTGCAAGGTCCAGAGCTGGTTCCTAACCTTGATTCAGGTCATGACTCTGCAGGGCATTGTGCAACAATATTCTCACCTCATTGTCACAAGAACCTTGCTCGGCTTAGCAGAGGCAGGATTTTGTCCTGCGTCCACATATCTTTTTACCACTTGGTACTGCAGATTTGAGCTCCAGTACGTGTACCCTCTCAATTCTACTGAAAATTTCCGGCTGATTTGTCTTGAAGAACCTGGATGAGTATCTTCTTTTCTGCAGCATCGATGGCCAGTGCCTTTTCTGGTCTTCTGGCCTTTGCAATCTCCAAAATGGATGGTATCGGAGGGCTTGAGGGATGGCGGTGGATCTTCATATTGGAAGGTACAAATAGCATTTACACTACTCGGTGTGGCATACAAAGCTGAATCGCCGTTAGGAATCTCGACTGTGGTTATAGGAGCTGCCATTCCGTTTCTGCTACCAGACTCGCCCGCATCGGCTTCATTCCTTAGCCAGGATGAAAAGAACTTTATTAGCCATCGACTTGCTCATGATTCCGGAACTGCTTCGGGAGCTATCGGCACTGATGAAACGTTCCAGTGGTCATATATTCGAGCTGCTTTATCAGACTGGAAAACTTACCTCGGAGTCCTCATGTACTGGGGTCACTCGGTAGGTACCTGCTTCGAATACTCGCAAGTTGTGTTTAACAAGTCGAATAGATTTGCATCTACGCGTTCAGCTTCGCAGTACCTACGATTATTAAAGAGCTCGGTAATGTTCGCGGTCCTTAGAAGCAAAAGGCTCTTCTAACACTAGCGCTGCATAGGCTACTCGGCGGCAAATGCTCAGCTTCTCACCGTTCCTGTATATTTCATTGGTGTCATAACCACAGTCACTTTATCCTGGTTTGCCGACAAACATCAGACCCGGTGGCCATTCATCGTTGGGCCATATTTAGTCTCATGTATTGGCTTCATTGGGTTGCTGGCGATTCCCCACCCCGGTTATCCTGGACTTACCTACGCCATGTTGTTTTTCATCACCGCTGGCTTGTACCCAGCTATTATTGGAGTCATTTCTTGGACTGCAAATAACCTTGCGCCCTCGTGGAAACGAGCTGTCGGCATGGCATTCCTCATGACATTTGGCAACCTGGGTGGAGTAGTTGGTAAGGGTCACCTTGCATAGACCGGCGAAAACCAGCTGACAAGCCTCTGCAGGCTCCAACATTTTTCTTGCGCGACAGGCACCGGATTATTGGCTCGGATACGGACTTTCCCTTGCTTTGGTTGTCGTTGCAATTATTGCAACGTTGACAATGCGAGTCTTGCTACTTAGGATCAACGCGAAGCGCGATGCCATGGACGAGTCCCAAGTTTATGCTACATACACTGAGAGCCAGCTTCTTGAAATGGGAGACAAGAGCCCACTGTTTAGATATGTAGTTTGAATGCAGACTCAGAGATGCCAGGCAATGTATTGAAAGCTATAGAATGGAGTCTTGAGCAGGAGGATGTTGTATGCTAAATGCCTAATCTCGCAACAAATCGGCCAAAGTCTCATTCCCATACTCTTCGGCCCATTGCAAGGGAATCTTCCCATTGTCATCTGCAATATCCCTATCCGCACCGGCTGCCAGCAACAACTTGGCCACTTCTACATAGCCATCCTGGGCCGCCCGGGACAGAGGCGTCCGTCCAACTGCATTCCGGGAGTTGCAATCCACCCTCTCCGTGGCCAGCAGAATCTCCACCACCTCTTCCCATCCTCCCTTCACAGCTTTGAACAAGGGCGTCTCTCCCAACGCATCCTGGACATCCGCCCTGGCGCCCACGGCGAGTAGCTGGTGCACCACGGCCACATGACCGGACCACGCAGCCATCATGAGGGCCGTTTGGGCGTCGTGATCGGTTGCTTCTATGTTGACAGCCGCTGAACGCAGCAGTATTTCCACCACCGCGTCGTGCCCGGCTAAAACCGCATGGAACAACGGCGTATTGCCCGATCCGTCCCTCGGCTCCGGATCGACGCCGTACGTCGTCAGCAGCAACTCCGCCAGTGCTGCGTGCCCAAGTATCGCCACCCGAGTCAGAGCCGTCCACCCATACGGGTCGCCGACATTCGGATCGACCCCAGAGGTTGCCAGCAGCTGCCGGACTACGGATTCATGCGGTCCTTCCGCTGCTCGCAACAGGGGTCGGAAGCCCTGTCGATCGCTCGCATTCGGATCCACGCGGTGCGTCGCCAGGAGCACGTCGACCACCTCGGCATGCCCGGATTTCGCCGCACGCATCAGTGGCGTCTCTCCAGCTATCGTGTCCATCCTCACGTCCGGATCGACGCCCTCCACCGCGAGCAGCAGTCGCACAATTGCGGAATGGCCGTGGTCCGCCGCTGGAAAGAGGGCCTGCTCGGCGACAATCCGCGGCGCGTTTACCGACCGCACCGCACCAAGGGCCGCCAGCGATTTCTGCGCCGTGGCCTCATCCCCTTCGGCTGCGGCCCAGAATAACGCTGTGCTAGCGCCGGAGCGGTTGTTGTAGTGGTAGACAAATGGGTTGAGCACCCGGTAGGCATAGGTGCATGTCCGGACGACGGCGTTGAGTTCGGCGAACGAATCGAGCTTCTCGGCGATACACTGCAGTATCTCGGGTGGTAAGTCAAGTAACATCGCGGCTCGTTGTCTTGTTGGAGTAAGAAATTTGGTTGGGAAGATGTCCGTAGAGTGATAGATAAGAGAAGAGGAGATTGTCAGTAGTGTGAGTAGTGTGAGTAGCGTGGCTTAGACAAAACCACACCACAATCACGTATAACAATGGGGTAACTTTATTGCCCGCACTAGACCAAGTCTAGCGGTATCGAGAATATCTCTAGCCTGAACCTTGTCCGCTTATATCTCTTTGTAGGGTAGAGACCTGCTGGTGCTGCAACAACCAGCTAATTTTTATATAACTGTATATACCTCTCGTTCATTCTTTCTGTCTTTTCTACTGTAGGAGGAATTAAGGAGGTCTTGACTAATTTAGGTCACGTCTAGTTATAGTAAATAGACTGATCTAACTTCTGTCTGCTCCGTCAAGATAAGCAAGTTGCCGGCACAAAGTCAAAAAAATACAGTTTTATCTACAATTCAAGTATTTATCTCCTACCTAATGCTATCACGCTGACCAAATATTAAGCTTTTTAACTTGATAAGGCTAAAACATATGTGAATATATGAGTAGTTCGTTCAAGACGCTGAGTTCGGACTCTTTCCCTCCCTCAAACATCATCTATCGTGAATAGACAATTCAGGGAACCAACGTTGTAAGCTGATAGCTATAGTCCTCTAAGCCAGCAGCAACCAGACCATCGACCTCCACAGCACCAACGTGGACCTCTACAACTGCATGGTCATCTCCAAAGTGATTGGGGCCATGCAGATCGCCACCGATGGCACAATAGAGGACGACGAAACCCAGGACAGCGCCGCCCACGCGAGCATCGCCACCCATACTGTATGTGGATCTCTCCCTTCACCACAGGTGGGCTCCACTGCCGGCTGTTTAACACGAATGGGCGGCTCCTTCTGGACGCCTTTCTTCTCCAGCAGAACAGCCTCTCCGACTCCCTTGATCTCACCCAAGATGAAGAACAGTCCGTAGGTGAAATTCACAAGCAATTAGCCATCAGTGGCGAACCGGAGTGGGCTTGGTTGGACAATCAAATCCTGCCAATTGCTGCCATCATGTGGCACCTTGTCCGTCTCGCCATCTTTGCTGCTCGGTTCGAGTGCGGACGTCAGGTTCGAGTCCAGACCATGCTGGACGTTCAGCATTGCCGCCACTGACACGAACCCGTGAATATCGAGCTTGTCGTATACAAACACGTCGTGTGCGTACTTTTTCTGTTCTGGTTCAGTATGTTCCGTGGGCAAAGATGACACCCGGACGCGGATGCCGATGTCATGGAGAGTGAAAATCGACACCGCAGCAACGTAGGGTCGGCCGGGCCGACCACAGTTCTTGTTGTTGCAGGCATGATTTCGATTGTGAGATTGATGAGAAGATGATGTGTGAAGGAGGGAAAGAATCAGGGCTCAGCTTCTTGAGCCGACTACAGCTTATATGTTCATACAGGTTTAACTTTTCCAAGCTAAAAAGCTTGATATTTGGTCATCGTGGCAGCATTAGGTAACAAATGCTTGAATTGTGGATAAAACTGTGTTTTTTTGACCTTGTGCCGGCAACTTGCTCACCTTGAGGGAGCAGACAGAAGTTAGATTAGACACCGCAGCAATTATGCGTGGGGGGTATATTTCCAGAAGCATTATGAAAGCGCCTCTGAGTAAAATTATTCATGCAACTATATAGGCTATCTACGTAGATCATAAACGACGAGTTCGCAATGTGACCTCACGCACAGCTCGTGTTAGGTAGGTGTACCGTGAAGCTCGGTTAAGTCACTCGGTGGTCAACGAAACTAGTCTTTTTCCATCCTAACCGCCTACAGGTGCTTCTCGGCATGTCGACAATAGACTAATTCTAACTCAACTACAATCGGTAGTATTTAATAACAACATGGATGATTAGATGTCCCCCAAATCACATAAATGGGTTGATTCAGCCCATCTATAGAGTAATATCGTCTGATTTCAAAATTTCCAAAGTACTGAGTATCTTGGAAATCATTGGCGATTATAAGGGCACTGTTTACAAATAGCCGCCATTGCTTCCCCCAGCCGTTAATCGACCTTTATGTAGTCTCCTTAATACAGTCTAACAAGGGTCGCAGATATTCCCGACTGAATGGAAATTGAGTTCGGCTAGATGAAATGGATGGCCAAACCAAGAGATGCAGATATTGCTGAAATAGTGCTGTTTAAAGGTGAAGAGTCTTAGAAACTTACATACATTTACCGTATCGAGGAAAGTCTTGAATGCAAACACCATATTAGCCTGAGATTTACCGTATCGACTCAGTAAATTGGCCCTGAATCCATCCTCCACTTATTGCCTTCGGGTTCTTTTATTCCTAATCATTTAGGAAATCTAAGCCTCATATCATTTAGCTTTAGACTATAAAATAGGGCCAATTTATCGAACCGATACGTAGAACCCATATTCTCTACTGGTAGAGTGTATCCCAAGGCCTTACTCCAACGGATAAAACCAGAAGCAAGAGTGATTTTCGTCAGACGAGTTTGTTATACAATAGGAAAAATCATGCCATTTTCGCATCGCGGGCTCAGAACACTTCAGAAACTGCGGTGGGAGGCTAGCAGTAGTTGTTGCTGCAGTCAGTTAGCAGGCTAGAAAGTAACGAACCACATTGCTCCAGGGTCTAGCTATGAAGATGTCTCAAATGCCGGGCTGCATCCTGTCCTATTTGAGTCTATTGCATAAGACGCTAGAACACATCCAAGCAAGAGTGACACGTCATCGTGTGTCGGTGCCCAGACGCCCCAAGAGGGGTAGCTATCAGGTCACTGCTGATCCTGGCATATCTCCAAGTTCAGGCCATCCCGTCTTGATACGCGCATGCATTAGGGTGCAACCCTGATGCCTCAGCTTGGGAAGAGGTGCAAAACGAGAACATTATTCGTATTGTTCTCGGACGCAGTTCTTGCTTCTGGCAAGGATCGCCGGATCGGCAAATCATATGTCCTGATTCAGTTCACTTGCCGAGAACCTGACGCGCCAATTTCATCTCCTTGTTTCAATCCATCTGCCGTGCGACCCTGGATTGAGCGCGCTCCTCACCGCTCCCCGTTCTCTTTTCGTATTAAACGGATGCCAACACCGAGGTGATACACAGCTAGACTCGAAGCAAGCGCCGTGAACGCGCGGAAATCAACCAGCTTCCTCTCCATTCGCCAGTCGGCTGTCACTGCGCCAAGCAAGTGACTTTGCATGGAGGCTATGTCGTCACTACAGCAGGCTTTGCCGCCTCTCAAAATCTACCTCAGCCGCGACGAATTCCAGACCCAGGGCGTGACACCATGGTTTTCCTATTGTGTCACTCTGCCCCAACATCCGCTCCCTAGCCTGTCAGAGCGATCACAGATCAAGACACAGCGTCTTGTGGTCCGCCCGTTGACTGAGGACGACTTGCACGACTTCCACGAACTACGCCGCCTGCCGGATCTGCAATCCTTGTCACAGCACCGTGGCCGTCCAGACAAAGACGAGGAGGAGACGAAACAATACACCGATCATCTACAACAAGATGAGGACACCCATTGGTACTTTGGCGCCTTTCTCCAATCAACAAATGAGCTGATCGGCGAGGGCGGCATGCCCGACTGCCTCCACATGACCACCTCAGCGTCTGGCTGGCCCGAAGCTGAGTTTCTCATCAAGCCAGAATATTGGCGACAAGGATACGGCACAGAGTTCTTCAACGCCGTGATGGATTCATGGTGGAAGTTGCCGCGTCAACGGAAGAGACTGCAGCTCCTCCCCGCCATTGCGCCCAACAAGGAGCCCGGCGATGAGATGTTGGAGGGCGTCGTGTTTCGATGGGAAGAGCCTAATGACGCTGCGCGAGAGTTTTTTGCCAAGGTCCTGGAACAGGCGCCCATCTATGCGGAAGGCGCCTATGAGAGTATTGATGTTCGAGAAGGCAGAGAGGGAAATCTTGTACAGTTTACTGGATCGTTGGCTACGCATCCCAGGCTTCAGGACTGTATCATTGAGGAGTGAGGAAGGATTATGTATTTGAGTTCCTGCTCTACTATTTGCGCTATAACTAGAGGGTTTATTTTTGGTTAACGTCTGGTTTTTTGGTGCTTGTTAGTGTCGATGGCGGCGTATTTACTCCATTTTAGTATAAAATGTTACACAAGCTCGTCACCTGAATGTTGGTCGAGCTACACTAGGCCAGGCCTGGGCTTATTGTAGTGCGTTGATACGATGCTGGCCAGCTGATCGCCGCTCATCTCTGGCAGGTCTGCCGTGTAACCTGGGATCGTGGTGGAACTCTTATTTGCAACGCCATGTTCCCAATGCTGCCCGTTGGCCAGGCCGCTCGTAACGAAGCTCAAACTAGGCGCGAGATCGTGGGCTAATCCAAATACCTACAGCACAAGCGCTGCTGAGTGTCGGACTAGGGAGTTGATGTTTGTTGTGGGGTAGATGCTAAAGTAGTTGTCGGCTTGGAGTGAGGATGACAACTCATGACAGATGTAGATGCAACGAGACAGTGGTCTAAGCCCCTCCTTGCCGGACCCAGAAACTTGCTACCTCACAGTGTGGTACGTTGAGGCTACCCTAGAGTATTTCTATCCATTTTCTCATGGTCTGCCGGTTTGTCTCGTCTACAAGAAACTCGTTGACACTGCCATCGACTTTTGGAGAGTGCCCTGAACCAACAGTGGGCTGAGTTGGCCCCCTATAGTTCTTCCCGTCTGGTAAGTGAGCGTCAACTTTTTGAATGCTATGCTTGGGATATGCTCAGTGGGAAAGGCAAATCAGGTCTCAAGAAGCTTTCTCGGCATGTCAATGTCTCCTTAAGTTACCATCTTGGCGTGGGTACAGTCATGGTTTTCCCAAACGAAAACGCCAGTTTTGCTCGTCTCACAGAAGCGCCACGCAAACTAAACCTGCTCAGGGCTTCGGCCCTCTTTATATGCGCCGGTTTTGTCATCTTCACTAAGGAGCTGAAGTTGAAGGTCAGGATATGAGTTATAGATTAATGGGAGTGTTTTCAACACTGAGAAGAGCAAGAGCTAGAGTGTGTCAGATATAATCCTGGTTTCTCTCTCGCTCTATCTTCCAAGCCCTTGGGGTGGAGAGACACAGAAACTGAGCCCATTGTGGTTATTTGCGTAGAGATAGGGGTACGCGAGCAAGGGGCAGAAGGTCTGGTCCTGTGACCGACATGGAAGGGCAGCCCCTTACAGGGGGACCTCGCGATACCGCAGCATGCCCCACTACAGGAGACAGAAGAGACGAGGGATTAAATACCGAGGGAGACTAGATCTGGCCACCGTGGCCGTGCCGCAGAGACCCGGCGAGTACGATCCCTTCACGACCGGGAAGCAGGTGGGACCACACGAAGAACAAATACACAACCTGCAAGCCTAGACAGGGCTGGTTTGCCAAATACTGGCACAGATTTAACGACAATATATACCCCTAGGGGTGTTATAAATAAGGGGTAAGCTATGTGGACATAGATATAGTGGCCAATTGGGATAGTGAGGAGCCTCACGATGCCGACGGCAATATCCCATGACTGGAGATAACAGCCCCATGCCACGAGCCCATGTGATCAGTATTAACGCTGAAACAACCCCCGGTCCATGGCGGTTTATTCAAGTAGGTGGAGGTTGCTACCGCCTAATGGCCATTGGACGGCATCAGCAGCGTGTGCGCTTTGCAGTAGAGTGAGCTCGAGGCTTTAAGTAGTACCGAAGTTGAATGGCGGGTCGATGTTTGGATAGATGTTCTGTGTACGCAGCTGCTCGACGACCATCCTCCATGCAGTCATGGGACCACGGCGGAAGTCGCTCCAGAAGCACGGCTCTAAGGAAGCCTTCACTTCTTAAACTCGGGTATAGGTAGGAAGAGAAGTCAGGTCATGCACCGAAAGTTTGACTGTGGGTTTCTGCTAAGATGATATTTATATTCTCCTGCCTTTGTTCCAAATCATTGGTTCCAAGAACCAGCCTTTATTCTTCAAAGTGACTAGTGCTAAATAAGCCTCCGCAGGTTCTATCACAAAGTCAGCAGCTTCTTAAACACCCAGAAGTACAGGGAATACCTCTAATTCTCGAGCACTAGTTTGAGACTTGCTTCCACTACTTTCTTGCGGATTCAACAACATTCTGGCAAGGTCTCTCTTCACATCTTGTAACTCCACAATCCTCTACCATGTCTTGTCAGTGGTTTTGGCTCGACTATGGCACTTTAAAGATGACACTCACCTCCTCAAAGGAATCTTTGACAGAAAATCTTATGGTCGTTACCTCTCGTGTCTGCCCTATACGATGAATTCGTGCCAATGCTTGATCTTCAAGAGTCGGATTCCTAGACGTAATGTGAGATGTTGCTCATGAAAGATATAAAAGCTCGACGCTTACCAATGTGGCTCCATGAGGTAGGCTCGGGACGCCTCAGTCAAAGTGAGACTGTTGAATCATCAATTAGTAACATCGACAGAGCCAAAATCCAGGACGGAGCGACTTACCCCACGGCGCCGCAAGTTAACGTTAGTAGCAAGACCCTGATCGATGGATCGTTTCGAAATCTGTCAATAACGCCCTGCCTGTCTTTCTGTGCCACGCTACCATCATATCTTAGAGATGGTATAGAGGCATGCTTGAGGCCAGCGTCAACGATATTGAGAGTCATTTTCCAAGAGGAGAACACAACACTATATGCTGTCAGTCACACCAAGACTCAAATTCCAAAGCATCTTGCCAACAAACCTTTTGACATCAATCGGCTGCTTCTTCAAGTCGTCTAGTAACATTTCGACCTTGGATGGTAGCTTATGTGTAAGGCTGCCGGGCAAGTTGGAGGGCGGCTCCTCTGAGTCGACGTCCATCAATACAGTGGAAACAGGGCACCTTGGGTTTTTATGTTCACAGAGAACAATTCTGTTTGGATCTGAATGGTGCTGGGAACAGGAAGAACATAGGAACTTGTAACAGCGGGAGAAAAGATGTGACACTCTGGGCCGTCCGGATTCGAAGAAAGGGTCCCCTGCTGCATCAGCGCTGAAGCCGCAATCTTGACATTGAATCTGGCCCATGTCGCGTTGAAGATTGAAGACGCGCTGCGCTTCCATTTGCCAGTCGTCGTCTGTGTTTTGACGGCCGTTCAAGACTTCGTGACGAGACGGGTAGTATAGTCCAAGATTGCATACCATACGCATGGCTTCAATCCTTTGTAGGACGTTGAAAAAGGAATGCGATCGGGTTGAACTGTCGCGCAAATGCAATGCCTCATCAATATGGGCAATGGCCTGCGACCTGACATCCTCGTAGAGTTGCCGTTCAGCTGTCGTGAGTTCCACAGTAAACGTGTAGTCACGCTTTGTCGGAAGCTGGATTGTCTCCTTCGGACGGCGGAGTAGGAGACAGCTGGAGAGTCTCTTTAGTCGTTCGACTGCTTTGTCCATATTGCCAGATTTCCAGAAATTAGATATATCTGCATCAAAGGCTCTCTTCTCTGAGTATGGATAAATCCTTAGAAACTTTAACAGGGCAGAAAGGTCTGCGAGTTTGTTCTGGATGGGTGTTCCTGTAACTGCCCATCTCGAAACAGATTCGAGGGAGCATATTGCCTTTGACATTTGGGACTCGTTATTACGTATGAAGTGCGCTTCATCCTCCATCAGTAACTGTTCACAGTATTTCATGTACCTGAGATACGTACCTTCATCCAAGATAATTCTCTTCCACTTGGTTTTGAAAAGAATGGATTGGTTCCTCTCTTCGATGTTTCTCCATTCCGTCATGACAGTGTGGTATGTTGTCAAAACAATCAGGGTATCGCTGAGTTCTGACGAGTCCCGTAGTCGACCTTTACCGTGATATCGGCGCCAGGGCAGGTTGTTCGTGAATACATGTCTGCGAACGGATCAGGCCATGGTGAGTAGATTCCTTCACACTTATTACTTGTGTGACTTACTCTTTGAGTTGTCCTTCCCACGTACTGAGCACTGCATCTTCATTAGCTACGAAGAAATTATCTTCGCCTTCCATGGGGAGCTTACAAGGGGGAGGCACTATGACTAGTGTCTGACCTGAGGATTCCTCACGGTCAACTGCAGGGCGGGATGACGGATCGTTGTCGTGTGGATGGACATCGTACGCTATCAATGCGATCATGGAGAGGGACTTTCCCAGTCCCATAGGGTCTGCAACGATACCCCCATAGAATTGATCAGGTTCTTGCATCTGATAGCTACCCGAGATTGTGTTGCGGAAGCTTGGGAGAATTAGTCGGGGCATTGAATCAATATTCAAGTGGCGGCCAGCTAGACTTACTAAGTTCCTTTCTCACTGTCGCCAGCCTCCCAGATATCGACCCTACACCCATCCCATGCCCAACCATTTTCTCGCTGCAACATGAACGTCAGGGCTTGCTTTTGATGCCTGGTAGACGGTCAGCTGCATGTGTGGAATAGCCCATCATAGGTCACACCACCCACCGTCTTAAAATAGTCTTTATCGGCCCGGGTTGCGCTGTTTCAGCCAGATCCTGTTGCGAGCATAGGATGTCCAAAAACTCTGGTCGTGTTTCAAGATCATTTATTGCAACTGCATGTGCAAGCTGGCTCCCTAACTCGGATGTGAGTTTGATGGCGCTGGGGTCGACGGACAGCCTTTGGGGATTGCAATATCGCACGTTCCGCTTGCAATTCACTGGGTCTTGGAGATAGACATCGTACTCCTCAAAGAAGCTCCCAACGTCAACAAAGAGCTCCATTGGTCCGTAGATGATGATGTCGAGTGAACACTGTGTTGAAAACCCGGGTCGGCGGCGGAGCTGGCCCTTGGGCGCGGATGAATCTGACTTGTCTGTCATGGAGCAGTTGACTTCAAGCTCAAGGGCATCATCGCCCCGCAAAGCAATCGTAATGTAGGTTAACTCGGAGCTAAGCTTCCCTTTCAAGTCACTGTGCTCTATCCCAGTGAATTGTTCGTTGTCGGTGAATTTCACGGGATAACTGAAGAGAGTAGAGCAAAGTGAGAGCTGGCATAGCGCGGCCAAGCCGGTGACCTATGATGGTTTTAGTAAAGTACCAGTTGAGGAGAAGGTTGGGCGACTACCATCCCAAAGCAAACCAAATCTGTGTCAGCAATAGCAAAACTTGGTTCTGACTGCGCCTGTGTGTCTGGTATGCTCTCCGGTAGCTGTTGGAGACTCCAGTTGATGTTGTGTTGCTGGATGTAGTCTTGGCTCTGAGGATACAGGTTGTGAGATTGAACATCAAAGAACCCAGCATCTGGCATTGGAAGACTTTGTTGTTGCATAATTCCCACACCATACTGCTGAACGAAATGGTTGGGTGGGAAGTAGTAAGGCTGTGGAGGATACACTGGTTGCCAACCAGAACACGGAGCAGTCGAGCAGAAGCTGTTCACATCAGACCTTTCTTGCAACGACTCCAGGGATGCAAAGTCGTGGGTGACGACATTGAGCATTGGAGGTGCCGCAACACTTGTAAACGGGAGATGCTGAGGGTTCGGGTAGGATCTACCTTGCTCTGAGTCCTGGTTGCCGGTCCAGTATTCGCCATAGCATCTTTTGTGGGACGGGTTGTGTCCGCCCTGCATGAAGCCGTCCATGGTTTGATTTGAAGTTCCGAGTAGGGCCCATGAACACAAGGACCATGTGTTGAGCAGAGTCGTGAAGGTTGTCCCTCTGGAACAACATTAAGAAAAATCTTCTCGTGGAAGCTCATGTGGTCAGGCTGCAGCACAATCTTTAATGGGGCGCGAACCACAGCCTGATCTCATTTCGTGTAACAATAACAGTCTGCCACGTCACTTGTGACCAAGCCACCGCCATGTCTCAAGTGTAGGGGTTTGGAACCAATCAATTGCAGCCACGACCCCATCAAGAGGCCTCCTTGTTCCGCTCGAGTGCCTAATACTGCAGCACCAAAAACGCAGTCAGCCTGGGGCAGGGCTGTGAGCGCCTGTCTGCCATTTACGTGTTAGTCAAGAGTTATTTACCATGTCATCAACATTTCTCATTTTCCTACATCGTTCATCTCATCTGTACTTACTATTCTTTGCATGGATTAAATCCCGAGACTCCGCGACGAAATCAATATGCCACTGAAGGCCCGGGTCTCGTCAGACGCGCAACGCACCATCCGGGAAGCGTTCGAGGATCTGGAACAGGCTCTTTCGACAAGCGATAGCGTCACCCTCAAGGATACCGTCCTTGAAGATGTGCAAAAAGCTGCCTATCTAGTCGAGGAAGAACTAGCAGCGAAAAAGACTCTCCGGAATATGAAAAGACTTGAGCCATTTTTCACGGGATTGCAGCACTATTCAGAGACAATCAAGGACCTCTGCGATGGCACCCCATATTTGCCATGGATCTGGGCCCCGATAAAAATAATCCTCCAGGTATGAGTCAACGTTGTGAATAGCTTCCAAAAGTGGTGGAAGAGACGATTGCTAATATGACTGTGCGGGGGGGTAGATATCATCCGACAACATTGAAGCATTTGAAAAGATCATCAAGGCATATAGCCGAATAGCCCAGCATCTGCAGATCTTCAAAACCATCAGCAGTACATTCTCAGACAACAAAGAAGTTCAGCAGATTTTGGCCGTTTTCTACTCGGATATCTTAAAGTTTCACAAGGAGGCTTATGTCTTTGTTCGACGGAGCAGTAAGCCACACATAGCATGAAATCGCCCTGAAACTACTGGCAAAATGACTAACCAACGCCTTGCAGGCTGGGAGAGGTTCTTCCTCGCGTCTTGGGTTCGTTTTGAACGGCGATTCAACTGCATCCTCGATGATCTGAAGGCTCATGAAGATCTCATCGACAAGACAGCAAGAGTAGTCGACATGTCCAAGGCACAAGAATCCAGACAACTTCTACAAACTTGGCGGCAGGAAACTCTCAACAAATTAGCTAAAGAGGAAGATGAGTACACTGCGGCACAGTTTCTTGACATTATTGGCTGCCTAAAGGTGGATGAGTCGACTCAGCTCAAGATATTCGACGAAGTGGCCTCTAGATCGGAAGGGGACGCATGGACTTGTGACTGGATATTGGAGCAGTCCATCATTAAAGAGTGGATGGGATGCAACCAAAAGTCGACGTTTGTGATTCTGCACGGCCGTCCAGGGAGTGGTAAGACCGTCCTAGCTGCTCACATTGCGAAGTCACTACGAGGGCCAGATGAATCATCGGCGGACAAATCGATGATCGACAAACCGCTAGTTGTTTCTCACTTCTGCACATACTCGTACGAGGAGTCGATGGACTACGACAAGATCCTGAGGTCGCTTCTTTTACAGCTAATCAGATCCAATCCCGACTTGATATCTTATGTGCACGATCATCTGATACGCCAGAGGAAAAGTGCTAAATCCAAAGTCCTCGAGGAGCTGCTCCGCGACGTGGTGAAATCCAGTTCAGCGGCACCGTCGGCCACCAAGTACATCCATGTCATTTTGGATGGGCTGGACGAATGCGAAAAGGATACACAGCCAAGAGTCATCAAGGTGTTGGAGCAACTGGTGTCAGCTGCTTCTTTATCTGGGTCAACTGTGTGCAAAGTCTTGCTATCCGGCCGATTGTCTCCAGCTATCGCTAAGAGGTCAAGACACAATTTGACAGTCTCTCTTACTGATGAGACCAAGAGCGTGCAGAAAGCAATCGAGGGTTACGCGTTGAGGAGGCTGGATGCCTCGAAGACAGAGTTGCTACAGATGCAAGTCACCGAGGATGACATGAACGCCCTGGCACTCAAGATTGCTAAAAAGGCCAATGGTATGTACCGCAATACCAACTTTCGTGTTTTAATAAGAAACTCACATTTAGAAGGTATGTTCCTATGGGCCAGACTTGTCTTGGATTATGTCGCCACAAACATGTTCCAAAGCAGAGCCGAAGTACTCAAGGTTGTCGACTATCTACCAGTAGAGCTAAGACAATTGTGCGTAAAACACCCCATCCCGATGATTAAACCAACTAAATGAGATGATAGCTATGAGAAACTTTTGACTCAACTGATGTCCCGTTTTGACGAACGCTCGGTTGTCCGAATGAAGTCGATTTTTGGATGGATTGCATTTGCTAAACGACCACTTCGCAAAGCAGAGTTTCGATCTGCGTTGATGTTTAGTTCTGGGAATCCAGAGTCAAACGAGCTAGTTCCCCAGTACTGGTTTGACAAGTGCACTCCTTTGGTTGAAGAGCGGGCAGACTCTACGTTTGCATTCATCCACGTTTCAGTCAGAGAGTAGGTTATCTAAGCTTTTATCGTATTCCGTGATGACTACTGACGGCTCCAGTTATCTACAAAGTCCTGACAGCAACCTTATCCTTGATGAGAAAACTAGTATCCACGAGCATGGACTAGCAACTGCGACATGTTTAGTCTCAGGTCTGCAGATACTCAATCCCTCTTGCCCCGATCACACACGACTTCCGCGAGTGCTTCGAGGGATTCATGGCTTCCATACCTATGCTACAGAATACTGGATAGAGTACGTTCTGTCGAATTTCCCGCTTAACATGCGTATCCCGGCAAGCTTACAGTTCTTCCATCTCTCACGCCAACTCTCAGCCTCGTTCGCTCAATTGGCTAAACCTTCCCAAAATGAGGGAAAAGGCCGCAAGTTCGATTTGTTTGACAATCGGCTAAACGACATTCGACATCAAGACATCGGATTATATGATACAGCGAGGACAATACTTCTAGAACGCCAAGTGGGATATCTCACGGAATCACTGCCAGAGAAGGGTATATGCTCTCCAGATTCTCAAAGTACCTTTCGACGTTATACTCATCGAGAGACAGAAAATGATACGACTATGGTCGAGGTTACAAGCGTCAAATCTCTTTTGGAAAACTACCAACGGACTATACAGCAGTTGCTCATTTTACGCAGCTACCAGGGGTTTAGCTTCCAGGAACTGGAGAGATTCAGGCAGGACTTTCGAGCCACTGCATTCACCTGTCGTTTTTCATCTTGCCCAAAGACAACAAATGGGTTCAAGACTCACTGTCTTCGACTGGAACATGAGGCGAGCCATTCAGTAATAACGTGCCCTGTTCAAGGTTGCCAATATCCATCTTTCCCGTCCACTTCAGCTCTGAAGCGGCATCAACAAAGTTGCCATAGTGGCGACATGCCGGACTCGGGTCGTAAGGTGATAAGAACCGAAAACATTCCAGACCACCCAAAACTGGCGGAGAGGTCCATGAGCGAAGTCATGCATAAAACCACAGTCAATATGAGTCAAGAGCGCCTGGACCTGGAACTGGAACTGCAGCAACGGTATCTGGAAGAGAAACTGCAAATGCAACTACAACAGCAACAGAAACTGCAAATGCAACTACAACAGCAACAGCATCTGAAACAGCAACAGCAACAGCAACAGCAACAGATCCATAATCAGGCACGTGTTGTGTATCATGGCATGTTAAGCAGACTTGCCGCTGAGCACGGAGGGCTTAAACGAATTCCGCAAGAGCATATAAAAGAGGCCAAACAAACTGCGCTCGCACAAGCCTCGAAACTTTTCAAGAAGAACGTTCCTAAGCGTATGGCGGCGCATCTGCAGGCGATACGCGATAAAATGACACTGCAGAAAGAGATGGCACTGTGGCAGCACCGACCGCACCAGAGGATGACGCAGCAGCAAAGGAGAGAGCAGCGGGATCGGGAGATAGAGGAGCAGGAGCGGGAGATGCAGCAGGAGGAGCGGGAGATGCGGCAGCAGGAGCGGGAGATGGAGCGGCTGATATTGCAGGAGCAGGAGCAGGTGATAAAACAGATGCAGCAACAGGAAATGCAGCAAGGAATGCAGCCACAAATGTAGGCTATTAATGGGAAGATGGGCAATCAGGAGGATATGAGCGAGCTCGTTGAGTATAACTTGAGCGCATTGAAGAAAGCTGATTTTAATTTAAATAACCAGCTCTCTTAAAAGCTTTATTTATCAACTTTTAATTGAGCTCTTTGTCTTTTAAATAACTGATAAAATATCTAGAAAAAGAAGTTTAAAAAGGTTTATTTCAATATTATGATTTCAATAAGTTTACTAAATATAATTTAAGTAATCTAAGAGTTCATAAAATAAAAGACAGTAAGCTTTAATAGGAGCCTTGAGTTTTATAAGATTGCAGCTTGTTGTGATTTTGCGTTAGTTTTCGAGTTTGGTTAGAGTTATTTTGCACCCTTCTAACTTGACAGAGCCTGAATCTCGGTTAAGGAAGCTGAAAATACTCAGCGTTGTCATACTCATTCTGCAACCTTCATCAATACCTTGAGAGAGAAGCCAACGCTTCGCAAGGATATCCCACCACTAAAGCACCGGGTCGAGATATACCCAACCGTCTCCCACGCCCAACGACGTCTCAGCTGCTAGTCGTGTCCACCGCTTGGTCAACGGCGGGCGCCCTTGGGAAGACTTTACGCCCGAGGAGCTGCGGATTATCGTGACCTACTCGTCCCGCAACAGAGTCGGCGTGGCTGCATCCTTGTCCGCACTTGGCACGGCTGATCTTGACTCTGTTGCGGACAACCATCATGTTAAGATGGTCAAAGAACCGCGGCGGAATGGAGAGAGAGCCAAGCGAGGCAACGATATGCGTGAGGGATGCCACACGGTGGCTCTTAGGGAGTCTAAACCTATCAATCCATTATCCTCTTCCAAAACTCGACGGGATAAGTAGGTGATGACGTAGGTGGCCAAGGGAAATGACCCAGGGAACTGATAAGAACCTGGTCAACTTGGCTGTCAGACCGTTAGTGTTGAGAAGAAAACCTTTGCTAGAGAAGACATAATTTCGCCATTTTCCTATATGAAGGAGGGTATCTATAAGTATCCAATTCGCCAGACCCAGCAACGCCTCACATAACGCCAAACACCAACACACAAAGATGTGTCTACGAAACCACTAAGGCATTCTTCACCATCCACTCGCGAAAGGTGCCATTGATCCACACAGTCAGCCACCTGAGCACGGCCAGCAGCTTGTAACAAGACATGATGGACATGGTATTTCCAATTGGACCAATGCGCACAATCTCGACGCTGTTGGCATGATCGACGGCAAAAAATAAGTCCCACGCGGCTCCCTGAATGCTGATGAGCGGTAACGAAATGTCAAGCTCAGAAGCCTTGTCCGAGGTGGCGGCAAGTTCGCGCAGACGAGCGATATGCGACAATGCCCATACGGCAAGCTGCGCCCTGGCCGTCTCGGTCGAACCTGCGGGTGTCTTGGTTTCGATGCTGACCGCGATGGGGCGAAATCGCAGGGGCCGGTACTCTGCATGGCTGATGGAACTCTGGTTGCTCATCTTGAGCTGCATGATGACGCGGTCCTTGATCGCCTCGCCGTCAAGAGTGATGCAAAAGTCCACCATCTTGGCTTGAAGGTCGTTGCCCAAGCTGCGCAGTGGAGAGTACATCTCAGTAATGCGCGCCGTAGTCACATCCCAGTGCGAGACGGTACCTTGGAAAGGTGCCAAGGCGAGCTCGAGAAAAGGGTGATGGACTGTGGTGTTCCATGCTGGCTCTGATAAATCCTCGGCATCACACTCAGCAGTCTTGGCAACGATCTTCTCCAGCAATTCAAACTCCTTGGCCACATCCCAAGTGATTTTTCCGACTTGGCCGTCGGCATCGGGGAGCCAATGGTTGGCCCTGTATATATTTCTTTCATTGATACTTGGGTCGAGGAGGTCCCGGTGCTTCTCAGCAGCTTCAACCATAGATTGGGGGATGACTTTGATCCCATCCAATACGGCTAGGATGTGCATCAACAAGCCCGTGACGTCGTTGGGTACTCCTCCGCGTGTTTTGGGCGTGCTGAATTGGATCGACTTCTCGGCTAGCAGAAGGTCACCCATGTTCTTAACGGAGCTCCGCTGCCGCGTCCGTCTGCCAGCGCCAGAGTGGCCGGTGCTGGTCGTCGCGGTTGATCGGGCTGATTGTGTGGGCGCTGCTATCGTGCCATCTTCGCTTGGGTGGCCGAGGCTAGGCGTCGAAGCTGATAGAATATCGACCCTACGACGTTTCGAGGATGGCCCGGCGCGCAGCTTAGCATCAAGATCGGGCGGCTCTGTACTTTGCGTTGGCGAGGAGAGGTCGGCGTATATGTCAGGCGAGGAGATGCCGGCGAACATATCTTGGGAGGAGGAGGAGTGGGAGAGTTGGTGTTTGTGGTTCCTGGAAGGTGGGGAAGACAAAGCAACTCCGTCCATCCAGTCGTGAACCTGGCTGTAGTCCATGGCTAGCTACTCAATTATACTGCACTATGCTGGGGCGATTTAGACTGGGACCTGTTGCGTGGTTGGGTTGTCGTAGTGTATCTTCAACTCTCCTCCTACTTGCGATGGTGATGTCTACAGACCTGGAGCGAGTGGGGCGTTGCAGGGGCAACCTGCTTAGTGATGAGGTCCAGCCTCAGCCTACCTACCCTATAGCCAACTAGACACTCATCTTGAACACCTAGAGCTGAATTGCCGGGGTACCGCGTCGTGGAAAACTGTACATCAAGTATAAAAAATAAATAAAAAGCTCAGTCCCGTGGTTTAAACCTATTTACACGTTTCGCACTTTGTCCACGGACCCGTAGAGTGATTTCGGTGGCGTTCATGAGACGGTGATCTCCTTGTACACTGTCGAATATCATTTTCTCAAAGGCCGGGAACGTATTGGTCGCCTGTCTTCTCGTGAAAGTGAGACGTCACGTCAGAATATTATGGCAGTTTGTTCATTGGTTCACTCGACACCCCTATAGTAAAACCAGAATTATTCTCTCACGCTAACGATTATCTATGACGGCAAAGGCAAATTTATCTTTGCGACTAACCAGCTTCAGATGGTCTGGATGACAAGCTCTACCGTCATCGAGAATAACATCCGTCGAAAAATTGATAAAAGGATCGAAAAGAGTTGCAAAAACCACCTTTCTCTGTAAAGGTGCCCGGATGCCCCAAATCATACTAACCTCCCATGTGTATGAGCCCACTCAAAGACATTTGCTTTGATCAATTGGTTGCGCGAGAGAGCATAGGAGAGCCTACTCGCTACGCCTGAGGCTGTGGTGCTCTCAAGGAATATACAGATAATAGTACAATGAGGGGACTATTCTTATATCGGCTAGTCAGTCACTAGGCACCACTTTCTGGCGACGTGATATTGATTGTGACGGAGACTATTTGCGTTGGGGCTAGTAAGGCTGGTTAAATCCGAGGCATGTTCTTAATAGCCAGTTTATTTCAGGAGCGCCGTCGGCTGTTGGACTGATGCCGAGTCAGAACTGATTTGGATGCAGGTGAGTTAATACACAGTGCCCCTTAACTACGTAGCTAATTGGGGCGAATTTGGATGTATGATGAGCACAACGGCATAATTCCTGCTGCCCAGCCCATGTGATAGCGGTTGCAGGTCCTCTGATTTGTTGATCGCGGGCCCATCTTGATGCACGCAGCCCTGAAATACTGACGATTGATGCTTAAGACTTCCCACTTGTCGATGGCTTTTAGTATGAACATCAGACGCTGCATCTTCGTGTGAGCTAGGCGGTAACAACACCCTCAGTTTGGCCGTCTCGAATATCATCACCACCCGTGATCTCCTCCTCCGGATCGCCGGTACCCTCCTTCTTGACGATCTTGAAGATCACGGGGCCGTGCACGCCATCCTCCACCTCGAGCTTTACGTCTGCCCAGTCGGGGTATGCCTGTCCACTTGTTAGCTGCTAAAGCGAAGGAGGCGAGAAATGCGGAAGGCATGTAAGGAAGAACGCAACCGTGGGCTTGAGTAGTTTCCACTGGAACTTTGTTCCATGGTGCATCAACTGACCTTTGCAAAAGCCAAAAGAATCAACTTCTTAACTACTTGCGACGTGCTTACGCAACCGATGATCAAAGGGATCAGCTGTCCCGTCGTATCGATGTTGTTGACGTTGCGTATATTATTCCAGCGGATTGTGAGCTCGATGCTGGTGATGAACCATGCAATGCTCAGGACAACGCAGCCATTCCACAGGGAACAGAAGATTCGGTGATTAGGCCTGTTTTTGCACTGACAGTTGGGGATGTCATCTTCAGGAATGCGGGTGCAGTGACGGCACCTGGCGTCCTTCCAACCCAGCATTAGCCCTCCATGCAAGGGCTGTCCACCCCCCGCATCTCTCACCTTCACTTCCCCTGTCCCCAGAGAAACACAGACCTTGATGATGTCGGAAAACCGGACGGCCTTGCTCTTGGGTGTGGTGAAGAACTCGAGTACGTCCATGAATGCATCAAACGGGCCAAAGAATAGGGGCACCGGCGAGTAGCGCTGAAGCGTGTCCCGGAAAGGGATCCCGTGCTCCTATATCAGCGTGTTAATCCGGGTCAGCGGAGTCAGCGCCTCCCGGAGGGACTCGATGACCTGCGGCGAGCCCAAGTAAATTAGGTCACGGTACAGGAATAGGCATGCATAGAGGAAGAGCCGAGTCGTTAATAGAAGAAGGATCAGGGCTGCTGGAAAGACAAAGACAGCGATGATAACGGCGGCTGCATGACAGACGACAACGACGGAACCCTGAAGCTGCTGTTTGGAGAATAGGAAAATGTAGGGCCGTTCGCAGCCCGGTCTAGCTGGTTGCTGCGCACCGTTGCCCGAGTCGAACCAAAAGGCCAGGTTGTATGCGGCGATCATGCTGGCCGTGGCTGTCCTCCAAACCACCCCCGACCAGGAGAGACCAGGAGGCTTCAAGGGCGATAAGAGTTTGAGAGGCGATTCCATGCGGAGATGCCATATCAGGTACAGACCTTTCAAGTCCAGGGGCAAGCACTCGGCCGAGAATAAATCGCTTGCCGATAGCTTGGGCACCGGTGGTTTGCACGTCCATAGCTTGCGTGCCCATTCCGCTAACCTGTCCTTCAATGGCTTCTCACGTCGCCAAGGCCGTTGTATCGTCTCCGTTGCCCGTCGGATGCGTTCAAGTAAAGCTTTAAGTTTTGCTTTTGTGGGTATCCATGGGTAGTCCTGGCTACTAATCAGCGTCTCACATTTTATGCAGAAATTGAGGTATCGAACTCGCAAAGAAAAACTTACAGGTTCGAGTGCTTTTGTCATTGTCACCAACTTTGAAAGCCGGTCGGGGCTCATGAGCCACAGTCGTACGCCTAACGTGCTGAGAGTCGTGACGAAGAAGCCGAGCATGAACTGCAGCATCAGATACATCTCGATGGCGTCTGCCCCTTGTCGCGCTGCGATGATGGTCGCGATGACGATGGCGAAGACAAAGGTCGAGTTTGCATCGAAGGTGGCCTGCGCCGATTCCGGGTCGAGGAGGAGGGTGATCCGTGCCGACATCCACTGGAGGTAGACGCCGATCCGGATGCCGAGGCCGTAGAAATCGGAATTGCCGATGAACTCTGGGCAGGCGTCCATGGCTTTTCTCTCTCTATCTTCCTTGAATAACGTGCTTATATCGAACGTGCCGCTAGTTCGGGGGGGGGGGCAGTGCCCTTATAGACGCTGCCTTGCAGGGTGAAATTGCACATTTGGATACCCGAGAATATTCAGCGCTGTTTGAGGCAACATTCACTCACCTCGCCCATTTCAGCTTAAGACGCGATAAAGACCCAGCCACAGTACTTGTGTAGGTCCTCCTTGTGGACCAACCTCCACCAACGAGAACCGGGCAGATTTTTTGGCCCCCGAAGCACATGCATACGAAACCGGCCAAGGCGCCTATTGCTTATGAGCGCGTAATGGCGCCTCTTCGATGACCAATGACCAAGCGAGGAGGTTGGAATACGAGCAAAAGTGCGAAAGAGGCGCCTTCAGCCCTTCGCTATCATCCCCAGCTGAAAACTAAACTAGGCGGGGAACAATGCGAGGATTGTCACAGCCTGAAATTGCCCGACTGGCAGGAAGATAAGTAATCGTTTCAGCTAGTGGGTTTAAATAAGTAAGGAAAAAATAAGATATGTAGGAGCTAATATGAACAAGCTAGTGTGTCAGTGAGTCGAATTTCTCTCGTTGTGTTGCTCAATACCCACTCCCTGACGTCCTTCCGTCGTACAGTCTGATTGTTCTTGGCATTGTGCATCAGTTTTGTATATCATCCTTGCAAGTTAGGCTCGAATTGCAACAGAATAGTCAAGGGCAGGGGGGAATGAAAAGCTGTCGTTCATAATTTGTAGAACATTATCAGACATCAATACTATCATTTTTGGGCTGCACTGTATCGCTCCCTATCACCCTAATTTACTTGACAGTATCAAATCCAGCACTAGACCAACGCGGATCATCTAGTCAGCTCTACAACGATTCGATATTGGGTCTGCGAGGCAAGCACATTTAGCTAACTCCTCCCTTATCTCCATCGTGCCGCCCGAGCCTCTTCAATCCTACTCATGAAAGACGACTCTTGCTTCACGGCCAGCTTCATCACCGTTTCCATGGCGTCCTTTTGTTCTTTCATCATCCCCAGCCACTTCTCATCCGCATCCTTCATTTCCTCTCTTACTTCTTCCAGTAACTTCTGTCTCGAAAGAGCCTCTCCCATCAGAAGATTGGCCCTTTCCGCCAGCTTTACCAACTCTGTCTGCCGAACAAGAGCGATTTGGTGTTCTTGGGCCAAGAGTCGTCCTTGGTGTTTTGCGAGTTCCTCTGCCCTTCTCATACTCTCCCGCATGTCCCATTCAGCCTGAAGTCCCTCTTGTACCCTGGCGGCCACTTCTGGAGAAAATCCACAGGCGCTAGGAGGCTGTCCCCCGACCCTCGCAAAATACCTATCAGTGAAACCGGCAGCTTCTAGACGATCAACAACTGCCCGCCGTGTGCCCTCTTGCAGGATTGGGCACAATAGCTTGGCGTACATGGTTGGTGAGTAACACAACTCCGAGTCATTGATGTACATGTACTCATCCTGCTTTTGTGGCCGTCTCCAGATCTCACCGACTTCGATAAGCTGATTCACCGCTGCCAGGGGGTCGTGTCTATTCTCAATGGCAAAGTGTAGAATCGACTTGCCTCCCTGCTTCCAAATCAGGTCGCTAACAGGAAGCAGCCTCTGAAGGGTTGTTGTGAATCGTGAAGGCGTCTCAGAGGTCGCCTTGCCTGCCCGACACAAGACAGAAATGGGAGTTGATCCGTCTGACGGAGAGGGATACATAGGTTCGTGGCCTGCATCTAAAAGAAGCGAAACAACTTCGGGGAGGCATTTTTCAGCCGCTAAATGCAGACTGCAGTCATTTTTCGGTATATTGCACCGCAACAAAGCGGAAACGATAGCCAAGGCCTGTCTTTTGACAGCATTGAAGAGGGGCGTGTGTCCATCGACATCTCTCGCCGCCGGATCTGCGCCCGCGGAGAGAAGAAGATCAACCAAGTCGATTTTCCCGTTCTCAATGGCACGGAAAAGGGCGTTCGTCTTGCTCTTGCAGCTTACACCTCTCTCGAGGAGGCTCTTATGTAATCCCATGCGATGGTCATCTGCTAGTTCGGCAGTTACCGCGACGTCGAAAGCGGCCTCCACAGACTCAGGACCAAGTGGACCAGCCAGTAACAATTTTGTCATGGCCTCCGATTTTGCTAGGATTGCTAGGCGTAGTGCCAAAGCGCTCTCATAGTTTACGGACGCTCCGTGCTCTAGAAGAAGACGCGGTATGTCCGTTGACCAGACATCCCTTTTCACAGACTCAAACAGCGCATGCCCCAGATTAGTGGCTGATACCACATCTCTTCTTACCAACAGCAGGCGGTATAGTTCAAGCCTCGTCTTTTTATCCAGGGATGCACTCCGAGCCGCTACAAAAGCTTCGTTGACGTCTGGGGAACTTGTGGCGTACTGGAGGGCCAATCCAAGTGAGTCTACCAGACCAGCCTCGATGACAGGCTTGAGAGCTTTGCCAGCTGATGCACCCCGGTCGAGTAGAAGCTTGGAAGTCGACTGTGAGATTGTACCTCTTAGAAGACACGGAAGCAAAGCATCATCAAGCCCGTCCACCTCGACCCCGGCAGGCAAGAGCAACTGGAATATGGAAAATCTGGTTTCCTCGTTGCAGTCCATTGTAGCGGCTCTGGTTATTGGCTTGTGAAGAGACTTGATTAATGGCTTCTTGGCTAAGAGCATTCTGAGGAGAGTGAGGTTCTTTGATGACACGGCGGCGCTGATCGCTGCCCCATTCCTGTAGTCTACTGAGGATTCATTCTCCAGCAGCACTTTGGTCAGTTCTAGGGCGCTGGTCGGCGTTTGCGATGAAATAGATATGAGCGCATCGTGCTGGCCGATATCCGCGCCTCGGCCGAAACTCAGAATAGTAGAGGCACCCAGTTCTGGTGTTGTGCAACGAGGGTCCGTTAACGTAAGCTCAAGAGCCTTCCTTAGCAGCTTTCGATCCTCATCGTCTGAGATCGTCAAGGAAGAGAGCAGCGTTAGTAGCATAGGAGTGTCGCCCTCGATGATAGCCTTGGATACGAGGTTCCATCCCGACAACGCGACCCGCGCACCGCTGTCAAGGAGCATGCGAACCAGCTTGGTGCGTTGACTGTGATCTTCCAGCTGGGGTATTTTCAAGAAGTTGGCCAGCGGGAAGCCGTCTCTTCTTCGGCAGGTTTCTAGGATAACAGCTAGCAGATTGCAGTCACATGGATCTTGTGATAGAGCATGGATAGCTTGTGAGTAGAGAGTTTTGGGTGACAAATCAGCACTACCACAAAGAAGCTTTAAGGAAGCTAAATTGCTGAACTCGAAACAAGTTTCAAAAGCCTTGCCGAAATCGGCGTCGGGGATCTTGGATGGGTGTTGCAGAGCAGCCTTTGTGACGTCGAAATATACAGCAGCGATAGAGGCGACAAGAATTTCCCCCAAGGCGAGATCCTTATGGCCGCCTGCCAAGACGGCCAGGAGAATCGCGAGAACTTTGCTTTCAGGGACTGCCACAGTCATGGAGACTCTACTCTCTTCTTTGCGCACCCTGACCTTCATCATCTTAGGTATCAGCGCCAGGGCCGAGTTGAGAACAATCTTGGAGGAGCAAGCCAGGACCAGCCCTTTGACAAGACTGGTGTCTTGGCGCTGAACCGCGAGGCAAAGACAGTTTTGGTCGTCCTCAATATACTCAGACGATGCTCCATGCTTCAACAAAAGTTGGATCAGGCGGCCATCTTGAGCAACCCCCTCGAACATGACCGCCTTTAACAGAGACTGATCCAACTCAGGACCGGTTGCACTCCTCGGAAGAAGTCTCCGCATGGCTTGATATCGATCTTCGGGATGGTTCATAGCCATGGCCTTCGGAAGTAGTCTGCGGGTGAGGTCGGCAGGACACTCTGTGGCTAGAAGACTATCCAACATGCCAAAATCTTTGTGTTGCAGAGCAATGGCGAGCGCCCTTCCATTCCGGTGGTCTACCCGCGCTCCGCAACCAACGAGGACGCTACTCAACCTTTGTAGGCGGCTCTGCGCAGCAAGAATCAGGCGTTCAGAGAGAAAGGTAGGTTCAGCACCCATCTTTGCAAGAGCGAGAACCGTTTCGATTTGAAGCTCCTCTGGAGTATCGGCCGGGATTTTGCCCAAGGCTCGGGATGCTGCCTCGCTTGTTGCTCGGATTTGAGGGAGAATCTGATGCAGGTTGTGTTCGACAGCCCACTCGAGAGCCCGAAAATCCCCCTTGTCCTGTCGCGTCCCATGCCGTAGTAGTACGAGGCTGTCCTCAAAGCGTTCCTCCTTGAGGGAATCAAGAAGCTCGGTGCGTAGCCGAGGGCTGTCGGCGTCCATTCCAGCAATAACAAGCAGGTTCAGGATTGGCGTCCTGCTGCTGGGCGTCTGGATTGAAAATACGGCATCCTTGATGCTTGGGAGGGCATTTGCCCCAAAGAGCTGACTTGTAGATTCAAGCAGGACAGAGGCTTCCAGCAGGACCAAAGAGACCACTAGAGGATTTGTGGTATTGACAGCAGATAATAGAATACTTTGAAGGGCGTCGTCTGTCCATGGAATGTTGCTGAGCATAAATGAGATGATTTTCTCTTGTGCAGGGTCCGCTTTCAGGAGGGCCAGCGAGCGCAGCAGGGCGAGGCGGAAATGAGAAGAGAGAATATGGCTCTCTGCATGAACCCAGAGCTGGATTAGAGGTAGGTCTTTCCGATCGACGGCCTCCATGAGGAACCCCTCGCACTTGTCCAAGCTGGCTCCATGGCGCAGAAGCTCTCTTGTGACATCCACTCCGTGTTCCAGCGCTGGTTGCACGAAGCTGTCGAGCGTGTCGGTAAAAGAGCCATCTGCACACAGGAGGCTCACAAGTTCGCTCGAGCCTGACTTGACTGCAAACAAGACCCAGGAACAAGCCATTGGCCCCTGTCTTGACTCGGTAGATTGTCGTGTCGACTTCCAAAACTGGGCAATGGCCCAAAGTTGTTGAACAGATACTGAATGACTGGATCTAGCTAGATGTATCAAGTATTGGGCGATTCCAATACCGCCATCATTTCCCTCAGCGAACCGGGAGTCGAGGGCTCTGGCAATTTCTTCGGGGGTGAAGGCCCAGGTGTCAGGGTTGGCCAGGGACGATGTCTTCTCCTTGGATCGAAACACGCGCCTCCTCTGCTCTCGAGGGTCCTTGTATAACGGACTATTGGTTCTCTGAATCACTAAAATGGACCTTGCGCTGGCGATTTCCTGGGGTGTCGGCGGAGGAATGGGGGGTGGAGGTTCAAGCTCTGGTGCTGCTCGTGAGGCTGGCAACGCCGCCCCATAACGTTGAGCGAGCTTATAAAGCTCCTGGTATCCGGGGCCTCTATTTGCCTGTGGTTTCTGGGCATGATATTCTAGCCGTTTGAGCGGCTTTGGACTCACCTTCAGAAAACGGGGCCCGAAACTAGAGATCAGAGCCTTTCTTTTCTTTACCAGCTCATCGACAGTGCAACCCTCCGGCGATGGGGGCAGTGGCAGATAACTTAACAAGCTGACGGCTGTCGGTCTTTCAATTTCTGAGGACAAAGAGGGGTTGCTCGAGTTTCACTTCCACCTTCGCGCCCAATCCAAGCCTGCGCGTATTTGTCGCTTTGCACTTTCATGCTCCTTGTTGCAACCTTGCGTCAGCTGAGCCGCCACAGAGAGGAATAACAAGGGGGGCCAGGCGTGGAGTGTCCTCTCACTGGCTGCGCAAGATCTTCATTTGCACTTTGACGCGTGTATCCGCGACATGGCGTCCAGCTGAGCAACCATCAGGACTGCCAACTCAGCGTATTCGGGCTTGGCGGCGATAAGCCATTAAGCATCGAATGCGCCAGTCTCGGCGCCAAAAGGTTGGGCTGAAGCCGGTACATATTCTCGCGCCCCAACTCGGAACATGGTTCCTCGAGAGCCTGACCTGCATCGATTTTCTCAACCACGCAAGCAACGCATTGATTCCTGATCAGCCAATTATCTTAACTGCCAGAACTCGGTAATGAATCCCCGTACACCTCAATCAGGATTTGCCGCTGCGCGTCTTGACGAGATCCAGCGAAGTCGAGCGGCCGCCTTCTATCCAAACACCATGCGAATTCAGAATCCTGCCACGCCTTCACTCCAAGAGGTGGGTATTGGGGCAGGCAACAAACAGTCAGCCGGCGGTCGTATTATGATTGCTGTATGCGGCATGACCGGCACAGGAAAGTCGACCTTCATCCAGCGGCTGAGTGGTAAGAAAGTCAAGGTTGGCCATGGTCTCTATTCAGGTGAGTGGTTCATGGCCCTTTCAACGCGATTAGAGGGGTAACTGAGCCCTTCGGCCATTTTCCAACAGAAACATACGACCCAGAGGAGGTGCACTGCACCATAGATGCTCATGCCGTGACACTTGTCGATACGCCGGGCTTCGATGACACCACCCGAACCGACGCCGAAGTGCTGCAATCATTGGCAGACTGGATGGAAAAAACCTTCGTTGCTGGGACGCTGCTGTCTGGCATCATTTATCTGCACAGGATAACCGACGTCCGCATGACACATGCCTCACTTCGAAACCTAACATTATTTCGAAAGCTCTGTGGCGAGGAGAACCTGTCGAATGTGATGCTTGTTACGAGCTGGTGGGAGGTTTGCGAACCAGAGATTGCCATTGCCCGAGAGGCAGAGTTGAAGTCCCAAGGAACTTTTTGGGGCACTATGATCTCTCAGGGCGCTACCACGGACAGGTTAGCATGCAGCCGTGTATCCTAGGTCCATTCATGCTAACAGCTGACAGGTACAATAATCAGTCGGAGGTGGCAGAGGCTATTGTCCGCAGGCTGCTACCGAACAACCCTGTTGCCCTGAAGATACAAGAGCAACTCGTCCTCGAGCAAAAACCTCTCGCGGAGACCGACGCCGGCACCTTCGTGCATGAGGAGATGATCAAGCTAGAGAAGAGGCACCAGGAAAACTTGCAAGCAGTCAAAGAAGAGATGGAGCGCGCGAGCAAAGAGAGTGAGTATCCCCAGGCAACATCACACTGGTGCGTGCTAATGCACCTGTTAGGCAACGAGGCTTTGAAACAGGACCTGGAGCAAGCCCACGCTCGTGCCCTCGCCGACATCCAGAAGGTGCAAGAAGCCAAGGTCCAGCTACTGGAGAACAAGGTCCGACGGGTGCAGCTCGAAAACAAGCAAGACCTCGAGGCGCAAAGGGCGGAGCACAATCGCAAGTTGGAGAGATCCCAGCAGGAGAACCGCGAGAGGATGAATAGCATGCAAAGAGATCACGCGAGTCGGATCTCCGATGTCAAGTCTGAGGGCGCTCAGGCAATTGCCAAGATAGAGAAGTCTCACAGCACCGAGATGAAAGATCTCGAATCGCGGAACCGCAGCGAAATCAGCGCCGTCCGGTCTGAGCACTCGGCGAGGATGGAGTCGGCGACCCGGGAGGCCAACAGAGCCCTGCAGGAGCTCCAAAACAAGCAAGACGGCGAGCGAGACAGACAGAACGACGAGATACGGAAACTGCGGAGCAAGGTTGACGACCTTGAAACCGAAAAGAGCGCTGTGGCAACAACCAGCAGCAGCTCTGAAGACTCAGTTTCAACCGATGCGCTTATTCTTGCCGTCCAGATGGGGGCGTTGTATGGAGCGGCCAGAAGCCGGCTTCCGGCCTGCTCCTTATGCCAGCAGAGCCTCACCAGCCTGGGATACGGTAATTTGTGGCAGTGTCCTCGTTGCTGTAGATATTTTTCATCCAGATAGTGTTCTTGGCACTCCAATTATTCAGTACTTATATCTCCCTCTCTGCAAAGCCTCCAAGAACCAAACTGCCATTTTATTTCAGCTCCAGCTTCAGCTATAGCTTTTTACTTTCCATCTTACCTACAACTGAAGCAAGATACTACAGCCAATAGTTCGCCATCCGGTCCCATCACTGCCCTGCTGCAATTCCCCTCTCGACCCGCTGAGTGACTTGGGGAGCTGGACAAGCGCCTTCTTAGCTTTCCTCGCCTACATTTGTTAGTCTGTCACAAGTGTCACTGAACGCCCGATAAGCCTGTATCTCTACGGCCACATGGTCAGCTACCCGGCATTAGGCCCCTGTTAAGCATGTGCTCTGCCTACAAGAGTCCACTGTGGCTGCAGCCGGTCAAGCGAAAGCGGATCAACGGGGGATTGAGGCACAGCCCGGGCCGATTGATGCGGAGTTTCTCATTCTGGCCACTCCGTCCAGCCACCTCTCTGGCTATTCAGAGCCCTCTGCCTTAACTATAGAGACTTAGAAGACTGCGTTGTTTATCCCTAACAAATGGTGGGGCCGGGTTTATATTATTCCTCGGCCGTACTTCGCGCCGCTGCAGTTGCGCCCCATCGCCCTGAGCATCGAGACTAAGAAGCCGAGCAAGGACATCGACAGTGCGAACCTGCAGATGGGATCCTGGCATGCAGCGCAGTGGAACTTTCTCGCAACGGCTGTGCGGCTGTCGAGTCAAGATGGGCGAGTATCCAAGTCGCCGCTGGAGCAGATAGAACTTGTCAAGCGGGCTGAGGCGCGGCTCGATCAACTGCCGTTCCTTCCTGGTGTGGTGGTGCAGGGGCATAAGTGGTCTCTAGTCCTTTCGACGCGTGAGGGCCAGAAGACGATACTGTGGACGGAGCGGGAGTTTGGGACCACGCAGAGTATCCAGGATATATTCAAGATTGTTGCCGGGTGAGGGAGCTCGCGGCTTGGTGTAGAAGGGTATACTTGCCCTGGTGGGAGGAGAGTGTTTTAAGAGAGTTATACCCACTGATGATGCAACGAAATAAAAGTTAGTTTAAATAATGAATGTCACGTTTCACCTCCCAATTCTTATCATCCACGAATGCTCGTCGAGCTGTCTTGACCGCTGTTTCCAGGATTCGTAGGCATAAAGTCAGATGATGTGGCTGGCCCCATTGAGGTGATTTCCAGCTCCAGAGACCAGAGCAACTTTTCTAGTAAAATTCCGTTGACCGCCATCGAGTATCTCTACCTTGGGGAGATGGTCGATTAATTCTAGAGTCTGATCGAATACATATGTGCTTTCAAGAATCTGCAAGATATTCAAATACCGGATATAGCCTGACTCAACCTCAAGTAGAGTAATAATTCCCTGCTAGGCAAGAGTAACGCTGGACGAAATGTTTGACAAAGGGGCACAAGGGCTAGTCCCTCGACAGACCCAGCCAGCGGGGAATGTACAGATGCCAACCATAGTCTGTCAAATCCGGATCCGTAGGCATTAAAAGAGAGGGAGACATTCTCACCTAACACAATACCCGACACTGCTGGCAGTCAATTTCCCAGGACCGGTCAATTTTGAGCAAAACAAGCTCTTTACGTTGCCTGTTTAAACTTCTTGTCCCCCTAATCTATTCTAGCAACTTGTTAAAATACTATTGCCTCCACACCTGGCACTGGATGTGTCAGAACGGCGTAGTGAGGGTGGGTAAAAGGTTGTGCTATAACAACTAACTTATGGTGGGTGGGAGCAGATCACAGACAGGGAATCTACATAGTGTGCATTCTCTATCACTTTGCCCTCAAACGGTGTCGATAATATCTCTCTTTCTGAATAAGTGGGACTATAGTTAATTAGATATGTATTTATTGGAACAACGTCCATAACTCAGAGTTAAAGATGATTATGTTATTGTATCTAGGGTAGCAAGCCACAATACGCCACGCTCCGGCAGCTACTTAGTGAAGGTATTACTTTCAAGGAGAGTTATAATATGATGACTCGTTATTTATAGTTCACGTAAGATAATACTAAATTTAATTAAAACAATAATAGTTCATCAAGTATCCCTCTTAAGTGCTTAGTCATCCCGGCCGGACCGGATCCCTCCCCGTGCCGTGTGGGTCACATGGCTGTCATGATAACTGACAAACAAAGAACAACAATAAGTCGTAGATTCTCAATAGTTCAGCCACACAACATGCAGGCTCCCGCCAATTTCATACGCTGGAGCTGCATCCTCCTTCTCGAAGGCCAGTCGTCTCTTGCCTCTGTTTCCGCTCTCCATCCTCAGCAATTCTGTCCCATACCATCTCTCTCTTGGTGAAGCCATCATGACACCTCCCCGCCGTAGCCAGCGCCTTCGCACGGCGACGCCAACGCAATGGCCCTCGTCCAGAGCCGCTGGACTTGCTCTTAGACCTCCCGCAAGAAGAAACGCCTCCGCAATCGGTCACTCTCCTGCAAGAGACGCATGGACAGTCTTGGCCATGGTCACGGTCACCGTTGTGGCCATTATGATCGTCTTCGAAATTAGCCACCTTGTCGTTGTCTTCTTTTTCATGGCTCCTCCCAATACGGCTCCCAATACGGCTCCCAATACCACGGCAAATGCTTCCCGCCTCCTCGACCGCCTTGCGCCCGTCAACTGGTCAACCGAGGCCCTTCAGATTCAACTTGGACTTTCCAACCTTGCACGCATCTCTTGGTTTGGAGATACCACAACCGAGCCCTTCATGTGGCACGGCCAGCCTGGCATGCGCCTACCCGACGGCACCGACTTTGACGATTTCGACCGAGGAGGCTTCAGTGACGGCTACAACAGCAGCGACTGGGACTCGGCCTCCCTGCGCAATGACAGCCTCTTGATGCGCTATCGCCCGTGGGAGACGACAAGCACGGGGACCTATGTGCCGGAGCTAGTTTTCGCATATGAACTCCATCACATCATCTTTTCGACTTGCCACGACCTGGGGGAAATTGCAGATCATGGGCCGCCGAGCTTCTACTTCACCAATGGCTCAAGCAGCCAGTTTCGTTGGGCCACGTCGGCGGGATCCTTCCTGCCGCCCCATGATGCGCTGCTGACCTTCTCGACGACGCATTACGAATGGATGCTTGATGATGTAGCCTCTACGGTGCACGGCATGCCTCCGGAATCAGGCACCCGAGGCCATCCGACACCAACTCAGCGCCCGGAATACACCGAGTTCATCTCCAACCTCGACCCGCCTCTCTACCACCTCTGTCGCGACATCTACAAAAGCACCTCCCGGCTCACTATGTTCCATTGGTTCGCATTCGGATTAGGGGCCAGTCCGCTGGAACATACCCAGGGCGAGGCTGCGAAGTACCTATTCTTCCTGCAAAATCTCTTTGAAGAGCAGCGTCATGTGAACAAGACTACGTCGTGGGGTACTGATTCTGAGCGAATAGCGGCTTTGTATGGGCCGTTCGAGGTCACGGCCAAGGAAACAGCAACGCCGATATCGTCATCATCATCATCATCATCATCATCATCGACCACGCCGCCCCGATACGAAGACAATGCAGATATCCCGGCTGAGTTTATCGAAGCCTGGCGATCCGCGATGCAGGCACGACATATCAGTACTGAGCAGGCTTCTTCTGCCTCTCCTGCCTCTTCTGCCTTGGCTCCATCATCATCCTCATCTGCATCGTTTGCTCCCCGCCCACCCTCCATCATGCCCATCCACCACTACGCCACACTCCAACGGTCTAATAAGACCGCCCATACTATTGCCGGTGCCCTCATTAGAAAACTCAGCATCGAGCTCAATGTGACCATCTACGATGAGGCCGCCCGCTCCAAACGCCGCGAGCCATGGTAGCCCCTCTTTGGCCAATTCAACTTGTATGCAGCCAATTTGACGACAATCAAGGTGCTTCTCGAGCGAGTTCTGGAACGAATCGACCAGGCCGGGGTCCTGGATGCCGACGTTGTAGCTACCGACCCGGCCGTGGACCCGCTGCATCACGATCGCGTCCTGGGCGCCATTCGACGGGTGGCCATGGTTCGACCATTTCTCGCCGAGGTTGCCCTTCGACGTATCACCGATATGCTAGGCCGGGCTGCCCGGGTCACTTCCTTGCTAGATCATTTCGATCAGATGCAGAAAGACGCCAAGAATCGTATTGTTGCTACACTTGAACAGGGCATGGTCACCTACGACGAGAAAAGAGACGAGTTCACTGGCTTGTATATTCCTGATATGCAAGACCTTGAGTGGAAGTGGGCTTATAACTGGATCACGATGGAACTACATGACTTGAAAAGTATGTTTGATGCCCGAGAAGCCGAGTTCCGGAGCCGCCAGCCCAGCCGTAACGCAGTCCGTGATCATACTATTTGGTCAAGCTGGGGCTTGGCTGATCGTCGAAAGGATCCTGAAGGTAGTGAGCGTATACTATGGCCAGAGCACATTCCAGATTATAATACGGCAGAATTGCCTTGGTGGGCCTCGTGGTTCTAGTTTTGGTAGTAAGGAAACTGAGGATATTTATACAAGTGTTGCTATCGGGACAGTAAATAATTGTTATTGGATAGTAAAGGTCATATGTAAGTATCACAAGCTGAGTTTGAGATATAGGGTGCACATCGCCCGGTCTCATATGATGTAAGTCGCTTGTGCTGAGGGATTCAGGGGCATTCATCCGTATCTTCGTCTTCATCTTAGCCTAACTTACTTTTCAGAAACATAGCCTCGCAGGAAGCAGCTCTAACGTTATCTATAGGAAATAGTGACGAAAACTTCCAAGTTAATAAGCGATTAGAGGCTGCGTAAGGGCAAAAAACATACAAAGGCCAACTTTGGTGCAGATCCTGTGATAATATTATGTCTTTGTTGAAGCCTCAGGTACAATCTCGATTTCCCTGCTCAGGTGCTGATGACACGCGGGACGGAAAGGTTCTCAGTCTGTATCACTATGTACCAACCCAAAGATAAACGTCATATACGTTCTGTTTCTGCCCGGTTCTGTGAGAACTCGCTAATGAGCCTAAGATGGAGACTGAAGTCTCGCTGTGTTCGAAGCAATGCCCGCGGCATGCCACAAATGAGACAGCAAGCAACGGACTTGATTTTGCCACAGCTTCAACCTCTAGCGAGCTTCTTCTAATTATACTATATGGAAGAGGCACTGCCTGAGGCCTTGCGGCAGTCAAAGCAGTAGCAGAGGGCCTGCGTGTCTTTAGCATTGTTCCACCGGTCCGTGGTCCTGAAGTCAGCTGGAGCGAGTCTACTTGGAGCCGCCATTAGCTGACCCTTGATGGCGATCTTACGCTACGATAGAGACACGAAGCCGAAGTCATAATGTGCGACGGCGGAAATGAAATGTTGAGGAGGGCTGAAGCTGTGAACAAGACGCCGCCGGAATCGAAGAGTGAGAAGTTTGACGAGGAATGGAAATCGAGAGCTTCCCAACAACATCCTATATCACACGGGATATAGTTAATTGCATTACCTGCACCAGTGCGCATTTCCTTTTACATGGTCAATCCTGAATGCGACATTCTGGTTTTATACAGACATCCAAACTGCTTCTCTCATAACGTCCACCCACGGACTCCCACTGAGTTGCTCTAAACCATTTCGGGTTCTGTCTGCGATGGGCTGAATAGATTGGCTCTCAATTTCCACTGACAAGTCAGGGATTGCCGCCATTGTAATACTGCGTTCACCACTACCAGCGCCTATTACAGATCAGTTCACACCGTCCAGGCCTCGGGACCATTGCCAAACCGGATGCGGCCCAAACACACATAACTTGGCTATTTTGTCCCTTCCCCCCTTATCATTTAGAGACTCATTTCCGACCTATCTTTCCATTTTTTCCCCCGCCGTGACGGCGAGGCCGAACCCGCCGGCGGTGCCGATCTCTAGGAGCTTCTCGCGCACCCAAGCCCGGGTGGCTTCGTTGGCCAACTTGGATCGAAGCACTGCCGTCATCGGCCAGTAGAGGGAATATGCTCGAAATCCTATTCCTGGCTCTTTACTGACTTGTCCCTCCGTGCGAGACGGTGCTGCATTAAGTGCCGATGTTATCTCCCTCAGCAACTGCTCTGTGCACACAGCAGCATGTGGTCGGCTGGGGCTCGAGTGGAAATGAAGTGCATCAGCCGCTTCAGATAGTATCTCCAAGACATGTAGTCGCACGGTTAGGTAGAGGCACCTTGCGATGGCGGCGTTGGTCGCGCACGATATGGCAATGAACCCGTTGAAAGCGACGGAGGGTACGCCAACTCCGTCGACATAGACAATCCTTCTGGCCTCTTCATCCAAGCTTTGAGCCAGGGACAAACCGGACCGGATGAGTTCAGGGAATTGGATGCCGTGAATTCTTCCAATCTCAGGTACTGACAGTCCCAGATCCAGGGACAAGAATAGGACTTTAAAATCTACAGCTCGTCGAATTAGAGGGTCCAAATTAGGGCCGTCCTCAAGAGAATCGATGAAAAGATCAAGCTCAAACCACAGAGGTGGGATCTCGCGGGGTGTCGTGAAGAAATCCATTAGCTGCATGCGATGATGAGGGCGTCAGCGATGCACAGGATGGCGGACTTTTGGGTTATCGCACTCTAATTTCCCAAAATAACGCCAACAATCCTCGGTCTAGTGAATTCACCAACTGATGCTTTGCTCGATATTGAAATAGCGCTAGAGCACCGCGGGCATGGGGGTGACATCCTGGCTCGGTTGTTGGATTTTGTTGAGGTGCGAACTCTGCTGCAACGGTCTGCCACAAGTGAGTATGAGGAAAGATACAGACATAAGCGAACGGCCCGTACCTGGAAAAGACCAAGTACAAACAGCGATAGGAGTACGGAGTCTTCCTTGATCAAGGACTCATCCTGCATGGCATGTCGTATCCCGCTTATGGCCTTGCTATAAGCCTGTCTCGTGCGGGTCATCAGACCCGACTGACGGAGCTGACGCGACGAGCTCGCCATAGCAGTGGCTTCTAAGGCGGCAGAGAGGCATGGCATTGACGGCAAGGTGTACTTATCTGCTAAGAGCTCCAGGAACGCGACGCCTGATTGAGCGGTGTAGTCTGCAAAGAACTTATGGACGCTCATAGTCTCAGCGCTGAAATCCAACGTCCTGACGACGGGCATGTCTATGAGGCCCGCCTGCTCAGCTCTCCGGCTCCGGCTCCTTTCAACCCTAGTGTTGACGAGCTGAGCCGCGTGGGCATCCTGACGACGGAGAGTGAGGAGCCACCGGTCTGGATAGCCGGGACAGTGGCCGAGGAGACGCATACAACGCCCGCAGGATGGCATCTGCTGATCGCACTGCTTCGAGGTGAGGATGTGTAAGCTAAAGTCAGAGACAGACCCGTACCTTTACTTTCCGTTCTTTACAATTAAAACAAGCTCTAGATGGCCTCCCCGTATTCACCATGGCCAATAACATTTGCGTGAAGCAAATCTGGATCGAACTTGAAGTTAATCAGGACGGCAATTGCTCCCGTACCTAGTTTAGATCGGTGGGGCGGATTTACTTTATTCCCCTGACAAGCCTGGGCCTTCATGAAGAGCCACCAAGCTGTCGTCAGAATTAATGCGCCTGACGAGAATTGGAGTTGCTACAGTTATCAAGGGAGACGGCATTGGACTACTGGTTTAGAAAACGAGATCGGGGAGACAATGTTGTACGACATTTGGACTCGACAAACATTAGGGTCTTCAGCGGGACAGATTTGGAAGTATAGTGTAGGTGCAATTGGAGATACAAATGACTCCAATTGGTACCAAAGTTAAAACTTAATATGCACTTTGTCTTCAACGAAGGTGGCGAGCCAAGGAACGTCACTGTCCCCATTGGCCAGGTGCATGAAGAACTCAGCGTGAGCTTCACCGTCAAGAATAGCGATGAAAATTGGATGGAGGGGAGACTGGATTCCTCGAGACGGAGTGCGTCAGGACTGCAGGAAAGAACAGCTTGTCTCTCCTTGTCTTTCATTATCTCATTCTTTGACGGATATTTCTGCCCCGCAGCTTATAGTATCGTGCTTCGTTGTTCTGTTAATGCACGAAACCATTTCTGAAGATCAAGAATCTCCGTAGGAAATACTTGGTATGTGCCGAGTTATCGAATGAATGTCTTTTTTCAATCGTTGACTGTGTTCTACTATATTGCGACAGTGACCGAGAAGATAGGGCGCACTCTTTTCAGTCGCCTTGACTCACGGTGGCACGGAAATGACTTTACCAGGCTACCGGTCAAACGATCAACCTTAGCTGTGTCGTCAGTGACTAAGGATCGACCCAAGCGAGCGAGAAAGGCAAAATGATGAAGATCACCGATCGAAGGAGACAGGAGAATGGGGGAGCAAACGGAGAAAAGCAGGCCACGTTGCGTTCAGAGACAGTAGATGCTATGCTTCATTCAAAATTATCCTGTAGATACAGCAAACTGAACGTAACACCCTTACTTGAGGATTACCTTGTCTAGATCAGACAGATCCTACAAGAACGCAGACACCCTCGCTTCTTCACTCAGTCATCTCCTGCTTCTGCGAAGCGCCCTCAACAGGGGCCATCCACGACGGGCGTCGGGACACGAAAATTTCCCCTTGAGGTTTGACTGTACTCAAGACCTCGGGATCATTGAAGACACCGGCCTTGACAAACTTTATCCCCGGAGCAGCAGGGCCTTCGCGAAACAGCGTCGTTCCACAGTCGGGGCAGAAGCTGTTCGTAATGAGGTTGCCGGCGTTGCTCTTTTTAGTAAACGTCTTCGGCGAGCCCTCAACCGCGATTAGGTCCGCAGGGACGAACCAGTTCACGGCGTGAGAACTACCGGACGTTTTCCGACAGTCAAGGCAGTGGCAAAGACCCTAGTAGCAAAAGGTTAATCATGGGTTCACGACAAGGTACGGAGCAGGGCATTCGCGTACGACGGCCACAGGGTCGCCTGACACCTCAATCTTGACGGCGCCACATAAACATTGGCCGGAGGGCATGTTGAGGAGAGGAGAAGAGAAGGGTAGGCAAGTAAGTTGGGAAACCGGGAAAGGTGGGCAAGAAGTGATCGTGTCAAGCGTTGGAGAGGAAGTTGTTAGAGCCGATGTTGGCCATTTATTAAATATTCGAGTGGACTTGGAGATCTGGCGACTTGACGGCAGTCTCCGTCGGCGAAAGTGTGAAATCACCATTACAAATCGCAATTGACTGACGCTTCGCCAGCCTTGGCATAGCGGATTGGCACAGACAACGCAAGATAAGTAGGAGCACCAGGTTAGGTTTCCACTGAAGCGCTGGTAGAGTCGGCATAACAGGGCTAGGATGTCCGCGTCAGAGGACGGCTAGTAGTTCGTTTTGTCTCCTAACAGGATGGCTTGCAGCCCCTTAAAAAAGCTTCGTAGCCTCCACCTAGGTACAGATTTCATTTACCACCGTCAGCCACGTCGCTTTCGCTTCCCAAGCGCCAGGAATTTCGTGTATCAGTTGGAGACTTGGCGGTTGAAAATAAGGAGTTTTATTGGAAAATGGACTAAACCAATTCAGGCTCAGCAAGCGAGGGCGATCTGCTATTGGTGGCGGCAAATACTCAAGCTGCCTACTAGCAGGCCTCAATTAGCTTCGCAAGAAGAAGCTACACCATTTCGGGCTTCCCATGCGATCCTAGGCAGTTATTGGTTGCGGAGAGCTTGAGATTAGTTTGAAATAGCTTGGCCCATGTGCAAAAGCCCTCAGTTAGCCTTGCAACAAGAAGCTACACTCTTTTGGGCTCTCCATGCGATTCTAGGTAGTTATTAGTTGCCGAGAGCTCGAGATTAGTGTGAAAAAGCTTGGTAATGACCAATTCCACCCAGCCATTGAGCACAATTCTAACCTCATAGAGCCGCAACGCAGCCATTGGTAATGCAGATGTCTAAACAACGAACCCCAGTGCTCTCCCTTACTAAGCTTCCAACACGCCAAGCTGCTTCTGGTCTCCGTACCGACGATGTCTGGGGTGGACGGACATCTTGCGTTAGCCTTGACAGACACCGAGCACAGGATTCAGAGTCATCTTTGAGGGTCTCAAACAAGACCGGCCGGGCCGGGTGTGCCTGGCTGCTATCCAAGTTTCTCTATTTAGGCAGGGTGTCAGACTGCCACCGTCCAAGTCTCCCAATACTGTTATTTTCTATTCAACCAAAGGTACAGTCTCTCTACCTCGCACCTTAGTCGACTCTCTAACCCACAATGCCGTCTCTCAAACTCGTCCGTCAGACCAACTCCAACTTGGGCAGCACCCACCCTGAGATTGTTGCCGTAATGCGTTAGTCTCTTTCCTGCGTTGAGCTCCATGAGCTTTTCTCTCGCTCGTTCCCTTCAACTAACCTTTAGCAGTGGGAGCAACCGGCGGTATTGGAGCTGCTACTTGCCGTGAACTAGTGCGGCAAACACAACGCCCTACGTTGTACATTGTTGGTCAGAATGAGCATCGCGCGTCAGCTCTAGTGCGAGAGTTGGAGGCCTCGAATCCGGCGGCGAAGATCTCTTTTATTCAAAGTGACCTGGCATTACTTCGCAACGTCGACGACGTTTGCCGCAGGATCGTTGAGAAGGAGACCAAAATCAATCTTCTCTTTATGACAGCTGGCTTCCTCAGTCTTCAAGGAAGAGTCGGTTAGTTTTGTCGTAGTGTTGCGGATTCCAGGGCCGCAGTACAAGATCAGAGTGGGATGTGCTGACCAAATTCATAGAGACCACCGAGGGACTTGACAAGATGTACAGTCTGCAGTATTTCGCAAGAATGCGGGCCGTCGTCAATATCCTTCCCCTTCTCAACAGAGCGAGCGAGAACAGGGAGCTCGCTAGAGTTGTCTCTGTCCTGGGTGCGGGCAACGAGGGGCGCATCTTTAAGGACGACCTGGAGATGCAGCATAACTACAGCCTCCAAAACTGCTCTGGCCAGGCCATGTCCATGAATTCGTTGGCCCTCGAGCATCTGGCTCGCTTGAACACCGGTGTCTCTTTTGTCCACGTCTACCCCGGGGTGGTGAGGCAAACAAGCATCATGTCCAATATGGGCCAACCACTGAGCACCATCATCCGCATGTTAATGTTCCTTGCGACACCCTTCACGATGTCTGTCCGAACGTGTGCAGTGCGGCAACTGTACGTGAGTACTGCAGACCTTTTCTCTCCTCACGGCAAAAATCGCAAGTCTACCGAGACAGCCTTTTTCAGGCTCAGCAGTAACGGAGAAGCTTGTCCCGAAAACCCTATGCTTTCGGGCTACTTGAGTGACGGTACCTTGGAAAAGGTGTGGCAGTTTACTGAAGCTGTGTTTCAAGATGTCTCTGAGAAGAACAAGGTCGCAGTGTGAATGTTTCAACTGGTGTCATGCAGTAGGAACATAAGGTTTTGACTTGGCGAGCCAGGGGGAGGTGACTTAACTGGCTAAGGGCTGTGTATTTCTTAAAATAGTTAGTTTATATAGACTTCTGATAAGGGCTCTCCTTTAATATACTAAATAGCAGCACACTGCTTTTTACGTAATAGAAATTCAAGCTTCCTTATACTAGAGTTTAGGTACATTTGGAAGAAAAACTGCACAACTTGGATTAAACAGCTGCCTGAAGATTTAAATATTGGGCGAGAATAGAGTTTTAGCCTAGCTTAGAAATATACGGCGGAACAAAAAGGAGAACGTCTGAGTCAGCAGCAAAGTCTCGTTTAAAAAAGAAAATGACTATTGCATGGGGTGAGGGAATTTCGTCGCTGGTGGTACCGCCAACAACTCCAGTAGTCGGAATGGTGAACTCAGGGAGACCGTCGATGGGATGGTTCAGTTGCAAAGAGGGGCGAGTTAAGGTAAGGTCATTCTCCATTCAGAATTCCATCGGAAACGTAACCCAAGTCTCACTTAGAATTAAGTGTGACCTCCAACGCCCATCGTGTAGGCGATGCATACGCCTGAAGCGAAGTTGTCCAGGCTATCCGGATAGTTGGGAACTAGTGCATCGTCAGCAAAACGAACAAGCCTCGGGGAACGTGCAGCTGAGGATCGAAAAGCGTCAACGCCAGAGAGAGCGCAACAGGGGCGCGGTGACCTCTTCCGCCTTGCCCTCTGCCGCCGTACCTACATCAATTCCCAGGGCTGTTGACGTCAGCGTTGAAGAACCCTGTGTCTACTTGCTGTACAACGACTATTGCTTCAACTCCAGTGTGGGCGTGTTCGAAGCACTCCCGTTTCTCGCTTCCATCCGGCCTTCCGCCCCTTTCTTGCATGCCCTCAACGCTGCGACTTTGGCCAATTCTTCTAACCGTCTGAACCAGTACGGGCTTTTAGTCAAGGCGAAGAGGGCGTATTGGGTTGCGGTTTCCGGCTTGCAGAGACAGATCAGAGAGCCTGAATCGATGCGAAATGACTCCCTCCTGGCATCCGTCTTTTTGCTTGGCCTCTTCGAAGTGAGTACTCCCGTATCTTTTTATTGCACCATTCTCCTCTCTTGATCCTAAGCTGATTTCAAAACGTTGTAGTTCAGCAACAGTCCGAGGCAGAGATAAAGAGTGCCGACTTGAACTGCCATCCACATTCTCAAGGCGCACTTGCCCTTCTCCAACATCGGATTAGGCATAAGCTTGATAACCTGACAGACGTGATACTTTTTATCTTCCGTTGGCACGTACGTGTAAGTTCGCATCCAAAGGACTCCGATAGCCTTCTGTTTTGGTTGATATCTGACTATTCTACCTTGTGCAGCTCCTTGAGATTTTCGTTGCACGTACTGATCCAAGTTCACTCGACGCTGACTTCAAGAATCCGCGGGCTGACTTGGCTCGATTTCCTGAAGTTGAGCCTGTCATTCAACAATCTGTTGACTTGATCGGACAACTTCGCCTTTCAGTGTCCTCTGCTAGCCCCCAAGTGTCGACTGTGAACGCAGCAGAGCTGATCAAACGTACTGTCAATGTCATCGGAGAGCTCGGGCGCGTGGCAACCCTCACAGCCCTGGAAAAAGGTTCCGTCCCTGAGGCCGGGTACTTTAACAGCTTACTAGCGGCAGATACTCAGACCAGTGTTGCGATAGCCAAGAGTTTGTACCTGGCCGCCCGCTTGCACCTGACTGAAATGTTTTTCTCACGCGTCGGAAGTTTTGCCTTTCTTGTTGATTTTGCTCTGGAGTCTGTCGTTGTCGGCCAAATTTGCGAACAGATACGCAATGTTTTCGAGTTAGGCGGAAATTTCAAGCACTCGGCGGGGGAACCAGGGACGGCACTGCGTGTGTTTTTCATGTCTTGGCCGACCCTGGCTGTTTTGCAGTCCAGTATTGCAAGCGAAGAGACAAAGTCGTGGGTTCGGGATCTGCTCCAGGTCAGAAGCCAGCAAGGAGGGGTTGGATTTGTGTCGAAGGTTCCGGAAGATGTACTGCATTGAAGAGGCATGAGACGAAAGTAGAGGGAACCATGTTTTGCAGCAATTACGAATTTCGAGTCGGAACTGCCACAAACCAAGTATGAAATACGCCCAGTTAACGTGGCCCTGGAAAGCCGCACCTTCCAAGGGTGCTAAAGCTGCCAACGACCCAGACACCTGGGTGACAGAAAGAGCCGAATAGTGCTATAGTTCTTGGAACATTTTTGACTTGCAACTCTCTCTCTCTGTAAAATCACTGTATTAACTAACTGGTCTACAGTAATAAAATATTATTTGGTTTTTTTAGCTCTACTTAATATCATCAGATAGATCAAAGCCATACAGTAATCTCAAACAGTAGGAATAAACAATAAGTGCTACACCCAGCACCAGAAGAAACAGTAGCTGAACAATAAGGTTATTGCCCACCGGTCTCTGCCTGAAGCTTCCATTCAACCCCTCTGAATTCAACCCTATTGTCTGCAGTCAACGACCTTGCTGTCTGCTATTAACAACCTTAAGATAGTAATCTTATTTCGAGTAATAGGATATAAGGGAGACTGACGTCTTCGATTATTAAGAGACTAGCTTCCCTTCTGATACTTATTCTATTATAACTAATTTTTAATATGGCAAATTTTACTTAAGAAGCTTTTATTAGGGATAACCTGTTATATCTGCATTATAGATCCTAACTTGTAATAAAATATTATAAGATATAGAAATATAGTTATAGCTATAGAGGTTTATTACCTAATTTTTTTTAAATAGTAAAATTAGAATTTTACTAAGTTAATATACTTAATTATATTTATATTAACTATAATTTATATTTTAAATTACTTTAACTTTTTTTAAAAGATTATCTATTAACTTTAATAGGTTTTAATTAAAAAATATATTTATTTTTTAATTAACTATAAGAAAAAAGCTTACTGTTAATTTAAAAAGTAAACTTAATTATAAAAACTATATTATTTAATTACTTAAAAGATATTTACTTATTAAAATTTATATTTTTAGTATATTTAATTCTTTTACGATAAATATCAAATTAAAGCTTTTTATAATATCCTTTATTATTATTAATACTATTATTGGGTTTTTTTTTATACTGTTAAGCTTCCAGTCCCCCCTCTGGGTATATATACTAGAGCACCCTAACCTCTTAATAATATCCTTTATAGTAATAATACTAGATATTCCATATTGCAAAATAAATATCACAAGCAATTGCTCTTATTCCAGATAATATTGTAAAACCTCTAGCCAGTCAGCTGGTGTTGAGTGCCTATACTAAGGAGCTAAACTGTTTCTGGCACCAATTGCGAGGGTAGAATTCTATTGGCTCCAAATTAGTTGCCGCTTCTTTGCAAGGGGCCGATGACTGGATTCATCTCAGTCGTCTCCGCTTTCTGACTACCCGTTGAAAGGCTTGATATTTGGTTATCGTGGCAGCATTGGGTAACAAATGCTTGAATTGTGGATAAAACTGTGTTTTTTTGACCTTGTGCCGGCAACTTGCTCACCTTGAGGGAGCAGACAGAAGTTAGATTAGTTTCTGACTACCCGTTGGCTTATGTGGGCTAACTGGTGATATAGTTAAAGGCCTTTTGTTTACTCCCGGGGTTAAGATCAATCCCTCAATTGCAATGTAATTTTGGCAAACGAGACGCCTGTCCCCATTGGACAGACCAGGGCTTCCTCGAAATCTTTGCCCTATAGAATCGTGTTTGATGCAAGTGGCGCGTCCATTAACTTTCTCTACCGCAGCCGTCGTGAATCACGACCGGTTGTCTACGGCGGTTTACTACTAGGTGTGTCAAACCCGTCTTCCTCGCATGAATGACCTGAAATGGTTTAGTGCTCGTTTCCTTTCCTTCACGGCGCCATGTTGCCGGGAAAGCCGGCCATAGTATTCTTCGGCCAAAGCAGATACCGAACAGGAAGAACCATGTACCAGCTTAATTTTCATCCTCAATGCACTACTCTGGTTCCGCCACATCTCCAAATTACCCCCTCCAGCCAACCGGGACCCTCGGATCTCAGCCATTTGCGAATGAATCCAGGGGCTTTGAAATATGGCTAAGCCTGGCATTCCATATTGCTATGTACAAGTTATGTCCGGATTGATAAGACAGTCGCAAACCCGCTCTGCAGGCTGTCACCCACATTCACAACTTTGGTCTAGGGTGCCTTTTTTGACTCGGGAAATGCCTGCGACAGTGATACCGGGTGCAGTCACAAGTGGAGGTCGACAAGTTCAGTTTGCGCCCGCCATGGGCCCCTGATGATTAGGAATACAAATACGTGGAGCAGTAATAGAGAAAATGGACCTAGAATAGTACCCAAATCTTAAATGTCCACCCCTTTAAGGTTTTAATCTATTTACGTCCAGGCGACAGCAATAAATGAGATCCTAAGGCTGTCCAATTTTTGCATTCATCCCGGTGATATGAGAACTCTAAAGGGGCACGAGAAGGTCAAAGCAACACCGGCAACAGGAACTCAGGAGGGACCCTGGTCAGGCCGAAGCCGAGGGTCCCAGATCACGGAGATCACGACACTCGGATGACAGATGTATAAGTAGGGCTAGATGTAAGGTATCGTAGAAGATCAGCCAAAGGTTAGCGCAACTCAGAACTCTTCTGTTGGGTCTACACTCCTCATCCACTGTCCATTCCTTGTCACTAGGCTCCCAAGATGGCCTTGTCACAATTATCCCCCCATATGACCAGTCCCTTAGGCTTTGTCCTCACGGTCTCGGGTTCTATCATGTTGCTGTATCTGATTGAGCACTACATCCTCGGCGTCCCATATCCTCCCGAAGTTTCACTGGTTCGCGAGCCAGCTGGAGCAAGACGCTTCAGCATTCGCACGAGATTGGCCTACTACACCGACTGCCAGAACCTCTTCCGCGACGCATATGATAATGTGTGTTCGGCTAATGCAACATAGGCCTTGGATGGAAAACGCTAATCAGAATTTAGTATTTGAAGAAGGGTAAGCCCGTTGTCATACCTGGCATTGGTTTTCGCCACGAGGTTCTCATGCCTCCTCAAACCATGAGCTGGGTGATGGCTCAGCCAGAGAACGAACTTGATCCTGCGGCCGCATTCGTTGAAATTGACCAAGTGAGATGGGCATTGGGGGACGACCGTTACGTCTCAGATGCCTGGCATGGCATGCTCGTTAAGACAGATCTAAACCGCGTGCTGGAGAACATCTGCACGGCGCTGAACAGCGAGCTCGGGTTCGCCTTCGATAAGCATTTTGGTACCGATACGGAGAACTGGAAGGAGATCGACCTCTTCGAGACCGTGAGAATGGTTGTTGCTCAGGCCGCGAGCCGCTTTACGCTTGGTCTCCCGCTTTGTTAGATTCCCCTGGCCCCCCGCACATTATCGGCTGGAAGCTGATACAAGACAGGCCAGAATGAAGAATATCTTCGACTGTCGTTGGAAATTATTGACCGTCTGGTTCTAAATGCTGGTGTTACTGGCGGCGCTCCAAGACTCCTCCAACCTCTCGTTGGCACGACCATCAACTGGACCCTGCATAGCAAAGTCCACAGGCTGAAGACACTCTTTGCGCCAGTCTGGAAAGAACGTCTAGTCTCATTGAAGCGCGCCAGAGACGACCCCAACCACGTCGAGCCGCAGGATCACCTTCAGATGATGGTCCGCTTTGCCGAGAAGCACCGTCCTGAAGAATTCAACGACCTCGACTCCATGACGCGGCGCCTCATTGCCACCAATTTTGGCTCCATGCACCAGACAAGCATCCAGGTAACCAATCTGCTCCTGAATATCATTGGCTCCGCCGCCGAGTTCAATACAATCGCCATTCTTAGAGATGAGACTCGCCGGTTCCTCCAAAACGGCAGCAACACCCAGTGGACCAAAGCCAAGGTTGCCCAGATGGTCAAATCAGACAGTGTCCTTCGTGAAACTCTCCGGCTCCAGTCGTTTGGTGGTCGCGCCGTCCTCCGCAAGGTCATGGTTGAGGGCTATAAGACGCCCAGCGGATACAGTCTTCCCAAAGGCACTATAATCTCCTTCCTCGGTCAAGCGGCTCAGACGGATGCCGATTCTATCGACGATCCCCTGAAATTCGATCCCTTCCGCTTCTCGCGTCTCCGAGACGAGGCGGCGAGCAAAAACGAACCGCCACCGCCAGTTTCCTTCGTGGCCACGGGACCGAAGTATTTATCCTTCGGGCACGGGAAGCACGCCTGCCCAGGTCGCTTTCTTATCGACTTCGAGTTGAAGATGATCATTGCGTATGTATTGGGTCACTACGACATCGAGTTCCCTTCGAACTACAACAACCAACGGCCGGCGAATTACTGGGTTGCCGAGGCCGTGTTCCCACCAAAGGGTGCTAGGCTTATGATCAAAAGAAGGCCGACTGAGGCTTGAAGATGGAGGGAACAAGAGTAGAATTTCACTTAGAATGGTCTCCAGAGAGTCAGGGTGGTCAACTCTCAGCGCCAGTATCAGCGTCGACGTGCACGACACTTTCTTCTGTTGCGCCTTCAGCATTGTGTTGCTCAACGAAGTGAATTGGAGTAAGATAACCTTGATGTATAATAACCTGCCGGAGAATCGAAGGGGCTGGGATGATATACGCTTGCTAGTCAGGATGAGACGTCATGATGAATTACAGGAGCAATGTGAAGTCAGCGATATCAGCAGGACCATCATTAAGGAGACCGCCGATATCCAACAGGACGTCCCCTATCAAAAGAGCATATATCCTGCAGAGAAGTGCGTTCTGGCGAGGTAGCGCGGTTAATGAGCGAGTCGTGCACTTCCAATTACAACGAGCACACGATATATACAGGAGAGGCCGCTGAATCAACTAAGCCTGCATGATTTTGCAACTCGGAACCGGAAGAAAGACGATTTTCACGAGGAGTGGGTTACCTATTTTGACAAGACCACGTTCCTGCGCCACCTTGTCCAGTGTGTCGCCGAGATGATTTAGAGAAGGGAAAAGGCGCGACATTCTATTTTTCAAGTAGACTGAACGCCTCAAGTAGGGCCATCCTAAGCCAGCTGTTGGCTCCTACTGAATTAAACTCCAGGTGTACCGTTGGCTCCATCACAATACCACCACAAAACGCTCCCTAAGCCACCCTCCGTAACGATAGAACAAGAATGGCACTGGAAGAAAAGCCACGCCTATAAAGCCTAGGACGCTATTCCCCCATCCAAGTCCTAGGGCTGCATACAACGACGGCCCAGCCAAAGGAATGAAAGCTGCAAAAAGAAGTCGGATAACCACGTTCGCAGCCAAAGCAGAGGCGGCAGCCTCAGGGCCAAAAGCATCCACCAGGTAGAGCTGGGTTGGCATTATGACCCAGAGAAAGCCGAATCCAAAGAAGAAGGTGCCGATGATGGGCACGATCCAATGAGTTTGCTTCTCAGCTGCCCAGCCATACCAGAAGATACCGACGGGCACGGCGGGCATAACCCACATCATGGGCTTCAGGTGTCCTTCAGGTTTTGCCGAATCTCCACGTGCCTTTTGCAGCTTGTCGCTCACAGTGGCAAAGACTGCGAGAGAGACCCCCATTCCAATTCCAACGCCGAGATACGACAAGCCAGAAACGCCGGCGGAGAAGTTGTATTGTTCCTCGAAGACGGTGGGAAACGTGGTGAACAGCAGAAAGAGGAGGCCGAAAACGAAGGCGCACAGGAGGGAAAGGAGGAGCACGATTGGCGACAGGAGGAGAAGCTTTGTTGGTCGAGAAATGGCGCGGAAGAATAGCTGGCGGGGGGTCAGGCCTCGATCCATCTTGGAAACCAGAGCAGCATTGCCAGTTTCTTTCCGGAGGCGAGCAGCTTTCCATGCTAGCAGCACGGCGGCGTTGGTCTCATGGAGGAAGAAGATTGATATGGCGAATGATACTCCGGCCTAGGTCGATACCGTTAGCGACTTGAGAATAGTAGAGGTTGTGCTCGACTCACCAGGATTAGGATGATCCAAAAAGTCCATCGCCAGCCAATTGATTCGGACACAAAGCCACCAACAATTGGACCCAATACCTTGTAGGATTGTTAGCATCATGGCGGTTTGCGTGGGGTAATGCCACATACTGGTCCCAGAAGTGGTCCGACGAAGAAAAGAGACATTGCCCTTCCACGTTGAGCTGGCGGGACGACGTCGGCGACGGTCCCTCCGCCAACTGTCAACGGGCCCGAAGAAGCACATCCGGCAAGGAATCGGAAAACGAGAAACATGGCGGTGTCTTTGCTCAGCGCACATCCGATGATGAAGCCAATGTAAATGACATTGCAGGTGTGGTAGATGACAAGGCGTCCGTACAGTTCGGATAGCGGCGCAATGAGCATTGGCCCAATGGCGAAGCCGCAAAGGTAAATGGACACAGTGAGGGTGACAACGGTGGAACTGGTGATATGGAACTCCTTCGCAAGCTCAGCAGCTCCAGGTGCAAACATTGTCGCGGCGAGGTTGCTGTACATCGCATCAGTCAGTACAGGATTTGCTTCTCCAAAGGAGTACAGGAATTGGCTTACGCAGTGAGCAAGAAGGCGCTGGCGAGGACGACTTGGGTCAAGCGTTTCCATTCTGGCCAGTTCCGCGGGTTTTGGGGATCGTCTGGCCCATCCCAGTCGACGACATTGTCCTTCTTCTCTTGTTCAATTGCCGTTTGGTCAGGCTCGCTGGATTGCTGGTCAGGCTCGCTAGATTGTTGGTCATGGTGGGCGTCGTCCGATATGGCGGGCTTCTCATGGGCGGATTCCAAGTCGGTCGCCATGATATGCTGTCGAGGGTGGTGAGACTGTGGGATATTGGCGCGTTGTGTGATGACTGGTGCCAGGCTATGCTTGGTATATATGTAAAGACAGGATAGGCGGCTGGATAACTGCCCGGATGAAGAAGGCCTGGTAGAGAAGTCATAGCCATAGTTTCTATAGTTTCTTTGGGCAAGGGCTGGTTGAATATGCCTGCTACTAAATCCGTAAAATGCTCCGTAAATACGGAGTTAAACTGGAGATTTGCTTATGTCATGCACGATCGGAGAGAGCTGACCGGAGGGTCGGAGGGTCGGATGGTCGGAGGGTCGGAGGGTCGTTGTTTTCTCCACTGCATCTCCGTTTGCGCGGCCAGACATCTTCTTTCTCTTGCTGAAGGGCTGTGAAACTGTTTGACAGTGGACCAGGGGACGGACAATTCCGCTTTGATCATCCAAAATTGCCGTGGACGAGGTTGAGCTCCGTGACCGCCTCAATCCAGTCACACCATGGCCGACGATACCCATCGTCCGCGTCCACCGCCAAATCGACGCAGAGACAAAGTCCAGCTTTCTTGCGAGCCTTGCAGAAACCAAAAGTACGTGCTCCATCACCGTCACAACATCGTGCACGCTTAACTTTGCCAGGCTGAGGTGCGACCGACAGCACCCGTGCGGAGCTTGCTCAAGGCGTGGTCTCACCAACTCGTGCAACTATGCGACAGCTTCTTCTTCTACGCCCGATGCCCAGCGGTCTGATGCTCAGAGGTCTGTTGCTCCGCGACAATCCGCCAGCCTCCATGGAAGAATCTCTGAGCTGGAGAACCTTGTCGTGACGCTCATGAAAGGCCAATCACTCCCAACTCCGCCCGCACCAAAATCGCCGAGACCAAGCTCGCAATCATTCGCACATGTGTTCCCGGAGATGCGAAGACCAAAGAAGTCCCCTGATCAAACTACATCCCCGGCAGACCCTGGCACCCTAGAGGTGCGTGAGTCTGGAACCAGCTATGTCCAGAGTGTCCATTGGGAGGCCATTCTTACCCAAATCAGAGGACTGAAGGAGGACTTGGTCACTGATAGCAAGGCTCCGCCCGGTTCACAATTGTTCTATGGCCCGAACCGTCATGCAACTCGAGATGAAATCCTGGCCGCTGTTCCTCATCGTCCAGTTGTTGACCGCCTCATGGCCCTTCACTTCGATTCCTACATCGTCACTCCGTGTCAGTACATCCGAGCTTTCTTTCCGCTCTCAGAGGCATTGACTGTGTACTATAGATCTCATTCATAGCGGGAAGTTTCTCCGAGAGGTACGTTCTTTCTTACCCGGCGGGTTACAAGCTATCTGACATTTGACCAGTACGAAGCCTTCTGGAAAGATCCATCTGAAACTTCCATCGCTTGGATCGGTCTCATGTTCTCCATGTTATCCATTGCTGCGCAGTTGCAGACCTCCAGCATGGGCTTCCCCGACGCACGAGCCGAATCCCTCAATGCGGAATATCTTACCATGAAGCATGCCTTCCGGGAGAAGGCCGTTCAGTGTCTTATTCTGGCCAGGTATACGACCGGAGGACCACATATCCTGGAAACCCTCATAACGGTTCTTACTGGAGAGTTTATACTCTTGAAAGATGGCGCTACCGATGGCTGGCTTTCAATCAGTATGATACTTCACCTTGCTATGCGCATGGGCTATCACCGGGACCCAGATCATTTTCCCGGAATATCTCCATTCGAGGGTGAGATGCGTCGACGCATCTGGACTACAATCCTTCAATTAGATCTCAGTATTTCCTTGGAGATGGGCCTTCCTCGAAGTGCCACAGATACACACATCGATACAAAACAGCCCCGTAATTTGCGCGACTGTGATTTTGAAGAGGACACAACTGAGATGCCTCCGCCGAGGCCAGAAACAGAATGGACGCCGGTGCTCCCTCTCATTGCAAGAGGGCGACTGATAACAGCTCTCGGCTTGATTTGCGACGTCAACACCGATATTAATCCCCCTTCCTACGACGAGGTCATCAAGATCGACGCGCTTCTTAAAGACGTGCACAGTCGTGGTATTCCGCCCGTGCTGCGCTGGGAAACTATGCCACACCCCATCACGGATAGTCCAAACCTTGTGGTGCAGCGGGTAAGTGTAGAAACGACCTACTACAAAGCACGCATCCTCCTGTACCGGGGAGCTTTGATCAGCTACCCAGTTGGACAGTCTCAAGAGAGGGGCAGGGAGTCCGTGCGAATTTGTTTAGATTCCGCACTCAAGATTCTATCATTTCAACAGATGCTTCACGAAGAGTCTCAGCCATTTGGTCGTCTGTGTCAGCTTAGGTGGAAGGTCACCCATATTTTCAACCAGGATGTTCTCCTAGCAACGAGCGTGCTCTGCCTCTACATTCAAGACGTCGATAAATTTGAATTATCTGAGACTGCAGGACACACAACATGGTCGTCTAGGGATGAAGAGATTCGACAACAACTAATGATCTCGCACAAGATTTGGCTTCAAATGAGTACTGCATCTGCGGAAGCTGGAAAAGTAGCGAAAGCGCTGAGCATCGTCCTTGGAAACACAGAAGCGTGTGCTGAGGACGGTAACGGGCCCGCTTCTTACGACTTTCTGACGGATTTTGATGCGATACCTCTGAATGAATCTGGCGAAACGTTCAACAATCAATGTGAGAAACACACCTAGTCATACCGATTGCAACTAACAAAAAGACTTGACAGATTTTTCTTCTAGCTTCTGCTCTCCTCTCACCTTTTTTGATAATGTACTGGAAAATCGAGGGATATGAAATATGACTGTTTTGCTATCACTATAGTCGTTACAGGTTGATATTTAACAAGGGAGCCACAATCAGTAACACATCTCCCTCACAGAAGTCTTCACTACAGCACATTTCATAATAATAGCACTCACTGTCGCATCACCCCCCCACGCATCCTCATGAGATAGGCCCACGGCTCGCTAGTTTAGATATGGTTTTCAGTAGCAGGGTAGTGGCTAGTAGCAGAGTCCGCTGTAGGGTAGTGGCACCTTTCGCTGTAGAAAGGAGGTATAAAACTTGGCTTTAACCGACAACTACTCCGTACTTTAGGCATAGTCGGGATCCGCGATCCTAGAAATAGGCCCTAGGTTGCGATCGGCTCCTTTCTTAGCCCACCTCAAGCTTAGATCTGGAATACTCATCCCTCGCTCAACACAGCTCAGCCTAGAGCGGCAAGAACTCAGTTCTGGGAATGGAAATGGATAGTAGTGTGCTTCAGTCCGTCTCCGATTTATTTGGTATTCAACCCTCACTTGTGCGGAATACATTTTGGCCCCCTCTTTTCTGTATTTACCCCTCGATGGAACGAGGAATGCTCAGTCGTCTCGCGAGAAAGCAACGCAGAGATGGCGCATTGGGGTTTCACCATTCGCCATTCGGAACTCGCGCTTTACCCTTGAGACGCACCTCGGGTGAACCGGTTCTCTACAGGGTAGGGTGTGACAGGCCGATGTGGAAAACCGAGGAACCCTTTCGGCTGCTGTGTCCATATTCGGTCTTGGAGATATGTCAGGTTTGCTCTTCCCTTGGCCTCTTCATTCCAAGCCAATCAAGGTTCGAGATCGCAAGTAGAGAAGTTTTAGGGTTAGCGTCAAAGAGCTTGGCCGAGTTCCACCAAAGTCGTCATTTTCTGTTGTCAGAGTGCAGTATAGACCCAGATATGCAAGCAGGTACTAATAATAGTGGTGCACTATACTTTTGGCCTGACGGTATAAATCTGACAACTGTGCGGAGCTGCCGCCGCGGGAGATAATAGGCTCTCAGGCACTGAACCCCAATTTGACATGTCGTCTCAAGGTCGAGAGAAGTGCCGTTGCATCCGCTGCAAAGGTAGCTTGGGCAGTCATGTGGCCCACTATCAGGCTTTCGATCATAATGCGCCACCTGTGGAAATAACGGACTTCGCACTTTCGGATGCCCGAGAAATGCCGCAGGTGACTACCAATATGGGCATTCTGGTGATGGAAATGCTCGAAAATATCATAAAAAGCGCAACATAATGCAACTTTAGAGGTCACGAAGGAAGACTACAGCTCAAGTCAGGATTGATCTATATATATCTCGGCGTAGACTTATCATATCGTCTCTTTTTTCTACTGCTTGGCCAGTTTTAGATCGTTCTCTTGAACTACTTTCACCTTGAACTTGAAGGTGAAGAGATTTGTTTGGAAATGGCTACCTCAATCAAAAATGTCGCCCTCCTTGGAGTAAGTCCCGTCAAGCTGCACATTGTCAACTGGTATCTGACGATTGGTATGGCATACAGGCCACTGGTTCCCTCGGCGCCTACATCTTCAGAGCTCTCGTTGATGCAAACTTCACCGTCTTGGTAATTCAGCGCAAAGAGTCCACCAAGCCAGCTCCCCGTGGTTCTCAGTCTATCAAAGTCGATCTCACTAGTAAGGATGAGCTTGTTGACGCCCTGAAAGGCCAGGACGCTGTCGTCAGGTAGGTCAAACCGGATACGGGCTCTTCGATTTGAGTTGGTCATTCACACAATCCAATCCACAGTACTTCTCCTAACCCTAGTCTCCTGTCCGAGAAGCCCCTCATCGATGCCGCCATCTCTTCAAACATCAAGCGCCTCATCCTCTCGGAGTACTCGACCAACATCGACAACCCCAAATGTGCTATCCTCCCCATTCTAGCGAACAAGGTCGCCGTCCGCGCATACGTCAACTCGCTTATTCCCTCAGCATCCAGTACCACCACTCGGTCCTCGGTCAACAACGGCCCCCTCTTCGACACGTTGTTCCCATTCGGTATCCTGGGCCCCAACTTGAAGACCAAGACTGCCACGTTCCACGACGGGGGAGAGCGAATCGTCTGCACCAGCCGGCATAAAGACATTGCCGCGGCCGTGGCGAAATCTCTTTCCCCGGAGCACTATGCCGAAACGGCTAACCATCCTATCTACATCTATAGCGCTGCGATCTCAGAGAAAATTCTCACTGATGTGGCGGCCAAGGTGACAGGCATTGACTTTGGGAGCGTGGAGGGCGGGCAGATCAAGGATGTTGATATCGAGGAGCTCCGAGCGCAGGCGGATGAGTTAACGAGCAAGGGTGACAAGTCGGCCTGGTTTGATTATTATTATTCTGTCATGTATGGGAAAGGTTATGGAGGGGATTTTAGACTGAAGGCATGGAATGAGAAGCTGGGCATTAAGCCAATGAGTCAGAGCGAACTGGCGGAGTTTGTGGAGGAGATTGCTAAGGAAATGAGGGTTCTGTGAGGGGCAACGAGAAATACGAACAGCTAGTTTTGTGGTATAATTGAAAGAAACCTCAAGGGTACAAGGCCTTACATAGGTAATATCGTCTAGCAACCGACCTTGCACCGACTAGGATGCACCCCGTGTTGATACCGTTAAAGGCCTTTCTTTTACCACAAGAGCTTGGATTAATCTCTCGGCAGCGATCGAGTTTAGTAAAATGAGACGCCTGTCTCTATTGGACCGACTAGTGCGTCTCTGAATCTTTACCTACAGAATCATGAACTTTCCCTGCTGGAGCCATCGCGAATACGACGGGCTGTCCGGGGTGTTTAGTGTTGTGACCTGATTTCCTCGCACGAGTGACCTGAAATGGTTTAGTGTGCCATATCTAGCGTTTTACTGTGTTAGACCTGACTTTCTCGCATGGAAGGCCCGAAATGGTTTAGCGATGGTTATCTCGTCGACGGAGCCATTTCGCCAGGAACGTCGGCACCAGCATTCTCAGGCCAGGGCAGATACGAAAGGGAAAGAAGTAAGTACATGCCAGGCGGATTTCCGTTCTCGATGCACTTACTCGTTCAACCACTAGACCACGCGGCATTTTCATCAAGTACTGCATTCGTTCCCGCAAACGGGAAAAAGGTGACAAACATAATCTAAATTTCAACACCCGGAACTTCTTTGGATCACACGTACTGGGACATTACCCCGAGTTACAGCTATGTTGACGTGGCTCTAGCGTCAAGACTGGCAACCCTTAATTAGGACCAGTTGGGCGTTGGCTTGTCGGCTCACGTCGTCCAGCGTGAGCAGTAATTCGTTAACCCGTGCCCTACGACGTCATCCGTCAAAGTTGTGGTATGGGCCGTGACTTCGGCCGTGATATCCCACTTGGAACTGTTCGTTGATCAGTCACTTTCAAGATGTCAAAAATGTGTGGATTGATGATTATTCCTAGCTAGCTATACGAGGGAACCCTCCTTCAACAGTCACTACCCCCTCCAGCCGCCATCTTGGTTTCCAAAGAGTGGAACCTCAAGACAAGGCGTTCGCTCAATGGCTTCGCCGTGTAAGCATCCTCCTGTTCAATCCCCTCGTCATCAACAACCGTCGTCTTGAAATTGGCATAGATGGCCGCGAGCATGTACTTCATCTCGTTCACGGCAAAGTTAGATCCAATGCACATCCGCCCACCGCTGCTAAAGGCCCAGAAATTCCTATGCATCTCTCGACGCCGTTCTTCCCATTCCTTCAACTCTGCCCCTTCAATATTATTAGCCTTCGGCTGTAGCCATCGGCTTGGGATCCATTCTTCAGGCTGAAGGTACACTCTAGCATCGCGATGAAGGGAATGAGCAGATGAAGCAATCCTTACACCGCCCGGGATGCGATGTCCTCCGATGTGACATCCGTCTTTCGGTGTCTGGCGTGGCTGAGGACCAGGAATTGGTGCATGTAATCGCAAAGTTTCCATGATGACTGCGTTCAGAAGGGGTAGCGCATCCAGCGTCTTTGGGTCAGGCAGTGTCGGGCGGGCGTTGGTGTTTTCTGGAATCGAGCCATGATCGAGTTTCATGGAAGCAGCAACAGACATAATCTCAGCACGTAGTTCTTCCTGCAATTCCGGGATCTTCGACAGATGCCAAGTCGCGTACGTAAGGGCAACACCGGTGGTTTCTTGTCCTGCCAAGGAATGGTCCATGAGCTCTGACGCTACAGCTGGATCGCGTTCGAGAATGCTGGTGCTATAGAGAAGGCTTTTCTCTCCATTGGTACGCCATTCACGGTCAATGCCGGCATGCAAGGCATTATAGACCACTGGTTCGTCTGCGGCGTCTGTCTCGTTGTCCGTGGCTTGCAGGTTCTGTTTTGCCTCCTCACTCGTGGCCTGTTTCGCTTTTTCGCAGAGATCTCTGTTCCATTGGCCCAGGTCCTCATTTGACTCGTCAACCCACTTTGGATATAATCTGAACCATGGCATCCAGCGGCTGCAGAAAGCTGTCAAAGCAGGCACCTCTTGTGGCCAAAAAGGATAGTTTGCTCGTGCAAGGTACATCTTTTGCCAGCTTTGACGATGTGACTCGTCCTCAATAAAGTTGGTCCCGTTCGACAAACCGAAGATATAAGCCGTGATCAAATCCATGGCCGCGGCTAGAAAGAGTCCGAAAACTTCAACATCGTGGTGATTTCGCGCTGAGCGTTGATGGCTTTTGACGCCGACATCCATGTCTCCCACTTCATTTGACTTGGCTTCGGCACGTCCATATAGAGAAGGTATCAGGCGCCGGAACAGCACGTGAGATAGCTGAGAATGACTGGCCGGTGACGATTGAATGAACGTTTTGGAATAGATGTTGGATATCATGCGTTTACGGGCTGAGTGCGACTTGGACGAGCTAGTCGAGAACATGTTTGGGACTCTGTAATTGCATTAACGGATATACTGTGTCAACATACCCATCACCGTGGCACTTACCCATAGTTGTCGAAAATCGTGTACCAAAAACCCTTCTCGAAGCCACCCTGATAAATAGCTCTGATTGCTTCGACTCCGTCGGCGCTAACTTCATTTGGGCCTATCCTTACAACAGGACCATATTCCAGATGGGCTTTAAACAGAGAGTTGTTTTCTTGTTTATTCTTCCTTGCTAAGAGTATCCAGAGCGAGCAGAAGTGGCATGTCCAGTGGGCTGCTGGGAGTTTCCGCAGCGGGGAGACGAAGACGGGGTAGAGGGCATACTGGTAAATCAAATAAACAACCACCGCGCAGGCAGCCGTTGGAAGTATGAGACCCATTGTTGAGAGCTCACATCTAAGTGCTGAATTCACACGAGAGGACGAGATATTTAAGTGAAATCGAGTTGAACTGGGCTGCGGATATCTGCGAGGGTTGGCTTAATCATTCGCCACTCCTCATTCACGTTGAACTTGAACTAGCCTAACATGGCAATTTGTTCCGACATGGCGCGGGGCCATTTGCATAGGGCGTAATTGACGTGTGAAGAGACCGAAAGCTACGACAATTGGGTTGGATTCGTGCTAATGGATTATCATGTGAATCATCTCTGTAACTAGCACATCAAAACCCCACGACCGAGGCTGAATCCATTGCCAGATGAACAGCTTGGCTGGCATTTCAGAAACATCTAAATTCAGCCGCCATGTATAACGCCGGGTATTTTAGACTGCTGACTACGCTTATCGCTATCGATTGATTTAAGCTTCACTACCCTGAACAGTATCAAGAGGTTAGGGTGCCCTAGTACACGCATACCCAGAGGGGGGACTAGAAGCTTGATAGTGAGAAAAATCATGGATATCATAAGTAGCTTTGATTGTGATTCTTAATATCGACTCAGCATCGCACCTCAATTTCATCAAGTCCAACGCCACACCGACTGACCCCCACCCTACCTACGTAGATAACGAATGAATAAAGAAATATTGAATCAAAAACGTTTGGCTGCCATAAGATCAGCCCACCAGCTTAGATTCATCAATGTAGAAGCTGCTGATCACTCCTTGTTTAACCTCATCCAGGTTCTGATTCTCCGCCTCACGCTCCAGCAGCTCCTTTCTCGACCTCCTCAATGCGTCGGCAATCTCCCTCCACCGCAGAGAGATTTTGCCTGCGGTAGTCTCCATTTCCTCTTCCACTGCCACATCCATGAGTTTGCCCCCTCGTTTTCTAATAATACCATCCACAATAACGGTTTCCACGTTGGCGATGCTGCTGTGTAAAACGATTGCCGCTACCGGATCCTGCTCAGCTGCACACAGCATTTCAGGACTGTTGGCGTCGAAGATGACTAAGTCAGCCAATTTGCCTTCAGCGATGCTGCCAATCTTGTCTTCCATCCCAATCGCTCTGGCGCCCTGAATTGTGCCCAGATTAAAAGCCTCCTCCATAGCCTTAGAAATATGTTTGGGAGCTTTACCTTGATCAAGAATCTTCTGATTGCGCTTAGCTCTCGATGCTTGCAACGCTAGCCTCATTTCGTAAATGATGCTTGAGGCATGATTGCTGTGGCAGTCAACGCCTAGACTCGACTGCTTCTGCGCGTGAGGTAGGTCATCGTCAAGGCATACGGGGAACCCGACAGCCATCTGCATCTCTGTCGAAGGAGTACTGCTGATGTGCGCTCCAGCGTCTGCTATGGCTTGGATGCTTTCAGCTGAAATGCCGTTCGCATGGCTAAACAACATGCTGGAATCAAGCAGGCCGAGACTTTTGACTTGTTCAACAAGATCAGCCATGCCAGTCTGCGCATTGCGGACCGTATGAGTAGTGGCCAGCTTAACGCCTGCTTCCTAGCGCGTTGAAAGACGTCTTGGATGATGGATGGTGGCAGAAACCACAGGTCAAACGCCAGTCCCATCGTCACGCGGCCATCACCAAAAGGTGCTCTCTTGGCCAGATCCTCCAGGCTTTTCATGACCCAAGGGGCGAGGACGTCTTGATCCAGCGTGAATGGCGACCAGGAGGCGACTCGAGGAGTCGGACAGTATCCATAAATACAGCGCAGCCCAGAGGACGCGGTTGCTGAAATGGCCGTTGCTGCTGAGCGAGTACGAAATCTTAGTCTTGCTGTAATGTATTGCTGCTCCGAATTTCTTGCATGACTTACCAGCGCCAGGAAAACAGTTGATGTGTGAATGATCAACGACAGCCGTGGTCCCGGCGTTGATAGATTCGAGGCAACCTCCAAGCTGACCCCAGTATATATCTTCTTTGGTGTAATTGGACGACTGCAGGTTTCCTGAGGCCATATACTCGAGCAAAACTTCGTTGCCGTGCCTCCCCTTGAGTTGGGTTTGCCAGAGATGGTGGTGCGTGTCAACGAATCCTGGGGAAATGATCTTCATGTGACAATCGATGATATCGGCGTCGGCACAGTCGCGAATGATTGAGGATATTTTCGAAATCTCGTTATTTTCAATGAGAATGTCTCTTCTCACAGCCCGGACATGGTCGCGGGCGTCATGCATGAGTACTGTGCCTCCTCTCAATAAGAGTCGCGAAGATGGCTGCATTGGCGGGATATGCTCTAGCCTGGAAGATGAATGAGCTTGCATGATGATAGGAACTCGAGACGATTGAAGACTGCTGTTGATTCCCAGGGGTACTCGCTGGTGTACTCCCAACTATGGATGTGTGAAACGAAGAAGCTATTGATCGCCTCAGACGACGGAACATATATTGGTGTTAAGCAGTTCTGCCAAGCCAGACTGACGGCGATCGCCAAACTTAGATCGTATTCAGGTTAAAAAGTTACGTACGTAGTAGCACTAATAAGGTTAGTGGGACAACACGACGGTCTCTGGTAATTCCGAGAGTAAGCTACAAGTAACCTATGTACTATGAACGTAGAATTCTCTGGTTAGAGGCTACCAAGATCAAGGCAAGGTACTTGAACCTTAGTCTCTAATCGGCGCCCTAACATTCCATGCTTCGGTACTGGCACTCCATGTGCAACACGCTAATGTACTGGGTTTGGCCTGGCTGCGTGGCTGCAGGAGTGGGTCCTCGGGGAAAGACAAAACACCGAACGGAAAGTCCCTTCTTTGCTGAGTAAATCGGAATTAACCGCTCGCCTGTATAAGGTAGGCTGTATTAACTGGTGGATGCGGTACGTATCTTGAACACACGTCGGCGTGGATCAAAATAGATTATGGAGCAGCATCTGTAAGATACTAGTTTAGAAATTTGATATGTAGTTCATAATTGCTGATTCTATCTCTAGTTGAATTTTAAAGCCCGAAAACCAACGTGTTGTGTCTAAGTCTTCATTGTACGAGGTTGGGTATACATCGCGGGCCTCACGACGATCGCCGTTGGAGTACAAGGCATAGGAAGTCTTGGTGTGTGGGTCCGTGAACAGCCCAAAGTCCTGCGACCAGTTTCCGAGCGGCTGAAAGGCATCGACGTAGGTGTATGGCCCCTCGATGGTATCGGACACGGCATGGCCCTGGAGAAGCCAGTTGTAGGCTCGGTTCGGCGCGTCTGCATGCCACCACATCTGCTTGGACGTCAGCGACAAAAGATCTTCGAGAACCTGCCAGGTTGAGGCCTCACGTTGTATTTGCCTGTGCTTTCGGCATACACGACCTTGGGGCGCTGGATGACCATGGATGGATCGATCCTTGGGTGGCCAATAATCGGTGCTATACATAGTTAGCAGCGCACTGGCATCACTCATCGTCATGACTCACCCAGAGCAAGGCCATGATCCTCCCAGGTGGCGAGATCCTCAGAGCTATGCACTCTGACACCTCCGCCTTCGGTTTGCCCTTTGACCTTGTACTCGCCAAACAGCCAGTACTTCTTTGTTGCCTCGTCGAAAGTCACGCCGCCAGCGTGGGCGTTGACCAAATTGCCATTGGTGTCACGCCAGGGGCCGCCGGGGACGATGAAGACGGCCGATACAAGGGCCGCAAAGGCTAGGGAAGAGAGGGAGAGGTTGGCAAGGCGAACCATTGTCGGATAACTTGAGTGCAAAGATGGTTGGATCTGCGTACACTTGGTGTCTGTTGCAGGTCTGCAACTGAATGGCCACACCGACCAACTTTGGGCTACTGGTCTAAATTTTACTTTTATCTAGTCGCCAAGACTGGCCCTTGGCCATGATGCTATTACCAAGTGGCGTAGCTATCATCAGTTCCCCCATGTTACCCCGTGGGCAACCGGTGAGGGAACTGGAGACCCCACGGGGATGATTTACCCCGATATACCGACATGATCACATCAAGAACTAGAGCAAGGAACGTACCCTGATTAGTGGTACGCTCGTCTAGATGCTGTATTAGCGGGGGATGGCGTCCCGCCAAGTGTCCCCCCACGCCCCCGGAGGCAGAGAAGGAGACATTGGGGGCTGCTTGGGGGTAGTTGCGTGGTTGCACTGAAATAAGCCACTAAATTGTCATGCAGCTTTATGTTGGGTCTGAATTAGCTGTCATTAAACCCGTTTCTCGTTGTTGTTTTTTTTGGTTGTTTTTTTTAAAAAAAAGACTACATGGGCTACATTTGAACCATCGATTGCACTTCAGACTCATTTTCTCTTCTCTTGTGCATTCCGGGAACGTAGCTTGAGACGCTGCGTCATAGAAAGTTGTTGCCGATAGGTAAATACCGCCTTGGAATGAAGCCGAGGAACGGATAATTGGGTCTCGCGGAACGAATCCCTCGGAATATTTTCCGACTGATGACGCTACAACTTCCCCCCACACAACTCATCACCAACGTAGCAGGTCTGCCAAGTTGGGACAGCTCCCTTCAGCTCTTTGACAGGGGGGTTGTGCAATCAGGCCGATCATGCCCAAGCTAGGTTCCGCTTTGAACGATGAATGCTATATTGCCGCATGTCTTGATTTGGCGATGCAGCCCTCGGGCGATCAAAGGTGCGGCATGCCGACCAAGTGGCGGAATAATCCCATCCTCTTGTCCGGCTATCTGACGGATTTCTTCCCGAGCACGCTTACACCTGCTGACTACGCCACTGACCAAGAGCAACCCTGGTCTTGCTTCTGCGCGGAAAGCCTCCAGTGTCGAGGATTCGAGAGCGCAATGATCGGCTGGCTGGCTTTCTTTGGCCCGGAACGGACGAAGTTGGTCGCTTCTCGGATGAATGATTGCCTCTGGCGAGATATGAGGGTTTTTTAGAGAATGTCGCGAAGAGGCTTCCGGCTACGATGTTGCTGTGGGCGATTAATTGCAAGAACGATTGGAGGAATATTCAAAGAAGCTTCCACAACTTAACCGAGGTGATACAGGAAACTTGGTTTCTCCCAGCTCTCAGACAACTATAGCTGTCGCGCGAAGCGAGACCACTATGAGGGTATGGGTAAAATATTCATGTAAAGAAAGAGCTTCAAAAGCTCGCCATGCCCCCGACCTAACTTACAACACATTCTCACAGTCTACAGTCTGTTCATTTCTCTACACTTGATCGTCGGAAACTCTCAAGTTCTTCCATTATTCATCATCATGAAGTTTGCCTCTGCATCTCTCTTTTTGGCCACGGCACTCAGCTTCTCTGAAGCCGCTCCCGCAACTCACCACAAGAAGCCTCCTTATTTCATCCTCACTGGCGACTCCACCGTTGCCATCAATGGAGGCTGGGGTAATGGCTTCTTGTCGGTTCTCAAGAGCGGTGCCGATGGGATCAACAGGGGCAAGAGTGGAGCCACTACGGTTTCCTTCCGAAAGCAAGGGCGGTGGAACTCTACCCTTGAAGATGTTGAAACGTATAAAGATGATTACCGCCCGATTGTTACTATCCAGTTCGGGCATAATGATCAAAAGGCTAGCGCCAACATCTCGTTGGACGAGTTCAGGACCAACCTTGAGGTCATGGCGAATGAAGTCAGGGAGGCTGGCGGAACCTCGGTGCGTTTTACTCTCTACTGCGTTTGTCTTGCACTAGTACGCCTTTAGCTGACTTTAAAGACAGATCCTCATCACGTCGCTGACACGTCGCGCTTTCAGCGGCGGTGAAGTCAAACAGAATCTCAAAAACGAGCGCAACCAGACCATTCTAGCCGCCGAGGCCGTCAGAGCCAAGTACCTGGACCTGAATCTCGCAAGTACCAACTACATCAACGCGATTGGCCAGGAGAATGCGTACTACTACAACTTGGGTGGGAGTGACAGGACTCATCTCAACCCCGCGGGGGAGACGGTCTTTGGACGCATGGTGGCAGATCTGTTGCTCCGCAAGCGTCGGGACCTGAAGAAGTATGTGACGCCGAACTTGGCGCTGAGCGAGAAGATCTGGGCTGGCGAGTTCGCTACTGGGGACGAGTGAGCCTGAAAATGTGAGGACACCATTTGAGGAGAGCTTTTCCTAGTTGCTATGGCGCCGAATCACAGGTTCGAGGCTGCATGCGAAGATAAGAGCTAGATGAATAGAGACGCTCGCTACCTCATCTATTGTGTCGGCGCTGTGTTTTTTTGTGCTACTGTAGCTGGTCGTTGAGAAGATGTTAGCCTCACAATGCCAACGGGTACTCTGATTGAGGGCGATTTGAAAATTTCTAGTCTCTAATCTCTAACTTATTTGCTCATCTAACTTTGGGTCTCTAACTGGTCTAGCTTTGGATAGTTCCCCGGAATTATAGGTTCCCGCGAATAATAGGACGTCGGGATGTGGGTAGCTCGTATTATTTTCTGGGGAGTGGGGCGTCGGTCGGCATGTGGGAGGCTCACACCATCTTCCGGGGCTTTGCTTTCGGTTGCTCACAGTCCACGGGGGAATTTCGACACGCCATAGCCATATTCATGGGTAAGATATGATTTACTGCTTGACGCTTGATGCGTTGGTGTGAGATTTATGATTTTCCAATCGCTCAAGATTGATTCTGACCTCTTCGGCCAAGGCCGATACGTCGATTTTCCCGGGGAGCTTCGCACCGCTCTAAGCAGCCACCTGCTCCGCAACCTTGGATACTTTCTCGACAGTTGCCACCGAGATTCCCAGCCCAATGGAGCCCTTGACGTGACTTTTGGCTTGTCTGGTTGCACCCATTACACAAATTGTCCCTGCAATTACAATTTCACTTAGTTTCAGGCTCTGAACTTGATCAGATCGACCGATCAGAAAGCCAAATACAGCTGCGTTGGTTACATGTGCTTTTAGGCCTATTCGCTTGTTGTAGAAAGTAGCCAGCATTGAAAGCAACAATCCATGTACAAGTTTCCGGAAAGTAGTCCGCCATCATTTGTGTGACTTCTGAGTTTCCAACGGCTCAGCAAAGTGCTCGGGATGTTTCATGGCCCTTAGAAAGCTAGTGGGCCTGATTCAACAGAGGCCTGCAAAGTATGAGTTATGTTGGGTTGGTTTGATTCAAGCGATGACGGAAGACCTAACCTACCTATCTAACCCACTGCTAATAGTAATCCCGTATTCTCCGAGCTTATCGACGAGGCCAAGTGAGGCTGGAATGCAATTAGGTAGTCCAAAAAATAGCCAGGTTATGTTGATGGCGTGCTTGAATGAAAGAAACATCGCTTGTATTTCTTCCTTGTTCTTATCTTTTGAAAGATAGTGAAATAGCTTGGGCACAGCGTCTCCTCGGCGCTGGGCGCAAAGCATCGCCGCCTAACAGATGCATAGGTGCATCTATTGTGTAAAGTGCATTAGATGACTCGCTTACAACTAACGCCGGAGCTAGACGAAGTCTTGAATTATCATATCTATCGTCCATGGATCGCACCAATACTGCATCAGGCTTGAATAATAAGACTTACGATGGCCGGTAGAGTTTCCTAATGCGTGCTGTAAAAAATCTGTCTATTAAGTGTAGTTTTGAAAAAGGAGCCTATAGTCCAGAAAGCGTTACAGGAAGCTCTCCGAGTCAACACTGAGTCCCACGTTGTCTTAATGGCGTGGAATATACCGACTTGACTGTGTTTTTCTTCGCAGTTGAATAGGTTATTTCTTCATTCCTGGAGCCTCAATATTGTTACAATAGTCTATATCGTATGTCCTATGCACCCGAGTTACGTATCGACCCTGACCTCAGTCCAGCAACCCGGAGATTCCCGGCATGGAACACTTTGTGAAACAAGCCTAGGGCTAGCCATTCACTATTCAAAGCGAGCGGATCTATGTAGTTTCAAAAATTGTTTCAATTAATAATACACAGTGAAGAAAGTAAACCTCCCCAATACTTATCTATAAAGCTACTCTTATAAGGAGCTTTGCAACACCTGCCGCAGATCAATAGCACTAGTTTCCCAACGATAAATGCCATCTCTAGTCACGCCAACGGGCTGCTGCATTTAGCTAGTGGTAGGCTCGACCTCCACCAAGCCAAATCCTTGCACTTTCTTCGAACCCTTGTAGATGCCATTCACGGTGATAAATCCCTCATACGTCGTCTGCGCTCCGTTAGGGGCTACCAATTCTGCATCCCCCCTGATGTTGGCAATGTTCAGCTTCGTTCCATCCTCCAATGTAAGAATATAAGACACAGGGTAAGAAAAGCCGGAGACACTGGACGTCCATGTTTTCTTGGACTTCTGGAGCGAAGCAACAGGTACGACAGCCTGCACTCCGTGAGGCTGCCTTACAGTAGCAAAGGCCGACGCGGCATAGGAATCAGACTTGTCCCAGTTCCAAACGGACATCTTGACACCGTTGTCGAGGTGCAATTCGAACCAAGTCCATGAGTTAGGCGCGGTGCCCCATTGGCGGTCGTACCATGTCAAGCTCTTGTCCGAAACGATACTGAGCTTTTTGCCGCCAATAGTAAGGGATCCGGTTGTCTTTCCCGCTGGCATGCTCCATTCATGACCCAAAGTGCTCCCGCACTGAAACACCCCCAATCCGCCATTTAACAGAACAGGGGACGAAGTTTCGAAAGTGATATCGAATTGAACATTCTTAACCGTGCTGAATGTTCTCATCCGGGAGATGGGGTCCTTTGAACTGGTTGAACCCATCCCCCAGTCCCCGAAGCTGGCGTTGAAGACCTCGGTAGCCGAATAGACGTCAGATGAGTCGCTTAATTTACTGAACGTGTAGTAATAAGACGGGTCGGTGATATCAGTTACGGAGGCACGGTAGATGGAACCCGGACCAACTGCGCCAGCCAAGACGTGCGAGACGACCATGTAATCGTGCCCGTTAGATGCGCGGACAAACGAGGATGACCAGAAAGAGCCACCCGCAGCAGGGGTATCTGACACGTTCATTTGAGTGGCAGCCAAGTCGTAGGTCGTGGGCAGGCTGTCCTATGCAGTATCATGTAAGTATAGGATCTTTAGCATGCTTCAAGAGCTCTTACCGAAAGACTAGTCAAGTTAGTACTATCAGCCTTGAAGATGAATGCCGCCGCACCCGTAAGGGCGAAGGGTAGAATAAGAGCAAGACTCTTAGTTGGAAGCATTTTGACAAGAGATGTGTAAACCCAAGTCAAAGTCGGGTTGTGAATGAGTGTAGTTTCTTGTCTTGGCAGATTGGGGACGAGGAACGCTTTGAGAAGATGGCATCTTCTATACTTATAGGTTTCCCTCGTCGTAGGATATAATTGTGGGCAGTGTTCGCATGTCAAAACCTCCGAGTTAGTTCCACGATGGGACTTACACAGTCGTCCACTGTGTGCGCTGAGTAAGCGGGAGTATAACCCTTGAAGACAGGCCATCTTTCAAGGCTGTTTCCTCAATTAAGATTACTTGATTTTAAGGTTTATGCGAGTAGACGCAGGGCCCGGCCTGCTGTTAAATAAATTAAGGATCTTACTAAGCGCACGAATACGTCCAATACGCGTTCTCTGTCATGGGCAGTATTGTTATTTGCATTATTTCTCCCGTAAGATAGGTCGGAATAGCGCCTTACATATCGGGAAGGCGGAATTTAACGGCTATCACGGCACTGAAGCCTTCCATCCATCATCATAGGCGTCTGTTGCCACCGGCCACGTCACCAGTCCCATCACTAGCCCAGCTTTTCCGTCGTTTGGGTCAATAAGCGAGCCGAAGCTAGAGGCTCCGAGGCATCCGGATCGTCTCGGATATCCGAGGTCATCTGAGGTTGTTCTTATTTTCTCTGACTTAAGACTGACTCAAGACTCGCAATAAATATGCAGGATATTTACTCCAGTATCTTGGTCACGCATTCAGCAGCTCAGTGCCATAACGCCGCCAGATTACCTCTGTCTTGTTGGTTGGAGATATACTCCGTGGAAGAAAGGAGACGGGTTGTGGGGAGGTTGGGACCCTCATAAGGCGATATGCTCAAAAAGAAATTCGCTTGCAAGGTAATGTTGCTATGATTCTTTTATTGCAGTGAAACATCTTAGATCAAGTAATTCTAGGATAGCTTGGTTCTAGTGAGAGTTCGTGGGCTTTATTTGTGCAGGCCTAAGCAGAGTGCAGCATCCTTGGTATTGAACTTGACTTGTAGCTTAGTTGTCAACTTTAGATACAAGCTAAGCTCAGAGATCATCTGTTTTCCCAATCAACGGGCTTGCGGACGACATAGCCTGTGAAAACGATCGAGGGGCGTCGTCTTCAAAAAACAGTTTGCCGCTTGCTATGCTCCTTTCGATGACATCGATGGCGTATGGGAAGATTTCCTTTTCGTATTCAGTCACGGTCTTTGGAGTAACACCAAACTCCTTCAGCTTGCCCACAAGAATGACGGTGTCTCGCATGGCATAATTGACGCCGTCGCCGACAAAGGGCGTGGTAGCGTGTGCCGCGTCGCTATGCCATTTTCTCCCTTTCATCAGTCAGACATAGAGTGTCTCACCCTTAGCATTTCCGCCCCCAGCGGCCGTGACCATGGAAGCCTTACGGCTCTCGTATTTGTGCACGACGGAGCATTCGCGACGGACAGCAGCTCGTATCCTCAATGTGACTTGGCTCCCATCACCAACATGAACGTTGAGGCTGGGACGCCCATGATTTCAGTTGGTATCAAGTAAGGCTTTCTCTTCTCGTCAACAATTGCTCCCAATACACGCTCGTTGCCAAAACACTTCTCATCTGGTGTATTTTAGCTACCGTGTGGGTGCCCCAGGCTTCCTCTACTCTCCCGCAATGAAAGACGCGGGATACAAGACCAACAACCGCCTCGATGATCATCGGGTTGCATTGCGCTGGATTAAACATCACTAATCTAACTTCTGTCTGCTCCCTCAAGGTGAGCAAGTTGCCGGCATAAGGTCAAAAAAACACAGTTTTATCCACAATTCAAGCATTTGTTACCCAATGCTGCCACAATGAACAGATATCCAGCTTTTCGAGAATGATGTACCGATCAGACTCAGCTGACTCTCCCCCAAGTGTGTCAAGGTTGCTCGCTCGACACTCTTTGGATACATTACGACGGGCGACGAGTTCGAACAATACTGCAATACGCTCTTCACGATGCTTGCCGATGGACAACTCAAAGTCAAGATTCACAAAACATACCGCCTAGAGGATGCGAGTCAGGCGCACAAGGTAAGACAAAATCCACTCGATAGGCGATGACCTCACCAACAAGGTCCATCGAGTGCCCCGTATTTATCTACATGCTTACTTGTGGCCATTCAAGGACCTTGAGAGCCGAAAAACAACGGGAAAGGCACTGATTCAAATCTAGACCAATGAAAGGGGAGGAATCAGGATCTTTGGAGAAGAAATGGTGCGCAATGAGATGAAACGGGCGGGGATTAAAGGCCAGGATGCCCATGTGCCTTGATTGGAGGTTTCCTTTTACATATTCTGTTGTGCCAGCGACATGTTGTTCTCGAATACTTGGTCGGATTTGAGAGTTGCTCACGCACTAGAGTAGATGGCAGCTTCGCACATTTAGTCACCCAGTCACCATCGTCCATTCAATATTCCCGCATTTTTCTCACCGATTGACAGTGACGTGCCCACTTGGTAGCCCGAACGTCCCGGCTGGTAGGTGTCGAACTGTGGAGTGATGCTAGAGTTCCGCACAATCTCCGCCGAGCTGAGGGACTGAGGCGGCATTACCGCAAGCCGGCGAGACCCGGGGAAGTGGAAAAAGGCGGGCAATCACGGCAACTGTCTTGCGGAGCAGAGCCGTCGTCCCAAAGCGGCTGGCCTTTTGTCCAGCCACGAAGTACAGGCTCCTTGCCTTCAATGGACGAGAACTGCTTGCAATTTCTGCGATATGGACTGGTGGCAAAGAGTGGTGGATGGCTCCCGCACAAACGAACAAGCCGGACCTGATGAACGTCTTAATGGCAAAGTCAGGACATCAAATAGCCATGGTGATTCAGCTATCAGGTGGAACATATCAATGCGGAAGTCAAAGCGGCTTGTTCCCTCTCAATAGCTCTATACATATCTTCTCCAGCGTACCTCGCTGTGCAATTTCTTATCTTGCTCTTAAATCGAAGCTTGCACATCTTAATGCTCTGATTGTCACTCTCCATCCCTACAACAAAACGTAGTGTAATAATGGGTACCACCTCTTACGTCCCTCTTCCAACCCAGATCCTGTATCATACATCGCCTCAAGTCTTACTCGTATATCCTGCTGTTGTTCCACGTCCGCTTACAACGCTATTAGATTGAATGCGGATGAGCTGCGAGCGAGATTTTGCCTCGCCATGTCATATAGGTATAGAAACGAGGTTTCTCTTTATGGAGACTTGGTTCGTATAGTCAACGAGGTCAATGACTCAGTTCTGTCAGCGTAGGGCAAAAAGACGAATAATCTGTCATCTAGCCACAAGCTCAAACGACACTGTGCCATCCGGCTCGGCTCCGAGCACGAGCTTCGTCTGATTAAACGGCTGTTTGCTCTCTTCGGCATGCATTCCGTAGGCTACTACGACTTACGTGTTGTCGACTTCCCGCTGCATGCTACAGCGTTCCGGCCCCTTTCCCTCGAGTCTTTGAGGAATAGCCCATTCCGCGTCTGTATCTGGATTCTGTATATGGACTTTATTGCCCCGGACATCCGAGGCGCGTCGAGGAGATTCTTGGTAAACGAGAATTATTCTCCTCGCCGCTGCTCGAGATGATGGATCGGGCAGAGGCGGAAACAACGATGAAGAGTCAAGACGCCTACGACCTATTTTCACGATGGACGATTACTTGACGCTCACAAGAGAGCACCCGATGATTGCAGATATTGGCTGCTTTCCCAGCGCACACATCAATCATCTAACACCTCGCACTCTCGACATTGACCTTGTCCAAGCAGCCATGGTCAGGGAGGGTCTTCCAGCTAATGAAGCAATCGAAGGGCTACCCCGCCGCGAATGGCCAATCCTGTTAAGGCAGACAAGCTTCTAGCCTCTAGAAGAGCTTGTGACCTTCTCCAGCGCCATTGGGACGCCCGTCACTGGCACCCACACGGCACGGCTCGGCGAGGTTGGGCAACGCGGCGCTGTTAGGCCAATAGGACGGGTTTTGTTCGACGAGCTGCTACAGTTGGCTTCCCAGCGAGAAGCAAATATATAATATTTGGACTTCGCTCTGAAGGAAGCGTTTTCGAGTTACCCAGACACCTGGGCTGAACTTTGAGTTCGCGGCTTGGTCTACTTTCGGTATACCATCACGCCAGCTGGTCTCGTCTAGAACTTCCAACACCAAAACTTTAACCTCGTCTTGTACGAGGTATCGGGACCCGGTTCATTGTAAGTGACAAAGCTTGAATCTATCTGATAATCTTAAGTGAAACTAAAAAACCAAAATTCCTCTGACAAATCCCTCGATGAGGGAACGTCGTGTCTGAATTTACTGCATTTCCGTTGTGCACGTCACAGTTGCCAAGGCCCAAGTTTGAGTTTCAAGCTGCTGTTTTTCCTACTGCAGGAATCCTGTCTAAACCTTTCTCCGATGACTGCAGACCGCAAGGTCGTTGACTGCAGACCGCAGGGTCAAAGTCAGAAAGGTGGAATTAAAACTTCGGGCAGAAACAGTAGTCACGGCGGCCAGCACCTATCGACTTAGTAAATTGGCCTATATCCTTGCCCGACTGATTCTCTTCGGGATTTCTTATACCTAATGATAATAGATGATTTAGGAAATCTAAGCCTTATGTAGCTTAGATTTAGTCCATAAAACAGGGCGAAAATTCGAAACGCATTTTTTAAAAGGTGCGGCTTAATGATTTATCTTGCGAGTCCTAACAAGGTCCTCAATAGTTCCGTGGTGGCTGCTTGAATTGTGGATAAAACTATGTTTTTTTGACCTCGTGCCGGCAAGTTGCTCACCCTGAGGGAGCAGAAAGAAGTTAGATTGTTCCTTGATGGCCTATGAAACATAAACCTTCATCCCACCTTGATAGGATCGGCATTTGCCCTGTATAATATCCATCTCCCGACGTTAGGCAATAGAAAATTCTCTCCCTCCGACATCACTTGGACTGCATTCATCTCACACCCATCAATTTCATCGTCCCCTTCTTGACACAAGTTCTGTCACCACTTACACAACCACAATGCGCTTCACTTTGGCTCTGGGCGTTACTTGCCTGGCGGCAGTGAGCGCTCTTCCCACTGGGGATGGCCATGGTGGGATTTCCCGCCGTGGTATTTTTGACTGGTTCAAAGGCAAGGAACCCGCAGAAGTCCCCGACAACGGCCTCGTGGAAGACGGTCCACCCCCGCCCAAAAGTCTAGACGATTACTATCCATCTGATCAACTCCCGATGACCAAACTAGAGTATGAAAATGGCGCCGACTATGTGGAAACAGCCCAAAATTTTGTCTCGGCCATGTATCCTCAGATAGAATTCACGGTGGTCCCGGACAATTACATCGGCAGCAACGGCGTCGGTCATGTTCACTTCAGGGAGGTCGTGCTTGGTAAAGAAAACCAATTATCTCACCTGACCGTCAATGTAAGTTCTGGACCAAGCTCCTTGAAAAGGCCGGAATAGTGCTGATCAAACCCGCAGATTGATCCTCAAGGGGACGTCTTCTCTTTTGGGGGCAATTTTCGGAATCGGAAAAGTCAATTTCGGTCATACTATCCTCCCCGTCTTCAAAAGCGCTCTGACGCAGATCCTCTTGAAGCTCTGAAAGGCGTGGATAAAGCCCTGGGTCTTGGAATGGATCTGAAGAATGCCAAGGTCGAGGTTCAACTGGATGCAGCTCATAAGGAGCTCAACGGTCGGAAAGCTTTCAACACCTACAAGCTCACTGGCATCAAGGGTGTGGCTTCCAACGCCAAAGCTAAACTCTGCGTATACCCCGGGGCCAACGGAGATCTTGTGGAAGCATGGGAAATCTACACGATGCAATCGGACAGGTGCTATGTTACCTACATCGATGCTGCAACCAACACGCAGATTCTCGATGTTTTTGACCAGATACGGAATTTTTCTAAGTTCAAGGTTTAGTAAGTCCATAAGCCGCGCATACCTAAGTGTGGTAGCAAATGAACACCTGGTTTTCATAATGTCGCATTTTCAATTAATACACACACCTTGGCTTCTCCCTTTTCACTGAAAATCTTGCACCCACATGACTTGAGTCGTCGAGACGGGATGAGATGAGATGCCAAGGTGTGTGAATTATTGAGATTTACGACATGGGAAACTAGACGGATGCTACCGAAGATGAACACTCAACGCTAACCCGCTCTTCATTGTTAGTCCATTCGATGTCAGCGACCCGACAGATGGCCCCCGTACTGTTCTTAAAGATCCCTGGGATATCAAGGCATCTCCATACACCTGGATCGATATGAGCGACATCACAACCTTAGGCAATAATGCCATTGCGCATTCAAATCCCGAGGGGTTGCAGGATTGCCTCGATTGTCACCGCGCTAAAACTCGAAAATACAACTTCGACTACGATTACGATCCTAAGATGGACAGCCCTGAGAGATATCGCGACGCCGCAATCACCCAAGCTTTCTACACCGTGAACAAATGTCATGACGTCTTCTACACGCTCGGATTTAACGAGGTGGCCGGGAACTTCCAGACTTTTAATAGCAGGAAGGGGGGCCTCGAAGGTGACCATGTCATTGTGAACGTCCAAGTAGGGACGAAGGTCAACAATGCCATCATGGTAACCCCCACCGACGGAACTTCGGCATATATGTGGCTGTATCTGTATAATAACACCACCCCAGTAAGAGACGTCGCTTTCGAGCGGGGTATTGTGATACATGAGTATACTCATGGAGGTAAGTCACAGTTCAACCCTCTGTTTGCTGAAGTCAAAAGCATACTAACTGTGGCCTGAATGCAGTTTCGAACCGTCTCACTGGCGGTCCTCTTGGCCGATGTCTGGAAGGATTCGAGTCTAGGGGCCTTGGAGAAGGCTGGAGCGATTTTATGGCATTAGCCCTTGGCCTCAAGCCAAGCGACAAACAGTCAACAGACTGCTTCCATTCACCTTGGGTAAGGGACAATCCCAGAGGAGGCCGTATTTATCCTTACAGCACAAACACGACGACAAATCCAATGCTTTACGACAACAATAACGGTCAACAAGATTACTACTTTCTCGGGACCTACTGGGCGAATGTTCTATTCGAAATCATGTGGGACATGATCAGGAAGCATGGGCGCAATGACGATGCGGTTCCAGAATTCCGACCAGGCACAGCCATCCCCTCTGATGGAAGGTACCTAACAATGAAGCTGGTTATGGATGCCATGGCATTGTAAGTCGTCTTAATTTTCCTTCCCTCGGACATCATGCAAATAGCTGACCCTTTGTGCTACAGGCAACCCTGCAATCCAAACATGATACACGCTCGAGATGCCATTCTTGACGCCGATCGTATTCTCACTGGCGGTAAAAACCTATGCACACTCTGGAGGGCGTTTGCGAGAAGAGGCCTGGGCTCCGATGCCAAACATCTTCCAGGACGTACCTTTGATGAACAGGGTAATAAGGATGAACGGGCTAATAAGGATGAACGGGTTAATAGTGAGGACCTACCAAAGGGTGTGTGTTCTTGAAAGAAGGCGGTGGAACGGGAGACGATTCTTCTAAAATGCCGATTACAAAGGCTGCACTATCAATTGTAATAGATTTGCTCATTACTGATATGTTATTAAGTTGTACAATTAGCAACATAATCAACCTCTTCGCGATGATCCCAGGGCCTGTTTCCACTGCCACTGGAAAGCGAATGCGATAGCCTGCAACGTCATCGTAGATGTTGTGGCCCTTACCAATGAGCTTCACGAGTCCATCGAGCAAGCTCGCTCTTCGCCGCAAGCCCCAGAAGTCGTACCTAGCACATCGAAGCTCGCCTCGTCATTCTAGACATACCAAGATGCGCGATACCTGGCCGTCACGGAAGGACAGAAGCTGGCAGGAAATGTCACCGCCAGGGCGACCTGGCAGACTGGCGTGCACAAGTTTCTAGATCGCTGCGTCTTCTCTTTACAGTCGTTGCAGGGACCTATATCCAACCATTCAGCACCCAGGATCGCGCAGACGCCTGGGCTCAACTTTTGGAGGTCGAGGAACAGATGACCGGCAGGGTGCCATGAGCAGTACCCATCACGCTCAAAGTCAACTAAGCTAGAAAGGAACCGCTTCTCTTAAGTTTTTATTGCATTGTATATTATTGTCTTTTTTATGTTGGAAATTTTGATATTTGGTCATTGTCATAACATTGGGTAGGAAATACTTGAATTGTGGATAAAACTGTAATTTCTTTTTACCTGGTGCCGGCAACGTGCGTACCTTGAAGGAGCAGACAGCAGTTAGATTAGTTAGATGGAGTTTTCAATTCAGCAAAGATCAAAATGTCATTCTCATTTTAAGCTTGTCCTTCTCGACGATCTCATCTTTTCTTCCCAAAAGCTCCTGCATATCCCATGGGCAGCTCACGTATCTGCCACCTAACCACTCCTTGCGTTCAGCGGCCAACCAAACAATTGTATCACCAGCTATGTCGGGACGATCGGGCAATAGATTTCGCATCTTCTCGGGCAACTCCTTGCTCATCTGCGTTTTGATTGCCCCTGGATTAACACAAAATGTCAACAGCCCTTGGTCAGCATATTCAATCTGCAAAGTCTCCGTCCACCTCAGTATCGCCAGTTTCGAACTTCGATAACTCCCACTCCCGGGGCGAGCAGTTAATGCGCCTGAAGAAGAGACGTTAATTATCGTGCATAAACCGCCGGTACTATCTCGCGTTGAGAGTTGCATGGGAAGGAATGTGCGCACCATATTGAAGAGGCCGCGCACATTCACTTCCCACGTTCGCCAGTAGACATCTGGGTCTGAATCGAGGATTGGCTTATATGGCTCCTGGTGGGCCGCATTGTTGACGAGAATGTCCAGACATCCACCGAAGCTCCGCGACACGATGTCGTGTATTGCTTGGACGCTGTCTTGATCTGCGATATCGACCGTGCAGCTAAGCACCATAGGCTCTGGGCGTCCGGCTTGCGTCGCAGCCAGCTTCAACTTCTCGACAAGATCATCCGACACGCCGTGTAGATCGACTACTGCGATTGAAGACGCTCCTGCCCGAGCAAAGGCCGTGGCTGTGGCGTAACCGACTCCGTCCTCCCAAGCTGCGCCTGTAACCACAACATGTTTGCCAGCTAGGTCAAGCTTCAATGGGGAAATATAGTCGTAGGTCGTGGAGTGATGCGTGGCTGTAAAGGAGCCGCCAGATAGCTCTCTTCCAGTCGACATTATTGACTTGTCGTCGCACGTGGAGAAGGACGAGCCAGGAGATCTGGGACTGAAGAAGCGCGAGTGAAATTTGGCTGCATACCAGCCGAAATGGTCGTGAGGAATGATGCTGCCTTACTTAAAGGGCTCATCAGAGAACCTGATGCAGCTATTTAGCCGCTGGGTGCTTCGTTGATGCCGGATGGCGCCGAGACGATCCACTGCCACCCCGCCCACTAGGACCAAATCACATTGATCGACTACCTTGAAACCGTCAACGTCACGTCTGACTGTGGACCTCCGTTAACACCCGAACTCAGGTCAGGCCCGATAGGACACTGGTCGGCTTGTTGATGCGGGCTCTCTCAGATACTCTCAGATATGGAAAAGACTAAACTAACTTGTGTCTGCACCTCAAGGCGAGCAAGTTGCCACAAGGTCGGGGGCTACATCAACAGAGAAGGTGCCGAACAAATCGAACCAAGTGGATTGCATTGCTCCCCACTGATCCAGATCAGTGCCGGCCTGCTGGTCAGACTCAGTTGAGTTTGATATAGTGCTGTAGTCGACGAGGAACCACATAAAATCTTCCTCGGCTTGGCTGAGGCCGATAATTTGCGGTTCTTCGGATGCTAGTTGAGAGTAGGCCATGCGCAGGTCTGAGAATCGCTGGAGAAATGTCGCCTGGATTGACACCTTAGTACTAAAACAGTACGTCTGTGATTGAAGAGTCTTGGAATTCGATCAAGGAAAATATGACGGACTGTCGTTCGGCAACATACCATAGTCGCCACATTAGTCCAGTACAGACCAATATCTCGTGCGATGTCTATGCTCGCAGAAAGTAGACGAGCCGAGTCATTTGCTCTCGAGGGCTGGTTATTGTGGCTCTGGAGACCGACGATGGAGCCAGCCATAATCATGCAGTAGCCGTAGAAGGACGCCTGGATAATGACGCCGAGACGGCGGGCCTCCTGCAGAAGCTCAATCATTGCTCGGGCATGTTCCCATGCTGAGCGGAAGGAGCGAGAGAGGAAGCAGGACGGGACACCAGCTCCGAACGAGGAAATTCGTCGCCGAAGTAGAAAGGGGTGGTAGAGAATGCAATGGCATAGGTGAAACAAGGCCATTGAGAAAATTCCAGGCCCAGCGCTGGGCTGGTCGATGGATCCGTCGGGAAGGCGATGGGAACTTACAATCTTTGCGGCCGATTTCAACGGTAGCAGAGCAGTCTCTATATATAGCAAATCTGACTCGATAGAGGCACAGTCCGAGTTGGCATCCCAAGGAGGATTTTGGTTCCGGATGTTGAATTGCTGAAGCATATAGCCTGCCGCACGAGCTAGAGCATACGCCAAAAGCGTGACGCGGGCGAGCGGGCTGTGGAGTACGCTCTCAGGAACTGGCTTCCGCGATATAAACTCCTCGAGCGTCATCGTGGACTGCCCGGAACCGTCGCGGTAGGTAGGCTCGTCACATGGTAGTTGAAGTTGGCAGGATGCATCCAAAACAGCAGGAGGGCGACCACGGCCACAGGAAACGAGACGATCGAGGAGATAGATAGACCAGAACACACGACGACGCTCCTCACGCTCAGGGCATGGAAAAGTCGTGTCATCCTCGAGCATGAGTTTAAGATCCTGAGCCATACGGACCGAGAGACCAATTTTGACCCAGGCCGAGCCGTGGCGCGCTTTGCCAGCTGGAATTAAAGGCAAGATAATCTAGAGTCAGCCTTCATCGCAACCGGGGGCAGACAGAGGGAGGAGCCGGTTCAATAGAACAAAGTCATGGAGGGGAGAAAACCAACCTGTGAAGTCGAATATTGCCAGCAGGGTGATAGTCTGGACCGTTTGTATATGAGCTGCACGATTCCGAGCAAGGCAGCTAACGACAATTGCCTCCCAGGAGCGGTTTGCATACTGCGCAGCGGTCTCGTGCGGGTCGGAGAAGAAGGGGTCGGACGAGAAGCGGGCGGCGCTGGCAAGGACAGCGAGGACGAGGTGGTCCGGCAAGAGACCACGCTCAAGACTCCGGCGGAAGCTGGCCTCGTGGAAGAAGGAATAGGGTTGATTGTGGCAATGGCGAAAGTAATTATTGACGCAGTCCAGAAGCACAGCACGCGGGGGGAACGCGGCCAGGGAGACGGTACCGACGCTTGGTTCCGAGGCTACTGAGGGAGACAAGGGCCCTTGCGGATATCCCGTGTGGCTCGAGGGAGTTGCGGATGGCCTCGACGCGGACGAGAACACCACATCAGACTCTCGAGAGGGACCGATGGGCTGGGCACGTAGATCGAGTAGGAGGTCTTCTATGCGGCTGAGGCGTTCCGAGATTGATGCAATCGATTCTTCGACGGTTCCATTACCGGATGAGCCAGCGGTGGCTGGAGCAGCTGGGCGCGTTGACGTAGATGTCCGACTGGATGCTAGCGGATACTGGCATTCTGCGGCGAGTGGCAAGATCAGCGCGAGGATGAGGATGGGTTGAAACAAACGAAAATACAAATACCCACACACACACACGCACAAGAAAATGGGCTGGGGAAAGGGAGCGGCAGGGGCAAGGAGTTCGTTCAATGGGGTCAATACCTCGGCCGAGACGACGGCAATGGCTACACTGAGGCCTGTGGCCACTGCATCGAGCCTTTTTGCGGCGACATTCCAGGCATGCCAGATTGATACGCTGCACCGGGCGATACCCCGCTGCCATTCCTTGGTGCTCGACCTGCTCGTCCATAGCGGCAATGTCAAAGTGTGTGGAACCTGTTCGCGGGATGACGAGACTTGCGAGTGGTAAGCTTGGAAAGTTTGTGCGGAAGTGCTCCCCTTGCAACCCGGATTACTCGAACCGGGGGTACGTTTAATTAGTAAACAAGTTATGTCGCGTGGTCCGACGGGATGGACAATTGGACTCTTCTTCCATGACACTCCGGTGGGCCCTACGTTAGCGGATGCTAATCACACCAGGACCAATAACAGTTCAAGAATACGGAAGTATGATGCGAGATGCAAGTCATGGGCCTCGCTTGCTGCCATGAGGGGAGTTTCAGAGGGACACAGAGCCTAGCCAGATTCAGTTAATGTTCAAGTAAAGTTTACACCTTCACTTGGGGTACGCTTCAGCTCCCCGAGTAACCAACTACCAGGGTGTTGCCCAGCGATGAAAGGTTGTCCGCTAGATCTTCTGTAACTTCAGGGTGGTAGAGACGCCAGACAGTCAGGAAGAACCATCCCACGGTTAGACAATGCAGTCACAATTTGCTCAAGACTCGGTACATGAAGGTCCTCACTTGCTCTACTTCTCCTCCTACCTTTGAGCTCTTCACCACCACATCAATCCCTTACCCTCAGGTCTGGAACAGCCCCAACCCTACAAACGAAACAACTGCCGCTCCCCCCCACAATGCCCAAATCCCCTTATCCCATCCTCTCGGCCCCTGCATCGCAACCCACGTATCCGTCACACACACAAGAGTCCACGCCATCGTCAAAACTCCCATCTCCTTCGTTTTCCCTTCACGATGGAACCAAAACAACGCTGCTGCAGCGGCCAAGTCCCGTATACCAAGAAACACCATTGCTTTTTCGGTTATGGTGCGGCCTTCTGGTGTGGTGGGCGTAACCCCGAGAGATTCTCCAGCGACGGGCGGAGAGAGTATTGCCAGGGCTCCTAGACCGAAGATAGTAGTTGTGAGGCCAAGGCCAACGAGGCGCCATGTTGAGTGGGTGAGGAGGCGGTTAGGGAAAGCCATAGTAATATTGGCCTTGTGGAATTGATATTGGAAGTGGTAGAAAAAGCTGTGAAGAGTTTGAAGACCAAGGGGGTCCGATACAACAGCTTTCGGAAGCTTGCGGATGAGCCTTTTGGGTTAACCCTTGATAGGAAAAAAAAAGCACACCTAGCAGCTAAGGTGATAAGGTGTCGTGGAGATGAAATGAGAGAGGCCTGAAGTTGAAAGAGAAAAAGAAGCTGGAATTTTCAATCAATTGGACTGACAGGGAATTGAGGTATTCAACTATTAATCCCATGCGGTCATAGCATCCCAGATCACTAATGTGGCCTGAATTCCCTATCCTCCTCAGTGGCCGGTCCGGCCGGTCCGGCCGGTCCGGAGGGCGGTCGGCCCAATTGATAAAAATCCCGTCCCGAAACTTCCCACTTGTTAGCGACATGACCAATCTTAGAGTGGACTGTGTAAAAATGCAACCCACGAGAGTGGCGAGAGCGGAGAGGGACGGACGATTGCGAGTGGAGAAGGAACCCGCATCAGCCGTCAACTTTACTTTTCCGTATGAGGCATTAATCTTTATTCGGAATGGTCTTTCATACAATCTGGCGATCAAACATGATGGCTTTCTTGAGTGCTTATTAACGCGTTGATCATTAATCATCACCTCCTTAGCTCCTTCGCGAACGCCATAACGTTATTACCAAGGATAGATGATAAAAGAGACTCCAGGGGCACCACCTATTATACATGCTTTCTCATTACAGTTATTGAATCTTCAATCCGCTACAATGCCTTCCCCTAAACTCTTCGTTATTCTTGGAGCCACTGGCAACCAGGGGGGATCTATCGCTAGCACGTTCCTTGCGGAACCCGGCTGGCAGGTTCGCGCCGTGACTCGCAATACCGTGAGCCCCAAGGCTCAGTCTTTGGCAGCTCGCGGAGCGCAGGTCGTCCATGCAGACATAGACAAGCCTGAAACGCTGTCGGCTGCTTTCGAGGGCGCCACTGCCATCTTCGCCGTCAGTGACTTTTGGGGCCTCTACGGTGATCCCGCCAACAAGAACAAGGCCAAGCCTGGACAACCGTTGAATGCTTGGGCAGGCGAGTTTGAAACTCAGCAGCTGAAGAATGTCATCGACGCGGTTGCTAAGGTGCCTACGCTTGAGCGCTTTATCCTCTCCTCACTCTCCAACGCGACAAAGTGGTCCAAGGGAAAGTACACCCATGTCTACCACTTTGACTCCAAGGCAAATGCAGAGGATTATGGCAGGGAAAAATACCCGGATCTATGGGAAAAGACAAGCATATTTCAACCAGGCCTGTTCCTAAGCAATTACGTCGCCAATCCTATTACTCAAGCAAGCAAGGTAAGCGTGCTCAGTAAAGCTTACATGAACTTTACTAACTGATTAAGAATGATGAAGGAGTGGTCCAGTTTATTGGGCACTTGGAGCCAGATGTCAAAATCCCATTCATCGCCGCTGAAGAGGATTCTGGTCCTATTGTCAAAAGACTTATCGATGAGCCCGCTGGAAAGAGCATTATTGGTTACAGAGAATGGTTGACTATACAAGAGCTAGCGCTCGCATTCACAAGAGCCACCGGCCTGAAGGCTGAGTCTGTCACCTTGCCCAAAGGCGAATTTCCTCTACCCCTTCCAGATGAGTTGAAATTAGAGCTTGAAGACAACTTTGCCTACTTCAACGAGTTTGGTTATGAGGCTAGGGACGATCCTGCTATCATCCATCCCAGAGATGTAAGTTGACTTGGGTTACTGGTGCATCAAGTGTGTTCTAATGCCTGGATATAGTTGAAGTCACCGCCATCACTTGATACCGTGGAGAATTACTGGAAGAAGCAGGATTGGTCGAAGGTCTTTGGTGCTTAAAGCTGAGCAATCGCATATATAGGGTAAGTTCTCAGAATGAGTGAAGATTTGACCATTGCCTTGTTGGGTTCTGTCGGTGGTAGCTTTGAAGGGGAGCAGTGCTATGTAGGCCCGCCAAAATAGATATGGCGCACGAATTCGAGAAGCAAATGTTCTGAACCTAGTTGAGAAAATCATGTCATTTTGATTCATGGCAGTCTGCTTCGCAGGAGGGGACATTATGCATCATAGACACGGTGTTGTTAGACAAGGATATTGTTGTCGGAACCGATTTTACTACTGTGAACCTTTCTCTAAGGGGCAAATGATCATCATATCTACTTTAGGGTTAGGCAAATCGATGAATTTGGCGTGCAATTAATGGGTGCCTTTAATAGTTGGGTATTTTAAATCACCATAACCAAACGTCTTCTTACCCTACACAAAACACCACCTGTGGGCTGCGGCAGCTTGATTTCCGATCACAAAGATAGCAGACAGGCCAGAGCGGTCTAGCGAGCTGGAAAATGTTTGATGAGATTTTTCCCTCTCATGGGGTCGTTGGTTGCACAGGGTCATATAAGGCTTGAAAACGTCGGGCGAGGGACGAGAGAATTGGAGGGACTTACCCTGGCGGTCTAGAACGTGAGAGACAGAGAGGCCGCCAATGATGTCAACATTTGATGCTAATCCTGATAAGATGAGGGCTGTGCATCTGACTTCTCCACTGTTGAACCCCGGAGTGCGGGGGATCGAATTCTCTTTGAAACAGATTGTGCTTGCATCGATGCTGTGAACGAGTTAATGCAGTACCATGCAATGGATCATGAGGGATCCTAATTGGACATAGCGTTAGATAGCAACCATAAATGCCTCGTGGTCATCTCCACCCCCTTAGTAGACAGCTTGATGATAATTATAATTACTTACGAAACTGCGTGCGTCTTTTTCGCTCACACCCAATGCCCGTTTCTTGGCCGCCTGCTGCAGAGTCTTGGTCATTCAAAGTTCTTGCAGCCTCAGCCGTGCCATCACATTGGAATGGACCCTGCGCAAACCAACTTCCAAAGCAGTCCCTCAAGCGATGGCTTTTCGGACTCGGCGACCAGCGATGACGAGGACGATGTTCCCGCCGATATAAACCCCGCCAGTTTTCCTCTTTTTGTTGACACCAGATCTGAGGGGATCGGGTTGCTTGCGACAGGCCCTTACCAGAGTGTGACCTGGCGTGTTAGAAGTAAGTATTGAGCGCGGAGACCATAGATCACCTGCTAACGAACGATATTTACCAGGCGGCATCCAGAGAGCACATCAATCATGGAATTCGATACGCGACATCTTCCGACGAAAACGGTGGCCGTTCATATCTCTCGTCGAGCCCCAACCTCTCGAGGAACTCCCCCGCATGAGTGAAAGCGGGAGCGATGCGAAACATCAGAAGAGCACTACGGTCACAGGACAGCTTCGAGAAATGCTGTTGTCGTCGTGGCTCAACGCTCTTCTTGTGTTCATACCCATTGGTGCTGCGACATATCTGACCAAGTCGCACCCACTGCTAGTGTTCTGCTGCAATGCTCTCGCGATCGTGCCTCTGTCTGCCTTGTTAACAGAGGCGATAGAATTGATTGCCACCGAAGTAGGAGATGCTATCGGGGCGTTGTTGAACATTAGTTTCGGCAACATTGTCGAACTGATATTATTGTGAGTTGAATGCTCAATCACCTTGACGGCGGACTAACCTTTGCAGTGTGTGAGTGAACCGCTGTGTGTCAGAGCCAACACTAATTGGGTAGGATTGCTCTGGCCAACAATCAAGTTCGTATCGTCCAGGCTTCAATTCTTGGCTCGATACTCGTCAACTTGCTATTGATCCTCGGATCTGCGCTGTTGGCAAGCGACATAGCTCATCTTGATCCGATCTACAATGCTGGCGAGGCCCAGTTACTCGCTTGCTTGCTCTTTGTCTCTGTCTTCGTTATCTTGATACCTGTGAGTCGCCTACACCACTGCATGCTCATGTCTAATGCCACCAGACCGCATTCGTGTATACTGTCGGCGGTCTGAGTGATGGAAGCGGAGCGACTCTGAAAATGAGCCGTATCTCAGCACTGATGGTACTGCTCATCTACATATTGTACTTTATGCACGAGATCAGATCACGCCAGAAAGACGAAAGAGCCATCACCCCGCTGGACATTGAAAGCAGACCAACACTCGGTGGACCTTTTCATCAACGAAGTGCATCAGGCTCGCAAATTTTGCCATCACGGACGATACGTTTTGCAGATGAAGATGATGAGAACATTGGTGGAAGTTTTGCGACCCACGCCACGGATATGGAAATCAACAGTTCCATGGGAGACGATAACAATGCCGACTTCTTGGAGCATCGCGGACGTCGTGGAGACGTGGGGAACACTCCCAGTGTTTACCAGCAATTTCCACATCGATACACACATTCCCGCTCTCGCTCACATGGCTCCAGTCGAGGGCACTATAGTAGAGATTCCTCCATCAGTGGAGACAGGCGAGGGTTTACTCTGACACTGCAATTGTTGAGGGAATCTCGTACTAGCATGGATCAGTCTATCGATTCTTCGGTGCACGATCTGCAGGACCCTACAAGTTACAGGACGTCCTCTGTGCTTGTGCTCATATGCACCTCTGTGCTCATGTCGATGTGTGCCGAGTTTTTGGTCAGCACACTTGATGAGATTACACATGAAGACGGTCTGTCTGAAGCCTTCATCGGCCTAATCATTCTTCCCATCGTGGGAAACGTTGCTGAGTATCTCACTGTTGTGATTGTCGCAGCAAGAGGCAAACTGGACCTGGCAATCGCTGTTGCAGTTGGCTCATCTATCCAAATCGCTCTCTGCGTCACTCCATTGACAATCATGGCAGGATGGGCACTCCAGAAAGACTTGGAATTGACTTTTGATCCTTTTGAAATGGCCACACTTGTTGGGGCTGTTCTGTTGGTAAACTTGTTAATCCTCAGTGAGCAGAGCTCAAGCTTGCGCACAACTGGATTGAAAGGAGCATTAATTTGTGCATGCTATTTAATATTCAGGTGAGTCATTCCATTCTCATTCACGGAATGAATATTAACTATACAGCCTGGGAGCCTATCTTTTTCCCAGCCGAAGTAGGTGAGGGCCATTTGGAAGAGAAGAACGGCAGCACCACAGACCATGCGCATTGGCCATTGTGTAGGGGTAGTCTAAGTAAGCTCTGTAGGTATCTCGAAGAGAATTTTGTCATCCTCTGAAACGGGCAGGCGTGCGTTGTAAATATTCTGCTGTGACTGAGTGGAACACAGATGTAATGAAGAATCAGCACGTGCTACTCTTTGTCATTGACACGAAATAAATAAGAACTGACCACTGTGGGCATGGTTCCTTGAGCCGACTATCTCAGGGGTATAGAGACTCCGAAAGAAAACAACAGTACACAAACATCAGGAGTCAGCCGATCTAAAACTAACGGACTGACTCAGACTGTCTGACAAGATCAAGTAAAATGAGGTCTCCAATGGGGCCACGTAGCTTCCCCTCTTCTTTCTCCAATCGCGCTTGCATGAGCCAATTGTGTAGACCTTTTGTTGCTGTTCCCAGTGCCCCCCCTAATGCCAGACTGAATTGATAGCCCGCGACCTCTTGTGCTGTGCGGTGCTGACGGAATTCCCTGCAAAGAGATGAGGAGCTTTGGCTATTTGAAAATTTCCTTAAATTTCGCCTGCATCAGGGTCTTAGCTAACCGTCAAGACAGCGGATTTCGTGATGCTCAGACTTGTAGGCTAGAATGCTTGACACTGCCCCCAGCCATCAGCATGAACCATGGCCTGTTGACCACACAGCGAGGATGACAGGAGGAAAAGAGTAAAGGGCATTGCGTCAGCCGTCATTGGCGGCCTCTTGACGTCACGGTGGATTCTTTAGATGGGCTGACCCGTTTGTCGCCCAGAAATGTCTCAAGCGCTAGATTTTTCGCTTGTGACTCCTCGTGCCTCTACACCAATTTCTCTGGGTGTCAATAAAGAGCGCACCCCCTTACTCACAGCGCTGGAAAGGACCCCTGCAAGATCACAGGGGTAGGTGCCTTAGCAGAGAGGCTTGGCTGTCCAAGTGCGAGCCGCGAAATGCTTGTTTCGCTATCCCATGGTGCAAAGACTCTCGTCCTCGTCGATCTCTCCATGTGGAGACGGGCTAAGCAAGCAAGTAGCAGGTTGACCGGATGAGTGTTACTGGCCGACACGTAGAAAACATTGTCTTTGCGTACAGGGGTAAATCCCTCAACTTTTCCGATGAGCGTGTGGCGGGGATTTAGATGTGCATTTCAGGCCAAAGCGACTCTAAGATGTACAAAGTAATACGGCGATGATGGACAAGCCCCGTAGCCATGCTGGAGGGTTGGCTAAAGCGAGTCTAGATGCGCGTATTCTCTTGGAATAAAGAGTTCTTTGATCACTCGTCGAATTTCGTGGCGCCATCATTTCCACCATCTCTTCTCTGCTCGTACAATGCATCACCCTCGTGACCAACATGGCCATAGCCATCTCGACGCTCTCCCTCTGCGAATCCCCGTGACTCGTCGATACACTTGCTCCAAGATTCCTCGGTGTCGAACTGGGCCTGTGCAGGAGCGGTCGACACTGATGGAAGAAGATGAAGAAATCTTTCCGTACTTTTGGTTCGTCTGTGCTCACAACTGAACATCCCCGTCGGAATTGTATACTGTTTTGGGCGTTTCACTAAAGAGATGTATGGACACCAGCTTGACCTGCGAGAGGGAGTTTGTCCCCCACGATCATGAGTTCCTATTCTGCTCTGAAGAGTAAATCTGGGCCCCAGCACGCTCCATGGCCGCACAGTCCGAAGTCGCGCTGATCCTCGCGAATAGCTGCAGGATGATTGACCAAACAACAAGCTCGGCGGCACCAACAGCTTCCAAGTGCTATCACACAACAGAAAGTTATCCCTGTTACTCCACATCGACGCCTCCACCCAGAGACATTATTCCACAAGCATTGCCATCGCGGCCTACGACAGGGTTTCCAAATTGTTTATTAACTTCTTCAGGGATTGAAGGAGAAGACAATATTTACAATCACACATCAAGTACAACGGGTGCCCAAACCGTTTCAGCTGTTCTTAAATCGGCTCAAAAGGCAGCGTTACTTTTTCAGGCGCAAAAGGGTAGAATAATTAGACGCCAACGACATGGCTAGTCAGTCTGACAGTCTAGTAATTGACTAGGCGACACTGTTCACGTGGTTTGCTGTGAGAAGTTGATGCGTAGACTTGGTGTATAGCACCACACAATCTGAGGTGTGATGAGCCAAACCAGAGCTCAATTGTTACACAAGACGCACAGAAGGTGATACATGTGGCATTCTGGATGCCAATCCCGGGGACCATACGCATGTGTCTCCGTGGCGGTAGAGGGGCTCATTTCCTCCGACCATTTTTTCTGGTTTCTGGGGGAACATACCCAGGTAATTTTTCATGGACATGACGTACGACTACACCCACTGACTATCACAAGGTGCGTGGGTTTTGGCCGTCAATTGCACCAGCGTTTTGAGAGAACCTCGTGTCGACAAGGAGGAAAGGTGTGTGTGGGCAAGTGTCCGCTCGGGGCTGTTCTAGGCCCAGTTCTCAGGTTCGAGGCAGCGGGATAATTGCATGACGAGGGCAGAGGGTCAGAAGACGTCAAGTTACACGAGGGGGCCATTGGTCCTGAAAAAGCCTCAGTCAACCCCAGGACTTTATCACCGATGGGAGCTAATTTCCATAGCTGCACCCATCAGGGAGCGACAGCAAAAGGTCAGATGCCACGCTCTCAAAAGCGACCCCCCTGAGTTTTGATCACACGCCCAGGCCGGGCCTCCATCACGCCCCCACCAGTCAGACCATCTCCGAAGCGCGGAGGAAGAGTTCCTCTGTTAACTAAAAATCTTGAATATTTACTGTAAGTCAGTTAAGACGATACAATACTTCAACCAAAGGACACCTAAAGACTTCTAAATCCCTCACACAAAAAGGCACCTCGGCAGCCACGTGTAAAAGGCTAGGGACGAGCGGAGCCAGCGCAGGAACTTTTGATGTCTCAAATTGTCACTCTCACACGTAGCGATCAATTACGTATGGTGGCAACTCACCCAGGCCTAGCCCAGCCTTTTGCTTCCTTATTGTTGTTGGCGAATATGCACAGCTTGATTACCTGGTGAGTCCCTGCTGTTGCATTGCTTGCCGGGGCCAATATGCACGGCGAGATCAAGACATTGATCAAGCCCCTCACACGAATGGGGGGTTGAGCTGTAGTGAACTGACAAGACCCCCCTAGTACTGTGACTGCCCTGGAGTTGAGCTATCCAAGAACAAGGAATTTCACTGCAGACTGGCCGTTTGTGTTGGTGATCAGATTATCTGCTCTGGCCAGGGCAAGCCAGTTCCTGAAAAGTTGTACTTTGATATTTTGGCGCCGAAAGGAAGTCCCGGCTCATCCTGGGATCTAATGGAATGATACCTCTCGATTTTGTTTACATTATATCCTAAGGTGGTGTATGGTACAACTCACAATGACGCGCGATTCCGTTCACTTAGAATCCAAAGCAACCACCTCAATCTCCACTCGGATATCATCCTCTCCTAGTTGGGGAAATCCCACGAAGGTCCAGATAGGACAGTGGTCGGGCATCTATTTTATAAAATTGTGCACCATGGCCTGGATCGCCTCATCGTTGATTGGTACGTGATGGGAGTTGACGCGAAAAACCTGAGACCACCCTTTACCACCAGCGTCCCGCAAATTCAAGTCCACATTCGCGAATGCCTAATCGATCTGTGCGTTGATCTCTTGGTAGATTACACCTGTCTCGAGATTCCAACCGCCTGTTAAATGATCAACAGCCAGCCAGTGAAAGACGATGATGAGAGATGGGGCAAGGAGCCGGGGGTGGTAAGATAAAGGAAAATCACTCACCTTGCCCAGCGCATTCGATGTGGTCGCCAACTCGGACAGCTTGATTGTAGCCAAAATTGGCACGATTCCGCTCTCCGACGCCTTTTAGGCAAAGTACTGCAGTGACGACATGGTATCGGGGCCGTTGAGAAATGGGGATATGCAGTTATATCTTTTCACTGTTGTAGGTGAGTATGTCTGAATTGTGATGAAGTTGACATATTTGGGGGTTTTGTGCGATGCTCAAAGGCTCGGCGTTCTAGCTCCATGCCGGCTTCCATCGAGTCCCGCCGCCGGGGACAGTAATTCTGACCGATAATTGCCGAAGAGATAGCGTAGGACTGAGTAGAATAAAGTCTATTCGGTGTTTTGAAGCATCTCAATCCGCATCTCGGCCGACTGCGCTAGCCATGAAACCAGGTGGAAGCTCGGCGATTCTCTTAGCCGCGGTAGTCTGACGACGACGCCGAGATTTGACTTTTGTTTTAGCTCAATCTTGTATTTCGTGTTTAGAACGTTAGAAATGCGTCTCACTAGGAAGTGACTTGACGGAGCTATTGTTGACACCAATTTGCCACGCACTGGAAATTGGTGATGAGAGTGTTTATTTGAGTATACAAGTGTTGAAATAAGACGCCGCCGTGTTTCCTGGCTCATTCCGTAGACTACAACATGGTATAACCCTTTGTCCTTTCGCTTTCTGTTTCGAGCGCCACCCCAGAATGTTGTCCATCATTCAGTGGGAAAGGGCGACAGGACACGGGAACAAACGAGGTCAGGTGTGACTTCGGTAGATTGATTGATTGCAAGGAGAGAAATGGTCACCATGGGCTGCGGATGCTTTACGTCGGCGCCGAGCGGCGTTGCTGCATACGGCTTCTTTCCCCGCATCATGAGTTGTTCGCCGAGCTCCAGACCGAGTCATTGGCGGGCCCCCTCTCCAGTGCTGGGTGTACTTCATGGACATCTCTTTCCTTGTTGCTTCACCTGAATCTGCCTTGCCTTGATCTGTCAGTGTATTACTTGCTGGGACTCGGGTGATGCAGAGAGATGTAAATTTTTGAAAGTTGATCAACTCAGAAGAACATGGAAGTAGTTCCATCTATATTTACCCAACCCCAGGCGCCAAGAAGCGAGCAAGCACCCCTAGCCCGTATGCGACACCTGGTCAGTCAGCTTCGGGGGCCAAATCTCCCACGGGTTTGACATTCAAAACGAAAACGTGCTCAGCGCCAAATTCACCAGCTCGAGTCCCTCAAATGGGCCCCATGTCTAGCTCATTTCCACGCGGTCCGCCTCCTCACACTAGAACATCTCATCACGTCCTCAACACCCAGGCTGCCGACAAATCATCGGCAGACAGGACTTCAGCGACTACGAGTCGTGAGCATGAAGGACCGGAGACTCTTGTGAACGCGGCTACTAGAGTAAGTTTAGTCACCGCTCGACAATTGGCACATGAGGGATCGCTCACGCACCAAAGACACCTACGTCGTTCGAGCCTGGAATTACCGCCAATGATAATACCGCTTCGCCGTGGGCTCCGATTCTGAACCCGGTTTCACCCTTTGCAACCACGTCAGCCCAGTTGCCGAACCGACCGCCTGGCCCTCCCGCGGCGGCGAATCAGTAACGTGACGGCCTGTTCTCCTTGGCCGGTTTTGAAAATGTTTGCCATATCAACCATGACGAAACGGACACCTGGCTCCTGAGTCCTGTGCGAGGATCACTGGGTGGAACCCGAAGGCCATCACACCTTTCGAACCGCGTTGCCTGTCATATCAAGAATTCAAGTGCCGTTCAAGGTTGAGAAGTACACCTTTCAAGTGAAAGAGGATTGCAGAGATGCTAAGCCAATGAGATATATAAAGTCCACTTTCGGTGGAATTGTGAGTGGCCAAAGACATGTAGAGCATGTCCCACGCCCAACCTACTTTATTTATTTCCGTGGTGTTGAATAAATCAGGCCGTCCGTAACATTGGAAAAGAATGTCCTCCAAAAATCGGAAACCCACGATGTCCCTTTATACCACGGTCCAATATCCGCAGTAATTGGAAGCCTGTGTTGTGCAGCTTGCATGTAGGTGCTTTTATTGCACAACATTCGTCGTTCGCGCGGCAGCTTCGCGCGAGCTTCCTCGTCGCCAACAGTTGGGATTGCCTCAGACGCGCCGACCTCTTGGCAATGTTTGATGACCCGGATGAATGTACGAGTGCCAATATCCGCGCCAGGCGTCCACGTGCCGGAGATGTATCCGGATATGAATCCCGCATTTGGGATACCTTCAATCATGCACGATCGCCACACAAAACTCTCACCCAAGACTACCGACTTCCCATCAAGGACGGGGTCAACACCACCCCAGAGATTGATATTGAGGCCCGTAGCTGTGATGATCATATCCGCCTCGATAAAATTGCCGCCTATGGTCCGAATGCCTGTTGGTGTGACTGTTTCGATGGTATCTGTGATGATGTCCACATGCTTATGCTCGACGCGAATGAAATCAGCATCTGGACAAACGCAAACTCTCTGCTCGCCCGGGAGGTAGCCGGGGGTGAAGTGCTTGATATCAACACGCTTAGGCAGCACTTTCTGCATGACCCCCATGAGAAGGTTTCGTAGTTTCGGCCCGTTCTTTTGATCTGTGCTACCAGCATGGCTTCCTCAATCACTCGAATCCACCAAAGTAGGGCTGATGACAGCCAGAAGGGGAGCCACCAGCTCAGCCTACGTTCCAGGCTAGGGGAGGATGGGATCGGCAAGACATATGACGGACTTCTCTGTAGCAAGGTAACTCGCTTGGCCTTGTCCACTAAGTTCGGTAGAATAGTGATAGCAGTCGCTCCTGAACCGATCAAGACGATGTGTTTCCCCGCCCAGTCGGTGTCTTCTTTCCAGAACTGAGGGTGGATAATGTCGCCTTGAAAGTCGTTCAGACCAGGAATTGGTGATTTCAGGGGCTGGTCATAGGTGTAATAGCCCATGCAGTTGATCAACCATGATGTCGTAAATATCTTGGTCTCACCGTGTGCGTCAACGGTCACGGTCCAGCATTTATCGGCGGTCGACCATTCGGTGCTTTGAACTCGATGTCCGAATTGGATTTTGGCATAAATGCCTGTCTTCTTGGCAGCCTGATGAATATACGAGTTGATTTCCTCGCCATTGGCCAGCGTCGTTGACTTGGGCCACGGCATCCACTGGAAGCCGTATATAGTCATACGGCTATCAGTGCGCAGCCCAGGGTATTTCCAAAAGTCCCAGGTGCCACCAACTGTTGAACGTGCTTCAAGAACTCCGTACTCCATGTTGGGAAGCTGCGTTTGGACCCTGTAGGCAGCATTTATGCCCGAAATGCCGGCACCAAGAACCAGTACTCCATAATGCTGTGCTGCCATGTTGAACAGTTCGGTGGAAAATTCGGGGGAAGAAATAAATAATGTAATGGAGGGTTCGGGCAGGATGAGATTCCAAGAAGCTGAAATCGGGTGGACGAAGCACTGCTGTGCGGATGCTTAGGAAAGACTATATACAGGAAATGCGTGCTGTTCAATTATATCAAGGACGGATAATATACGGCTACTCTTTACGAACCGCTATCCATCGCTCTCGGGGACGGGATGCAGATGTCGGCCGAACACTGAAACCACTCCACTAATCATACCAGAACTTAATCTTCACAACAGAGCATGCGAAGACACCTAAACGTGCATCTAGAATGCCGGGGGCAAGTGTCCAATATTACTAGGGCCCCGCAACCTCTTGATATAAACATTCTCATTTTCGGCGTTATTCTATCACGTTGCTAAGAGGAGACTTCCAGAGGAAAAGTCGAACGTGTGAGTGTGATAGGCACACCTTGAAGGAAAAGGCACTCTGTAGTGGGTTATGGATTTGCTTTCCAGCGCGAAGCAATCAGTTCAATCCCTTAACGTAGAGAGCGGCCGTTATCAATTTAGAAAAGTTCGACGTAAACTTGTAATTGTAACATACCTATACATAGTCACCACTGTGGCTCTTCTGTGTGGACTGGCAAGTCTGAGCATTTTTCTGCCCAGTATTACGTTCGGTTACGCATAATTATGACTCCAGAAGCCGTGAGCGTTGACAAATCCTAAGGCTGGCCCAGGGCAAAAAGTCTCCAGTGTCAGTTAGTCCATACATGCCTCTGAAAGTTGCTCGACATGAATGCCACGGTTTTTTACCGAGGGGTAAATAAGCATGGATATTTTTACGGACAAGAATTGGGACAATAACTAACCTAGCGTCTGAGGGGTTGAGCATTTCCATCAAAGACTGATGAAGCTGCTTCAAGATACTAGGCTTCATCAAGAGGAGGTTGTTATACAAGTGGCATCTGTCTTTATCGCCATCATTTTTGTTATCAATGTGTCACCAGATGGCCGGTGCTCTTCGGGACACCATGTTTCGTCAAGATCAACCAAGCAGCGCCTCTCCTTGTCCAGCGTTCCGGGTCTACGAATCTACGCATCCGGCGGAGACAACCCAACTACCTGCCTGGGCCATTTCGTCCATGGTCTCCAGTAGCTGCCCAATGACTCGTTAACCACCTCGACAATGTCCCGACCCCAGCCCTGGAGAAACCAGTAGTCATCCAGGTCGTGCAGCAGAGCGCCAAAATAGGAGAAGATTACCAGGGCTGGGGGCTGCCTTTGATGTACCCGCAGAAGGTATTCCTCTGAGGTTTCATGCAGGAAGGCTATGGATCCGGCCCACTGCCTGTTGAATGTCCATTCCTTCTCTCCTTCAGATGGCAAGCCTTCATGCCCACCGCCGACAGCAGAATTGCCCGCGAATTGCATAGAATAGAGGTAGCACCGCCGGAGCATGCGCCAGGCATCGTTGTAAACGTCAATATCCGGGATGGGTAGGGCGGCCCAAGCCTCGGGAACGACGCGAAAGTGCTCGTCATTGACGGCGAGGTCGCTGTCCGAGTCGAGCTCTTCCCAGTGGTCCAAGGACACTAGTTGGGCGAGGGGCCCAAGGCGAATCTGCTCATAGGCCGCTGGTTGGATGATGGCGCCAATGCCGCGTACCATAGGAATCCACTCGCCGCCGAGGACGCGGGCGGTGCGCTGGCGGAGGCCGGGCTTACCGTCAAGTGAGCTGTGGAGACCGCCCAGCATGCCAAAGATGTAGATCATATTGAGGATTGAGCACGCAAAGAGAGCGTCGCTGTTACTGTAGTCCTCGCTTGTGACCATGTGGTCGATACCTTCGCGGAACCCCCTTAAGGCGGTGTTGTGGTGGCGGGCAGCGTCGAGGCTGTGCTGTTTCCGGCTACCAGGGTCCGTGAGGGCGAGGTGCAGGGCAGCGAGGCTTAGGATACCGTGCATGACGAAGGGGTGGTGGAAGCCGATGTTCGGGAAGGTCACTTGCCAGCAGTGGTCGATGTTAGGTGACTGAATGATAGTGCGGCTGGTATGAAAGATCCATTGGTGAAAGAGAACCATATCATCCATACCGAACGAAGTCAGGGCCTCCTCGACGCTGGACGAGCCTTTGCTGCACGAGTTCTGCGTCGAGTACGAGGTTGATGCGGAGGAGGCTCTGTAGCTGTTGATGGGCGTGACGGAGTCGACCGGGGAGGTGAGGCGACTAGTACTCGGTCCGCGATTGTGAGCGAGTGCGAAGTCAAAAACCCCGGGTGCCCCGGAAGTCGACCGCGCGACGTCGGGATACAGGCATGGAGCTTCATTTCGGACACAAGCTGAGCATCGTGGCTTGTCTTCGCCGCACTGAATACCCGCTGGTCAGCGAGTGGACAAAGTAGGGGCGGCGGTTGTGGAGAGAAGAACAAGATCACCGTCATATGAAGGAATTTTGTGCTCTTGCTCAAGTACTCCGTGCGCCATGCTACGTCCTCACCTTAACCTTTCGTCTCCGACACTCGGAACACCTATTTCTAGATTTCATGTGCGGCCTGCGTGACCTGCGTCGATTGGTCGTGCTGGCGTCCGAAGACTTAGCTACCTTGGAGACTGAATCTATACCGGACGGCCTCGCAGCGAGGAAAGGAACGATGGAAGCAAGAGACGATCGTAGCGGTCGGGCAAGCGCGAAGATAGAACGGGAAATGAAACGGATTGAACGAGGGACCGAGGGTGCAAGAACAGGGAGAATGCGTTTAAGGTTCATCCGGGATACGAAACTATGAGCGAGATACGAAATACGAGCTCTGGTGCTTAGCCCACTACAGGGGGGCTTAGCATAGGTCTAAGACACAGGAGCAAATGTGTTGCAGGCTAGGTATGATCTCGACGAGCTTGGGGAAACAAATGTACATGGAAACCTCGCTATATGCTTTGAGTAAAACCTTCGGGCTAGAGCACCCCACACGAGATATACAGGACTGACATGTCTTTATGCAAACTCGTGGGCATTATAAGCTCGGCTCCTCAGGCTATTGGTCAGCCAAGGGTTGCGTTCCGCCTCCTTAATGGCATTGCCCGCCGAACTCTCACGCGTTTCAGTTCAGCTGCCGAGTCTGCCTTGCCGTGCTGGGTCCGTTCTCCTGTCCTAGGACCACCATTGCCCGTATCACTCCGGAGCCTCTCGTCGTGACGGCTCCGCTTTCGACGAAAAACTTATTCCAGATCATAGTGGAGAAGGTTTAATGCCACCGAGCGGTCCACCGCTATGCCGAGTAGTCTGCCCAGCTCACCGGATGCTTGATGATTAAAAGACTACAAAAGGGCCATAGGGCCGTCGACGGTTACGACAAGAAGACAACCACAAAAGACACCGACAATAGACAACGGCCCAACAACAACCTGTTCTTGTTAGACATGGAAATTACTACCTCGCCCGAGAAGTGGCACTCTACGTCCGGCTCAAGGAACAGGACTACCAAACAAATCAAGGACCATCTTCAGGGCAACTACGTCCGTTCAACTACAGCGTTATCCAACCTGTCCTGGCGCAATAGGCGGAATTCATGGCTCTCGGTCTTCGCCTGCATCTTTATGATCACTGTACCTTCCGCGCTGACTATCTTTTGCTGGATCGCGCTTGAGTATTTCGAAGGCTCTCTATTTGGCGCGCTGAAAGAAGCCTATGTGCTCCGTCTTTCGTTCGTGAAGCAGTACGCCCCCTCCGCCGACTTGAGGGTCACCATCGCCTACTTTATCTGGGTGCTCTTCCAAGCTGCCCTATACACAGTCCTTCCTGGCAGAAGTACTGGTCAATTGACGGCTGGTGGCAAGTTGCTTACCTACCGCACTAATGGTTTCCAGGCCTGGATCATCACCGTCCTGGTTTTTGTTCTCGCCGCCCTGTTTGGAGCTATCGACCTATCCATCATCGCGCATCACTGGGGGAACCTCATCGTCATCTTCAATATCTACGGCTACGCTCTGTCAATCATCGCCTACCTGAAGGCTCACTATGCCCCTTCGCATATCGAGGATCTCACCTTTAGCGGTAAATATCCTGACTCGGTTCTTGCCTTGACCTACAGAGACCAGTTACTGAGTGGCAAAACAGGATCTGTTCTCTACGATTTTCTCATGGGCATCGAGTTCAATCCTCGGTTTGGTCAGGATTGGGATTGGAAGTTGTTCCACAATGGCCGACCTGGTATCATTGGATGGACCTTGATGTGGGTTCTAGCGTGTGGCTGTCACTTTCTTCCATGTTACTGATTTGAAATAACAGCGATCTTGCATACGCTGCGCTCCAGCACCAGACGCATGGCTATATCACGAATTCGATGGTCATGGTCAACATGTTCCACGCCATCTACGTCGTCGACTTCTTCCTCAACGAGGACTGGTATGTCCCATAGTTCAAGTCTTCTCTCCCGCAAAGAAAGCCAACAAAATACAGGTACCTTCGAACCATCGACATCTGCCACGATCACTTTGGCTTCTACCTCGCATGGGGCTCCGCCGTCTGGCTGCCGACCATGTACACTCTCCAAGCACAGTATCTAGCTCGAAATCCAGTCCACCTCTCGCCCTTCGCCGCGGCCGCCATCATGATGCTCAGTCTCAGCGGTTACGCCTTGTTCCGTTCTGTAAACGCGCAGAAGGACCGCGTCCGCCGCAGTAACGGCGACTGCAACATCTGGGGCAGGAAGGCCGAGGTAATGCGCTGCTCTTTTAAGACAGCGGACGGAAACAACCACGACACTCTTCTCCTAATTTCGGGTGAGTCAACAGAATTCATTTTACTTGCTACTAATTTGGAAGAAACTGTAAGGATTGGTGCTAACTCAATCTACAGGTTGGTGGGGCCATGCTCGCCACGTCAACTACGTAGGCGATCTAATGCTGTCATGCTCCATGTGTGCGCTATGCGGCATAAGAGATCTCCTCCCCTGGACTTATCTCATCTTCATGGCATGCATTCTCGTCCATCGCTGTTACCGCGACGAGAAACGCTGTCGCATTAAGTATGGAGCCGCGTGGGACCAATATTGCTCCCTCGTTCCATGGAGGATGATCCCCGGTGTTTGGTAGAGCCTGAAACGACTAGGGAACGACTAAAATATCTTCAGAATCTAGTCTTAGGCTAGATAGTTGGTCCTTCGGGCTTCTGGTCAGATATCAACGTCAGGATTAGATACCTGATGTCGCAGCCCCTTATCTAGTAGATTGGGAATAACTAGAAATAGGGATCTTGGCCACTCGTAATACCGAGTAATCAAGGGACTTTATCCCTAATTAGAAATTAAAACCAACTAGGGCTCCGTTTAAGTGTTCCAGGTTAGTTGCAGCTGCAGTATCCATAGTCTGAACTTGCACAGTTAATGCTTACTGCCCCCGTCAGTAAGCTTTTGTCCGCGTTGTCTGTAGATTGCTGAAGGCTGAGATCTGGCGTTAACGGCGCGCTTATTGGGCTGACGATACCGAATGGACGACATTGCCTTCCTAGCGTGGCAGATTTTGCCCCTGCCGATATGGGAAGGGCCTCGGAGTGACGTTGGCACCTTTTTGTCAAGGGAAAGGTTTAAAGGAGACCAGGGGGGGTAGTCTTTCCAAATTCCAAACCTTGATAGAGCTGGAAGGGTGGGTGTAAAGGCATACTTACTCGGTGTGTGTGCGATCGGATCCAATCGGCGAGTTAATCTTTGCGGAAAGTTTTGGGAAGAAAGAAAAGGAGTTCCATCCTCCTGGGCGGAATTTTTATTCAGAAGAATAAAGGACGGCTGCTAATTAGGGTAGTTGCTTGCCCATTTAAGCAGCCTCAACTAACCAAGTCAGGCAACTTGCTTGTTGGTTACCCTGGCAAGACATAAGGTGACAGAGAACGGTTTAGGACTAGTGAAGATGTTCGCTGACCCGGTCGACTTTGGCATAATACGCGTCATGAAGAACGGCTCTCGTCGTCTTGGACGTGGAGCCCGCGATGCTTTTGTAAATTCCCAACGCCGGGTACGGGATGAGGCCGGACATGGGTGTATTCAAGGCCAGTACAAGCGCTATCAAGGGAAATCTCACGCGCCCGGGTTAGGCACTCAACTCAACTTACCACTGCCAGGATTGGCGATCAGACCGAACCCTGCGTTTCCGATCCCTGTCACCGAACCCACGGGGCCTCCTTGAACCGCATCTACGACGGCCTGTTTGAAGAGTCACCAAGACGCATTCAGGAACCCGTATGCCAAGTTCTAGTGGTTAAGTATTGTCAGTCACGCATTCAGACTATTGGCAGGCGTCACGTTTCACGCCTTTCCAGCCTCGGCTGTCCCGCTCTTCCACTCCATGATCTTATCGTGTTTCCGCACCCGGTCTCCATATGGCTCAGGGAATTTGCGCCGTCCTTCCGTTGGAGCAAGGGGCACGTCGACTAAAGATCCTTTGAGAGGACTTGACGCAATTTTGGAGCCCCGGTTGCGGGCGGACAGACTTGTCCCCGTTGCGGGCGGATTGACTTGCCCCCGAATATGCTGCCACAGCAGGGGCGGAGGCGAGTTGAACTACGCTAGATGGAGTTGCACTGCTGGCGCTGGTGCTGGATGATCTGCCTCCTTGTTCTCAAATTCTCAACTTGCGGTCCAATATTTACCCGTGTATGCTTTCGTAGGGGCGGACACGAGACTTCCGAAACCCACCGAGAAATCGACCGATGAATCAAGGAGCGCTGGTGATGTGGCAGTCAGGGGATCCCAGCGCCGATTCTCGATTTCTATCGGATTCGGGCGATTTCGAGTCAGTCTGTCAGTGCGCCTAGCATCAGTGAGTGTTTTGGACGTGGGCTTACAGTCTTACCATGGCGAGGTCAAGCATTTGGTGATGGCTTAGGACACTAAGGGCTCTAGAAGAGAGCTTCAGGCCGTTTCTAAACTTCTTCTTCCTTTTCTTAGGGAGAAATTTGGCGTCGAAGGTCCACGTAGCAGCCTCTCCTGGCAACAAGTCGCATGTAAGGCCTTCTCGGGGAAGATGTTGATGGAACGACTGCATGGCATGCTTGACGCCGCTCTCTGTCTTCATCGTTGCCGAGATCCTTCGTGCCGCGTCTTTGGTAGCAGAGGCGAGCAGTGTTTGTATTGCAGCAGCGAGGTTTTCTTCGTCGGGCAGCTTGTGGTTGATGGGATGAGGACCAGCACCGGCCACTGCAAATCTCTCACCCAGAAAGTTTGACTGGATAGCCCTGTCAGCATTTCTATTTCGATAGCGGACCAGATTTCTATCCGTACTCCTCAATGAACGGCACAATGGATGTCGGACATGCGTTAAGCAACCCACATGCCGCTATTCCTGCTCCTCTATGGTGGATCAACCAGCCACTTGCTTGAATAACCATTCTGGTTTCTATTGTGAGCTATTTTCTTTATCGTTTCGGGGGTTATTGCTTGCACTTACTATGAGGACAGTCTCCGATTTCTCGTCACCCCAACCATCGCCAAGTTCACTTCAGCCACTAGAGATAAGAGTGCCAGAACTGCTCGAGTTTCTTTTGGACGATGGTTTGTTTCCGGTTAATATCGCCGGCCTGGAGTAATGCAAATAGGGTTTGACCAGGGTTCTTCACCACATACTAGCTTATTATGTATATGCGATCCCCACCTGCGGGGAAGAACTCCAGTTTAAAATCTGCAGCCTTTTACGACGAGTAATCAAAGCTGTATTTATATTATTATTAGTAGAGGAGTAAAATACTATATTAGTAGAAGTATATTAATAATAGATTAAATATTCTTTAAGTAGATAAATAAAACTGACTTCTTATATAATATAACGTACATGATAAGCTTGCGTGACAAACAAGCTTGCGTGACAAAAATACTAACCTTTAAAATTAAAACTTCAATAAAAATACAACAACACCTTAAATCAATTAAAACTAATTGCTATACTCTTCTCTAGAGGTCTCAATAACAGCCTGACAGGTCCTTGCATTATGACTGGCCTTTCCATAAGTTCCACAGCGCCTTTCCCTCGGCATCACCGACCTCGCTCGACCACCACTTCTCGACGATTCAGCTGCTACCTGTGCATCGACATCTCTCTAATCTATCTCACCCCTTCCCTCATCTACAGTCATCTTCCCTCTATTCTGTAGGCGGGTCCTTTTTGCTCTGCGCCGCTTGCTAAGAGTCTTATTTGCCTGTCGAAGGATCTGGTTCTCAGACTTCAATAATGCCATTTGATGCATTATTGCCTTTGTTCCCTTAGAAAATGACTCAAGCGCCTCAAGGATAGATGCTGGAGAGCTGCTCTGATGCCTTCTCACTCGTCTTTTAAGGTATTCAGACTGCAAACTAGCCTCAAGCACTGTCTTTGGGGTCTTCGAGACCCAAGGGTCGGGGAGGCCGACCTCCTCTGCAGCTGGTGTTGGAGTCCGTAGCTGCACATCAAGCTTCGATATGACATTTTCTGGGTTCAAGGGAACAAGTCCGGCCCCTCAAAAACCTCCCTCAATATTACTCCTTGTCATAGCAGCTGCGTGGGCAGCATAGAAGGCTGGGAAGAACTCGGTCTTCGTAACGTGGGTTATAGAGCATCTGATCAATTGCTCAATTTCTCGACCATAGGCTGTTTTAAGCGGCCCAAAGTATCCAACATCAAGAGGCTGGAGCAGATAAGATGAATGAGGCGGCATACAAAGCATAATGATGTCGTTCTCTTTACAATATTTCTCAAAGTCGATGGAGTGGTGACTTTTATGCCCATCGAGGATCAGAAGACGATAGCGACCGGTCGATCGATCCTTTGTGTGCCGGTCAAAGTGCTTGAGCCACTCAAAACCTGTCTCATTGTCGGTCCAGCCATTTTGAGTCGTCGCAATAGCCCAATCGCCCGGGAGGTTGCTTTCCTAATACCAGCTAGCGAGGTGATATTGGCCCGCAACTACGATGAACAGCTGGATCGCCCAGCCTTCCGCATTGATCGCCTGAATGACTGTAACCCATTCCCGGTTTCCAGGCTAGACTGATTTCGGGTTTCCACGCCTATCTATGCCTGTGACGACCATTCCGCTTGCAATAATACCCATCATAAAGCCAGTCTCATCAAAGTTGTAGATATCAGCTAGGTCGATACCATATTTCGCAATTGTGTTCTCCACGAGCTGGAACCAATTGCAAATAATAGTTGGATCTTTGCATTTAGCCCTCTAATAGTCATATTTACGAAAAAAACGCGTCTTGAGCTCTGGTTGTCGCCTGATAAAGTTAGAAGCCCAGCGCTTGCCGACGGGTGACGCGTCGCGGTCGGCGAGCAGTCGGTTGGCCATTTCTTCAACACCACGCAGTCGCGGGGGAAACCCTCGCGAATCCAGGTCGAGGATGAACTGAATAATAATCTGCTCTTCTAGATCAGATAGCTTGCGTGATTTGGGGATCCAATCGCGTCGGGATTGAATCCCCTTCTGCCGGCGCCATAGCATCATACGGCTAACTTTGTAGATCTCTGCAGCGCGTTGGAGCTTTAATTTTGGGTCATTTTGAAGGGCCTGAAGCGCAAGAAGGATTCTACCCTCAATATGAGGGTCAGACATATTTTGTGGTTGAGAATTAATTGATTAAATGGAGATAATGTAGGTGGAGGGATTTTTGTCACGCAAGCTTGTTTGTCACGCAAGCTTATCATGTACGTTAGCAGTAATATTATAAATAAAGTAATATAGTAAAGTAATCTGTTATATCTAGTAATATATAGCTGGTATAGCAAGCTAGATAACCAAGTTATATTGATAGCTAAAGAGCTTGAGGTCTGTTACTAGTGCTATAGGTTTGTATATATAGTATGGAAACCTTAAAAGTCTCATATCACAACTTGCTGGCAAGGAAATCTCCATCACGCCCCGAGAGACCACCTCCTCCTCTTAGGGTACGAACGTTCAGTTTCACGGAGCGCAATAATCCTCTCCACAGCCCGCTCAGCAGCAATCATAACAATGGCCTGCGTGTTTCCAGTGGGCAGGTCGGCGTGGAAAGACGCGTCAACGACGAACAGATTCTCAGTACCGTATACCTTGGTGTCCAGATCCACGACGGCGGTGCCGCCCTCACGTCCATCATCCGTCCCCATCTTGGCAGTGCCGACCATGTGGATGCCCGGCTGCACAGTGCCCGCGAGGACCGACGCGGCGGTGGCGTTGCTTCCGGCGCTGAACACGAGGGGACTTCCTGGGCGGCGGGCCATGTCGAGCAGCTCGTTGATGGCGAGGGTCCATGCCTCGCGGTCCGTATCCGTGTTGGTCCACGGCTGCTTGGTGAAGAGGGTGTTACCGGCGGGGCTAATGGCGAGGGTGCCGCGGGAGGTGAGGCCGTGGCTCATGAGGAGCATAATGTTGACCGTGTTGTTCTCCGGGGCGCTGCAGTGCGACTGAAACATGATCTCGTGGCCGTCGGAGGTGGTGACTCGTCTGAAGGTGTCGAGCCGCTGGAACGACTGCGTCAGAATGCCCGAGCCGGCGTTGAAAAGGTCCTTGTCGGCTTGGGAGGGGTCGGTGAGCTGTTCGGGGCCGTAGGTGGCCAGGCCGCCGGGGACGTTGAAGCGGAGCACGTAGCGGGAGTGGTCTTTGACGTCGAGGCCGACCGGGAGGTTGATCCATTGGCTTTCGTCGGGGAGGGTGACACGGGTGGTTCCAGCCCTGACGATTTCGATCTGTTCCGAGGGGCCGATACCCGAGTTGAAGAGCACGCGGGGCGTGGACATGACGCCGGCGGCGAGAAGGACGCTGCCGCCCGCCTTGAGTTTGATAATCTGCCGGCCTTGGGCGTTCTCGATCTCTACGCCGGTCATGGTGGCTCCGTCGCGCAGGACTCGGATGACCACGGTATTGAGCTCAAGTTTGAAGGAAGACTTGGCCTGGGCCAGTGGCAGGTATGTATGGATAGGTCCAGAACGTAGACCATTTGCAATCTTTGCTCAGTCAGCTTGTGCTTGTCATCGAGATGTGGTGCAGTGGAACTTAACAACTCACGTTTACTGAAGGAGGGCCAAACGACTGGAGCTTGTCATCGGGGCTTTCGATGCCGTCGGCGTACGTCCATCCGTTCTCCTCAAACCAGCGCCGCATCAGATCCGTCACCTCATTGTCATAGTACTTGCCGTCATGGGAGGGTGAAGTCGTTCCGGGGTTTCTTGCATACAAACGTGCGGCAGCAGGAGCAACGTCGGCCCACTTCCATCCCTCGGGCCAGTTCTCGTCAAAGTCCCAGGTGGGCGGGTGAATGAAGGCCATGCCATTGACGGAGCCGCCTCCACCCAGCACGCAGCCGGCGACGGCGGCCGTGTCAGTGCAGTATCCCTCTCCGAGGGTAGCCTGCGGCAGGGTATTGAAGAGGCCAGGGACATCGTAGTAGGTCAGGCTCTGGTTCCAGGGGACCAGGCGGGTGCCGCCGGTGGATGCGGTCGAGGCCATGCCGCGCTCGATGAGGAGGACGGAGCGCCCGGTCTCGGTGAGGCGCTGGGACGTGACGAGGCCGGCCGGCCCGCCGCCGACGACAATGTAGTCGTAAGTCGAGTTGGAAACCGGCACGGTGCCGTTTCCTGGCGGAGGGTTGCCGCCACCGTCCTCAGGAGGTGTGGTGGTGCCCTCTTCGGCCAGGGCAGCCCACTCGGCAAAGTCAGCCGACTGCGCCGCGACGAGATCGACACCCAACAACCCGAAGCCAGCGGCGTGGAAAGTGAGGCGGGATGCGGGATCGGCGGGAGCATTGACGGTGGCCGTGGAGAGACCGTAACCGACGGTGGTGGAACTGGCATCAGCTGCGAATGTTGTTCCGTCTGTCTGGATGCAGCCCTCGCACAGGAAAGTAAAGGTGTAAGACGCGCCATCGAATGAGGTGCCCTCTGGGATCGTCCTGAGTGAGGCAGATCCGGAGAAGAGGCCGGGGCTGGAGTAGCCCGTTGAGTGACGGAGCGAGCCTACGATCTCGTCCTCATGGGGCCAGGCGACGACCATGAGGCTGCCGCTCATCATGCCAGCGAGCGAGACTCCAGCCCATCCCTCGGATGCCTGAGCGCTAATGCGCCCGATGAAGTCGGTCGTGGGGTTTTCGGGCAGGGCAATACCGAAGCTGTAGGCACCCTGCGTGACCTGCTGGAAGGTGATGCCCGTATTCGGGTCGGTGAAGGCCGAGGAAGACTGCTGGGCACTTATCACGGTGCCAAGGAGGCCGAGGCCAAGGACCAGCGACGCAAGAAAACTGCTGGGCTTCTCCATAGCGGGCGTTGAACGAACGTATGAAGGAGGGGCTGTGGTGAGAAACGAAAGGGACTGACCATCTTGGAAACACAAGGTCTGTCGGGGAACACGAGGGCCTAATAAGATATGAATGCGATTTGATGTTCCCCTTCGAGTTGATCCATCCTCGCTGCCGGAGTTTTAGATATATCGCCGGGGTGATTCTCTGGCCCGATGACCGATGTTTCCATATGAGTAAACGGAGCCTTCGCGGAGCGATTACCCCATGCGGATCCCCCCAGCCTCGGGGGCGTCTTTCCGTCTGGTGGCTACTTGTACTTTTAAAAAAGAGTTTCGGTTTCGGTTTCTTTTATTATTGGGTGCACCGCCAAGATTCCCGAGGTTTTGTTACATTTCTCCCCTGAGCAGGGGCATGTGTCAACGGCAATCGACAGATGTAGCCAATGGGCCGATTTGCAAATGCAAGCATGTGGATTTACCCCTGACTAGTATGCGGTCCAACATGGAAGGTTGCATTATCTACAAGATCCGATCCCGATTAGGAGGACTGATGTCTCCCCTGGTCTCCCCCACATCTAGGTTCGGAGTAGGTCCGCTCCAGATAAGGTTAAGTTAGATCTTGGCCCCAAGGCCCTGATCGTTGACGCCGGTCAAAGTGACCGGCGTGCATAAAACAGCGCCAAGACGGCGCCTTCCCCGATTAGCACTGTATTTCCGCTGCACAAGAGAGTAGTACCCACCATCGAGAATTTATAAATCTTGGATTCGCAACTTTGGCCCCTGCCATCAATGTATCGAGCTAGCAGTGGCCGCTTACGACCCCAAATACGGTATTGATGCCAAGAAACAGGGGTGTTTTGACCGAACCGGCCGGGTCAAAGTCACCTGGCTGGTTCGGTCAAAAGTATCTATACTACGAAGATAACAGCAATAGCAGCACCCAAGCCGATAAGAGGTCAATTTATTAATGTTTCCAAAAGCCCAGAGTACTATAGCTGCTATACTTGCTATACCTGCTACAGGCTATCGGCGCTGTAGCTGCTGTTGCTGCTAGAAGCTATTATAGATGCTGTGGCTGCTGTTGCTGCTGTTGCTGCTAGAAGCTATAGGCGCTGTGGCCGTTGTAGCTGCTGACTCTATAGGCGATGTAGCTGCTATAGCTGCTGGAAGCTGTAGGGCTGAAAGCAGTGAACAGGCCGATTAAAAAGGGTTAGACAGGCCGGCACCAACCCGAGACAGTCCATGGTAGAAGTCACACTAATGTATGCACCAGAAAGTCACCCTGACCCGTCGCCGGTGACTTTGACCGGCGTCAACGATCAGGGTCCAAGGTGGGTTCCACAGCATTAAGGCTACTTACCCTAGACCCTTGAACAAAAGGAGAAGACAGACAATTCACCCTAATATCTGACATCTTCGATATCGAGAAGGAATGTGAGCAGCCATGGGGGAACAGATAGAGCATAAAAGAAAAGAGCTAAAGCTTGGCAATTGCTTTGCCTGTAGAGTTTCGTTCTCGGGCCTGACTTCTGCGGCTTCTTATCATTTTGCAACAATTTAAGAAACTGGGCGCTCGCGGGCAGCTGCCGTAATCTTCACTTTCAAGGGTGGCTTTTCCCAAAACAAAAACACCTTTTGCCTATTAATCCAGCCGTCGCTCTCAGGGGTGAGCTCAAAATCAAAGTGCCACAGCATTTGCGCGAGTACGAGCCGCATCTCGGCCCAAGCGAGGCTATTGTTGTTTAGCATCACAAGTATTAATGAATACGACACTATTCTCAGGTCTGGACGAGTAAACGTACTTCTTCCCAGGGCAATCATGGGGCCTCATGCTAAAGGGTTTCACCACGTCTCTATCGTCATCTTCAAACTCGGCAGGCCGGGACTTGAGCCATCGCTCAGGAACCATATCGTCCGGCCTGTAGAAGTTCAACCCGGAACAGTTCGCTGCCCAGAGATTCATCGTAAGGCTTGTATTAGGCGGGACCGCCTCCCCCATCACGATGTGCCCCTCCGCCGCCGTCCGCCGGAAGAGGTTACCTGGTGCGGGCGGGTAAAGGCGGAGGCTTTCTTGCAGGACGGCGTTGAGGTAATCTTGAGCTTGGAGCGCGAGTAGCGTCATTTCCGAGGCACTGCGGAACTGTGTTCGTAGGATGATGGTAAGTTGCTGCATGACTAATGGATGCTTGCAAAGAAGATATATTGAACCTGTGAGTAAGGTGGCGGCTGCAACAGTCAGTCCTATTGGATATCATGAGCACGAGCACCGACGTACTGGTCTCGCTTCCGGCGATGAGAAAGGTAACAGCAACGGCCTCCATCTCATTTTGAGATACGCTATGGTGTCGTTAGCAAAGAGCTCGATGAATCACGCTGATCTTATGTAAACGGACCGTCCTTCGCTGGCAGCCTCGATGATGCACGACATAAGATCGGGTCGGTCGGTTCCCATGTCAAACCGTTTTGCCACGGCTCTGGCAATAAACGACTCCTGCTTGTCCTCCTTGTTCCGGGGACAGCATGCACCGATGGCACGGAGAACGCCTGGGTATCGGCTCGATTCTCGGATAAAAGCGAAGACTTTCGTGGTCCACTGGATGTTGCGGAGCCATGGATGGATCTTGCCGTCTTCGAGCCCGCGAAAGCTCTCACCTAGAGTTAAGTCGCCGGCAATATCTGTTGTGAGGAGATTGATCCATTGCGCAAGGTCGATGATACCACTGGGTGAATTGTGCCGAGATTCGAAAAGTCTGTTAATGAAGAATGCCGTGTACTGTTGAAGACAGACTTCTTGTTGTGAGACTGCCCTCTCGGAGAAAGCGTAGGCTTGGGTGCGCCGGAGTCGGCGGTGACCCTCCGCATCGAGTGGTGCCTTGAGAGAAAAGAAAGGAGTAAGTAAGTCGTTGCTTTTGTATCAAGGAGTGCCCACAGCCAGCCGCCAGTCTCAGCCTTGACTCCAGGAGATTGGGGGGGGGATGACAGGTTCAAATACCTTCCGGGACTCCAGGTAAAACAAAGGGTCTTTAGGGATGTTTCCCCGCCCGTTCGGCTGCTGAAGGCCGTAGATGTCTTGTACTATGTTAGACATGCGCGCAAGGGGGCACCTAAATTGTTTTAACATGATCTGATGGTAGCGGGGAACTCACCGACCCACGCCGTGCTGCAAGTGAACGAGAGCGTGTCAGGGTTGATGCGCACCACATGGCCGTATCTTTCATGCAGATATTTCGACTCCCTCGTTGCTCTTCCGCGTAGAACTGAGATTGTATGAGGAATACGGCTTGCCGCTAGCCACCAAGGCCCAGGGTATTTTCGAAGCGGATGGAAGTGAATGTTGTAGATAGCTTTCAGGACGAGGTGGAGAAAGCACTGTCAAGAGTTAGCAATCAGCCTGTGTCAAGAGCAAAGGTGATGCCAGTATTGACCTGCGCGAACAGCACTACCACAACATATGTCCATGATGAAAACGCGGATGTGAGAGGTGCTCTCAGAGACATGGTGCAAGGGATGATGCGGATACCCTCACCAACAAGACACGCCAGAATCACCCAAGGACGATGATTATAAGAATTCTCGGGCCACTCGACGTTGGGCTCGACTTCCTTCAAAACGCGGGAGTGGCGGGACGGCAAGAGCTGGGTTCGACGTTCCTCTCACGTGTTTTCCAAATTGTCGCCGAGTCTTGATACCGACTACATTCGGTCTCCCGCTCAAGGCTCGGATTGAGTCTCGTTTAGGGCTCGTATAGGGAGGGTCTCCCTCAAGGCCAGACAGGGGTCTCAATCGAGGTTTGTACTCCGTAAGTTACTCCACTTGCTACAAATTGCTTGCACAATCCGTTTTATCTGCCAATTAGAACACTCACTTGACAGTAATCATTATTCAACGGCAGCAGGAGCTTGATTTGCTCAGTTCTAAAATCTAGGCCTTTCCTCCGGGGGTGCACTGCAAGTTATCAATTCCCTAGCACATGCAGTATCATGGCAGAAATTCGAAATAAGAGTTGGTAGCCAGGGACTTTAAAGATTCTTAGTAAATTGCGCTGATCCTTGTTATAGACAGTTAGGGGAGGGTCGTATTGCGATTTTATCGGTTTTTATTGCGGTACTCTTTTATAGGAGATAATGACGACAAGGCAAGGCGGCATACACGGAGACAACCAGAGACCAGATAGTTACAAATTGATGTAGACGTTATTCCTCCAAATCCTAGACCATAAATTCATTCTTCTTGCATCCAGTCCCTTCAAGATTTACCGTAATTCTCTCCAGTAGTGGAAACTGATCAATCACCCTCGACTATGTCGATCTTATCCAAACTCCTCATCTTGATTCTGATTCCTGTACCCACCCTGTCATATAGCTCAGCCGAGAAAATCAGTCGCGCCACAACCCTGCCATACCTGGCTGGCACAGCGATCCCAGCTGCATCTTTATGGGCGAGAGAGATACTATCACCTTCTGCACCTCGTCAACTTTCCCGCTGACGCCGGGACTCCCTGTTCACGCCAGTAAAAGCCTTACCGACTGGAAGCTAGTCAGCTCTGTTTTGTCTAGGGAGAGCCAATATCCGGGCTATGACCAATTGCTTGCTCAGAGTGACGGTGTCTGGGCCCTGAATTCAAATCGGTTGTCGACAGGGTTCCACGTGCTAAAAAGAGCGAGGACGGAGATGCGCGCACCCCCTGAGCTGGCTCGGAAGAAGGGTAGTGTCGTTCTTTGATTGGCAGAGGCATCTCAGATGGTGGGATGAAGGTGATAACACGTTGCCACTGTCACCATATAATATTATTTGAGTCGAAGTGGTTCATATGGATGTGGGGCTGCTTACAGTGAACGAACTCAGCCAAACTCGTAACTCGTATTCTTTTCGTTCTTCGTTTATCTGACCCACCCGGGAGGGTTAATCTTCATGCGGTGCAGCGCATATCCGTAGTGTTGACGAATCACGGGACGCCGCTTCCCTCTGGCTGGCCGGGGTTTATGTACTAGCCTGGGTTAGATCTACTGGCGCTTCGTTATCGAGAGAGTAGGCAGGGAGTGGGGAGGTGCAGCAACATGCATATGCCGAGGAAAACGAAGTATGAAATACGAGTTAGCGACTGAGACGAGACGCTCGATGCTAGCCATGAATTGTTAGCGACCGTTTATCGCACACACCTTGAACGGAATTCTCGGCCTTCTGAGCCGAGATACACGAGCCGTACTGATATTCGTATTCCATACTTAACTGTCACTCGCCATCCGATCTCCCTTGTTCTGACGCCTCGTCTCATTTTTCGCTTCAGTATGGTTATGCAACGTCAACATCACAAAAAGTCCAGAGGCGGATGTCTAGAATGTAAGAAGCGTCATATGAAGGTCAGGTCAATAACCTCTTATATTTTAAGCCCATAGAGGAACAGAAAATCCTCTCATAACACACCTCACTAACAGTCAAGAGTGTTCAGTGTGGGGAAGAAAAGCCCAATTGCCGGTCTTGTGTCATTCGAAGCCTTCGCTGCATTTATCGGCATCAAGCTCATACGTCACAACTGCCACGGAATTCTTCAGCTAAAGCCATAAGGAGCCCTGCACAGGCAGCATATGAAACATCTCCTAGTAATCTTTTGACCGACTTCTCTTACTCTTCGGGTGCTTCTTCGCCGCAACGTCCTTACCACCCGGCGGACGAGTTCGACCTGCATGATCTCGGCCTCTTGCATCACTGGATTTTGAAGACGAGCCGCACGATTTTCCAGTATCCTGTCGTTGATAATTCCTGGAGCGTTAGATTACCTCAGCTTGGGCTTCAGCACCCCTTTGTCATGTATGGCATTCTGAGTCTGGCCAGTCTGCACTTCGCCTCTTTAGACCCATGCAAAAAGGAGAGCCACATGTCCACAGCTGTTTCTTACTATTACCTTGGACTGAAGAAATTCCGTGAAGCTAGCGAGGAATCAATCGGAGACTGCAACGATGCTCTTGTCGCCTTCTCAATTTTCAACATCATTTACTCTTTCGCCACTTTCGGCCCATTATCTCAGCATACCGGAACTGTGCCCCGGACTTCCTGTGCTCTTGGCCTCGAATGGATATATTTAATCCAAAGCGTCCAAGCGGCGGCACGTCCTATGGACAAACACGTTTACGAAAGGTGGTTGAGCATTATACCTTTCGAGGAGATTGACTCGGGTCTTGAGTTGGTTGCTGGAGATTATTGCTTTCTTCACATTCAGGGATCTTACGAAAACAGCAGTCCTTCGGACATGGAAATGTATGACTCTACGCTCACTCTTCTTAGGCGCTGTCATTGTTGTATGGTTCGTTTATGGGACGGGAGTGATAGTCAAATCGAAGCTCACGGCTTCAGTAAATGGGTTAGTCCACTCATTTTTCTGCAGTACCTTTCGGACGCATACGTCGACAAGCTATACCAACGCCAACCGCCCGCTCTCATTTTGTTTTCCTTCTTCGGTGCGTTGTTGTCTGCTTACAATGACTCTTGGTTCATGGAGGGATGGGCGACGTCGATAGTATCGGCTGTTGATGATGCTCTGGGTGACTCCTGGGCGTCATACACGGACTGGTGTCGGGAAACAGTCGCGATAGGTTGGGTACCCTGGGCTACCGCGAGTTGAATCAAGCAGTTGAAGCGTTGGGTGAAAAGCGGGGCCTGGGTATAGTCCTGGAAACAACGAACAAATTACAAGGACAGATGTTTCTTTGTTGGTTACATACAGTCACGACACTGCTTGAACAAGGTTGCATCCAGGCGGTGATGAAGCAAAGAGGCTAGCTATACTTGTTCAGAGGTATGATGCTGTGAATATCCTATTCCGTTGTGGACGTTCCCACTACCTGCAGCGGCCACGATATCCATGGTTTCCAATAACTTCCCAGTAGGTCCCTGATGACCTCCACGATTGCTTTTCCCCAACCCTCCAAGAACCAGTAGTCATTTATTCCATGCAAAAGCGCGCCAAAGAAGGCAAAAAGAACCAAGGCAGACGGCTGCCTTTGATGTAGCAATGTGAAATATGACTCAGGAGCAAAATGAATAAACATCAAGGGCGCTGACCAACTTCGATTATATCCCCATTGTTCCAGATCTTGGGTGTCCATTGAGCGGAACTGTCGCGAATATAAACGGCACTTCCTTAGAATACGGAGAACTTCGGCATAGATGTCGCCGTCGTTGGAACCTTTCCAGGCCTCCCGTATTCCGCAGAAATAACCATCTTCTGGATCGGAGCAATCTTGCCCTGGATCCAACTCAAACCAGTTACCGACGCTCATAATCATTTTGAATCGGCCGAAGCGCAAGTTATTGTGAGTTGGTTCCAGCACAGCATCTATACCTCGCATCATTGGAATCCACTCAGCGCCAAGCAGTACATCAGTGCGAGAGTGCGGAGACGCATCGTATCGAGTATGATGAAGGGGGTTGGATATTGCAAAAACGTATAACACGTTTAATAACGACCATGTGAGCAATGCTTCGCTATTCTCCTGGCTTACACAATTGATAGCGTTCTGGAAGCCATATAGAGCTTGGTTGTGATGGTTCGTGGCTTCCGTGATACTGGCAGTTCTCTTGGACCCGTCGATATGACCGACGTGCAACGCAGCCAGACCCAGAATGGCATGTATTACAAATGGGTACTGGAGTCCAATCTGAGGAAAGAGGGTTTGCCAAATGTCGTTCATGCCGGGAGCTCGGAAGATATCCACGCTGGTACACACTGTCCAATGATGAAGCAAGCCCAAGTCGTTGAGGCTAAAACTTTCAGAAGACGTGGGAAAGACGTCGACAGCGCTGGACAAGGATGTCGAGACAGTCGCTGGCGTCTCTACCGATGCAGAACGAGTTGCTGGAGGACCCAGTAGGACAGTGTGACTGGATGTAGACGCAGACCCACAAGGCGAACGTCGGTCTTCTTGTTCGTCGCTTGCGGTACGACGATTGAGAGCAGCAGCCGCTGGAGCTTCAAACGAATATTGACAGTTGATTTCGCGTCTCAGGCATGCTCGGCAAGCCGGTCGTTCTTCATCACACTACGTGGAGTTCGTTAGCGCTGATGTCCAAGGCCGACCCGAGCGGGCAGTGATGAGCATGACGTACCTTGACCCGGCGTCTCCGACAGTCAAAGCAGCCTGTCCTTGATTTTCTGTGCGGCTTGCGTCGTTTAGGTGAGGACCCTGAACCCGTCGATACGGTCGCGGGGGGTTGGGAGGGAGTCGTGTCCATGTGGCGATTGATGCGGGTTTGCTCGCTCAAGGGTACAGAGAAATAAACGAGGAAACGAGGAAATGGGATGGAAAAAGTGTTGAAGGATGTGTCTCAATAAGTTAGTCGTCGGGGGCGTAACCATTTTTGTCAAACGTTATAAACGAGCTCAAGAGTCTAAACGAGCTCAAGGGACTAAACGAGCCGAGGCGACTAAACGAGGTTGAGGGAGCGAGAGTGGGTCTTGAATTAGAAGCTTGAGACTGCAGTTTGATCTAGCTATTATGCTTGGACGCTCTGCACGCTTGGACTGACAGAGGTGCTCGCGGTTGATAGAGGACCGGTGGATGAAATTTCCGGTCAAAAACAACATCTGTTCGACGATGGCAAACTGTACTTGACTCAGGGAGCATGGTGTTTTGGCCGGTGGTGGGGATGAAATTAAGGGGAAGGGTCACGGCCGGCAGCAAGAAACAACGTGGAACCAGGGGAAAACGAGAGGGGAACGAAGAAGGAACGAGAATTAAACGATCTCATCACTGAACGAGTTGACGAATATTCTAGCCGCAATGAGTTACAGCAGGGATTGCCGCTGCTGGGGCATGATACGACTACGCGCTCCGCATTCTTGTCGCAGTGCCAGGGCCAAATATGGGGACCGCCCCGACACGGCTATGCCATAGTACACAATAAGGAGTGGAAGAAGCACCTTTTATCTAGTACCTTTTAATAAGCGTTTCAAGTGGGAGGATGCTCGAAGGAAGCAGGCTCCATTGTACCTCTGGATCTGGCCCTCAAATCTAATAATAACCCCGGTAAGGCGTTCTCGAAGACGGCGACTACGCCTTGGCCTTTCCATAAACCAATAGCAGAGCACGGTTGAGACATATTTGATACCCATTTATCTCCCCTTGCTGCGTACAATTGTGAAAAGACCCGTCTCCCCTCAATCTTTGCAAGCTCCTAAATATCCAAGGTCTCTATCAGATTGTTCGCTTTCCTCATCTCTACATTACACGCCCACTACTTTGAATCTCTTCTTCGATTTCTTTCATTGACGACTTTACCACCTATCCACCCCGTCGTTCCTTGTTCTTGGATCTTGCGGCAAAGATCCTCAACCCACTCATCGTGCCCGGAGATTCTTCGCCATCCACCCCCGTTTTCCTGGTCATATTTTACCTTCGACAATTCGACAACGTCGCAACATGTATCTTTTCGATCGAGAGGGACAAGCTCCGGAGGAAGGAGCAGGAGCAGTGTTCAAACTCTACCACTACGACCCAACGATAGCGGGCGGCGTGGTCTTCGTGCTTCTGTTCACGGGCACCACACTTTTGCATTTTTGGCAGCTCATTCATGCACGATCCTGGTTCCTTATCCCTATGGCGATTGGCGGTCTCTGTAAGTTGACTTTTCTATATCTCCATTGGACTCGCAGGACTAATGTTGGCTTCTGGCAGTCGAGATCATCGGATACGCAGCTCGGTGTAAGTCCGGTAACGAGAGTCCAGATTGGACTCTTGGCCCCTATATCATGCAGGCAATTCTTTTGCTTGTGGCACCGGCGCTCTTCGCTGCGACGATCTACATGGAACTCGGCCGAATCATTACTATGGTGGACGGAGAAGGTCATACCTTGATACCTAAGAAGTGGATGACAAAAATCTTTGTCATTGGTGACGTCGTTTCCTTCTTTCTGCAAGGAGGAGGTGAGTGTTTTCTCCTATTGCCACCTCTTCTCCCTTGGCTGTAGGATGAACTGACAGTTCGACTTATTAGGAGGTGGCTACCAAGCTGCAGGATCTTTGGCAGCCCTGCAAAACGGTGCCAAAGTAATCATCGGAGGACTCTTTGTCCAGCTTATATGTTTTGGTGTCTTCATTTGTATCGCCGTCGCCTTCCATCGATCTATTCTGGCATCCCCAACCAGTCGCTCTAAGAGGATTCCTTGGAAGAAGCACATGATGGCGCTGTACGTCGGTAGCATGCTCATCATGGTGCGATCCATATTTCGGGCTATCGAGTACCTACAAGGCTTTGATGGGTATCTACTGAGGCACGAACTGTACTTGTATGTTTTTGACGCTCTTCTGATGTTCTCTGTTATGGTGCTCTTCAACTGGGTACATCCGGCTGAGATAACGGCCATCCTGAAAGGGAGGGATATGGGATCTGGCTGGAAGATGGATGCGGTTCCAAACTCTCATCGCCGCTTACGGTCGGAAGCCTAATGCCCTCAAACGGGGTCTTAATGTCGGTGGACCGGCATCTCTCTATTCGCCGGTGTTTCCAATCAGGGCATCAATTGGAACAAGATATGAGGAGAATGTGGTCATGGTCATAGGCTCAAGAAATCTAAGTCTTTTTGACGTTGGTGGCCAGATGTATCGGTAGTATTTTCGAAGAGCATCGAATAACTATTCTCAAGCCCAAGTCAGTCCAACAACCTGGGCCGGCCATGCCATTCGTGACCCCTAGTAACTACCCAACAAATTATCAACCACCCCGACAATATCCCTCCGCCATCCTTCCAAGAGCCAACTATCATCCGCGGCGGTATTTGGCAAAGCGCCGAAGGAAGCAAAAAAGAGAAGAGCCGTAGGCCGTCGTTGGTGCAACAGCGTAAAGAAGGCCTGAGGAGCGAAATGGATGAACATTAACAAACCTGATGAGGTCTCATTGTATCCCCATTCTCCCAGGACTTGAGCGTCAATAATCTCAAACTGAACAAGCTACAGGTTAGATTTCCCCAGGGTCCATAATGCCTCATCATATATATGCGCATCGATGTTGCGGCCCCACGAACTTTTGGTCTAGCGGAGATACTTGTTGTAGACGGGGGACTCTTGTCGGGGTCAAGCTCAAACCAGTTCCTTACGCTTAATCCGAGCCAAAGACCCCACAGCTTTAATACCCCCAACCATCGTCATCCATTTTTTACCAAAGATGCAGTCTTTCTGGTTACTATGCCCTCTGTTGTCTTCGATGTCGTCACTGAGCCACCCTGATATGCCGAAGACGTATACTTAGAAGATTCACTAACAACCTAAAAATAGGGCATCACTATTAGCGTTGCTCACATAGTTAACAGCTTCTTAAAGCCCCAGCACGGCTTGAGTGTGATGGTGGGCTGCGTCCACTGCAAATCTGCTCTTATCTGATTCGTTCAGGTATGCAAGATGGAGTGCAGCCAAACTGAGGGTAGCATGTATGACGAACTGATGCCTGAAGACGATATTTGGCATCATATCTCGCCCTAAAACCGACTTCTGGGCTGCTAAAGATATTAAGGCCTGTCGACATCGCCCAGTGGTGAAGGAGGGCTATGTCCTGGATCCCAAAGCGGGTCGTGCGAATATTTATTAACTGTGGAAACAATATCTATCGTTGTATTAAAATCGTCAAGTTGGCCGAATCCGCCCCCTAACGGTAAGCAGAAAAGATTTTTGACTTAAAAAAGCTGGCCTCTCGTGGAATCAGCAACCCTTCCAAGGCTCAGTGAAGAATCCCCGCGCCATCTAGCGACGCTCCCCACGCTCCCCACGCTCCCCACGCCGGTCCATCTTGCGATCACTTGAGCATGACGACATCTCCTGGTCCGAATTTGAGGGATTCTTCAGAGGTTGATGATGCCCAACATACCAAATCAAGATCATGCCCATAACAATAGCCATAAGCAGAGCGTCGAAAATGTAGAGGAAAATCTCGTGCGAGATGAGGTAACCGCCGTTCCCTTGAAGGTACTCAATCACTCGAAAGATGCTGCGAACCAGGATTAACATGCTGGATGCATAGAGAATGTAGAGATATCGCCTCCAAGGGACGACGCCTTGCATTGTTTCGGTCGTTGGGTTTCGGTGAAGTCGACGGTGAAAGAGCACCGAAGTAAATACGAAAAACCCAAATACAAAAATCTGGACGAATAACCCCCCGATAATGACCTTCTCGCCGGTCTCGTAAAGTTGTAGGGTTCCTGCGGACTGAATGCCACCACCTCCGGCTTGAAGCCCAAAGGCAATCACGTCTCCGGCAACGAAAATTCGAGTGACCCATCGCACCGGAATAAGAGAGAGCCTTTCTCCGCCAACGGTTCGAATCAAGCGACCGAGAATCATATAGATCGAGGCGGCGTACAGGGCGGGAGCGACGAGGATAAGGATAGCTTGGATGACGAAGCCGCCAATAGAAAGTTTGTCAAAATGGCTCCAAATCCTTCCACAATAACCGATCGTTTGAACTGCATTACTTTGAGTTAGCCCAACGAGCTCCTGGAAAATGCCGTGTCATGAAATCAGAGCAGCAGCATAGCGAATGTTCGATGCCAACAAGAACAAGGCCCAGGAATATCACTCAAGGAAAGGGTACGAACAAAGGCCGCCGATTGTGAACGGAATAAAGTAGTAAGCTCGGACTCGCCGCAAGCGCCATGTGTGCAAGATGGTAAGGACAGCAAAAACAACAGCACCGACGATGGCAGCCGCGAGTGAAGGTGTGTAACGATACAGTTTAAAGTCGAAAGCAGCTCCTGGGGCCTACATGTCGGCGTCTTGTGTGTTGTTCGCCATAGTATTGATGGGACTGCAGGTGGCAGATGATGGATTGCAAAAACCCGAGGGCTGCCTTAGCACTTATAAACAGCTGGCTCCGTCTTGTGCTCTGTACGAGGTAAAGTGTTGGTGTTGAAATTTTTACCAGAGGAGACTAGCGGAATCCGGCTAGATGAGCCCGAGTTGAGTATCCCTGAACGAGGAACAAGGTTGGTATCGATAAACGAGGAACGAGATACGGATCCATAAACGAGGAACGACATGTAGCTCCACACTAGATCAAACCGACCGAGTCAAACCGGCCGAGAGCAACACATGTGCAGCAGTCCTGATCGGCTCACCTACTGAACGCAATCTTGAGGGTATCCGACAATGAATTATATACCCATCTCAAAGGGCACTTGCACACACTAAAAGCAATATATGTGACGATCCGGCTTACCTGGACGGGGGTATAGGGTAGGCTGGGACGTGGGGGATGTGATCCAGGGTGATTATAATATTAAGGTAAGCAATATAGGTTGTACCCTGATAATATATTAGAGGTTGGTACCTGCAGCTTATTAAGGTATTGGGAAAGGTAACCAGTTGGACTAGAAACCTTAGTCTGTTTGAGTGTACTGGTGATCTTTAAATGGATTGGGTATATAGTCTGTTTTGTTGATACTGTTGGACTGACCCTCGGGTGCCGGACTAGGGGCCCGGATAAGACCGAATCCCTGATACATCAATATCTTGTCTTAGTCATGAGGGGGGTGTGAGATTGACCAAAAACCCCTCACCGGAAACAGGGCCCTGGAAGCAGGTTAGATCCTACAAGCATGATCATCAATATCATCATCTTTAGGCTCCACTATCGTCTTGATCATTATTGCCCTAATTGACTTACCCGTACCGGATCCAACAGATACTATTATTGGGGTTTTTTTTTAAACTGTGGAGCTTCTAGGGGTTGTCTTCGAGCGAGGGTGGATTTAGTCGACATCTTTTCGGAGTGAGAGGAGAAGCGTGCATGAAGGCGATGTTTGCCTGTAATGAACTGGGGTTGCTCTACCAGAGATCTGTGAGGTCGCTAAGAGGGAGCGCTGTTGATGGCAAATTGATGCAGAGACGTGGTCCAGCCGAGAGATCCATATTCTTTACACCTTTGGAGACAGCTGGTCGGCCCAGCATTTGGCGCGCCGGGCAGGTTTGATCACCAGAGGGCCGCAACTGTGTCCGTCATCCTGCTACAGCACGTCCTGTTTGTCCGCGTTATCCGAGTTCGAGGTTTGAGCCCCGTATATACTTTGTCGACATACTGAAGCTGGGGGAACCCTTTTTCACACACTGCCTGTCTAGCTGTCACTCAATCTTCCCGGGTGGGTTACTCTTGGCGAACCTGAACGTCAGCATTTCCACTACCTATTGAGTCGTAATGGTAGATGAAGTCTTCCCTCTTGTTGAGCTCAACGAGGCCGAAGTGACCCTGGTGTTGGAGTAGCGAGAAAAAGCACACCAAGTGACAATCTGCTTTGAAGCCCTCTCGAATAGTCGTGGCATTGGTATATGGGCTCCAGTCTGCCGATGGATGGGGATTGAGAAGCCAACCCAAGCACTCGCACAGCAAAACAAGCCGATTACCCGAACTGCCTTAGCTAGAAGAACTGCCTTAGCTAGAAGCAAGCAAATCTCGGACTAGACTTTAAATTTATCAGTGGTATCGGTGGAAGATCAAGGATACGCAAGAATAGGGGAGAAGATGATATCAACTTGATCAATCATTACTGTCCGAGCGGATGGGCCGAGTGAAATCCCAGTGTGGAGACGATCTGGATATCGGTGCGGCAGTGCACTTCGGGGTCCGGCCAGTATCACGGGCCCGAGAAACGGACAGTTTGGACCAACTGCGTACAGCAGGACGCGTAACAACGCGGTTATTCATCCTAGTAGACCCTATGGTGGTTATTTCACTCATATTTACAATTACAAAGCTCTCGCACCGGGATTAGAGATGCTCGGCCCATGTTTAACGCGGTACTGATAGTATTCGTTCCGATAAGCCTATGGAAACTAGCTGGCCAGGAGCAACGCCGAGGATGTTGAATCCCCTGTGCGCCGAAAGAAAGCAATCTACTTGTCGTTATCTATTTCCTAGCCCTGCCCAGAGGCAACGCAGCCACCTGTCGTAGTCACCCAGAGTCTCTGCCCTGCTACACTCGACGTCAAGTCTAACCGAGCGCCGCAAGAACCTTTCTGTTCCCCCCGTTTGCACTTACCGCAGCACCATTGACCCATCGGCTCTCTTCGCTGGCTAGAAAGCCAACAATGTACGCAATATCCTCCGGGACACCAATTCTATCTGCAGCGGATGTTTCTCGAAGCTGTTCCTTCAGAAAATCCGGTCCCAGAAGATGTTGGTTTTGTTTCCATGCATCAGTAGCCGTAAGGCCCACGATGACGCTGTTGAATGTCGCCCCTTTCTCCTTGGCAAAGTTGTCTGCGAATGAGCGCATAAAGCTGTCGAGAGTGGCTTTGCTGGCGCCATATGTTATGATAGGATCCGAGTTTGCCCACTTGGAAGCGCAGCTCGAGATGTTGACGACGCGACCCCCATATGTTGGTAGATGTGGCATGAGTGCGGTAGTAAGCGAGACTGGCGCGTAGACGTTTGCTTGCATGATCTCCAAGAAATTTTTGAGTGTGGTCTCCTTGATGGGCTTCGCCGCGGATGGGTCCGCTAAAACCGCATTGTTGATGAGAATGTCGATTGTTGTCGTTTTGAGCCCCTGAAGGACTTGAGGAATGATTTTCGTGCCGAAGTCGGGATCAAGCGCGTCTGCGTGAATGGCAATTGAGTGCTTAATGCCGAGTTTACGGCATTCATCCAAAGTTGCCTCAGCCGCGTTGCGGTTTGCCACATAAGTGATGGCGATATTGCTCAGGCCTTTACGAGCAAAGTGAAGCGCAATAGCTCGGCCAATCCCTCGTGATCCCCCAGTAACTATGGCCGTTTTCCCGCCAATGACCATGGCTCCTGAGAAGAAAGAGATTCAGACATTTTGGGAGTCGAGAAGTAGATTGGTAGACGGGAGACTAATTAGTATCAAGTCCGTCTCTTTTGCCTGAACTGTTTATCTCTTTATTAACATTTGGTTTTGAGTGCCCCTAATCTAGATGGTCACCTCAAGCTTGCATCAAGCTTACAAATGAATCTGAACAAAAGTCAAAAGGGTATTTGCGGACCGCGTAGTACCTCAAAGTCCGCCGCTAAAAGAACCACGCGAGCGGAGTTGAGTATGCAGAATGCATTACATGACTGCCTGAATATTCCTGCCGGGAAGTTGATGGTGCCCGAGCCGTACCCGAGCCGGTGTCATCCCACATAGTTGATTGCATCCCACATAGTTGATTGATTAGCATGGGTGTTGCGGACTTTTGGGACACGGACTTTAGGACGCACCGAACCCAGATCCAAATGCAGGCAAGGTTGGGCTAGTTTCAAGGAGCCGCCATTTTCTCTACGGTTCTCGCTTTGACAGCGAAGTACTTGAATCGTGCGGTCATAGGGCGACGCCAAGTGGCGCGGCCGCAGAGGATCGTAGAACTTTACAGCCAGCGCAGGGATGCAGAAGAGACAGGACTTGAAAGCTTGACTGAATACCAACTTGTGCAGCTCGGGTCTAATTGCTGTAGGATATATAAAGGAGACTTTCTGGACCTTACTCTCAACCTCTTAAAATCTGGCATGCAGACCTACGACAGAGAGCCTACAACATCAACATTCTTTTCAATCTCCTCCGCATTTGAACTCAAACCGCAAAGGCAGACCGCTAATAAGGGCTGTCGCCGTTGTTTGGGACGATGGAACTTTCAGGAACACTGGCTAAGGCCGCAGTGGTAGCCTGCCTTGGCGCTGGGTTTGCAGCAGCTCAGGATGTCTCCTACCTGCCGTGGACGGTTTGCGCAAACCAGACGACGACGTGTGCTCAAGCAAACGTGACCTTTGCGTACTACGTCAGTCGATCCTGTTGTCAATTCCGCGCGTTAAGCAACTCCAACTAACTAATCGAACCAGTACGGCTATCCCCTCTACCAGTACGCCTTGGCTGTACAGCGCACCACGAACGCCTCTACGAACTCGCTGTTCCATCAGCGCAATGTGTCAACTGCGGCCGACAAATGGTTGAACAAACCCAACGTTGATACTCTATACTCTAGAGCGTTTCTCGACCTGTCGTGTTCGGATCTGGTCATTAATGTCCCGGAAATGGGAGACCGTTACTGGGTGAGTCGTGGTCCCTAAGTTTCTTTGATCTTCTTTTTCGCCCTGGTGAAAGTATGCCATCTTCCGCTTAGACACCCACGTTGAAGACGCCTCCGATACTTCTCGTAGTAAATCAAGGCTGACATACACTATTAGGTCTGGCCCTTCTATGACCCGTAAGGTCCATCTAAAAACATGCCGATTTAAGCTCACATCGAATAGATACGGCAACAACGTTGCGAATATCGGGAAGCTCCAGTCGTACCCCGCAGGTAAATACCTTGTCCGCTTCGACAAGAGCAACCCGGGCGTGCACCGTTTCAACAAAAAGAGCCCGTACCGAGCGTACATCAACATTCCAACTCCATATGCCATCTCTGCGGTCCGCATCCTAGTCCAGCCAAACGAGGCCGATGCCGCTGCTGTCCACCGCGTCCAGGACCAGCTCGGGATTAGCCCTATCCGGAGAGCCTCTCAGCTTCCGGTTGCGCCGCCCCTGAACCTAACCATGTTTACCGACCCAAAGATTGTGCCAGGATCAATCAACACTCTCGAGGAGGGCGTTCTAAGGCTCACCGCAAAGTTGTCGCCGTACAATGCCCCCCTGGTTATCGCAGACAGGACCTGGGTGTCAGCAACGCTTCAAGGTGCTGGACTCGCCAAGGGATGCTTTGCGCAACCAAAGGGCACTAACCTCACCGCGGCGTCACAGGCAGCAAATAACTCCATCGTCAATGAGTTTTTTGTTCCAGGATATCTTCAAAATCTCGGTAATAATTGGGTGCACCCGCAGGCCGCGTACATCGGCAACTTTCAGAGTGCGTATGTTACGCGATACAACATTGCGGCGACAGGTTACCTGGCCCTGACAAGGGATCAGGCCATGTACCCAGCCTACGCAAGTTCGACAATAAACAACATCATCCCATCCACCAGTGCGTTGCGCTTGACCTTCTCGGCAGAACCAAAGCTGAAGTCTCACGGCTTTTGGAGTCTGACTATATACGACGCCAACGCATATCTTATCCCGAACGACCTTGATAGGTACGCATTGGGGGATAGGAGCAACTTTACCTTAATGGGCGGGACGATCTCTAGTGGTGCCGAGGACGGTTCTTTCCAGATTTTGATTCAGCCAAGCAACGTTCCGCCACCGGCCAATTGGACGAGCAACTGGTTGCCTGCACCACCCGACGGAAATGGCTTCCAAATAAACTTGAGATTCTACGGCGGAGAGGACGCCATGTCCAATGGGAGCTATGTGTACCCCGTGGTTGAGACAATTGATGCCATTCCAGCGTAGTGCAATGCATATGTTGTAGCCAGGCGGAGTGGAATGGACCGATCAGGCGTGAGGGTCAGGGCAGGTGTCTGGTGATCTTGGAGGTGTATACTAGACTATTCTTTTCTTAGGGGAGCATTGACCGACATAGATTAAGGATTTCGGAACGGCAAGTATAGAATAACAAACTTATTTGCGTCCACCAGTTTTTATTAGAGTCACTACTTCTGATCTGTAGATGAGATGTTCCGATCGTTTATTGGGGCTCTGATCTCGCACCTCAGCCACCGACCAGCCTGCTCGAGAAGTTGAACAGCCGCATACAAATGGGTGCTCGTATCGATGGAACATGCTCCTCGTGCCTCTGGCAATGGGAAGGATCACGCATTACGCTGGACTTGAGAAGATGGATGGCATCAATGCTTAACAGCATCTCGTATTGCAGAGTGACGTAAGAGCGAAACGATTACAAAGGCGCAATTCTCCTAGAGCGTACGCGCACGTCTCCATGTGGCAGAGCAGCCACCAGCCCTGCACCCTGGAGGATATGTCGGCGGATCAAGCAACTTGACGAAGCGAGTGTCGAGACGGAGGGCCTTTACACTGATCGGGAATACTGATCTCTTCTTCACCCCCAAAATTGAAACCCACCTGTCGTTGAGATAGACTTTCTCACTGTTATCTTACGACCCGGTCAACTAGACCGGGTTGACATTTCCCATACAAATATAAAATACGCTAGTAAATATAAGGGGGTGTCCGGGTTGACATTCTAAAAATAAGACTGAGTTATATAAAAGGGGGAAAAAATAAAAAATAACTGAATAGTTATATATATTAGAGTTTAAATAGTAAATAATAGAAGTTTTAAGATATAGAAATAAATACTAATAGTATAGTAATTAAAGTTATTATTTAACTATTATTAAATTAATATATAGCTAATAGAGTTATAATTAATTTATAGCTAGAATAATAATATTAAGCTATAATTTAAAAAGTAAAAAAATTAGCAGCTATAAAATTATTTAATATATATATAAGTAAATAGAAAGTTAAATAAGAGTATATTATAAGTATTTTTATAGAAGAATTATTACTCTAATTTATTTATTAATATATATATAATAAATCTATTTATTTATATTCTAAAATTTCCTATTATTATTTATAAAATTTATAAATATAAATATATTATTAATATAATTTATAGATATTTAGAATATAAGTATATAATAATTTTAGCTAAAAAGGTATCTTTAATTATTAAAAAAATAGATACTATTTTAAAATTAATTTATATATAAAACAAATTAGATAAGTTTCTATTTTTACTATTAATAACTAAACTAATTTTATATTTTAAGCTATTAAATTTAAATAAATTATAATATAATAAATATAAATATTTAGTTTTTTTATAATCTTACTTAATATTATTAAATAAATTAAAACTATATAATAATTTTAAATAGTAGAAATAAATAATAAAAGCTATATTAATATTAAAAGAAATAATAGCTAAATAATAAAATTATTATCTATTAATCTCTACTTAAAGCTTTTATTTAACCCCTCTAACTTTAATTTTATTATTTATAATTAATAATCTTAAGATAGTAATTTTATTTTAAGTAAAAAAATATTAAAAAAATATCTTTTATTATTAAAAAGCTAATTTCCTTTTAATACTTATTTCTTATTCTATAATAACTAACTTTAAATATAATAAATTTTATTTAAAAAGCTCTTACTACTAGTAACTTATTATATTTATATTATATAAATAATATCTAATATAATTTTAAATTCTCTTAGAATTTAAAAAATAAATTAAAAAGATAAAAGCTAAATTTCCTCTTAAATTTCTTAAAAAAAAGATCTATTTAAGCTATTACTATACTATTTATAATACCTAAATAGAAGATAATAAATTATATTAGCTATTTTTAAATACTATTTACTTTTTTATAATAGAAATAAAATTAATAAATAAAAAATTAGATTCTTAGTAGCAATTTTATTTTATATATTTAAATAAAAATAGCTATACTTTATAACTTAGTAAAAAATATTAATAATACTAATTTAAGAAGTTAAGTCTTTCTCTAGGATATTACTAGGCTTAATATAACTCTAGTTCTAAAAGCTATTATATTATATTATATTAATATAGATACTAGCTATATAAAGTACTAGCTAAATCTTAAAGTATTTTATAAATTAGGTTATAGAAGTTTTTAGTGTATTTATTAAGGTTAAACTAAGTTAAAAAAGTTAGATAGAATTTTAATAAAAAAGAAAAAAGCAGCTTAAAACTTAAAACTTAGGCCTTAGTAACTATAATATATATATAATAAAAATACAGTAAATTTAAATACTAAATTTTCTTATTAAGGGATAAATATAAATATATTATTAAAAATTAGTATAATATATAAAAATATTATTATATAAAGTATAAATAGTAAAATAATTAGAAGAAAAAAAGAAATATAAAAGAGAAATTAAAATAGCTATATAATAAATTATATTAAAAAGTTAAATAATATACTTATTTAATTTAAGTATATTAATAAAGAGATTAAGTTTTAATTTATTAATAGAGATTTATCTACTTAAATATACTATTTTATATTTAAGTAATTAAATAAAGTTAAATTAAATATAAAAAATAAATTAAAGATTAATTAATAGTTAAATAATTTATAGATAAATTTACTATAAAAATACTAAAGTATAAATTTAACCTAGCTAAAATATTATTCTTTTTTATATAATATAGAAACTCTTCTAGCTATATTCTAAAGAATATAAAAAATTAAATAGTATATATTTTATAAGAAAAAAAAGTAAAGTAGCTAGCTTTAATAATAATATTATATTTAGAAGAAATAAAATATCTATTAATTATAAGTAATATCTTTTTTAATTTTTAAAGTTTTAAAATTTTTAAAATTAAAAAATCATTTCTTACTATATATAGTATATATAATTAGCTAATATTACTTAGGTTAAGTTTAGAAGATTAAATAGTTAATATATTTATTTTTATATAATAATAATTTATTATTTTATGTTATTAAATTACCTATTTTATATTTAGAAGAAATATTTATTAATATCTAAATATAAATATCTATTAAATATTTACTTTTATTTAAACTATTTAATTTAATAATTCCCTTTTATTTTAAACTTTTACTATTTACTAGCTGGGATTTTTTAAGATTCTTAAGTAAATTCTACTAGTAAAATTTCTTAAATAGAGATTTTTTAATATTTTTAAGTAGACCCTACTAGTAAAATTTCCCTAGCTAGAATTTTTTAAGATTCTTAAGTAAACTCCTCTAGTAAAATTTCCTAAGTAATATAATTATTTTATATTAATAATATATTAATATATTAAAAATCTATTTTTAAATCTTATAAAATACTAAAATATTATAGCTATATTATAATAAGAAAGTTATATTCTCTTTTAAGTATACTTTTAATAAAAAATAAAATTAAATACTCTATTTTACTATCTAATAATAATTTATAGCCTTTAAGAATAATAAATATATATAAAAACTAAAATAAATAAAAGAATATAATTAAGTAATTTATTATTACTAAATATTAATACTTTATAAATAAATAAAATTATTTAGTTTTTTTTTTAATTTTACTTAATATTATTAAATAAATTAAAGCTATATAATAATTTAAATAGTAAAAATAAATAATAATTACTATATTTAATATTAAAAAAAATAATAGCTAAATAATAAAATTATTACTTATTAATTTCTATTTAAAGCTTTTATTTAATTTTTTTAATTTTAACTTTATTATTTATAATTAATAACTTTAAAATAGTAATTTTATTTTAAGTTATAAAATATAAAAAAAACTAACTATCTTCTATTATTAAAAAACTAACTTTTCTTTTAATATTTATTTTATTATAATTAATTTTTAATATAATAAATTTTATTTAAGTAGCTTTTTTTAAAAATAATATATTATATTTATATTATAAATTCTAATTTTAATATAATTTTAAATTCTCTTAAAATTAAAAAATAAATTAAAAAATTAAAAATTAAATTTCCTTTTAAATTTTCTTAAAAAAAATCTATTTAAGCTATTACTATACTATTTATAATATCTAAATAAAAACTAATAAATTATATTAATTATTTTTAAATATTATTTATTTTTAATAATAAGATTAAAATTAATAAATAAAAAAATTAAAATTTTATTTATAATCTTATTTTATATATTTAAATAAAAATAGCTATATTTTATAATTTAATTAAAAATATTAATAATTTCAATCTAAGAAGTTAAATCTTCCTCTAGAATATTACCGGAGTCTAATATAACTCCTAATTCCAGGAGCTATTATATTACGTTAGATTAGTATGGATGCTAGCTATATAGGGTGCTGGCTAGAGGGGGGATTCGAATAAAAACAGGTTATTATCGACGTTAGGGATCTCGGGGCGTTAGGTCGGGTCGTGGGAGTTTTCAGTGCATTTATTAAGGTTAGAGTCGAAAAAGTTAGACAGGATTCCGGCAGAGAAGAAAAAAGCAGCTTGAAACCCAAAACTTGGGCCTTGGCAACTGTGACGTGCGCGTAACGAAAATGCAGTAAATTCAAATACTAGGTTCCCTCATCGAGGGGTGGACGAGGCTATATTACAACAATTACAGCAACAACACCGCAAACAGCTCAGAACGTACATTCGAAAATGCGATATATTTGCGAATCACACAGTTGACCTATGTCCTAGCAAATCAAGCTGTGGTCCTAGGTTAGGTGCGGTCCTGGGACAGCTTCAGTCAGCAGAGGCTGAAATTCGCAACGTGGAAGATAATCCTTACCCGTCCAGCGGCAGAGGTGATTGATCACCGACAGGTTAGAACCGTCGTCAACTCCTTTTGTGTTCCGCGGAACATCCCATCACTTTCAAACGTTGGCAGTCGGCCTGTTTTCCTTGCTAGACAGTTAAACGGTCACTCAACTGTCTCACCGTCGTGGTCGCCAATCCGTCACTAGGGACGGAATCAATTCGCTTCATGTCTTCCACCAAAGGTCTTAGCTACATGGCAGAACGCCTAGTCTATCACTATTATCCCATCAATGTCAGCACTTTTTGAGACTCGCTTTGTTCTCATCCGTTCCTTATCCAATGGGAGACACCTTCGTTGGTTTTGGTAAGGCCATTCTCTTCTCCACAGAAGGATGGTATGTATCACATACTTTCAAAATGCCGTTAAAGTTACAAGCCAGGAAAGGTAGAGCCTTAGGCTGCTAGGCGGTAAGCCGAGGAATCTCGGCTTATCTCAAACGAGTTAATTCACGTGAGTGCGTTAGTGGCAAGCTCCACTGCTGTTGGCTGCCCCCCGCTCTCCACATAAGCATAAGAACCCCCCCGCATTCGCTGGATGCCGGTAGATAAAAAAATCCTCCAACTCCCATTCCCAACCATCGCCCGAGGATATGTACCTACCACATGCCCTCCAAAAGTTGTTGATAATAGCCCTTGCGGACCATGAATGATCGACAAGATCGATCCTGCAAGGCAAGTCTGTCCGAACCTCCGCTCTACGAACCTCCAGAACTGAAGAACTGGCACTAATTCCCGAGTTCCACAGTTGTGCAAAGAACGTCACTTAAAGTGTAAGGTTTAGATCAGAATCCGCTTTTGCTGCAGGCTCGAGACTATTGGCAATTTGACTGACTCAACTTAGGCTCGGCGGAGTCTCCCTGCGTGAACTGCAAAAGGGTCGGGGCCAAGTGCTCCCGGGCCAAGCTGGTCCAATTCAGACCATGTAAATCGTAAGGGGCTTCCATTTCCGCTTGTCAAGCATGGGCATTTCTTGCTAAGCAAAATCGGTTCCAAGACTGAGGTTTCCCAAGAACCAAAAATGGGTGAGCATGCCAGGTCAAGGTAAGTTTTAAGACCTTTGACAGATGTCGCAAGAAAATCTCGCTGATTATTATGAACATTGAGTGTCATTCGCATCCGAAATCGATTTTGGGAAATATTACGATATTTCGGCTTTGCCGGCGCTGGTTGAGGATCAACTTCAGCCACTAACCGAAATTTCTACCACTGTCGTCACTGCAGAGAGCAGCTCATTTTCAAATGCGCCTGAATCAGAACATTGCCATCCGTCGGACTACTCCCCAGTTACCCCAGATGATGCAGCAATGCCGGGAAGTGACTCTGGGTATAGGCGCTCCCAAAGTCTGGCGAGTCCTTGTACGCCTGTTCGGCAATATTGCTCAACCACGTGTAACCTCGAAGACGGGCTGAGCTTCTCGGCAGTCCGTGAAGAAAGATTCACCCATTCTCCGTCGGCTCACCAGAACACATTGTCAACTAGCTTATTCCCCCTGAATGCTACCGATACAAGGCTGGTTGGATATTTTTTCCAAACATTAGCTCGCTGGGTAATTATCTTGTCCCCGATATAATGGCTCCACCACCAGTGTTTAACATCCGGTTTTAAAGTACGACATCTTAGACTTGCATAGATGGTTCACACTTGGGGTATCCCGTTTGCTCCCACATTCTGAACCGCTTCTATACGCCATACTGTCCGTGTCGTCACGACATTTGAGCATCCTCAAAGAATACGATCCCATAGCTTCCGATGAGTATCACCAAAAGTGTCTCGAGCTTATTATACCATGCCTTTCTGAGAAAAATGTTGTGCTTGACGACGGCATTCTCGCAGCCACTGTTATTCTTCGATTGCGGTCTGAGTTTGAAGGTTAGCATATCCTTATGACTACATCTTTCACAACGCATAACCGATCAGCAGCGCTTTTAACAGGTACAGATAATCACTGTCATGTGCTAGGCACTGAAGGGCTGCTACACCGGTATGAGGGAAATGGTCCCCTCTCTAATTTTCAAAAGGCCGTAGCCTGGGTTGGATTACGGCAGGCGATTGTTATTGCATTTATGGGTCAACATAGCGTAAGATTCCCACTGCATCATTTCTTGGAAGATTGGGACGAGTTCCCCGGGGAAAATGCAGAATGGGGAAATTTCATGGTCTACCACTTAGCCGATGTCTTAAACCATTGCTGTGGACAGAAGGCATTCAGTCTCAACGACTACGACCGGCTCGAGGCTCGGGGAGAGAGATGGCTGCGCCAGAGACCCTCTTTCTTTTTGCCAATACGCTACGAAGGAACCGGGCCTAGTAGACGATTTCCTATATCGGAGTATCTATGCGATGTTCCTGGTAGGTTGATTCGTTAAGCCCTTTTCTTGTTCCAGGCTGATTTTTCTTTAGCTTCAGCGATACAACACTACAACTTGGCCAGAATTCTCTTGTCACACTATCACCCAGCGAAGCGCCGGCTAGGCCCTGGTTCTCAAGTTCTCAATGCAGGCTCAGATGTAAGTTACTAACTAAAAGCAATTCGTTCCAATGCGACATTTTTACTGGGAGTTTTTAACGCTGGTTCTAGGTAATACTCGAAAATACAATAAGAGATCTCTGTGGCGTTGGTCTCTCAAATTCGGACTGCGTTTGCGCCATTGCACTTGCTTCCATGGGTATCGAGATGTGTCGCGATCGCTTTAGTGATCCTGAAGACCAGGAAACATTTACGGATATCCTGGCCCTCGCACGGCGGAAACATGCATGGCAAGTGCGGCCAATGTAAAGAGTTGTTGTTTTGGTGTATGAATTGAGGGTGGGATTAACCCTTTTGGGAGCGAATGTTTAGATGAGCAGACGAGTTAATCAACGCGTTGTCATGGGATGTAACACAAAAGTTCATCGGTTAAGATGGCAGTAACGTATAGTTTTACTTACCCTTATATGTCTAGGAAGTGGAAAGTAAAAGAAAGTTCCTTGAGAAATTGTACTTTGAAGATTCGTACATCTGGTTAAAGATAGAGGTCTAGTATGTAAAAATACAGTAATAGTAAGATGATCACTCATGGGCCTTGTCCATAAGTTGCGTCGCAGTTATATGTTCTATGGCAGGCAGGAAGTGACTTATCGGATTGTCACCGATTCTGTCAAGTCTCATGATAGCTGTAATCAAAGCGGCAGAGGTAATTAGATAAAAAAAAGTTAATCATGTAAATAATTTCTCATACTCATATCGAAGCTCCTCAGATAGGATAACCGCGTCTTAAATCTTTTGGTTTCTATTTATATTGAAGCAAAAAGACCTAGCTTGTATATCAACCGAAAGCAAAATCTCGCGGTATGAGTACACCGTTAGGTGCTTCACGCTAACCCCAAACGTCCTCTTGCCACCGCTTGGTTCTCCTCTTCATTGCTTCAAAATTGGTGAACTCGGAGTTTGTCCACTGCTGCCTGCGACAGAGGATGTCGCGCAAAACCTTTTGTACGTCCTGGGACATCTTCAATGAACCACAAATATAAATGTTAGCATCCTCGTCAACGAGGAGTTGCCCTAAAAGCTCATGTTTCCTTTTGATCTTGTCCTGGATGTAGCCTCTGTCTGTGCCGGCCCGCGAATACGAGATGATGATCCGCAGCCGTCCGCACAGGGTCTTCTCAGCGGCCTGGAATTCTTCCTTGTAGAGTTGTTCTTCTGGGGCCCTGCAACCAAAGAAGAGAACCATCGACCCGATTTCCTTGCCGAGCTCGAATTGCTTGACAATATGCTGGATAAAACCTCTGAACGGAGCGATTCCAGATCCGGTAGCCACCATAACCATGGGTTGAGACGGAGAGACGGGTGCTCTAAACTTGGATTTACGGAAGTGACAATATGCCGTCCGAAGTGCATCGCTAGGCATCCCCACCCCGGAAGGGCCCTTTGGCGAATTCAGCATGCTAAGTAGGTAATACGACGTCAAGCCATGGATAATTTCGTTTGGGCTGTCTAGCTGAAGCGTAGTAACGCTCACAGTCAGAGATACCAGACGAGGTTGAACAGTAGACGCTGAAGCGATCGAGTAATATCGGGGCTTTAGTGCAGGGACTCGCTCGAGAAGGAATGAAAGAGGGATTTTCCAAGGACAGTCAGGAGATGCGTGGTGTAGAATGGAAGCCAAGGTGACCTTTTTCGACGCACGATGCCGTGTATAGGTCTCCTTGTCCCGTGATATTGACCGCAAGGCTGATTTCGCCGCATCGGAGGGTGCAAACTGTTCCAAGTCTCGGATAACCTCTCGTGAGACAGGCGCGGCGATCTCCATGCGTCTTTTGAGTGATGCGTGGATGGAAGTCGAGCCCCAGGTAGGATTCCAGGAACCCGTCGCCTGGCCAACGATATTCAGCCGCTTTTTCATGTCGGTCTGAGGGATCCCCAGCGCAACACGCAGAGACTCTACCTCGTCGTCTGTATTCTCGGGCCAGACGGCAATGTGGTCACCTGTGTTGTATTTTAACTCCACGTGCCGCGATATATCAATATCTATGTGGATTGACATGCGGTCGCGGGACTCCGTCAACATTCGGATATTTTTGACAGGCAAACAGTTGATGGATGACACCGGGGTCAATCGTGTAGCTTTCTGGACCTCACTCCCATGGAGAGGCATGTACCATTCGTCATCCGTTGTTGACTCGTCGAGGAATTCGATCTTTAAAGCTGGCGTGTAAGGTCGAGCTTGCTCCGCAATGTTGAGTTTTTCCACAAACACTGTGAAAAGATCCGTTGACCAGTTAAAGAAATCTTCATCTACCATTCCGAAAGCGTCGTCGGCAAGGCAGAGGTCAAGGATTGGCTGGGCGCCAAACTTGAGCAGAGCCTCGTTGGCCTGTTTGGCAAACTGGTTGTAGGACAGGTACTTGCTGCTTCCCAGCCCTAACATGGCAAATCTCATGCCTTCCAGGCAGTTTTGAGGCGGAGAAGATGTGAGCCAATCGGAGAAAGCAAAAGCATTGTCCGGGGGGTCGCCTTCGCCGAAAGTCGACAGAACAAAGATGACCAGTGTCTGGCGTTCGATCATAGCAATAGAGCTACTATCGTAGTCTGACAGGTTTACGACGAGGACTTGCTTCGAAAAGCGCCGATCAATTACTTGGCCAAGGTGATAGGCCAAGCGCTGTGCCGTTCCCGACTGAGATCCGAAGAAGATGACGACGTCTTTGCCCTGGAATCCTTTTATGAGCCAAGGTGTGCAAATCGCATTTTGGTAGGGATGAGGGACTACTCACTGATTCGCTCAAGACTCGAGCGATATTGGTCTCTGCAACGGCCTTCTTGGAATCTAGATGCACTTGAGGCCTTTCAAACCAAAGATGGAAGTGTGGACCTTTGCCATTGATCCGAGCTCGTGCGACGTAGACAGTGACGAGCAAAGCAAGAAAGGTCGCGACGACATCGTCCCATTGAGAATTTCTCTGGAGCTGACGCCAGACCGGCTTTACGGCCAGGATCGCGTTGTGAATGGGGATAGATTCCGCCATGAATAATAAACTGGGGCGGGGTTGACGGGGTTGAAGGGTGTTCGCTATCACCTTGGTCGAGTTTCACGGCGACGATTACACGCTTATATGTGTTCATCAGATCAACCGAGCCTCAGTCTCGTATCGATAAGTGGCAAGTTGGCCGAGTTTCCTGTTCCTGGGGAGTTTCCTCAAGTAGACAGACTTTCAAGTCGGGAGTCACCCAATGGGGAAAATTACTCCAGAGAGCGAGAAATGAGCCTACAGGCCCCATAATTTCTAGTGTTGCTGTTGAAATCTGCAAAATAGGAGCCCCATGCAGATTGCTGGGATTATCATGCGTTATAGCCACCAACAGTTGCAGTCTCACCCATGGGTTCGAATGGGGAAATATGCTGCATTTGTGCGTGCCCTCAGGCAGTACAGTCTTTGCTCTCTTTCAGTTTTGAAGCCCGATTGGTGGATCTGAGGGTCTCTGCTTTGCTCGCCTTGGAGGAAGGGGGGGATTGCGGGGAAGATCAGGCGGAGCATCGATGAGGGTAGAGGGGAGTGGGCCATGCCCATTTTCCAGTCCAGAGTAGCCACGGATGCTTGAGATCTGCTAGATGACTGGTATTCCCAAACATAAATAGTGCTAGGCCACGTAGGCATCGTCAAGTTCACTCAGTCAATTCTCTTGACCTTTGGTCGAAGTAGACCTCCCTCTTATCATTTTCCATTGCATGTATCAAATCAATCATGTATGGCCTTATTGCATTCATGGTGGTTTTCATTGCCATCATCGGTCGGCTCCTAGTCTGGCCAGTTGTCAAGTACTTTCTTGACCCAAAGGGTCTTCGCAAGTATCCTGGCATGACACCGCTATCGGGTATCAGCAACATTCCCTTCATGATCAAGGCTTCGGGGGGGTACAGATGTGGACGATTGGCAGAACTGCACAAGATTCATCCAGTAATCCGCACAGGGCCAAACTCACTCTCCTACGGGCACCTGCATGCGATAAAGGTACGGTCAGGATCTGAAGAAAAAAAAATCTTTTTTAATACATTGCATTATCTAACTTGATGCTACAGGATATCTACGGACACGGAACCAAATGCTTCAAGGACGATTTCTACGACGTCTTATCCGGCACACATTTCAATGTTGCCGACGTCGTCGACAAGCATGAGCACCAGCGAAAGCGTAAGGTTCTTTCTGCCGCGTACGCCATCAAGAACCTTGAGAGCTGGGAGTTCAAGGTTGTTGACAAGGTGGAACGCCTCATCAAGCAATTCGATGCTCGTTGCACTCTGCCTCTGAAGGCGGGCACAATGCCCATACCGGAGGAGCTGAACGTCGAGTTCAGGGCATGGGCCAACTTCTTTACCATGGAAGCCATTGTGGATATTGGCATGAGCAATATTCTAGGCTTCCTAGATCGAGGAGATGATGACACCAAAGCAGAGGGCCTGGACGGCAAAATTCAAACTGCTCATTACCGCGAAGCTATTCATTCCAACTTGACAGCCCAGTCTCACCTCGTCTGGTCCTATGACTGGTTTGAGATACTTCAAAAGTTTGCCGCCATCTTCTCACCAAAGTATCGAAAACTCTTTCGCACGGGTAAAAGCTTTGATGGCATTGTGATGCATCAGACCCGTGAGCGACTACGTCGTTACCAGGATGGAGAGAAACTCGATGATTTCTTCCAAGCTTTGATGGAAAGCAAGGATGGAACACCAAACCATCTTCCATTTGGCGAGATCTTCGCCGAAATGAGCGTCATGTGTAAGATTGCGACCCTTGTCCCCTTTTCTAGTCGGAGAATAATAGAGATCTGTGGGGGGAAAAGACATACTAATATCGCCCTCATCAGTAAACGCTGGGTCCGTCACCACCGCCATCGCCATCACAAACGTCATCTACCTTCTCCTGCGTCATCCGGATGCTCTTGAAAAGCTCAGGAACGAAATTGATAGCGTGGTAGATGAGGACGAAGTCGTGATCCCATTTGACAAGCTTAGAGACCTACCTTACCTTCGTGCTTGCTTGGACGAAAGTCTTCGCCTCTTCCCTCCTACAACATTTGGGCTGCCTAGAAAGACACCACCGGAAGGTTGTACTATATTGGGTGAGTTTGTCCCAGGAAACACATCTGTTTCCATATCATCGTACGTCGCCCACCGAGATGAACGAGTGTTCCCTGATGCAGAAGCGTTCATCCCGGAGCGGTGGCTTGGGGAGGAGGGCAAGAAGCTACAGCCATACTTCATTACCTTTAGTGCGGGTGCCAGAGGCTGTATTGGACGCAATATCAGCTACCTAGAACAAACTGTTCTGGTAGCATCGCTGGTTCGTCGCTATGAGATGGCGTTACCTTCACCGGACTGGAGGCTGGAAAGGGTTGAACACTTTAACCTAGTGCCCGAGGGTATGCCCATGAAGATCTGGCGACGAACAGGGTTCTAAGGGGTAGGGATACCTAGCTTATTAATTACTCTGTTGAAGCTTCTATAAACCTGTAACAGGCAATTTGATTGTAAGGTTATATCTAAAATTCGAATTATATGTCTTTGACTGCATCTTTAGTGGTATGGTGATGGTCTGTACTCTACGACCTTGGATTAACTACCCTCTTCGATCAATATCAGATTTAATAGCGGCTATGTTCATTAATACACCTCATTTCCCCACATGCTTGGCCTTCGATCGACTTAGCCATTGCTCCTTACCGTGCACGGCACAAACTTTTCGCCTCTAAAATAGACTTTTGAAGTTACCCTCGGTTTCCCTTGGGTAAGATGTTTCCGGCACACTCTTAAGCCCGTGTCACCAATGTTCAACCATGACCTATGTAACTACTATGTTAGGGCAATGTCTGGGTATCCTTGGGTGGATAACTGAAAGCTGAGATACCGTAGACAAAACCAAGCGACGGTAACCATGCTACCTGCTGCATGATGTCTGCATGTCACGAGCTTGCTTTTAGTCAATCTTCTGTTGCCGAAAACTACCTTAGGCTGTTGAGGTGTGCGTCAGGTGGATGTTACTATGTCGGGTTAATTGGCATTCTGGCGTCTCGGAGGTAAAATCCTTTCTCTGAGTGCAGTTACCCTCTCGGAGGTCTCTCGGGGTCCATGTCCTGTCTCGGAATCCATGTCCTATTTCAGACCGCTAAATCGTAGTGGTGTCCACCGAAGGAGGAAATTTGCCCCATTAGGAGCGAGGCTGCTTAGCGTCCCCAGAAAAGGTCCAAAGTCATACCCCCACAGGTCGCTATCGCTGGAGTCATCAAGCCTTTCGTATTCAAACGTCTCTCCTTCCTCAACGAATACGCACTGGAACGATGCATCGACGTTGCTACCGCTCTCAAGGAATCTCATGAGTGTGTGACTAGTCTCCGAGGCGTGCCGAGCATGTTCCCCCCAGCAGAGGGAAGCGTATTGGTAGAGCGGGTATTCCCGTTGCCGCTTGTCGTATTCGCTCTGTGTGTAGCAGGGGCCCCTGTAGGTGAACTCATTAAATAAGAGGTACGTAGCGCAAGTAGAGGCAAGGCAGGACTGAGCGTCCGGAAACCAACGGCTACAGGTCTTTTCAAAGTACTGCTACGTTGTGTAGTGTACTAAATGCACTATGCTGCTATTCTCATCGATAATAACCAGGCCTGCGCATATTGAGATAAGATCTTCCACTAGGTAGAGGTTCTTGAAGTTAAATTTTATCTATCTGATGACTACTACAATAGCATTCTCCAGTTTGAGTATACTTAATAGCCTCTTTGTACATGTAATCCACGAGATAACTTGCTAAGCAACCTCGACCTCGTCTGCAAGCTGTCCTTCGATTTGTTCTATAGCATCCTTGAAGGCGCGGTAATATGCCTCCGATCCGGCCGGAAGTCCTTTTAATGCAGTGCGCACTGCCGTAGCGGATTTCTTCCCTCTTAGGGAGTCAAAATGAAGCTGTGCGAGAAGAAACCTGGAGGTCGAGTGAGCACGATACATCAAGAGTACGAGGAGCCACGTACATGCCGTCGGCGGCCTGGAGGATGCCGTTCTTTATCTCGTCTTGTAGCCCGGGCGTACGGCCTACGCATTTCGGCAGCTCCGAGGCGCGGCCGCCCAAGTAGACGCGAATATCTTCGTCACTCGCCCGAATTTCTAAAGTGGCGCTTCCGTCAAACTTCTGAATAATTTCCGGGACAGCTGCGGTCTTGGGACAGCTGCGGTCTTGGGACAGCTGCGGTCTTGGGACAGCTTTGGTCCTGGGACGCATTTGGACGATGGCAAGAAGTGGACGAAAAGACTGGCTTTCCTCGGAAGCAGTACATACCTTCGGGGGCAAGCATGGCTGGGCTTACAGAATCATGAGTGGGTCTCCTTTGCGGAATCGTTCTGTAAAAACACATTGTTCCTGCATAAGGTCGAGGGCCGCATCCAATAACATAATGTGTGAAAGATGAGTATGCTTTTGTTCCAGAACGCTCGACTTCAACTATGCAATTACGTCGGGTTTGCTGCCGCTGTCGCTAGTAGCTGAAAAGAGGACAGCAAGAGGGGCAAGAGGTTGCTATTAAAAGACGAAATAGCGAGTCAAGTCGGTCCCCTATTTTCCGGTGCAGTCACACCAGTGAGTGCCCGCTAAGTGTAGGCCTACGCTACCAAAAAGTATGCAAGCCATGGAGTCCCCAGTTGTTCAAGCGCCTTTCCTTCTCTCAAACCATAAAATAAAATACCAGTTATGTCTGCGGAAAACATGAGCGTAAGCCACATTGATGATACACCTTGTGTCTCCGGAGTCTCCCTCAATTATTGGTATTACAGATACAGTGGCTCTCCTTAGTCGCATGATCATCTGCACGGCTGAATTTTTTAAAGTCCTCCTTAGAGAATCGACTCGGCGATCGCGACGCTCGGGGCTGCTCAACTTACACACTGACTGACCACCCTGACCACTGAAATCCCTTACGCAGTGTTGAGATCCCCTTACACACTGACCCGCGCCTACCCCCAGAGCACTCTACAGCACCCACTGCCCATACCACCCTGTAGCACCCACATCCCCACAGTTTCGACCACGGCTTCTACCACAGCTTCTTCCACGGCTTCTACCACGGCTTCTACCACGGTTTCTGTCGTAGTTTCCACCGTGGTAGAGACCGCGATCCTGTTATCTGGAGCTGTTTCCTGAGACTAGAACTTGTGTAGCTTCCGGTTCCTGCTTTGTGTGAAACGATCCTGCCTATTGGCGCTTAGTAGTAATTGTAGCCCTCCTATAGGTGCGGATTGGCTGTCGCTAAGAAAGCCACTACCGCTCTGAGGATGCTAAGAAATCTACGATAGAAGGCCGTCTGTCTAGTAGCTATATAGGACCTTTCAGTCTTGTGCCTTCTGTTTCCTATCTGTATGTGTGGGTAATTTACTTATATATAAGTTTATAGCTCTGTTTTCTGGGAATGGTTCTATCCTCAGCACTTACTAGTAAACTTAATATATTCTATTTCCTGCTTTCTGGGTTCTATCTATTGGCGCTTATTAGTAATTGCTGCCTACTATAGCTATAGATTACTAGTACTTAGCTATTATATTACTAGTAAACCTCCTAAAGAAAGCTTCTTTAGTAAAGCTATTTATATTAACTAGTAAATAATTAGCAGGTAAGTGGAATTTTGTTAGTTATTCTAGCCTTTATCTAGTTAATACCTGGAAGTTTACTAGTTAATATAGTCTTTATACTAGGAAATTTACTAATTAATATAAACTTTATCTAATACTCCCCTAATATATATTATATCTAGACTTAACCTATATTATTAATAGATCTTATTTATATTCTCAGGCTCGGGAAGCTTATTACCGTTGGAATACTTATAGCCAGGGGGAAGATATTATGATCAACTAAATATTGCTAAAAGTTGCGATTATGCAGTCCTCTGCTCCTCGTTATCGTCATATTCGGCGTCGTTATAGTCTTCGCTAGGGATTACAAGACCCATTTATAGCAGCCCAGGCTCGATTAGCTAGAGCTTATCTCAGAATTAATTAACTAGTAATACTTAATCGGGTCAGTATGGGAAATGTAGAAGATTCGGAAGCCTCTGTACCCCTCTTAGGTCTTTTAAGTTAGGACCACCGTGCCTAGCGAAATGCCTGAGTTGCGCCTAATCTGCTGGCGAGCTTTGTTGGACCAACTCCTTTGCTGGAAGAGGACGGGCGTTTCGTCGCGCGGCACCGGCGCGTCGCGTACGGGGGCAGCGATATCGATGCTCGGGATGTAGAATGGGGTTCTGCGGCGTTTCGGCGGTCGAGCTCTCGCAGCGCGCCTTTTATCAACACGAGTTGGGAGAGGTTATCCTAATAGTGTGGGGGAGGACGTGAAGGATGGTCGCGCTTGCGTTTCTTCGAAACGTGTTGGGTATCTTCACTGATAGCTCGCTTGACCCTTGTCGCTTCTGTGGGCTTCTACGCTTTGTCGAGGAGAACGGAAGATCGTGTAGCACGAGCATCCTCAGTGGTTTTGGAATGGTCAACGGGTAGGTGCAGGAGCTAATTACTTATGTCTGTGTCCAAAGGGCGACGCTCATGCAGTCGGAGCCATCAGAGTGGAGATGTTATTGATAAGCCTTCCCCTCCTTGACGACCTGAATGATACCGGGTAAACTGTGGGCCAGTCGCCGACGGTCCGGACGAGTCATTTTTAGAACCCCGCACGAGCAAATCAGTGGCCACAGTTACCCACTCAAGGCAGACTGGTGAGAACCCCAGTCCGCTGGCCACCCTGGTGACATTTGTAGATGCGTAACTACGCACGCAACTCAAAATTTTGCACGCTTAAATAGCCCAGGCGTATGGCACTTTGCGACGAAGAGAGGGCGCAGATCCGTGGGGAAGCTAGTGCTTTGTTTCTGTGCATTCTGTGCAGTAGTTGCTAACGGATGGTCTAGTATACACATAATTTATTTACGCCCGGCGACTGAGCCGAAAAGGCACCTATCACTAACGTACAAGTACATTTCCAAGTAGGAAAAGTGGCCTTCGGAGCGGAAGATCTTCTCCGCCGGTAAACCCGACAGAAAACATTCCACCACCCATGGATCCCGGGCTCGAACACAAGTATTGACAGTAATTGTCGGAAAGCTAGCGTGGCACTTGGATGACTTGATTGTGTGTGTATTGTCTGTGTGTATCTGGGAGGTCTCCCGGCCGTGACTGCGTATGTGTTGCAATCACCACTAAAAGTGGGGGCCTGAGGTATCTGCACTAATAGGCAGTCTCAACCCTGGAGGTTACTACGTGACCGCCCGATTAGGTGCTTTGTATATAATCCAATCTAACAATATATACCTCTAATTATAAAGCTCCTATAAATAATTACTTATTGATATAATTCTAGCAACAGAATGTAGTAGCTTTAACTAGCAGCCTAATAAGCTTTATTATTAACTGTTAATATTCTTTAATTATAAAATACTTCGAACACCCGTTAAGTTGCCAAGGCAAGGGGCTTAACGGCTGAATATCCAGCCCAAAGGGTAATACCGTATACCTGCAATTCAATTCTCATAGGGGGGATTTCTAGAACCCCCCCTTTCGCCTGCGGCGGCAACTAGCTGTTAAAACCGCGTCAAACCTGCAGTGGGGGAGTTGGCTGATAGTCAGGGGTTCCTCTACCGCTTCCTGAGAGGCCGAATCTAACTCTATACCATATATCGAACCTCCCCTTTCTATGTAGCTTATAGGAAGACGTCGTCTAGTCAAGGTAGAGTGGTGGATACGGTGGCTCGGTCAGCTGTTGAGCCTGACGGCGTTGTTGGTCAACGAGGCGCATCTTCATCCCTGCCTTATAGTTAGCGTAAACGCAGCACGTAGGAAACACAGGCACATGAACCTTCCGTGGGCGTGTGGTTATAGAGGCTCTGACGATCGAAAGGCGCCTCAAGGAGTAAGCCTTGCAGCGAGGTTACCCGTGAGACAGCAACATAGCTAATGCCGGCCTAGAAGTCGCATGTAGCGAGGTCAGTAACTATTTGATCCTTCGTTAGGCTCTGGCATTTGTGAACAGTGATAGCAAACGCCACGATCAGGGGAAACTGCGTGCGAGCGCAGGTCTCGTTGCCCACAAGGAAATCACGCGTGACTGGGAGGATGGGTAAGATTTTCCTGCCCTCGTTCGTTGTTAGATACGGCGGCCTGTCGTAGCTATCGAAATCCACCATAATAACCGCCGGGGGTTCTTCCCATAGGTTGGTGCCTGCATTCCAGGCAATATCGTATACAGTACCCTGGGCACCGTTAACTAGGCCAGCTGGCTGCCATAGGTTAGTCGTAAGCATCACTCTGGCGCCTTTAGCAACAGGGAACCTGTTAGATAGGTTGCCAGCGTTGTCGCTTGGCGCCTGCCCTGCGCCGTTGCCCCGATTCTTTGCCTCCACCTGTACTGCCGGGTCGTTGAGGTGCACCATATACTCGTAATTGTACTCGTTGACCCGGGCCTTTGTAGAATACACCCGCAAAGCAACCCTGAAGCTGTCAATCTCGCTCTGTATTAGCTTGGCCTATACCCGATTACTAAGGAGGTTCCATAACGGTATAGATAACTTAACTTCACGCAGTTCCTGCAATACCTAACGGAACTGGGCCTAATCATCACCAGTTTGGCGCTGTACAGTAGTCAAGAAGATGGTGCGGTCAAATAACCAGTAGGCCACCTGCCCTCTCCTTTCCAGCGGAGACAGGCTGGTGCTAGTCGAATACAGCGGCTTTTGCCGGACGGGTAGTAACTAGAAGAAATCGCCTACCAGCAAGACACTCACGCCACCAAAGAACTCAAGGCTACGCTGTGGAAAGGCCTGCCGCAGGCGGGAATCGATCCGCGCTAGCTGCTCAAGCCCTAGCATGCTCTTTTCATCGATAACGAGGTATTTAACGTGCCGTAGGCGGGACTGAAGGGCAGCCGCGTCGGCTGGGGGAAGGTCGGTAAAAGTACCACCTACTGGGAGACGTAGCAACAAATAAATAGTGCTGCCTTGTATCTGGTTACTCGCAACACCTATTGGCGCTACGCGGCAAATAGAACTAGGATTCAGTAGGGCAGCCGCCTGAAGATGGGAGGATAGCACCTTAATAAGGAAGGACTTGCCTGTACCACCACCGCCGTCAACATAGAGAAGGATTTGAGTAAGACTTTGCGCCTGGAAGTGGCCCATGAAGGTGTCGTACACAAGCCGTTGTTGTGGGTTCAGCTGATCACGCCAGTGAGGGCCAAGGACCTCCACATCGTTGGCTACAGGGTGGCTAGCGATAAGGTCTTTCCAGTAGCCGTCTCGAAGTTCCGGATAAGTACCTACATGCCGTGTCCAGTCGTAATTAACATCGATATCGCGGCGGCCGAGTAGGTCAAGACCTTCCTGGGTAAGGGGGTTGTCAGGTAAAAGGGCGGCGAGGCAAATCCAGTCTTCGTCATCAAATTCTTCCTCCACAGGCAGAGCCTCGTATTGATCCTCTTGAGGCTGTAATCAAGCCTCTTTTGGCCAGCTGTAATGGTTATTACCATGACTGTGGTGTTGCCAACAATGCAAGAAAGCCTCAACGTAGGAACTGAAAAGTTAGCCGTCAAATGTCAGAAGCTTATCAACTCGGCGATGTAGGTAATTTAATGTGAGCTTTATACGGCAGTAATCTGGCCACTGTTGACCTTCTGGATCAGCATAATAGCAAGGGAAGTAAACTAATACACGAGGCCTGCCGTTAACATTTCCTAGCTGCCATTGCTTCCACTTGGAAGGGTCTCTAGAGCGGAAATTCCAGTATTTAAGGAAGGAAACATAGGTTAGGTCCTCTAGGGTTTCTAGGCGTTGACTGTACTTTTCATAGATATTGAGGGTCTCGTCAACCTCATCGCCGTCCATACGTAGGGAGTGGGAATGCCTGTCAGGATGACGGCAGTCAACATATAGGCAGGTTCGTGAGCCCTCCTGTAACGGCAGGCCGAGGAGCAAGTGGCAAACCTCCTGCTTTGAGTAATCCCGCTCAGCAACTAGCTGATTTAGGAGCTTTGACGTGAAGGAAATAAGGGGGTTATGGTCCTTGACCCGGGGCATCAGGGCTTTCCCAATCTGGGCAAAAGACTCACTTTTCTTTTCCGACTTAGAGCAGTATTTAGCTACGTAATCGATTACCTGCTGTAGGCTCGTGTAGGGGGAGATATCTGTATTGGCCAGCTACGCAATTGTAAGCAAGCGGTTATAGTGGTTAATCTGGCTATCATTCCGCTCGCCCCTAAAGCTCCAGTACTTAGAATGAGGAACCTTGTCTAGGGAGGCTAGTAGGCGTTGCCCGTGAGGAAATCCAAAGCGGCACTCGACCTACTTGGTATGTTTATTGAGCTGCATACAATAATTATTACAGCGGTGTCGTTGCACGCGGTTAACTACCATTGATAGAAACCCAACGGTAAGGGGCTGCTACAATAAATTGATGATTAGGGGGTTCCCTTCCCCAGGAGCCTATATTCGCTAAGGCTCTAGGTTAACTGCAAATACGTAATATCCCCAAATATAGGCGAATCATTCCCGGGACTGATCATTGTCAGGATCTAAGTCTGGGTGGCCACTTAACCAATATAGGCCATAGTGGTAACTAGACCCCCTGCCTTACCACTCGTAGCAACCCCAAAAGTCCATTAGGTTAAACTTCTGCTTCAGGACAATAGTCCTAAAGAACATATAACACTTATAGAAGTGGTAAGCAGCAATGTGGGCGTTGTCTCGCAGTAATTGCCGGGACAGGGCCATCCGCGGTGCCTCAAAAGCTGCTTTCCACTCTTGGAATCGAGGCATATGACGATATAGGGACTCCCAGTGGTAATCAGCCGCACTTGCAGTAACGAAAAGGCCAGGCCTGCCTAGATTGTGGGCATATGCCTCCAATTCCTTCCTTTGCTTATACCAATATGGCCGAGTGCCCTTAATTACGGCGGCTTGGCACGTGATCGACTGGATCAGGGCCTGAGCCTCTGGCTCGTCAGGCTTAGCCATCGCTTCCTCTAGGTCAGCGCGCGTAAGGGGTTGACGGCGGCCTTCGTGTTGCTTGACGAAGTAGTCGCTTCGCTTTCTGACCTGCGCACATAACAGCGTATTGAGGGCGACGAAAGGCCACGTCTTATGGCGGGCAAAACATCCATCTTGCCATCTCATCGCATGGGCAAGGTAGTCCTGGTACGTGATGCTCCGTAGGCGAGGCTCCACGAAGTCCGCCTTGCCGTCAGGGTAGAGAGTAGGGAACGCGAGCGTTAACAGCGGCTGGGAACGGTTGAATTCGTTGATAGGAGTCCTGCGAATGGAAGGTAGTGGCATGTGGTGTTGAGCCTGCGCGCTAGGTGGCATATGCTCAAGATCAGCCATACGCTCAGGGTCAGGGGTACCATTAAGGAATCGGGACTGCAGGGCGTTCAATTCGGTATCGGTAACCTGCAAATTCGGGATTGCTGATGCGTCGGCATCGCTAGGATCCTCTTCTACAGCCTCCTCAACGGGGCCTTGGGGGACCTCGCCGTCAGGTATGTCAGCCACTTGGCTAGCAATGGAAGCAACTATGCTGCTGTCAAGAGGAAGCCGTTGCAAGCGATCCTACCTCACGACGATATCGCGATAGCCCGGGTGGTGGCGCTGTAGGTAATGGAGCCAAATCAACAGGCATGAGCGGCGTACCCGGAAATCGCGAGCAAACTGCTGCTGGAAGCGAGGGTCGCCCTCCATATCAGGAGGCCGTAGGAGCACGATGTCTAGCTCTTCAGGTAGGGCTGGGAGCTCTTCAAATAGCCTACCAACATTACGAAGAAAGTGGACAACGTGACCGCGGTATTTATATTGAGAGCCACATACCTGTAGGACCTTCACGTGTACGTGAACCCTAGCAATCAGCATCTCCTCGACCATTGTTAGGTCAGGTAGATTACCGGGGACTTCCCCGAAGTCAAGGTTATTCGCAGCGCTAAAGAAGTAGGGCTCGTTAGGGGTTCTCTTCCTATCTCGACTAATGCAGCGGCTGCAGACTTTCACGCTATTTCGCTTCATATCGAACCAATGCTCCCGGCAGCGAATGCAACTATGCATCTTGTCGTCATTCAGGGCAGTATAGAACTCCCGCACAAGGGCCCGATCCTCCTCACTAAGGGCAGGCAAGTTAAGGTCCGCTGTTAAAGGTGGATCAACTATCTGATCAAACTGTCGCTCTTGAGGCTGTGGCCGTGACCGTGGGTTAAAGGTGCCTTGACGCGTATAGCAGCCGCGGCGATGACCCTGTGGCAGTAATGAAGGTGTGGTAGGGAACGATTCCTGTGGTATAGGCGTGCCTAGCACAACAGGAGCCGTTGGAAGAGTGCCTTGAGGAATAGGCGTTTGAGGAATAGGCGTTTGAGGAATAGGCGTGCCCAGAACTACTGTTGGCAGGCTAAGGGTAGCAGGGATAGGGGAAGGTCCCTCTACCGCGCTTGGGGTAGATGGCCCCAGCAGAGGTCTAGGCAGTCCCTGGAGTGCGGGCGCCAGGCCACGGAATAAAGCAGGCGTGGCAGGAGGTTGTGAGCCGTGCACAGACGCAGGCGTTGGCGCAGTCCGCCTTGGAGGCGTCAGGTTAGCTACAGAATCGGTCCTTTTCGTGGCTCTGCGTGGCGATAGCCTCAAGGTAATATTCCGCATGGCGGCAACGGCGGCTCGGGATTCGGCTACACGTTCCCTTCGGCGTGCCCTACAGCTAGCACAGTCTCCTATAAACTTCATAGGGTCCTTGACGCTTCGAAATTCGACTTCAGGCAGGTCTTACTTGCAGGTATAGCAGTTTCGAACTGCCTGGGGTATATCGTCCTCCATCTGGCCGTATATATATCCACCTCTTACCCACCTAGACTGCTAGATATCGCTCGGGCAAGGAGGCTTCGCGACAACTTACGTCCAGTACCATAGAGAGGTTGTCTTTGAGGTAGTTAGATCAGGTCTGAATGATCAGGGAGGAAACTGCACTGCTTCCCGGAGGCAGGGTAACCGGGGAATCTTGAGAGGTAGGCTGGCTGCGGAGGTAATATATCAACCTAGATACCGTTAGCAACCTGATGGGTTTGATAGATTCGACAGAAAAGGGAAGCAGCCGCCATATAGGTTAGTGGAAGGAGTAAGGGGCACGGGGGTTATTCAGTCAGGATCGTGCTTAGCAACCCAACAAATTGATTGCATGGAAGAAAAGAAGAACTGAAAGCTCTTGGAGAGTTTGCCAAGCTAGCTAGTTCTTATTACCTAGTCAACGCTCAGGGGGTGGTTTCTGGCGAGGCCTTCATTTGGTGGCGTTAACAGCCGACCAATTCGCGCACGAGTTGAGCAAGGCCAGGCCAATTAGCCAATCAGAGGAGGTTTTATGCTCAATTCTTTCTGACTGAGTAAAACGCCCTTCGGGCTGAATAAATAGATATTTAATTCTATATAATCTGGTTTAACTCTTTTATTATAATTATTATAATCTATATATAACTTAAGGGGTCTTAGAGTAGTTGAAACTGGTAGTAATATAGTACCTACAAATTTTATTCAGTTAGATATAAATTGCATAATTTACAATACCTTGCAATCCACACAGTATATAGACATTTATTTAGTACTTTTATAGATAGATAGCCTTACTAGCTATTAATATATTTAGCTATATTAAATCTACTATTTTACTATTATTAGACTGTAATTTATATTTATTTATTTATTTAGTATACGCTATTTTACCTTTATCAAGGCCTATAGAACTCCTACTACTTTATCGGATAGGGAAAAACCGTATGCCTAAACATTGGATGAAAACCCTACCCCTTCCTTCTATTTCTACCACTCTATGTACCCATAAGGTCACTGTAGAGCATACAATGCAACTTCGAGTCTGTAACTGGTAACAACACCTCAAGCTATTCCTCGCCATTAACACCTCAACCTTCTAGTCTTCCAACCTTCCTATTTTCTCTGGGTAGAGGGGGGGTTACCTATTTATAAGCGCAGGAATGCGCTGTAGTTAGCCTCTTATAGTGGGTTGGCCAGTCCACTTCCTAAAGGCAAGCTAGGGACCAATTAGCTTGCTACCTTAGGCCCGGTTAGCGAGTCGGATCCTCGGGTTCAATCCCTGTACAGGCTGACTTTTCTGCTAGGGGACGAGGCTAGCAGTCACAGCACAATTACAAGGATTGTGCCCTGGGCTGGATTCGAACCAACAACCTCTTGAAAAAGGTCCCAAGCTCTTAACCACTGAGCCCCAGGGTATTTATACTGTATTAATTAAATTAATATTAATTTAATAATTAAAAATTAAAATTAATTAAAAATTAATTAAAAATTAATTTACTTTAAAATTAACTTAATTTTAAAGCTAAATAACTTAGTATATAAAATATATTAAATAACAATTTTAATGCTATTTAAAAGCTAATTTTTTAAGCTATTTAATAGTATATTTATTATCTAAATATTATGGCTAAATTTAGAAAAATTACTTATAAAAAGCTTAGAATCTTTAAGCTATTTTTAACTTAAGATTCTAATTATTATATACTATAATATACTATTTTATACTATTATAATAGGCAGTTAGAGATACTTAAGCTAGCTAGTTGCTAGTGGGGATATCTCTAGAGTAGTCTAGATTAGGATAAAAGGGAGAAAAGAACCTATACTAGAGAACAAGATTGGTTTTCAGTTCTTTAGAAATTCAAGCTAGACATTAAAGAGGCCGGTAGGCCTCTAAATAGCTAGGGAGTCCTGCTTTTTCTTTGCCTTTAATTTTAAGAGATTTATTTGAGCCCTATTCTTACTATTACTATAATCTTTATCTAACTTCTATCTTTAACCTCCTTTAGATATTAAGCTGCTGTAGGCCTAATTAATGTCTTGCTAGTAAACTTTTCTACAACTAACTTAATATTTAATTTTATAAGATACTTTTCAACTAGGAGATATAAGCTTTAGATTATTCCAATCTTATATATATAATCTAGTGTAGCTTTAGGCTAATTAGCTAAGATGTTTATATAATAACTTTTTATATAAATCCTCTAGAGTAAGTTAATAAGTTAAATGTTATTTTTGTTTCTTTTTGCTGCTAAATTATTTATCTTTTATAAATTTTTTTTTTTTATATATTTTTATAAGAATACTTTTTTTATTATTATATTAATTTATTATTTTTATTTTACTACTTCATAATTTTTTAATATTAACTACTAATATAAAAACAGTAAAATATATTATTAATATTAAAAGAAAATAAGTTTTTTATTACTTTTAATTATATTTATTAAAGTTAATATTAAAGTATTTAAAATATAAATTCTCTAATAATAAAAAAGAGTATAAAAAGCTATATAAATATATTTAATACTTAAATTATTATTATATTAATAATTTAAAAACTTATAAACCTATTTTCTTATTTTATTTTTAATAATAAACTTAGTTTTATATTATTAAATAATCTTATATATAAAGTTAAATAAATATTTAATTTAAATATTAATATAAAAATAT